TTTGGACCACAACTTGCAGCCGTGAATCCTGATCCAGACGTTCGTCTATGGACCTGACTGGCTTTCCAGTTTGACCCCTTCGAATGACGCTTCCGCAATGGGTAGCGAATCATCACCAATAATGCCTCCGTGTATCGTTGTTATTAACCGGCGAATGTTTCGGTGTCGCGGGGATTAACTTACACCCCTTTTCCTCGCATGCCTCTCCGGCCAATCATGACCTCTGTACGCAAGTGCATGAAGACCCAGAGGGCAGGGACTAAAGTATCCGTACCACAGTTTGGACCCAAATTCCATCAACAGTGGTGGAACCACAGCATTTGTCGAAGACAGTACTGTCAAACCAATGCCGTGTGGTGTTAACATGCGGACTTCACTGGGAATGCTAAGAGCAACCTTTATAGGGCCCAAACACTACCTAGGCGTGTATAAACTAGGTACCTATGTACTCTGGAATGGCGGCTAGAAGATGCTTCACCAGCAACAAACATTACAAGTGGGGGCTGGAGCGGTCTCTAGGCAGTGATGGCGCCAGTCTGCAAGTGACGAACGGCCTAGATTTCGACTGGCCCGCGCGAAACCACGCCGCGGGGACTCCCCACAAGGCTGAGGCTATGTCTTGCTAGGCCTACACTAGAGAGCATTCCTTAGCCAGCCTCCGGGAGAATAAGTCAACGGGAGGGTAGCTACGTGCAAATTGAGGACCTCCATCAGGGGGTAAGGCGCGATGCATTGACCGCATGAGATATCTTATCCATCCGACCGCCCCGGCTCATCTTGCCCGGCACTTACTGACCACCAAGAACACGATGAACTTGACCAGCCGGTCGTGGAACCATTCAACTGGAACCGGCGGTGGCTTGCTAGGCATGGTGGCGTCAAAACTTGGCATGAATAGCATGCTTTATCTGCAGGGACGAGGAGTAGCATTGTTCTCGAAGCTTGGGTGAGAATCTTAAAATTCTGACACTGCAGTAAGCGTTGCCCGCTACCCTCCTTTGCAACGTGGTCCTGCATATTAATCACTGTGGTACCTACCTTACTTACACAGTATTACAGAGTTCCGTTCAGTGTCTGCTGACGGAGTCTACTACGGGGCAAGGTTGGGGCATCCGGTTGATTGTTGCGCTTTCACGGCATACCCGTACCAAACGGCTTCGATGTCCAATACCCCTCGTTCCCCTGCCCAATGGGTTTATAAATCAGGGACGGCACGGAACCCGGTCGGCTCCTCGGCTTCCTCGGGGATAACACCATAGCACAATTCGGCGACCTCATGCGGGAGAAGTACGACATCGGTGATCTTCGCTGATGTTTATCGGATATGATTAACATCCTTAAGAACTCCCGCATGCCATGCATGTCGGTAGGTAAGGTACCTATGTACGTAAAGTAGGTACTTTACATACGAGGGACTTCTCTCAGGATCCACAATGGTCCAACCGGAAGAAAGGACGGACGGCGCTTCAAGGGGCCCGGTCATCTCGCGCTTGTTGCGGGATGATGTTTGCCGGACCCCTGTCCGATTAAACGAAAAACGCTGTAGATGATCTGCAACGTGTACAAGGACTTAACGGCCACTTGTCCTGCTTGAGTAGAGCACCTCACACATTACTAGTACACTATGGATACACATAGAATTGAGTCTGGCTCGGCCACGCGGCTCGCTTCTCTGACGAACTTTCGCAGGTCGGGTGCTAGGACGAAGGTTACATTACACCGCCCCTACCCGAAGGCTATCTCCTGTTCTTTTTTTGGATTTTGACTTTGGCTTTCCCCACATCTATCCAGCGAAAATCAGTGGGGCCATGCTGGCAATTTGACCCGCTTGCCGTAAAGAAGCCACTGAGAAGGCGGCTGAGCCACACCTAGTCTCGATCTGGTTGCATTTATCGAGCGGGCAATGCCGCCGATCATTCACCTCCCCCGTGCCTGCCGGGAACTTTGCTCGCTGCCCCAAAGCTTCGGCTCGCTTCACGCTGCCCGGCCGAACATCTCAACAGAAACACCACCGGGGCAGGGGCGGCATTGGGCGGCGTATGTGGCTCTTTATCACATTTTACCGAGACAGACGATGCTTGTTGGAAAAGATTTGTGCTCTTTGCCGCTCCATGCTTGCCATGTACGATCCGTTAGGCGCATGTCCGTCAGCGTGTGCCATCTCGCCCGTCTTTCCATCAAGCCTCCGTGTCCGCTTGATGAAAACTGGCGGATGATTTGTGTAGCTATCACGGACACAGCGACATGATCACCCTGGCCCCCCGGAAGCAGAAGTGGGGAGCATCTGCCGGGACGGGACGGCAGTGCCGTGCCACCGGGAATTTGAACGGACCGGTGCCTCCAGACAGAACACCACCAAGCATGTCACGATTTATGGTTTCCAACTAAGGTAGGTACCTGTAGGCACATGTATTACACAGTATATGTACATACAGTAGTCTCAGCATGGTTTTTCCGGGTCGCAAGTAGGTAGCTGTTGTGCAAGTCGCTTCTCGTATCCTTGTGCTGCATGCTACTTGCCCACCACGATACTGTCGCCGACTCCCATGCACGCTGTGTCTTCAAGTCTTGCAGTGGTTGTCAGGAAAATAAGAATTTCAACTTGGCTAGCTTTATCTTGAGCGATAAGCTAAGATGGCGTGAAACTTGGTCCGTTCCCGGTCCTTCCCAATCCCCACATCCAGGTCCCAAGCTCCGCGGTCGGCAACGAAAGAGACTAGAGATTGCCTTGTGTTTGTGAAAACTTTTCGAGGTGACTTCGACAAAAACAGAGGAGATTGCTTGGGAGGACTTTACGACAGAGCACAAACCCAACGTGTACACTAAGGTACTAATGTACAGGGTTGCATCCACCAATTCGTGCGGCAAGCTGCAAACCGACTGGACGAGATACGACGGGGCCAGCAAAAGGTTTGCGATTCGCGACACGCATGCTATCTGCGCTGCTTGCAAACCCACGCTTCCATACATACACTACTGCCACCGGCTTGTTGTCTTTTCACCGAGCTAGATCGCGACGGGGTCCTCTGCAGCCCGCGATTCCCAATTTTGCACCTAGGATGGTCATGCTCTACAGCGTGTGATACACTTTCGCCAAGAAAGGTCCAGTGCATTAAAGCGCAGACGCGAACCGCAAGCCACGATCCACCTGATAACCTGAACTAAGACCGACACCGTCTCGTCTCTTTTCTCCGAAGGGCTGTCCGAATGTAGCCAGGGATAGGGCTGTGCACCTGCACGGTGAGCACCATCCTCCCCTCCTCCGGGTTCTCATTGGGCGTCCGTGGGAGGTGCTCACGCCCAAAATCCCAAAACACAACTCATGGATACACGAGGTCGACAGCCTTACTACCTGAATTATTCATCAAGAAGCAGGTCGAGAAATGCGCAGCAGCAACTACCGCACTTTACCTCTGTGATTAAAAATATCCGCGGGAGATCTGGCATGCCACGATGCAATGATGCAACCAAGATATGGGGTTTGCGGCCCCGACCGAGCCTCCACCACGTCGTTCAGAGTATCGAAACTGCGGCGCTCACCAGCAAACGACGGCTGCTCTCTCCGAACGAAAGGTACATACTAGCGCTCCTACGATGAGCGGTCCAGTCAACCGAATGGCCGGGGGTTTTGGTGGAGCAACCTGACCATGGAAGGCGTCTCTCACGGCGGTGCGGGGAATGGAGATTGATGAAGAGACCATCCCTAACTAAACGGTCTGCTTGGTGTTTGTGAGTCTCTCCCCGTCTCAATTGCAACGGCTATGCTTGCCTTATCCGGCCGTACTTTCACCACGGTGTTTGCTTTTCGAGCTGTGAGCCGACCCTCTCCTGATGTGGGCTGTCAGGATTCGCCATGCAATGATGTTACATACATACCTGATGTGTCTCCGAGTGACCTACATCGGAAAATCGATTTCTTGGCCTGCTGCGGCCGTCCCGGTCGCATCTGAGCCCCTATCCAATAATGTTATTAGGTGAAGAAGAAGCAAATGTAGCAGAAGCGCAAGAAGGTAATCTCAGGGGCTCGATAGAAGACACCTAGTTGCGTTGTCTCTGAAAGGTCTTACCCCTTGCCTATACTTACAGCACAGCGTGTCTACAGCAACGAGCCGCAGCTATTCCGCAGGGAATGGCATTATTGGTCGCTGACAGGCAGAGCAAGGTGGACAGACTGCTATCGAGCTCGTGTGGGGGGAGAGTACCCGCCCGGGATGGCCCACGATTGTTTCAGGCGGGGGAGGTGAGAAGCGCGGGTCGCGGGCGCTGGAACTTGCGCTTACAGCTCATCTTCTCCTGTCAATACCCGCGCTATCTAGGCCATCGAGACCGAGACTGGACGGCCACAATTGCTCGCCCTCTCTGGAGCTCCCACCAGGTGCAGCCCTTGCCCACTCGCACCTCAAGTGACAAGGCAGTCAAGCACATACATTACATACCAAGCCTCGAGTGTCTTCGCCCACTCGCTTACCCCCTGTTTCCCGTCCACACCAACCACAGGCTCAGGCTGTGGGCGGTGGACTGGCCAGCGGGCGCAGACTTGCAGGACCCTTTCGTTTTCCAGAGGTCGCCAATGTACACTTGTGCCCCTGTCCCTGGGGTCGCATCCAAACTCTCCCCCTGTCGACCCGAGCAGCCCAAAGGCACGCAGCCCCATGTCACCCAAGCCCATAGCCAGGTACCCCCTGTACCGCCCCTCATGTATGTACCCACCCATGCAATCTCTGGAACTGAGCCTCGCTGGACCGAGAAGTCATACTAGGGACTTGTGAGATCGTCCTCCACCAGGTCCCCGGCTCCCAAGATGGTTGCCGGGGGTATATAGAAACCTCACCCCCCCAAAAAGCCCGTCCGTTGGTGCACAAGCTCCTCCTCCGCTGTCGAACATCACCACCAACCGAGCCTCACACACCTCGGGCCAGACAACCCCGGCGTGGGCACTAACTAGACACTACGTCGGCTTTTTTAACCCACCAAGGCTTAGCCGCTCCCAGACCTCCGACAAGGCGCTCTTGCCGGAATTCGGAGCCACAACAAGAAGACAGTCCGAGGAAACCGGCCCCGTGTCCACTTACACGCATTTTCGCTCCCGTCCCTCGAATTCGAGCCGTCCTAGCCGGAACGAAGGCCGCAAGTTCAGACAGAGCCTGCCTGGAATGCGCATGTGCGAAGGTCAGTCAGTTGCCGGCCAGCAGACGGTGTGCCTGGAGGCGCCTTGACTGACGCACTGCCTACCCGCAGCCTGAGGTTGTGGTTGTGGCTTTCTTGCATTCTCACAAGAGTGCGCGAGCTGCAAACTTGGCGTTGTGCACATGGCCGGCCTAGGCTACCACGACACCCGGGACAACTACAACATGACATATCCAGAGCCCCCCCAATACGCCCAGACCATGGACCTCGGGCTGTCGCCAGAGCCATACAGCACCTATCCGCGGTCTGCACACGACTACCCAACGACGATGGGGTACGAGAGCGGTGCTGTCTACGCCGAGGCGCCGCCTTACATGTACAACAGCGGGAGGGTATCACCGGGCATGTACCCGGACGACGGCGATGCAGCGTGCGGCCCAGCGTCGGACCTGAGCAACGCGAGCGCCTCGTCGTCCACCATGGGCTCACCGCTCTCAAGCCACGGGCAGACGGCGCCAATTCCCGAGTGGGCCGCGGCGCCCCACGGGCTCGGCCTAACGCCGGGCATCGTCGAGCCGAGCGACTATTTCCCGGGCGAGTACTCGTTCGCGCCGGGCGGCATCGACGTCTTCCACCACAACGCGCCCTACGACTTCCCAGCAGCCAGCAAAGCGCCGGGTTTTGTCGGTGAGTTGTCACAGATCCCTAGGTCTTCCCATCTCTCTCCGCATTCGCCCCGCGGCAGCGGACACGCCCGCCATGGCTCCCTTTCTTCTTCCGCTTCGTGCGATTCTGGATCCACCGCTGTACCCCCCAAGCATCCGAGTCCCGGTCTGGCCCTCGACACGCGCCTGGCGCAGCAGGTCTCAGTAGTGACTGCATCATCCCTGGTGGCACCGGCCTCCGCGTCGGCCTCCTCCTCGATGGTTTCGGGTCCGCTCTTGACGCCGCCCACCACTTGCTCTTCCTTTCCTTCTTCTGCTACCCGCGCAGTTTGGAGCAGCCCTCCCAGCTCCCGCCTGGCCACTCGTTTCTTTTCTCAGTCTAGCGGGCACTTCGTTCCTCCTCTTGAGACTTGTTGGTTTCCTCTGTCGCAACAAGGCGAAACTTCTGTGTCGCGTGACCGGGATGCTAACATGGTTGCTGCCTGCGCAGACCCCTCCTTAATACACCCGGATGTGCGACCATTGGCCATGCCGTATGACCACCCTTCGTACCCGGCACCGCCCAACTCGGCGTACCCGGCCTCGCCCGCGCTCTCCGTCTCGGCCTCGCCGCAGCTCCGGCCCGGCAGCACGTCCCCCTTCATGCACGGTGGGAATTACCAGCCCTACTCGCCGTTCCAGCCACCAGCCGACTCCCAGCGGCGGGGGAGTCTCCACTCGTACCAGTCAAACTACTCGGGTGAGCAACCCTACAGCGGCGATGAGTCGCGGGAGAAGCAGCGCTGCCCGCACCCGGACTGCGGGAAGGCCTTCAAGGACCTCAAGGCGCATATGCTCACCCACCAGACGGAACGGCCCGAGAAATGCCCTATAACCACGTGCGAATACCATGTCAAGGGCTTTGCGAGAAAGTGAGTGCCGTCTCTCTCTCTCTCTCTCTCTCTGTGTCCCACAGTCCCCTTGTCTCAGCTGTCTAACCCTGCCTGCCGTCTAGATACGACAAGAACCGCCATACCCTCACCCATTACAAAGGGACGATGGTGTGTGGGTTCTGTCCGGGTTCGGGCTCGGCGGCAGAAAAGTCGTTCAACAGGGCCGACGTGTTCAAGCGGCACTTGACCGCAGTGCACGGCGTCGAGCAGACACCGCCCAACAGTCGCAAGAAGGCGGCAGGAACGAGCAGCAGCACCAGCGGCAGCGCGAAGCTCACCGGCTACGCGCCCGACGCGACGGGCAAGTGCTCGACATGTTCGCAGACCTTCAGCAACGCCCAGGACTTCTACGAGCATCTCGATGACTGCGTGCTGCGGATCGTGCAGCAGGAGGATCCGGCCGAGGCGATCAACGCCCAGCGGCTGGCCGAAGTCGAGAATGACCGGGACGTGCACAACACGCTCGAGAAAAACAACCTGCCCACTACCACCATGACGTCGACCGCCGAGGACGCGGATGACGAAGACGACGTCATGGAGGACGACGAGGCGGATGAGGATTCGAAGGGCGGCCGGGGCGGCGGCAAGGGGTCGCTCGCATCGCCGACAAGGAAGACAAATAAGGGCAGCTCGCTGAACGGGATCCAGAAGTCGCGAGGCCTTACCCACTCGCGCGGCGGCGTACCCCTCCAAACCAAGAGCCGAGGCCGCAAGAACCGACGCGACTACCCCTCCTCGTGGGGATTCGACAAGGGCCAGATGACGATGAAGAAGCGCGTGCTGGCCGTCTTCGACGGGCCCCGGCGGCTGGCTAAGGACGACATGATGCTGTCGACCGAGCACGAAGTGCGCCTCAAGCTGCAGGACGGCAAGTCCTACGTCACAGACCTCGACCTGCAGACGCTCAAGCGCGCCGAGGGCTTCCTCAACGCCACCGACGAGGAAAAGGGCCCGTGGATCTCGGACGATCCGACCGACGAGCAGCTGAAGCAGATGCTCGAGTACAGTGCTGTTCGGTCCGAGGCGCAACCAGCCCCCACCGCTGCGCAGTGAAACAAAAATACCTAGTTATGGGGAACGCTGTTCGACGAAGAGACGCGCCAACCTACCTACCTACCTCCCTCCCTCTCCCGCTTCTTGATACCCCATAATAAGAAACTACCCAACGCGCACACCTGTCATATATCAATGTATCTAATAGTGTCTTCGCCCTTTTCCCTCGTCTTCTTCCGGCGAACCACACTGGACACGGGCTGGATGGATTGCATCAGAGTCGCATACATCACGAATGGAACAAAACAATTACAAGAGCATCTGGCGTGTTGGGCGAACTGGGACCTTGGCGCGATTGTTTTTTTTTTTTCTTCTTGGCTCCGAGCCTTCCTCTTTTTTTTTTTTCTTTTTTTTTCTTTTCCATTTTTCTCTGTTGATTTTTCTTCTTTAAATCCCTTTTGTTTGGTTGGGCATACCGGGGTAAAAGGGACGGACTTAATGACGACGTGAATGACGAGGTACGGCTTATTTGGTTTTTTGGCGGGACAGGGTTCGCGGAAAGGGGACGGAAAGGCTTTCAACTACCTAACTATAAAGGGGTGGGCAAAGATCCAGAACTTATATCTTCTTTCTCACTACTATATTACTTATTGATATTTTCTGCTCTTTGCTTCCTCTTGACTGCTGTCCCGTCCCTCAGTTATACGCTCCTTCTCGATCACTGCTGGGCGCAGAGGTATCGGTAATGAGGGTCTGTGGGTAATAATGGTGGTTGGTGTAATACTAGTACGTAGTGACATTCGGCCTATCGCTGAGAGTAATGACTCCAAGCTTCACTGTGTCCTCTGCCTCTTTTCCCTGTGTTCCATCTATATTCAGAATGGTGGACCTTCAATGTAATCTCTGGGTTGTGGAGGTGAACTCCTGGGATCCCAACCTTCTCTTATGTCGGATGGCGAAAACGGCATTGGTTCTCTTCGTTGCGACTGCTACCTAGACAGGGGTACGTGAGCTATATATGAATACATCTCAATGTTGACGGCACAATTGATGACTGTGCATTTCCATCAAATGTTTAGCGTCCGTGACTACTTCTGACCCGATTCGAGACCATGGAGCGATGAGTTACCTTCATGCAACCAAGTTTTGACGCTTGCTGCTCTTGCTCGCTATCATCCTCGGGGAGCAAAAAGTGTAGATGGAATCATTCCAATGAGAGCAAGGACCTCCATGACATTCCTGCCGCGAGAATTAAAACACCACATGTGTTTTTCATCATTCGCTTTTCCTCAGGAGCTGGCAGTGTTATTAGGCGATCAGATCTTATCATAAGGCAGCAGCCGTGTAACACTGCTCCTTCAACAGGGAAAGCCCGTCGAAATTTGAAGTGGTTCCGCCGGGTTCTGTGGGACTGGCTGCCGAATAGCACACCGTCACCATGCTGGTAATGTTCCTCCGGTGGAGTAGCAATGTTGTTGGTGCAAGTCGCTCTCTGGTGTTCGAAAACATCGCCGATGTGTCTTCCTTATACTGTAACACAGAACGAGGGGAGGGTCCGAAGGAAAGAATCACAAGGCGGCGCAGACAAGCCAACAAAGTAACTTTCCACTCCCACTCGGCTAAACGCCGCTGCCGGGCATACGCACCCGCCCTTATCTTCTCGCCTAACCCGTCTTAACCTTCAAGTTCTCTTAACATCGGCGTTTCCAGTTCCTACCTTGTTCTCCCACTGCATTGACTTATATGCCCAAGCCCGCTCCATAACGTTCCCCCATACCCCCCCAACAATCCCCCACTATCATTTTCCCATAGCCCATTCAAATCCTCCCTCCCATGGCGTTGACAACCCGGATCTCCCTGACCGGGCCCGAGGCCACCGACCCAGAAGACTACTTCGGCGCCTCGCTGGGCGTCATCTTCCCGGACGACGTGGCCAACCAGCACGGGGACGCCAAGCACGGCCTGCTCTACACCTCGCCGCACCTCCCGCACCCCTTACCGCTCGCCCTCGCCGACGTCCAGGCCGAGACCGACCGCACCCTTTTCAGCCACTACCTGTGGAACTCGTCCCTGCTCCTGGCCGAGCTGATCGAGGCCGGCACGCTCGGGGTCGACCTATCATTAGACTCGAGCATCGCACCGGCTGTTGGCCGGTTCAACGTGGCGGGGCTGAAGACGATCGAGCTGGGGGCTGGCACGGCCCTGCCGTCTATCATGGCCGGGTTGCTGGGTGCGAAGAGGGTCGTGGTGACGGATTACCCGGCGCCGGCGGTCCTGAAGACGCTCAGGGAGAATGTGGCCGCGACGGTGCAGGCCCGGTTTGCTCCGGCGGGGAGGCTTGCCGTGGAGGAGGTGCTGGTCGAGGGCCATGGCTGGGGCGAGCTGGCGATGCCGTTTGCTCGAGGGAACCGGCATGCGTTCGATCGCGTGCTGGCAGCGGACTGTCTGTGGATGCCGTGGCAGCATGACAATCTTCGGCGGTCGATCGCGTGGTTCCTAGGGGAGGATCAAGGGGCGAGGGCGTGGGTGGTCGCTGGGTTCCATACGGGGCGGGCGAAGGTGCGCGGCTTCTTCGAGGAAGAGGCGTTGGCGGCGGTCGGGCTGGAGGTGGAGCATCTCTGGGAACGGGACTGCGATGGGAAAGATCGGCAGTGGGTCTGGGACTCTGGCGTCGAGGATGTAGGCTCGCGGAAGCGGTGGCAGGTCGTGGGTGTGCTGAGGAGGATACGCCAGCGAGCAGGAACGGGAGCGGACTCAGGGGAGAGACCCTGACAGGAGAGCAAGAGGGCAGCAGCATGTTTATATATTCGAAGCTGAGCCCAGGGTGTCGTTCAGCTCTGGCCGTTCCAGGTAAAGCGTTGTGGGTTGGGAGGTGAGCGGTGATCAGCTGAGCTGTGCTCTGAGACTCCGCCTGGACTTGGCTGTCGCTCAACCCATCGTATTCCCGGCACACACACCCTGAAGAAAGGAGGCCATTCAGCTTGCAAGACCGGTGTTGCGTGATTGGATGCCGCCGTATCGCTTGGTTGGTGGAGTTCGGTCCGCACATGGCCACGGGCCAACCCGGCTCCACGCTGACATGCACCATGTGCCGATGTCGAACCCGGCCGAAGTGGGATGAGAGTGCAGAGGACCATGTGAGGTGAGATGCCAGGGACAGCGGCGGTGATACTGTGTAGCGAGTGGCGTTCAGGAATCATTGGTTTATGATTGCGAAATACAATGGACGTATGCACTTGGGATTTGTCCGCCCAAGCCCAATCCAGTGTGGGTGGGTGGGAAGGGTCGCAGCTCCCCGACATGCACCCGGTCGTGCTGCTGACTGTGATCAAACCTCGCCGAGGGAAGCCGAGGGCGCTGGCGAAGGAGACAGGACACTCGCCGGCTGTCGACCTTGGCGGTGCTGGCTTCGGTCACAACGTATGCTGCACTGATGCTACAGGTCGGCAACCTCACTTCTCCATCCGAACCCTGCATGAGTGCCGGCTTCGAGCATCTTCATGCCGGCGGCCATGCAGATTTCCACCACCACGTTGCGCACCGCCTTCACCTGCTCAACCGTTGCGCCACCATTGAGAGCTCCCCTCAGATGCCCCTTGAGCTGGGGGTTCACATCCTGGGGAATCAAGCCGGCGATCATGACAAACGAGGTTTCAGCAGCGCTGAGGACGCTCGTGTTGCTCAAGACGTAGCCGTACATCAGGCGGGCCACCAGACCCAGGTCCTCGGTGCCGGAGCGATCCATTTGGCCCATGACCCTCCTGGTGATTTTGCCGTATACAGCCTCGAAGAAACCCTGGCCCCGCTCCATGATCTCTAGCGTCGGTGTCTCGTAGATCTCCGCCCTGCGCCCCGTGGGGGAAAAGGCTTCAGGCTCATCCAAGAGGTCTTCTGGTGTCACTTTCTTGAGCTCGAGGAGCGCGTTGATCGTCTGGGGCGACATCAGCCGGAGGTGTCCGCCCTTACGAGTTTCGTCCGTCGGGAGGATCAGCAAGTACCCTCGGAACGCCCCCTACTGCGGCTGCCTTGATCAGCGCCTCGCGCATCCGGCGGGAGATGCGGAGCTTTTCATCTGCGCTCGGAGCTGAGTCGGCAGAACCGGCACCGTGTTGCAGAGCATGTAAATAGACTTGACCGATCTCATCCGGCCGGTTTAGCTGGGATAAGGTCGCAGCGGCGATGAGGTACCATGTGTGCCCTGGCAGGCTTGGATGGCTGCGGATGGACGAGAGGAAGGCGGGGGTGATGATGGCCGGGGGAGAGGTCATTTTGAGGCTCGGCACCGGAATGGTTGGGATGATTGCTCAAATATGAAGATATATCATGTACAAGTGCGAAAGGAGAGCATATATCAAAGCAATAGGAATGAAAGTTGGACACATGGGCAGTTTTCCCCTTATCAGAGACCGTTAGACTCCCTCGGTAGAATCTCATTACCTGGTATGTGGTTTGATGCTTCTCCTGTTCCTGTTCTCGGCGTGAGATGGAAGCTGTACGTTCCCCACACAGCACCAATGCCCTGCACCACCTGCCAGTGGCACAGTGCCTCCCCGACAGCAGCCCCACATTTACCACACGTTGCGTCACCCGCTTACATGCTCGATGCTTCCTCGAGTTCCAATAACGTGGCAACAACCGAAACAGGCATCCTGTCAGCTCCATCAACTACCTCTCTAGCCCGCGACGATAAATGCCGCCCGTCAACACCATGGACACTTGAGGCTCCTTTGCGATATCTTGACGTCTGCCAAAAAGCAACAAATTCCACTCAGCCGAGCGACCGACCGATGAAGATGCGGCTCGCGTGGTACGCAGGGGTACGTTTCCCACTATGCAGCTTCCCCTTTGAGGCTCCCCAGGAGCTACTATCCGAGTCGCAACATGACAGCAGCGAAAGCTAACATGCTGCAACCCAGGCCTCTACGGCCCTCGCGGCCGCCGTCGTTGCGTCTGCTTTCTACCAGCGCGCCAATTTCTACTCTGCCATGGTGCATCTCGCCCAAAGTAGCTTGTCCCTGATGGTCAGCATGCCGCTCCCCCCTCACCTCCAGAGCTTGCGCATGACTTCCGACCGCTGACAGTGGGTGTTGCAGGTCCTGGTAAATCTGATGTTCGTCATCTACGGCTCGTTCATGTACGGCCTCCAGCGTCTTTGCTTCGGCCCCCTCCGCCCCACCGAAATTGAGCAGCTCTACGAGAAGGCCTGGTTCGCCGTCACCGAAACCTGTCTGGCCATGACGATATTCCGCGAAGAGGTCGGCGCATTCTTCTTGATCATGTTCACCGCCCTGGTCACGGGCAAGGTTTGGGGCTGGATTGGCGAGGGCCGGGTCGAAGTGCTCGAGCAGCAGCCCCCTGCGAACCCGCGTCTCTTCCACACCCGGCTCGGCATCTCGCTGTTGGTCAGCATCGCCTACGACATATGGCTCCTGAACTATACCGTCAACACGGTAGTGCAGAACGCGAAGCCCACCATGATGGTCATGTTCTTGTTCGAGTTTGCCGTCTTGTTGGTGTCCTCGGTCCATACGGCCTCCCGGTACATCATCTCCCTGGTGGAGCAGCACGTTGTCAAGACGCAAACCCGGCAGCGCTTGGAGGATCGGCGTCGCCGCGTCAGGGAGCAGAGGGCTGAGATTCTACGGAGGAGAGAGGCCGAGGGTGCGACGGATGACGACGAAGAGCTGCCCGACGAGAACGATGTGGATGAGATGGACATTGAGGTGCCCGGCTGGGAAGCAAAAGGCCAATGGGTTCTGTCATTGGACTTGTTCGCAGGTGCGTCTTCCGCATTGCCATGGGGGTTCGGATTGCCGCTGACCGGATCCCAGATTTCATCAAACTTGGGATATACTCGGCCTTTTTCTGCGTCCTCCTTACGTTCTATGGCCTTCCCATCCATATTATGCGCGATTGGTTCATGACTACGAGGTCATTTCTTAAGAGACTCCATGCCCTCATCCGTTACCGCCAGGCCCTGAAGCACATGGATCAGTACCCGGACGCCACGGCCGACGAGCTTGGCCGGGAGGACACCTGCATCATTTGCAGAGAGGAAATGCGGCCCTGGAACCCCACTGACAGCACGCAAGTAGAGCGGAGTCGTGCAAAGAGGCTCCCTTGCGGCCATATCCTGCACTTTGGCTGCCTCAAGAGTTGGCTGGAGCGGCAACAAGTATGTCCGACATGCCGGCGCCCTGTCGCTCGGGACGGACAACAGCCTCCCGCAAACGGCAACGCTGTGGTGTTCCGACTGGGGCTCAATTTCCCTGCGGGTCAAAACCGACAGGCTCAGCCACCGGATAACGCCCAGGGCCCTGGCGCTGGCCAGCCCGCGCAAGGAGGCGCAGCGGCCGACCAAGGAAACAATCAGAATCGCAACGTGAGAATGTTCAACTTAGGGCCCTTAAGACTGGGCTTCGCTCAGGGTGGAGTCGATGAGCTACGGGAGATGGCCCAACGACTGCAGATACCGCCAGATGCTGCGAACCCGCCTGCGCCAACACCGACGATGCCCGCTACACAAGAAAACAACAATGATAACAACAACAACAATAACTCCCCGGTAGCCACTGATCTGGATCAACTCCGGGCTCAGGTCTTGACGCTCGGGCAACAGCTTCGGCAAGAGATGATAAACGTGCAGAACGCGGCGCATGAGCTCAATCTCCTGAGCCTCTTGGTTAACGAGCTGACCCGCCTCCGTCAGTTGCAACAGCAGCCGCGGGGTCAGCAGCCGGCGGTCCAACAACCAGCGCCAGGAGCTATCCATGTGGGACCAGTGCCGATACAGGCACATCCACAGCCGGGCATGATGTATCCGTTCCCAGGCCTGTTCCCCCAGGGTCCGCCTTCCATTCCGCATCTACCTCACCCTATGGCTTCTAGACTCACAAGGCACGTTGGCCCCGGATATGGGGCTGCTATTCCTGCCGGCAGTCCTGACCTACCCGATGGAGTGGTTATCCCTCCGGGATGGTCGCTGCTCCCTCTCCAGCGCCTAGATGGCGACGCACCGCCGGTCGAACCCGCGGGACCTAACTCTCACGGGCCGGCCCAGGACATACTCCGGTCCGTCTTCGCGCAGATGCCAAACCACCCTAGGTCCCGGGGCACTAGCCCCGCGCCTGGGACTGGTCTTTCTGCACAAGTAGGGAGGACTGTCGCACCACCAACAAGCCAAGCCTCGGAACCGGCCCGTGCGGCCGGAATTCATGATGCCACGGCCGCGTTCGATACAACCGGGCGGGGATCCCCGGCCCCACCGCGGCCAATTTCCGGGTTTCTGACGACCGGTTTCGGGATCCCGCTCCAGCCCCCGAGCGGCGAACGAAGCTCAGGACAATCCGGCTCACACCCTGAGATGAACCAGGGTCAACAGGATGAGCCCGGAGAGAGCAGTGGCACGGGCCCAACAGCGGTGAACGGGGTTGCACCAGTCGAAAGCAGCAGGGGCAACCAAGTTACAGAAGCCGAAGTAAACGGCAGCACTAGGGATAGGGGGCCTAGAGCTGTGACAGTCGAGGAGGCGAACGATGACGAGGACGAGCAGTGAGCTAAACCACCGCTGAATGGACTTGTATCTGGAAGAAGAAGCAACTTCAATTGGGAGGCTATCTGTCATGAAGTGAAACAGTGGCGCGATTCTGGCGCAAGGTGTTAGTGTACCGGTGTGTATGCGAACGTTTAAATCAAGTACCAAGGATGTAATCTACACTTAGAATTAATTTCTGGAGCAGTGTTTACAGTTAAGTGCCTTGCAGCCTCAGTTTTCGTGTCAGCCTGGCTTGGTACTACAAGGACTAGTGTCCGGTCATTGCCGATTGGTCCTTCAGTGTGGATGTCTGAGCTGTGCACTTGCATTGCTGATATTCTGCACCCTATACCTTTGGTCTACACACAGGCTGTTTTTGGGATGTGATAGAAACTCGCTCAACTGTCAAGGTTGCTCACGGAGTACTTCCGACACTCATGTGATGCTCTGCCGACATACAAACCAGGGTGCATGTGTCCGTGTCAACGCCTAATGGGCCCATTGTCCTGTCAACCACGCGAATGTTTACTCTGGAATAGGGGTTCGGAAGCGGCCCGTGGTTACTGCTTCTTATCCAAAGCATGCGCCGCGAGTGAGCTACCTAGTGAAGCATAGACGTACCTCGACCATTACGTACCGGGTTCATTACCAGCCGTTGGTAATGAAATCGGATTCGCGATGCACTTTGGGGCAACCCGCCTTCTGTGGGACTCGGGTTACTTACCTTACATGAATAGAACAGACCGACAAGAAAAAGAGGCTAATAAAAGCCGACGCAGCCAAGTCACCGAGGAGGTGACGCCCAATTGCCATCAGGCTTGACCTACTGTGCGGCTGTATGCATCGTGGACGTACAGACCGGGTCATCTGTTTGTCTGGGACCAATATCTCTCTGGGATTTTGCGCCACACTGAAGGCATCAGAGTCGCGTCACTCCGAGGAAACCATATCTCTCTGCATTCTCATCTTGCACCGTGCCACCAATCAAGCCCATACCCAGTTCTTGTATTGGTTACATATTTAGTGACTGGTGAAATGACATCGCATCACGCACGCCCACGTACACCATCATTGACGCATTACTTGTCCCACCCCAGGATAGGCTGCGACAAACGACATTATGCAAAAGTGGTGGAAGGCAGGCAACCAATGAACAGGGAGCCGAATGAACACTGCACTGGACAGCAAGGCTTTGCCTAGTCTCGTCAGAGGCCAGCAGACCAATGTGCCACCCCGTTGTGAATCGGGGCAAGGGGACAAAGGTGGGTGGGAAGGCAGAGAGCGGTGCGTGGACTGTGAAATGACCAGGTATGGTTACACAGATGTACAAAAGTGTCAGAGCCCCTTCGCATTACGTTCGCATCCGGATCCTGCTGACATTGTAATTATAGGTAGCTCAGCAAGTGTGCCAGACCCCAAGCCACAGCAGCAGGGTACAAGTAGGGTAGGGATGTCTGCACATGACAGCATCCCCAAGCAGATCCACGCGGCCCTTTTTTACCTCTGCCGCCTGCTCCCAGGTTTCTCATATAAGGTACTAGTAGTTACCCCACGCATTAAAAAGGCTGCAGCGGATAAGAGCAAACCTGAGGAGAGGTGGATGCCATGGACACGGCAGTTGGCTTGACGGGTAGGGAAGGGATAGAGCCCCAGCCGCGCGCCTCATTTCCTGCACTTCCTCCCGTGTGTCTGACATCCCTCTCGCAAATGAATGCATTATCAATGACGATGTGTAAAAGGATCGTTACACGTATCGTACATACCAAATACCAGACACTGGAAAATGGGAAATACAAGAGCGCAATGAAGTGGAAGTGATGAAACCCACCGGAAGGTGTATCCCATTACCACGTAAGCACCAAACAAGAGAGGTACCAAGCAAATATGTGTTTACCGCAACAACCGCAAGCCCATCCTGACTCCCGTGGTATCTCAGTAGTACTTCTGACATAAAAGAACAGCGCTCACCCCTTTTAAGAATCCAGCCCTGATTGCTGTGACCTGTTGATGTTGCCGAAAGTTGGCAACGGGACACATACGCAATATTGAGCCCCAGAAGCAGAGCGCTAACAGAAAGTAAAGGGGGCAAAAATATAGGAAAGGAGAAAAACGGCTGCGCTCACAGACCTCGGATAATTCTGCTTTTCCCCCTGCGTTGCCACGCATAGACCCAAGCCTTAAATAGAAAGGGACATACCAAACCCCAATGCAATTTCCCATGCCCTCGCTCATCCAAGCAGTAGAGATTGAAATGGGATGGGAAGGGGCGGCAATAGGCGAGATAAAGAGAATCTAGTGTAAGAAAACGGCCAGGCGGTGATCGAGAAAGAAACAATGAGAGCAACAGTGAGGTGTGAGGCGGGCATCGCAACCCCGACAGCGCAGTCTCAGCCGCCTTCCTGGGCCCTCTCATCCCACACTACGAACTGACCTCGCCTTCCCATCTTTCACCATACCCTGTATTCTCCCAGGGTACCGTTCCCCTTGTTCACTCCTGGCCCTTCTCTCCCCCTCAATGACCGAACCCTCCCTCGATCCGGTCATACTCCTCCCATCCCCGCCAGTGTTGCTTCCAAACGCCGGCGGCACCCGCATGAGCACTTCGCCATACTCATCTCGAGGACTCCCCGGGCCCTCGAACCAGTCGAGCTCCATGGTTGCTGCCTCATCCAGCCGCCACCAGTACAGCACCTCCTCCTGCCACCGCCTCAGATTCACCACCTTGAACTCCCCCTCGCACACAGCCAGCATGAGCTCGGCCTCTACCGGGGACGTGCGCAGCCGGTGGATCAGCCACTGGTTGATGTAGTCCAGCGTGTTCTCGGCCTTAATCATGAGCATGCTGATCCCGAGTTCCTTCATGCACTCTGCGCGGCGCAACGCGCTGGTGGAGTCATCTTTGGGGAGCTTCAGGGCCTGTTCGAGCGCCTCACGCGGTGTAAGTAGGCTCAGGACATGGGCTGGGTTCGAGAGGAGAATAGGGAAGCGCGGGTGCGCGAGGGAGGGCACGCCACGATTGGCGTGGGAGGGCTTGGCGGGCGGATTGATGGACATGTTGCCGTCCAAGGGAGGCGGGGACCAGTCGGCGCTGCCGGAATAGATGGCCCGTTCTTCGTTGTACGAGGCATGCTTGCGCATGACACCCTTCTTGAGACAGAGCGTGCGGAGGTGGGAGAGTGCCTCAGTGGCGGCGTCAAGCTCTTCGCGAGCGCGCGTCGAAGCAATCCCGTAGTTGCGGAGGAAATCGAGCTCGTCGTCGCTGATGGGGATGCCGAAGCGGTCTTCGAATTCGTCGGCGTCGGTAGGGACCCTTGCGAGGGCGCATCGCAGAGCGTGTAGTTCTTCCTCGCTGATCTGGTTGCCTTGATCCTCACGCACACGCTTGCGGTGCAGATCAAGCTCGAGACTGTATAGTATCTGGTCGCGGCGCATATCGAGATCCTCTACGTACTCCTCGGCGAGCTGGCGTTCCCCGGCAGCTTCTAACAGCTCCTGGTACAAGGGATGAATGTCTTCGTGGCGGTCACCAGATATGCCTAGGAGAGTAACGGGTGTCGACGGTGCAGAGTCAACAGGATCATCGGCCTCATCCTTTGCCTTCTCCGCTAATCTGCCCGGGACATTTATTGGGGGCGGGGGCGGTGGCGGAGGAAACGGACCCTGAGGGCCCATATTTACCCAATTTCGGGAGATGCGAGATAGATCGACTTGCAGCATGCGGAGCTCAACTTCCTCGTTATCTAGCTCCAACTCCATGGCCTCGTATGCGGATTCGGCGGTATAATATTCCTCCCGGATGCTTTGCAGTTCACGAAGCTTATCTTCCATAAGATCGGTGGGGATGGCGACCACCGGGCTCTTGTGCGTCAGGTAGGGTCGGAAGATTTGCGTGAAGGCATTGTCCTTGTCACCCATCCGGTGCCTGAGTTCCTGCAATTCCCTTCGCTTGGTGGCCATTCCGTGCCTCAACTGCCAAATTCTTAGTTGTTTGTGTTCGAGCATCTCCTGGAGTTCGTGGCGCGGCCCGCCGTCGCCGGAGATGCTTCTTGAGGCGGCATCGGAGTCCTCAGACACTGATTCCGAAGAAGCCAAGCCTGCGTTCCTAACAGGATAAACTGGGGGTGGTCCGCCGGCATGCCCAACAGGTAGGTGCCATGGCGGCGGTGGTGGACGAAAGCCGGGAGTGCCGCGAGGATAAGGCAGCTGTGGTGGTGGGACAGGAGGGAAACGTCTCACATCCGCGACTGGTGGCGAGTAGTATTCGTCACCGGAACTGGTGTCGGACCCTTCCCCCGACCAGGGAACTGAAGGCTCCTTGGACAGAGCGACGGAACTGTGCGCCGTGTCCTTGCGACTATAGAATCGGTCTACGGGCAACTCGTCCCCCTCGCAGAAGTGGCCAACTTCGACTGCCCACGAAGGGGTTTGGCCCACATCTCGCTTGCGGACCTGGAACCTCGTCAGCTCAGTCCGGACGGCAGAGGCCGGGAATGTTCAGTCTTGCCATTTGGCGTGGTGGACTTAAAGTCGCAGCGTGGTCATGATCGGAGCCGTTGCCGTGGGCGGATGGACTACGCGACGTGGGCGGCTCTGGGATGGTCGTGGACGCCATACGGATGGAAGCAACGCGTCCACTCTCGGGCAGCTCTCCCGACAGCCCGTGCCATCGAGAGCTGCGCGAGGACGAGGGGCGCTGCGAGTGCGCATGCGAAACTGGCCGGTCAAGCGCGACGGAAACCACGCGAGTCTCGATATCTAGGGTAGTGTGAACGCGCTGCAGGTGCAAAAAGCCGGCCGCGTGGGCGCGCACTGCGTTATTGCCAGGGGTACAAAGGTAGCTTGTGAAGCTTGGATAAGGCGAACCTGGAAGGGATGAAGTGGTGCCCAGTCAAATACAGATACGTCGCGGGGATGTAAGTTACTGTACGGATTGCCTGAAATACTTACACGACCGGACGTATGATACCAGTATTTTCGCGTGGCGTTATGTTACCTGTATCTCTTCGTACTTTGTCCAATCTCCTCGCCTTGAAGTTCTGTTCTGCAGTTACCTAAGGTACCTTACCTTGTATGCTATGCTGCAGCGTTGCGGTAAACGGACGGGGTTTTGCTAATAGCTACTAGCAACGAGCTCCCATTGCGATCGTCAACTCTAAGTGTATGGTGCAGCACTTGGGCAAGAGTGTTCTTAACCCACAAGTAGCGTATTACGTACTGAGTTCCAACAGTTCTAGTAACGTCTGGGTTAGGTGTTCAACAGGGGTAACTAAGGTACATTAGTTAGTCGGGTTCTGGCTAACGTTACTTGGGGTAGATTGGGGGCGATTGTGCGGTTTGAATCCTACGGACCACGCTGAAATCATCATGGTGTCCAATGGCTACCCGACACCTCAGTAATAAGTAATGCGTGTATGCGGCTGTAGTGTAAGTATGTACTGCGTACAACGGCGCTTACAACACGTGGTTCTCACAGTTGCTGCGATATGTGTTTCCGCCGGGTTCAGTTTGCTATGAAGATGCCGGCCGGGCGTAGGTACGGAATATTGTGGAGATTCCAGTGCGGCACGAACCTCGTCAGCAACCTTCCCATACTTCCGCCTGGAGCTTCATCCCGGACGCATTTTAACCCCACAAACTGGCCCACAAACTGATGAACTGTGAGACGTGACTGCCTCCTGATACTGTGGGGCACATGAGAGACGCATGCAGTCGGCTGATTCGGGGAACTGTATTTTGGCCTGGACTGGACGTCTCAAGCGGCCCGCGACGGCAACGTCTCCGCGAACGGGTTTTCAGCCATTTGCCTTGCGGCTCCCCACTGCGAATCCATCATGGCGGCCTATTGCGGCTTTCGACTGGCTGCTGCCCCTCCCGGTCGATCCACGCACAGAGGACCGGACATTGGACCGAACCCATCGAGGTGCGACCATCCCACGAGCGGGATGAGCAACACTCGGGGTGACAAGTGTCGGCCAAGCCATAGATAAGAGGACGAGAGGCAGCCACTTGCTTTCCGGAGAAAGCCAGAGTTGCAGGGCCCCGGCTTCCGGCTCATGTGTTGTCTACCTCCGGCAGAGGACCTCCTTTCGTCTGGCTAGGTAGGTAGCTCATCCGCCGCTGTCCTGCGTCCTCCTACCTACCCGACTCTGTACTTACCTGCCTAGGTATCCGTACATACTTGGCTTTTCCCAGCACCCGGAAACAGACCGGCAGCCAGACGCCATCCGTGCGACCACGCCATTCAGCCGGCGACAACGCTCGGTTGACACTGCGAATGAGGGGCCGAACCCTGTGTCACGAGCATCCCCGCACCAACCAGGGCTGCATATTAATCTATACACAGCAGTGCCAGCACGTAGCAAATAGCGTCAGATCCCGCAACCCGCGCCCGCTAGCCACCGGTCGGTGCCTCAGCTACTACTGAACTGCTGGTACGGACACTGGGTGCGGCTCTGCTAAGCTCCGGGCCTTTATTATCTTGGGAAGTCGGCTGCTTGGAACGCTCCCTCCCAACGTCGCCCTCTCGCCGCTGCTCTGGATTCTGCGGTGGGACTGCTGCTGCTTGCCGCAAGCGGGTCAACAGGCTTGTTGTGCCTCGATCCATATTCCACTGGCGTGAACTGGGGCCTGCCCTTTGCTGTCTAATGCCGCCCCGTCCACTGTCGAGAGTCCCACACTGCACACTATCTGACAACGTGCAACGCCCTTGTCCCGCCCAAGAAATGACAACCGGCCATGGATCAGGGTAGACGAAATCGATGGGGCCCATGGACCGATTGGACTTGGGACGGTGAACAAGCCCGCTACTGGAGGGCAAGACAGGACACCCAAGGTGTGTAGTTCTTCCAATTGTCCAAACTGAGGGCGCCCTTGGACCAGTCACTGAGCACCGTTTGTGTCCTAGGCAACTTCGACTACGACTTCTACGATCCCAATGCTCCAGGACCCGCGACAACACCGGGGGTAGCGCCGGAGGCTGGTGATCCTCGCACTCCTGCCGATGATCTCGTCGGTGGCATGCACAGGCTCGACCTAGGCGGCCAAAATGCGCAGTACACCCACGAGGGCGCGTATACCTACGTTGGTGCTCAGATTGGTGCCGGAACTGATGCTTCGGGCGGTCTGTACGGCACAACTCCAGTCTCACCTCATGCTGCCTCCTCGGCGAAGGGCACTGCTAGACCCTTCGAAGCATTTGCCAAGTCCAAGTCAAAGCATTCCAGGCACCAACGAGAGAGGGAGAGGGAAACGGGCAAAGAGAAAGCCTCTTCGTCCAAAATACTCCAACCCAGGCAGGGGAAAGGTGACAGCCAGCCCCCGGATCCCGCTGCCGGTCAGTTCGACGACTTAGAAGCCTTTTACCCGAACCCTGTCGCTCCACCAGGTACCAGTCCCGACCACGGCGGCGCTTCTTTTGCCGACCACGCGGGAACTCCGGTTCACCGTGCTTCCGAAGCTGATTCACCCGACCCAGCGGAGTATTCCCATTCTCGGCATGCACAAGAAGATCGGTTAGCGAGGGAGACTACGTCTAGTCACTACTCAACTGGAGGTAAGTAGTCATTTGTTGTGCCCTGGGGCTTATGTTGCTGATTTGGTGTGTTCTGGCTGCGAAGAGTCCCTCTATCAAGCTTCATCCAGTGATCAACTCGATGATGTTGCATCCCGAGCCGATCCCTACCTGACCGGAGCGCCCGGTCCTTTCTACTCAGGCGGGGAGCCATCGTCTATCGCGACGGCCGATAATTATTCGAACCCGGCATTTGAGCCCGGCGACGGCCGAGCAACACCGAAGCCGACCGCCCAGCCCTCAATGGCCCCCGCGATGGTCAATGACTATCAATATCAAGCTAATGGTTCCTGGAGTTACGGCGGATCACGGGAACCCACCAACAACGAGGGTGAGTGACTCCAAATAGTGATGATGGGCGCAGTATTCTGAATCAATCGTCTAGTATTCACCCTTGAACACTCTTCACGCTTTCGACCTGGCGAGGTGAGTCCACCGGTCTGCTGTGAAGAGTAAATGGCCTAACGCGCACTGCTCCAGGTGTTCAAGATCATGTGGTGCGAGCCTCTTGGCGCTACCGGCAGCCGCAGGAGCGAGATCATAACAAACCAGGTTCAACTGAGCGTCGAGGGGAGGCAGTTCTACCAGGGCCTTCGACGGTTCATCATAGTAGCTAACGATGAGGGACACTGTACCTGCGTGTGAGCATCCTCTGTTTTGACACAGTCACTAGTAGCCTCCCGGCTGATTTGAAACTCCCAGGCCTATCTTGACATATGAGCGCCAGGCATGCACCAAAAGGGGTGTCAAACCCCTGAAGCACGGGATCGTGTACCAGACTGGAAAGAAGCCTCGTCTTGTCAATAATGAACCTCCGTTGGGATTTCCCCCGGTAAGGGTCGATCTCTACGAGAGAACCGAACAATTGGTCAAGGAATCTCGCGTCAATTACGCCAAGCTCACGACGGTCGAGCACAACTTCAAGGTCTTCTTCATCGGCCGCGTCGCGCCGGAGGATTTTGGCAAAGTGGTCGCTGCCGTCGACGAATGCTGGGAGAGGAAAAGGCGACGCAACAACAACTAATCTTGGTCCGACTCGGTGGTCGGCCAGTCAGTGCTTGTCGCCGAGCGCCATCGCAATATGGCACCTGAACGTTTTATTTCTTTTGCTGTTAGCAGGGTGTTGGCCTGCGCCACCTGCGGGTTGGCCGATCATGTCTCAAATTGTATACGTTTGATAGTTTGGGCGCGTCTTTACCACCTTCTGGACATGGCCCATCACTGGGTCTCCCTTAGCGGTTGCAGAGGCGGGGCCCTAAGATCTATGGTTTCCTAGGAGGACATTTACGCACTCTGGGTATTACGTTTCGTTTCTGTCTTGGCTGTTTCTATCTCCGGTTGGCGATCGACATTGGGTATTGGGTGTTTCAACCTTCGATGTAGCGTTGAGACCCGAGTTGGATTTTGTTTTCTTTAGTGGCTCACTCGCAGTTCACGTTTCGCGCTTGCCTATGCAGGTCTTCATCTATCTCACATTTCACGAACGTTATGACTATCTTTGACACGGACTTTATGATCTCAACGATAATGCCAGGCAGATGTACAGAACATTCTCACTCCGAAGTGAGAACTAGGGTTAGAAGGAACTATCCCTGGGATAACCTCTCGTCTATCAATGGCGGAATACCGTGCGTCCTTGATGTTCCATGCTAGGCTAGAATCCCTCTAGTAGTTGCGTGTGTTGACCCTACTTCTGGACGATGCTCTGGTCAAAGGGCCTCCATGTGTAGCCGGAGACAATGCGCTTGATTATCGCCGAACTGAGACGAGAATGGCGCCTATGAGTTCTCTACTGTATGACCATGTGAACCTAAGTCCTAGCCTGAATCCAGAACCAAACCGGGTTCGATACAGAGTAGATATAACGAGCGGAGTAAGGATATCACGCCGTTACACAATTGAAGGTCAAATTACTACTTCGTAGTACGGTATCTGTGGTGTTTAGATTCTCTCTTGTTAACGGCCAAAATGATATTGCTCTCGGGCCCACCCGGTAATGGAATGTGCGTGTAATCCTCTAGTAGGTTTAGGGAAAAAGTAATAACATCGCCAGCCCCTCCTTTTGCTATTTCAGCGGTCTTGTCGATGTTGAATGGTTTGAAACCCGACAAAACAGATGGATTAGATGTGGCCAAACATAAGTGGCCGTCGCGGCGAAACATGCTCCCGTCTCTGAAACTCGTCCAGCCGCAGGGCGAAGCTGATCAGCCCCACCGATTCTAGCACCGACCCACCAACGGGCGGCACTGCTTCGCATCGAACGCATCCAGAAGGTGGAGCGTAGGCTGACGCAAGAAACGCAAGGTACGATATCTAACTTAGCGATGGCAGCTGAGACTTGGTTGTTCCTCTTTATACGGAAGATATCCAGTGGTAACAATACATGTCGAGACCAACCGTTGTCATGATCGAATTAGTACGGAGTATTAGGTTCAGGTTTTTATCACTGCGGCCAGAGACCGCCGAGGGCACCCTGGCCAGGGCCGGATGTCCACAAGGGTCGAGAGACATCCAACCGGGCGGCCTTCCTTTGCCAAGAACCAGTACTTCCCCGCCACCTGATAGCGTCCAATCGAGGCAACGGCCTCTTCGTGCTGAGGTGCTGTTAGCATGGCAACGCCTGTTGCTTGCGGTCAAACACCCTCGAGCCAACGCATTGTCAACAAGACCTGGACCAACTTGGTAATCGTCTTCCTTCTGATACTCTCCATAGTTATCCGTCATCCTGCCTTTAATTGCCTTGAGCAGACCTGTCTGTGTACATTCTGTACACTAAGGGTTTTGATATTTCGTTTCCATCCCATCTTCGTCTCCATCCTGCTTGCGCACCTTGACAAGCAGGCGATGCGTTCGTTTCGTTGCTATTTCCTTGCTTTCGTCATATAGTTAACCTAACTCTCTTGGCAACTCTCCCCGCTGGCGTGACACACCAACGTCCTGATCGCCCACCTGACGTCTCTAACACGCGGGACCTGCATGGTCTCACGAAGGAGCAACGAACCAAGCACAATAGCGATTCTTTCCCAGCGACTCGCTCGAGCATTTCCCTGCGGCTACTGCGACTCGCCGTTTTATTGTTCGTTCAACCCGAATTGAACTGCTTCCAGCCGACACCGTTTGCTGAAACGCCCCTGGGACAACGGTCCTCGACAACACCCCGGGGAGGTTTGCACGTTCCTGGCAGCGAAGGCGAAGGAACTTGCCTGGGACTATCTCTGGTGATCGCACGAACGCTCGCTGCCCGGTGGCAGCCGAATCCCCCGGTCGACCGCATCCGGAGATCGAAGTGCGACAACGGTTTCTGATCCGATCGATTTCTCCCCTTCAAAATGGTCAACAACAGCCCTGGGCTGAATGGCATCGTCATCGGCCTGTTGTCATCCTTTGGGTCGGCCATCCTGATCCTTTGCATTTTCCTGGCATTCTATTTCTTTAGGTTCACAGCGTCCGGACGCATATTTCTCGACCGTATCGGTCGGCCGGGCGAATACGATGACGAGCAAGAGTTTGCGCGCGAGGAGGCGGAGGCCTTGGAGACGATGGATGACTTGCAAAGGACCGAGTATCTAAGAGCCAAAGGTTGGTCTCTTTTGTTCCCGCTCTATTTTGCCGTGAGCGGATGCTGACTTGCGTTGGGCGCAGCTTTCATTGCTGCGAATCCCCCAGAGTCGGTACAAACCGATATTTCGCTATCTCAATATCTGGCCATCCAAGAGAAAGGCGTATCGGCCTGGGAGTTTGAACCAGAGTTGGAAATCGCCAACTGCTTCGTCGAAGCCCGGACCGAGATTGAGTTCTTCGATTCCGAGTGCACTGTCTTAACCAACCTGCCCGTCCCAAAGCAAAACGACGTTTATTACTGGGAAGTGAAGATCTATGATAAGCCCGAGAATACACTCATAAGCATAGGCATGGCCACCAAGCCGTATCCCTTGTTCAGGTTGCCGGGTAAGGCTTTATCGTTGCCGGGAGTGGTGGAACATCCAGAGACTGACAACAAACAGGTTTCCACAAGTTCTCGGTCGCCTATCTCTCCAACGGTACACGTCGCTATAACCAGCCCTTTATGGCTACTCCCTATGGCCCTCCCATCGTGCAGGGCGATGTCATCGGCGTCGGCTACCGGCCCCGAACGGGAACAATATTTTTCACGCGGAATGGCAAGAAGTTGGAGGATGTGGTTCATGGGTTAAAGTCGCAGAACTTTTTCCCGGCAGTCGGCGCGGCGGGCCCGTGTGTGGTTCACGTCAATCTCGGGCAGGCTGGTTACGTCTACATCGAGGCCAACGTGAAGAAGTGGGGTCTCGCTCCTATGACCGGCTCTCTGGCGCCACCACCACCCTACGGCGTCGAAGCAGATACCGTTCTCCTTGAGACAGGAAATAAGGACGGCTTCAGCTCACAGCTTCGAGGACACCGATACAGCAACTCCGCTCAGCTACCCACGCAAGGGCCAAACGTTCCGGATACTGGCCACGCCCGCTCAAGATCGGGCAACTTCCGCGTTTTTCCACCTACCAGTCCAGGTCCTCTCCGCAGTCCGACGGATATTTCCCTCGCGCACCTGATACCGACAGATGACGGCGGGGAACCTAGCAACAGTGCTGCAGCGCTCGTACATCCAGGCCAAAACCCCAACCACCCAGCAGTCGTCGGCCTCGGTCTGGTCGGTATCCAGAACCAGCCGCCCCCCGAGTACACCAGTCCCGAGCACTCCGACTCGGAAGAAACAAGCAGCAGCAGAAGTAGCTCCGACAGCGACAACGCACCCTTGATCCGTCTCACGAGGAGCCGTGGCGCGTCGCTGGCTACCGTAAGGGGGGTCAATAACGCATCCGCACCGCCTGCCGCGCGGGAACCGCCTAGCCCGCCGATCCCCACATACCAAGACGCTATCCGGCAGGGCGCAGGGCGGCACAGGAGTGATAGTGCAAGGAGTGCGGGGACTGCGAGGCGAGAGAGGTGATGCGCGGTCCATAAGCGGGCCCCATGTCGTTTTCTTTTTGCCAGTGGTGAACTGGAATTATACCCCTGGGACTGGCTGGGCTGTCTCCGATGGAAGTTTACGCGGTTTCGGTTGGTTGGCTGGCTGGTCGGTTGGTTCTACCAGGCAGGAGAGGCACTGGCGTTGAAATCGTGATTGGACCTCAGGATTGGGGAAGCAGAACGCATCAAAGACATCTTCTGAGCTCCGCGTTGTTCCTCGAGGTTGACTTGCCTAGAGTTGCTTAAGCGTTGAGAGGGGGTTGCGGCGAATGGAGTTACCTATACAATCGTGGAGGCTTACTGGTTCAATCGTCATAGCATGGAATGGATAGTATCATATACCAAAGGAAGCACAGCTCTACGAGATGATCGGAGCAGGGTTGTATGAGCCTAAGTACCTACCTTAGATTGCCTACATTCAGGCCTGTGATGATGGTTTTGCTAGCATTGTCCTGCTGCTTTGCGCCTGGACAACTTTAGGCTTGTGAGATACCACAACCCTATCGGTTGAGGCAAAAGCGAAGCTCAATCTTTCCAAGGGTATTATTATTAGTATCAACGCATAGTGGCCAACTCTTAGTATACTGGGTCTTCGATTACAGGAATGACAAGAACGTAGAAGGAGATGAGGAGATAGGAAGAAGTGCTCTAAATCTACGTATCTACCGCTGTCCCACATTACACTTTCTAATCCCCATGGGCTGGAGCTGTGTCCACCACACATACATCGCTCTCGGAACGCTCTCTGCGTGTATTAAGCATGCACTGGAGATGAGACGTCTCTCGCAGCTGGGCTGTAGTACCGCCGAGCGTGTGCGGAGAGCCCTAGGCATGATGGTGCAGTTGTTTGATTCTTGTTCTTACTATTGCTGCCTCCTCCCTTACTTAGACCAATCAGTCTCTCTCTCTCTCTTCCTCTTCCTCTTCCTCTTCCTCTTCCTCTTCCTCTTCCTCTTCCTCTTCCTCTTCCTCTTCCTCTTCCTCTTCCTCTTCCTCTTCCTCTTCCTCTTCCTCTTCCTCTCCCTTCTCACCGTATGGATCTCTCTATCTCTCGCTCCCCCCTTCGCTTCTTTTCACGCCACTTGATTCCAATGGACCATGGAGGGAGCAGTGCTGTAGTCAGTCTCCTAAGCCCCAGGCCAGTCATCCCAACAGTGAGCTGTCACCGTGTACCTTGACTACAGTATCTTCTTCCCAACACGCCATCATCAGGAAATTGGATTCACAATATACAGGTAATTCGGGACTCCGTGACTGCATGAGACCCGTCGGGAAAACGGTCAATTATCCACAAAGACAGCCAACTCAGATACTAGCACTCTTCCTTTCTTGTACATACAATTAGGATTACCTCCCACCCACGAGTCGCCACCAAGGGCTTCCTCGCACACCATTACTTCCCCCCCCACAATGTGGCAAGCACAACGAGGTGCGACAGGATACGTGTACAGCCCTATGAACGCCGCCCAATGCAACCAGATAACACCATTCCAAAAGTCCAAATCCACGCTTTTTGTTCCCAACGTTGGCTGGACATGTGTCAAAACAGCCTTCCCACACCTCCGAAATCCTTAACAAAATCCAAAAAAGCCCGCCTAACCAAAAACAACAGCCGCTATGCAGTTGGGTATCGTGATCATCCGGTGTCTGTGTCCATAAGGAGTGAATTCTATGCCGATGAATGCCTTCATCATGATGCAGTGTCGTCAAAAGGAGCGTCTATGTGGGGTATAAAACCGTTCGATCCGCCAAAATGCAAAAGGAAAGTCTATAGTTTGTTTTGAGTGGACCAGCCGGTATAGAAGGAGCGTCATAAGTTGGTATCTTCGAATGCTTTGTTGACAAAGGAGCGTCGTTGCAATAAATGCAATATTAGGGGCGAGATCGTCGCAGTCGTAAAGGAGCGTAATACGGCACAATAAAGCCGTGGAGTAGCTGCCGCCGACTCGGAGGTGTATGTGATCGCCGGAAGGAGGGTGCTGTACATTTGCGTCTGTGTTGAGGTATGGAAAGAAGCAGCTCGGATGCTGCACGAAAACGAAAGAGAAATGTCGTTAAGGTTCATAAACCAGCAGAGGCGAAGAAGAGGTGGCGCCGCTAGGTGTCTTTCCCCTTTCCCTTGTCCTGGGCAGTTGGGGGAGCAGGGAGTACCGGTTCCAAAGGCACGCTGTTCCCTTCCTGGGTCTCCGATGGGAAGAGTTGGGGCCGCGGCGACTCGGGAACGGGGCCCAGAGTCTGCTCAGAGCTCAAGAAGGGTGAAGGTGCAAAGGTTGGGTGGTGTTGACTTGGCAGCCAGCAGTAAACATCCTCAGAAGGTGGGTAGTCCGGAGTGGTGCTCAAATAGGAAGGCCTGGTCGTCATGGTTAATCATGTTTGCCCTTTGCGCATGCCGGGGAAGCGGCCCTTGGTGCAGCCTGGATCAGGTCCACACGGTCTGGATTGGAGGAACGAACCCGACGCCATAAGTGTTGGCACCGCCCAGCATAGGTGAGGTGGCCGTGTAACCGACGCCATAGGGGACCGAGTCCTCTGCGTCGCTGTAGACGATCGGAGATGCGTCACCAAAGTCACCGTAGGTGCTCGAGGCAGGACTGTAACCCCCGTACGACGGACTGGGGATGTTCAGGTACTGCGGGTTGACATACGGCGACGACAGCTGGAGCGGGCTGACGGCGGTGTTCGGGCCAGACTCCGGAATGACGGACAGATCCTCAGTGCTGTAGCTGAAGGCCACGTTCTCCCCGTATGGCAAGAACTCGGAAGACAGATTTTCCGCCATCATCAGCGGCGAGCCTTCGTTCATGTAGAAATCGGGCGTATCGAACTGCGGGAACGACGGCGTGCGCACCGGCTGGACCCATCCCATCCGCGAGCGGAATTCATTGACCGTCTCGATGGGGAACTCCATCAAATTGAGCGGCGTCTGGAGGTCTCCGTCGAGGTGTCCAGAATTGCGGATCGCATACAGACGGCGGGCAATCTCCTCAACCGGCCCAATGGTCATGCTTCCAAAATAGGCAGCGCCGATCTCGGGGAACAGGCGTTCCATCAACAGGGCAGCCGTGTAGTAGTGGGCGATCACGACCAGGGCATTTGGCGATGCACCATTCCGCTGCAGGTACATGACGGGCAGCCAAAAGAGCCAGGTGCGCAGCGGCTTCAGACGGTCGAACTGCTGACTCACCGCCAGCGAGGACGTGACCTTACGGGAGCCCTTCAAGAAGCTAATGAGCTGGCTCACCGGCTTCGTGTCTTCGCGGCTCTTCTTGAGGAAGGACTCCAGCTTCTGGAGCTGCTGCAGGGCACGCTGGAAGGCCTCCAGATCGTCCTCGCGGGGCTGGGCCGGCCGATGGTCCGGAGTGGGCGAAGGCGGAGCAGTCGGGAAGGTGCTGCTCTCGGCGATGAACTCCCCAAACTGAGATTCATGTTTCCAGGGATCCATGGCCTCGATGACCTTTTTTGTCATATGTATTAGTGTGCGTTACCCGGGCAGCCTTCACTCCACTCGACACGAGACTTACAGATGAGGTTCCCTGCATGAGCTGGGTCCAGCTCCGCCTGCGAAGCGCGTTAGTATCCCCGGTCAGTGCAGCTCGGATAGGTGCATTGTATTGCTTACCAATCTGTGGCTTGCCAGGAGAGAACCAGAGACGCGGCGAGGATGGCGTCCGAGGTTTCCCGAGAGAAGGCGCCGATGGCTTCCTGGAGGCCCTTCAGGGCAATGCCGCGATGCTCGTAAGCCATGCTTCCGACGGTTGGACAGCCGGTCAGGTACGCGAGATGCATCGCTGAAAACGCGAGCAACGCATGCAACACATAGCGGTGGGTCGCGCCGATCCTGATGATGCTGGAAAAGGCGTCAGTACAACAGCCGCGTTCCCCTCGTGTCACAGAGCGGAGGCCTACGTAGGGATCTGCCGCGTCCAGAGGGTGAACTCGTTGGCATCGAGTTCCTGCATCTGGTGGCTGATGGAGGCAACATGGTGGATCAACCTCAGCTCTTCGAGCGTCATGAACTCGGGCGCGGGTGCTGGGTAGACGCCCAGACTGGGGAACGGGAACATTCCGGTGCGGCGCCACTGCTCGATGGTAGCCTCGATTTCAGGTGTCCACATAAGGTCGGCCTTGTCGGGCGAGCCAGCCCTGTCCTCGGGAACGGGGACGTCATTGTACGGGCAGCGGATCTTGTGCTTGGTGCAGTTGCGGCACTGGGGAAAGTTCTCATCACACCTGATATGGCGACGCTTGCTGAGGGCTAGCAGTTAGAACACTGGAAATGAAGAACCTTTTGGTGGTCAGAGCTTTTTCCGTGAACCTACCAGGTGTCACATCCCTTTCGGGACTTGGTGTGGCTACGAGGTTGTTAGCATAAGGGAATCGAGCCGGGAGAAAAGGTGTGATATGATAAAGACTGCTTACCTCCGACGAGGGGGACCACCACCGGGACCAGCCATTATTACGAATAGGTTAGGTAGAAATAAGATTAACGAAAGGACTAGACAATGGGTCAACAATTGGAATCGAGCTGCTTAAAGTAGGGCTCAACAATGCTCACATAAAGTAAACACACGACGTGCCCTGGGGCGCCGCGGGATAGCGAACGGGGTGAGCTGCGGTAAGGGGAAGTGCGCAAAGATCGACGACTGCACGGCACAAGGCGGCAGCAGATGCTAGGCGTAACGAGAGATGCCGAGTCGGCCACGGCACAGGAGTAGCGGTGTTCGACGCGAGAGGTCTAGATCGCGTGGGTGCGATTCGGATGCTCGCTCGTTCTCAGGTCTCAACCGCTTCCGTCTCGGTCCAGAGCTCTTTCCTTCCCCTTTCCTGACAGTAGCGATCGTGGAATACTTCTTGCGTTCGGGAGAGATACAAGAAACTTGAGCGATAGTGCGGGTATGGTAGCGAGTGTGCTAGGCCTTGCAGATTGGCATCTACGTCCTGAACGTGTCGAGGGTGCAGATGGTGTTTATGAGCTTCTCACTGAAAGGCGGTGGGAGCGATGAGGTTCGGGATTTGCGGGTTTTCGTCTCGAGTACTCTCCAAACACACAAAGAAAAAAAAATAAGAAACAAGCGAATGACAGGAGTCGACGAGGACTTCCTTGGGTGGGTTGCTTAAAGCGAACGTGAGGTGGTTTGAGGTACAGCGGCGGGGCTGGATGGCGTTGATGATGTATCTGAGAGATCGAGAGGAGGGATGGATGGGCCCGTTGGGGGACCTCACAGTTAAATAGCGAGCAAGCGCGCTGAGTGGTGGGATGGATGGCACCATGGGCCCATGGCGCCAGGAAGCAAGTGGCTGCAGCGCAGAGCACCGACAGCTCCCACCGCTCCCCACCTGTGCGCGGCATGGAACCCAACCTGGAAGGGCCAAGGGCGCGCATCTGGCATCTGCCCCATCGGGAAACGAGGGCGGCCAAGCCTCGCGCTCTGCTCGTTTGTTGACGGTGGACAGTGGACACACCATGTGCTGGCGGCCCACAACGGGGCGCTTCCCAGCCCATGCCTGAATTGGTTAGAGCACCCACAGAATATCCATGGATGTAAAGAAGGAAAGCCGACCACCCAGCAAGCCCAGCATCGCCCTTTGCGCTTTGGTTTGTCAGTTTGCGTGATGGGCCTTGAGCCTGAGCCCTGAGCCCTGAGCCCTGAGCCCTGGTGAATTCCTAGATGCTTGTACCTAACAACCAGGCTCGGTACTGCAGGGCCTCTGGGACGACGGGCCCGCGACGAAGTGGGTTTGGACGCCTGCCCGCCGCGCTGGCGGAGAATAAAGAAGACCAAGCTCAGATGAATGGCAGTGGCACAGCGGCACAGAGCGGGATGGACAAGACAGCTTAGCCTAGTTCGGACGACCCCTCGTCATCACATCAAACGGCTCGATTCTACGCTGCCATTCGGACGGCTTGATGAAGATGCTCTGCCATACACAGTAGTATTGTTCTTCGCTCTAGCTGAGTCCCATGCAGGATCTGCCTCAGGTCCCGTCGTTGCACTGTGCTTTGTTGCTCTGCGCCCTGATGCCCAGTTCATGTGCGTGCTGGCCCGCAGCCTGTGTAGAGCGCCCTGTATGTATGTACTTGTATGTACATACATACAACTGTACGCCCTTGACCTTGAGGGAGATACCTTACCTACCTCTACGGTTCTTGACCAATGTGATCCGCCTGCTGCATCGTGCAGGCATTCCTCCCATAGGCGCGGCAGCTAAGTCATCCAAATGCTACGTTAACCTGGGGGGGGGGGGGGGGCACAAATGGACATAGTGGGTTTAGCGTCGGTGGTGAATGACGGATGACTAACGGCCGTCAAAGCCGACGACGGGAACCGTCAACGTTTGTGTAGAGTAGTGCAGGATATCCATACATGGACGTAATCGGTTCCGTTGAGCCGCTACAGTCCCTTGGTAGCTAGCTTAGACATGCCTACTATACTTTCACTTTCCAAGCCCTTCCGGTTTTCCGCTAGACGTTGGAGACACAGCAATGCTTCATTCTTGGCTTTCTTTTGGTACATAAGGTACATATTGTGTAAGGGTCTGGTCCTCCGAGGCTTTTATCCTCACAGGGAGCAAAGTGGAAACAGGGCCCGGTGACTGAGCGAACAGGGCCACGGGTGGCTAGCCGAACCTGGCTTAGCCGCTGAGGCGGTGCACCAGAGTAACCAGACGCTCGCCTGAAGTTTCTGAGATGGGGTTGGGCTCCTTGAAGTGCGAACTGACCGTGACCAACACTCCGGACTCATGCGGTGCGCGGTAGAAATCTACTGTGGTATCATGTATGTATGTAGGGTACCATGAGTGCTGGTTCCTGATTGCAGTGGAGCGATTCCCCATCCAGCAGTGTCTCGCATCATAGGAGTTGTGACATGTCTGGCATTTTAACGAGGTAGTAACTACCTGGAACGTCGTGATCGCGCCTGTCAAATCGAACAATACAACTGCTGCATACCTACCTTCCTTAGATGTTCGGATTCTCATGCTATTCTTTGTTCACGGCACCGTCTTGGTAATTCGCCATACCACAACGCACCACCTCCTAAATCCCATGCTCACACTCCCCAAGAACCCTACCCGCCCCGCTGAGTGTATCCGTAGATTCACCGTCTCTGTCGACCACTCCTAGGTGCCGGACAGTACGATCCATATCGAGCCATGAGCCGGCCCTTATTCGAGCGGACAATAGGATCTGCCACAGCACACTAGTACTGCCGATGACTGGCGCACAGACCGTCATGGAAGTTGTTTTGTCATCTGATGTGCGGGGCCCAGTAGTTCCACCAGCAGACACTCAACAACCAATTGGACTCGGGTTGCGACCTTTCATGGCAGGCAAAACAAACCACCCAAGAGCCACAACTCTCGTTGGAAAGCCGGGCCGGGGAGAGCCGGCTGTGGCTGCTCTTCCCTTGACTTCTTTCGCCCTTGGCCGAAAGCTATTATGTCATTGCTCAGATTGCTGATGAGTACCACAGTACACTAGAGAAAAGTTTTCGAAACTTCCCCGAAGCTCTCGGGACCACTTCCCACCTCGGTTGTCCGGAACACGGTGGACACTGTTGGATCTTGTCCCCATGTCGGCGCGGAGCGCATTTATTATCGCCGCGACCCCGAAACAAAGCCGCACAGATGTACACCGCGAGTAGATGGCTTCCAAGTTCTTTTAAAGCTCGGACAACGGACGGGATGTGTTCTTAGAGTCTTACCTACTTGGAGGTACGTACTCCGTACATAAGGCTTGAAAGCCAGATCTTCCCGGTCGACTCGGCTCCATAACGTAGGATACCAGTGATAACCTTGCTCGCTTGATCCGCAGCTCATCATTCCCATATCCGTCAGGAGCGCTTTGAGGGTCTGAGTTGTGTGAGATGCAGATGGAACCCTGGTTCAAGCCCTTGGGCCGATGGCTCGCAGATCGGAGCTTCTTGGAGAATGCGCCCGCTGATTGGCCAATGCGACCGTTTTCTCGTGTCCATTTTTGGCTTCCCGCCTCGCGAAGGAAGGCTGGCTAGCTAACTTACCTGTGTAGGTTCAAAACCCTTGCGCCTGGCGAAATTACTCCTAACGTTACAGTTTTAGTGTACTCTCACAATCAATGTGATCATGTTCTGAGGTGTGTAAATTCTGCTGTTTTCTCCAGTCCACCAAGTGATGTCATGAGGAAGTCGATCGCCTTTCGCCAGTCAAATCAGATCTTCACCGAGCCAAGCTACAGTTTATTTCCTTTTCAACGATCGGGTCCGGGTCGAAGATTTAGTCGCCAAGCTTGGCACGGGATCTTCCAGAGACTCGGATAATGATTTATATCGACAACCTGGAAAGCGGAAACGTGAGTCGAGCAATGGTATAACCATTGCATACGGACTAGCTTGGGACTATTAGTAACTGCCCTACACGCACGATGCGGGACGCCTCGACAACCACTGAGGCATGCTGAAACAGGGGAATCAACCCCCCGCCGGGGTTTCCAGCGACTTGTGCTATCCAACTTAATACTGGCCTTACTGACCAATCTATCTGCTTTGATGGCCAAATGTGACCGGGGCCTAGAAGGCCTCGACTCTCCAACAGACAGAAGTGTTGATGATAGGAGTAAGCGCCTGTTAGGTACATGCAGTCGGCGTTAGCACAGAGCTGCTTTAGTCGATACCAGTGTCTGGGGCAGGCATGGACTGTTTGCTTGAACCTAGTAAGTAGTCTTACGGAGGGACCTGTCTGTATTCATTAATTGATAACTGCCACGGAGCATCTGCCAATTCTGTTTCCCGAGTTTGCCGTAAACCCTCACCTTCCGGACAGCCAGCAACCTTGGGGCCCCATGGACCACCGTGCCGCAAGGCCGCCGCTGGGGTACATGCATGATGTGCATACGGTACCTACCTTACCTAACATACACTTGTTTGCCAGGAGAGTCCATACGTGGTCGGCCCTTGAGCCACCCATGGAGAAACATGATTCAAATAAGCCCACCTCTGCTTTCGTTACCAAAATTCTCCCTGTCATGCGAAGTCGGTGCAGTCAGCAATAGGCTTCTCATCAAAGTCATTCGGCGAGCGGGCGAGCGAGCGTGACACAAGCGAGCGGGCTTTTCCAATTTGGGGTTAGACTGTTTCTATTCTTGAAGTTAACCTTCTCGGCACCTTTCCCCTCGATTTCTTTCCGACATGGCTCCACTCTGACGTCGCTTACCACATTAGGCCGAGCTGGGCGAAATGCAGGACTGCAGAACCAATCATCAGTTGCACCACTGCTGGGCACCAAACTGCTGCATACAACGTTCCACCCTCTCGTGGCTCTCAACTTTTCCAGATTGTTCGCCCCCCACTCCTCACACGGCTGCCCGGGACCAGATCTGCTGACTGCAAAGCAGTCAAGGTTGAGGCTGTTTCCTATTCTCACTTGGCCGTACCGGGAACCAGAGTATCGGGCCGTGAAGATGTGGCATGACTGCGCCGAGGCAACGATACAGCTCCGTCATCACAGGGGCGACCAGTCAGGGCACCACATAATGCATGCACAGGGAAATTCGGGGTCGCCACCAGGTGCAACGAAGCAATCGCGGAGCCTCACACACAGGGTTCTGATCAAGGACCGTTTGTCGGCTTGCATACCAAGCCGGTCATTGCTCAACCTGATGCAGTTCTTCATCGACACTGGTTCAGGGCGACACTCGTGATGTTACCACATGGTCCGTGATGTGATCCTCTCCTGAGGGAACCTTGATGGGCTTCTGTTCAGCATGCTGCCGCTGCCCACGGCCTATTCTGATCAGATAGGCAGTTGCTGCTGTATGTCCATGGGCAACCAACAAAGCTCACAAGTTCGGGGCCCGGAGAACTTGGTTTTTGAAGCAGTGAGTATGTCAGGGGAATGCCGGGTACAGAGGCCGCAAAATTCGTGGTCTGCAAACGTGACCCGCAAGTCTTCGAGGAAAAGTGGAAGCAGTGGACCAAAGAGGTAGACAGCATTGAATGGGCATGATGGGGTCGAGTCCGAAGCAATCAAGGAAACTCCTGAGCAATGATAGGGTTGGCATGGCAGACGGAACCGTCGGCGAAACTATGCGATGAAAGCCGAGGCACTCACTCTTGAGGGCGCAACCCCGTCCGATCGGGACGGGGAAGAGCGGCAGAGGGATAATAACACGCTAAGCAAGTGATGTTAACCCTGAACATCCGCCACCATTTGCATCTCAACTCCTGATTAATAAAAAAATATGTAAGTTGCTCTTCTCTTGAAACCAGACTTCCACTCGGCACTCATTCGGCACTCATTCGGCCATACGCCCGCCAATGCTAAGCATCAAGGGGGCGGAGTCCGGGGTCCCGAACCGGGCCTTCCGACGGGGGCGAACCAAGCCCCGGGTACCGACTGTGGGTGGCTCTGCTAAATATAGCTCTTGGCTGTTCGTTCTCATGATGGTCCGTCCATACGTGTATGGTGGTGAGTACAAACCTCCAAAGTTCAATCGTGGCCACAAAAGAAGACGGCCACACCGCGGCATCACCCATGATGGAGTGACTACGGCAATGGACTCCACTGCGCGAAACAATCTCTTTCCCCTTGCCTGCCCCTCGACGTCCTGCTCCCGAGGAGATACCATCGCAGTTCCGGAGACTCACTGCTTGCTCGTTCTTCGACCAATGCCGAGGAGGCAATCCCAGGCTTGTTTAACGTGTTGTTACGCCGCCGCGGTGGGCAAGGGAGTCATACAGAGACCGTTACAGGGCTTGGGGGCCGTCCGCCTGCGTGGCAACTATACCCCTACTGTAGACCGCAGGGGGCCCGGATCCGGACCAGACACGCGGATTCGGCTCGCAACGGCGATACCCTCTCCGCGGTCTCTGTCAAGTGAGCGGAGGCGCTTCGAGAAGCAAACCAACAAGCCCTCGCTCCGTACATACAGGTACCAATGCCAAGATACTTCGCAGAGGAAGGCGACCGGGAGAGTAAGAGCCGTTTTTCCTTTCCAGCAGACGGCGGCGCCGCATCCCCACTGTCTCCTCAGCATGCCACGACAGTGCCCAGCTCCCAAGTCAGGAAGTTCACCACTGCAGATCCACGGATACACGGGGGCTGGGAGGCAGTTGAAAGTATACACAGCAGTCGAGACAGAAACAGAAAGCAGCAGCATCACCCCATCCATTGGCCGTCTATGGGGACGAGTTGCGGATTTGCTGAGAGCGTTGGAACGTTGCCTCAACTCAAGACGTCCACACATCTTTCCCGTCTCGCAATATGTTCGCCCCTGTCTACCAGGGCTCCCCGACAAAGCCCCGGTGAGGAGACAGCGCGGGAGAGAGAAGCGTTCAATGCAGGCTTTTTGTTGGTTCTTGTTCGAAGAGGAAAGAACACGCCCGAGTCACACACCGGTCCTTACACTACATCGGCCGGACTTGGCCGATCTAACCAGGGCGGGTGCTTGCTTGGTATGTAAGTGTTAATGATATTGAAGGGGGACCAAGATCCTGCTGTGACTTCGGATGTGGTGCATGTGTCTGGCTACCTACGCAGCTAACTAAACAAACCAGAGTGTAATGTCCCACCAATGATGTTATGTTGGAAGCAACTCCGGCTCACAGTAGACTGTTCGAGAAACTGCGCCAGCCTGCCGACCGGCAACCTCGTCACTCCGTCTACTGTGTAAATAACCTACACAGTAAAGTGTAAATAGAGTACACGTGTACCAGGGCAAAACATGGTGAACTGATTGCCGGGAAAGCAGATCGAGGTGATCGACGACGGACGAACCCATGGGCTCGTTGATCGACACATCTCCGTCGCTGTGTCGGGTAGGTGCTGGAATGTCTCGGTAGCGAGAGCGCCTCGGTTACTCGTGGCTGGCGTTGACATAACGTTAACTAACCCTCCCCCCTTGTATCAATTCTAGAACATCCACAGTGCTGTACATACACTACACTAGGTATTGTACAATACATACATGCATACATAACAGTGCAGCAGCGTGCATTTACCATGGTTTGGGCCGTCTGTTGCCCTTGGGATATTCGGAGGTTTCAGACTTGGGATCACCAGGTTTTGAGATTGTGGATATCCATCTATCATGCCCCGGCACTTGAGTCCCAGATCCGGGGGGTGGTGGTTCGGGATTGCTTTAGACACCGAGCACTGCGGTGGGTGTAGCTGATGAGATCTCTCCCCCCGATCCGGCATCTCCGCCCGCTTCCTTTTCGGCGATCATGGGCTGATGCACCGCATGGGCAGGTGAAATCCACTTACATAATGTACGTAGTACGTACCGACGTTGTTGCTCTGCCGGCTCTGTTCTAAGGTAGTTAATAAGTGTGAGCTTCTAACCATAAAATGTTTAAAATCACACAGTACAGCGGGTGGGACATGGCGCGCCTGAAAACGCTCCGAGCTCCGCTCGAAGCTCCGGGAACCGGTCCGGGAAAGGCTAGGCGCGTGCGCGCGCGAGTTCCGCACGCTGGCAGCCCATTTAGGAAAGATTACCAGATTAGGAAGACAAACGGGAGATGCCGATAGAGCCGAGGATTGACGGTGATCAAATCCACCACACTCGATCCATCCTTCTTCATTCAAGGTCAAGATTGGCGGCTGAAGCGGGCTGAAAAGCTTCTCATCACCACCGAAACGAAACAGTACGACGCCGGATGCTGTACGGATTAGAGAATGCGCATCCTGTTTGTGGCCGCGGCAGACGAAATGGGATGTCGACATGAAGGCCCGCGCCGGACAGCAGCACTTGATTGGGCAACAAGAATCGAGGCTGGCAGGAACGCCACAATAAACAACACTGCATCATGATGTTACTTTAACTATGCGCTCAGGGGCTGCTTCATCGACGTTACCTGGACATGCGCATCACCGTGGCTGCAACAACTCAACAGAGGCCGTCGTCGACTGGAGGAGTAACGAGGATACTGTGCAAGAAGAAGAATTGGCGCCTGGTCTAACGTTATCATGCGTCCATCTGCAGTGCTGCACAGCCACAACCTGGACCGGGGAGGTGACACAGAATCGACACCATCCAATCCACCAGTCGTGGCATTCCCACAAGCGTTGAGGTGTGCAGCAGCCCCTTTTTTTTCAATCGAGACGCTACCGCCGACGGGACAAGGCGCCGTCAATGTGCCGTGACCGGGTTGAATAGACTGGGCACAGCTCCGCACCATCACCAGCAAGCATACTATGTGCACTACCTAGGTACGTAATCCCCTTAACTATCTTTTTGGGGGGGAGGGCGAAGGGGACCACACTGCGCCTGGTAGGGCCGGTAGGGGGGCCGGTAAGCAGGGGCAGTAGGGCTGTCGACAACAGTTGGAGATCTTTACCGGGTGATCCCCTTTTGAGGGTCTTTGTTCCGCTCTGGCGTCCCAAGGTACACAGTGCACATTGCAGACATTGATCAACGTTGACGCCGAAACGGCAATCACCGAATCTCTGCTGTGTAGCTTGACATCCAGACCGCTAACTATCGTGTGAGTTTGCAAGGGACGGACCTCCATCGCACACCGCTCGGCATTCCTCAAGTGCCGAAACAGCATGAGGTCCCGCCCTCGTTGTCACGACACGCACTACTTAATGCGGAGGGTACGTGTACAACAGGTACAGACGCAGAATGCCGGCTCACCCACTTGTTGATAGAAAGGGGCAGCTAGCTCTTAACATGCCGGAAATTCTAGCCGGCGTGTGTAGGTGCAGGTGTGGTTACATGTGCCAGACACAGGTATGTATAGTAGCTACTACCTTAGCCACTAGGGTATACGCAGCCTTTCGGTTTTGAACAACACAACCAAAGAGACCTCATCATACGGGATCAAGCATTTCACGGCTCAACTGGACCTTGCCGACCTAGCTCAAGGTACCTTAGGTAGGTAATGGACGCCAACGCCAGACACACAAACGCCTTCGACTACTACCCTCAGCACGACACTATAGAGCTATGCTATCTAAAGGCTATCTAATGACCTATATCTAAGTGCAAATGCAAACGCAACAAATCCCCACCACCGGCTTGTCTAACATACCCATCTCGCCCCTCATGATGCAATTCCTCGAGGCTATGTACGTCTGCCCATCTCTCCATGGAGCTCACCATCCACACTTCGTACCCAGCAGCTTCCCTCCCCACCGCAAAGTTTTACCAAGATCCAGCCACAGTCACCATTACCCTTCCGCATCGCCGTGGTTTGCAGATTCCCCAACCAGCAAACACGCTGGCCTCCCGAGCCGCCAAAGATATTGTTTGTTTTTGTTTACTAAGCGCCATCCTGGGACCGGGTAGGGCCTTTCAGCAAAATTCTGCTCGACGCAAGCCATGAGCAACCCCACTCATCCCGAACAAAACCCAGAGCCATTCAACCAATCCGAAGAACACTACTCCATTGACCACGCTCCTGCCACCCCTTAGTCCTGGATGCTTCCCCGACGGAGGCCCCGTCAGGAGAGCGTTCCAACCCCCGACCATCCAGCACAGGTGCTCATCAAACCCGTACCATCCATCCCGGAAAGTGTCACCCTGCCACCTGCCGCGGGCACTGAGACTCAAGTCTCCACCAGACGCAAAAGAATATCCTCATCATTTTTTTCTTCCTCTGCTTTTTGTTTGTTGAGGGATCCGAAGTTCAGCAGCATTCCATTCATTCTCTCCCTAGCAGCTTCAGCCACGCCCATCATGTCCCCAAGTGATTCGTCCCACACGAATGTGTGTCCTTTGGCTCAGTCTCATTTCTCTGAGACTCCCAGTAGGCCCCAAAGAAAGACGGTTATTTACTGGAGCATGACTCGTGTCAGGTATTGGGCTTGCAAGAACATATACGCGCATAGCATGTTTTGACGGGCAGCGTTCCTTCGGCTTTTCGTCCTTTCGAACCAGAGCTCGGATTTCGGGTTATAGAGCATAGGTTGCCTTCAGGGCTTGCTGGTCCTCTGGCTGAAGTTGTGCGACAAAGTGGTCGAACTGGGGTATGATTTGCCGGTAGAGATTGAGGACCTGCTCATCCATCACCGTCAGCGTTACTGGTCACAGGGAACAGTGCAAAGAAAGAGGGACTCACGTTTTGCAGCACGTCATGAAGCTCCTTCTTCATGGGGTTCTGCAGCGTCAGATCGCGATACCGTGCAATGGAGGTGAAGAAACGCAAGAGGTGCTTCTCCATCGACTGTGGGTTCTGCGCCACCACCATGCTGAACCCCTTGAAGGCCGACGCCTTCTCTTCGGTCGGGTCGATGTCGTCCATCGAAGCGATGAACTCTCCCGCAAACTTGGGCAGATGCGGGGCAAGAAGATCGTAGTTGTCAAGGCCCAGCCTGCCCAGCGCAATAGCCGCGTTTTCATTGACACCAAAGGGCACGATGGGGTTGGAAATGATCTCGACGAAGCGCTGGAGTAGCTCCGGGACGAAAGGCGCCATGCCTTTCTTGTATTGCATGGCAATCTCACCAGCGCTCCAGCAGGCGTTATTGATGACACCGAAGCTGCCGTCGACCTCTTCGTCAAGAATGCTCTCGAGGTCCAGGCGTCTGAGGAGGATGGGCAGGATGGAGGGCAGGAACGGCTTCAACTGCTCGAACACGAATTTCGCGCAGTCGCCGAGGAGGGCGTAAGCCGACTGTTGCACCTCGTCGGCCGGGTCTTCCATGCAGAAGCTCAAGAGCTCAAAGAAGGCCGGCTGGCTGTTCTGGACCAGCTTCGCCGCCTTTACATTGTCGAGCGCCTGGATGATCGCGCTCAGGAGATCCAGGCTGGTGACCAGGAAATCCTTATCGGGCTGATCCAGCGCAGGGTTGTTGTTGGCTGCGAGCGTTTGTTCCAAGTTTTGGTGGATGATGTTGACGCAGCGCGCGAAGATGGGCTCGGCATAAGGGGTAAATGCATCGCCAAGGGCAATGGCCACGTAGGACAGACATTCCAGGAGGGGAAACATCTCTCTGGACTGATCAGGCACCTTCTGCCATCGGTCGATAAGCGCGGGCATCAGTTGGTTGCAGAGCTCGGGCCGCGCCAGCACAGGACCGATGTTTTCGGCCAGCGTCTGGACGCAGTCGTAGAGCACCCATCTGTTCTTGTCCTTGTACTTGTTGAAACACACGAGGTACTGCTGGATGATGGGACCGGCGAACGGCTCGATATTCTTCCCTGCCTTTTCCTCCAGATTCGCCATGGCTGACGCGCCGGCTTCTTGCACCTTCTTGTTCTTGTCGACCATCTTCCTGAGGATGCCGTCCATCATGGGCACGAAATAGGTCTGCTTCTGAGTGGGGTCTTGCAAGCTAGCCGCCCATGCCGAGTACCGGCCGAGTGTCCAACACGTTATTGTTCGGACGACCGGCTCGGGGTCGTCTAGCAGGGTGATGAGATATGGTATAAGTTCCGGGAGATGGGGGATGACGACATCCATGCAGCCCTCGGCGACGGCGCCAAGCGCAAGGACGGCGGCCTCACGATATGGCCAATCCTGATGCTTCAGGTTGGTCTGCAGATAAGGCAGGATGGAGGTGAACACGGGCCCACCGAAGTCGGTAGCGAAGACGTCGAGGGCTGCCGCCGAGCACTTGCGGAGGGTCCACTTCTCATCGGGATTCTCGTCGCCGCCCTCCTCGTCCGAGTCCTCAACCTCGCCTTCTTCCAAGCCTTCGTCCATGCTTGCCAATTTCTCATAAGCGTTGCTCTGGCTTGCCTCTGTCGACCCCTCGGCAGCGGCAGCGGCACCGCGCTTCAGGTTTTTCTTGGCAAACTGCGGCTTAATGTCCTCTTCCCTATCTTCTTCATCCTCATCATCTGATTCTCCTCCCAGCATGGCAATGTCTTCTGGGCTGTACACCATGCACTCCAATAGAACAGGTATGATCTTTTGTATGTAGGGTTCCAGATTCCGCCATAAGTTGTCGTGCTCGCCGACCGACAGCCAAAACTCGGCGGCCTCGCAGGCAAGGTCCTCGTCATCGCTCTTTTGCTGTGTAATAATGTACTCGACCAAACCACTGAGATGAGGAAGGAGTTTGTCTGGCCGGGTCTCGACAAGACGAACAAACGCGCGGCAGACCTGGCGGCGGACGTCGGCGACCGGGTCCTCAGAGAGGAAGAAGAGATGTTGTAGGAGGTCGTCGATGGAATTGAGCATGGCCTGGGACTTCCTGGGCGTGAAAACGTTGATGGCCGTTAGCGCCTGAGTGCGGACCTTGGGTAAGGGGCTCTTGGTCGCCTGAATGAACTTGGGGAGGAGGACGTTAAGGGGCCGCTGTCCGTTGTGTTCCCGCTCCAGCAGTTTGGTGTTGTCTTCGCAGATCTTGGCCATAGCAGCCATGGCACCTTCCTGGGCCTCATTCGATACCTGGCCCGTCTCATTGCTGAGTAGCTTCAACAGGTCCTGCAAGAGCTCGGGCCAGCTGTACAAGCCTCCACGGCGGATCATCTCAGTCGCAATATTGCCTGCATAGTTGCGAATCTGCGAGTTTTGATCCTGGATTCCCATCGGAACAGCAAGCTTGATCAGGGTGATGCTAGTCTCGGGAATCTTCTTGTAATCTGACTTGACATTGTTCTTGAGCATGATCGCGGCTGCCGAGCGGACAAGGTGCCAGTCATTGGCGGACAGCGAGACGCCCGCGGGCGGCTGGGTGCTCGAGAAGATGTAGGCTAAGTAGTTGTTTATGTCTGGGCTCGCTTTCGCTTGCACGAGCATCTGCGCCATGCCTTTTGGTTAGTTCGCCCTTTGCTAGTGCCAGTGCCATCGCCACCGCAAGCGCGCAGTTACAGAGGAAGATCCAGCACAACTCACGATCTCGGCCTGTTTTTGCGCATTCTTATCGAAGCCGCTCAGCGAATCCTTGAGACAGGCTGCTAGAGTCCGCAAGGACTCCTGGTTCGGCTGCCAATCCATCGCGGAGGACCGAGGTCGAGTATCGCGGGGCGGGGCAGAGTTTAGTTGCGGTTGGCGTGTCTTGATCTAGGAAAGACGAACGGCAAGCGCTGACTTCTTCGACGAGATTTTCTTGGAGGGAAAAAGACCTCTAGACAATATATCGATAGCGGCGGGTCACAGGACCTTTTTCAGTGGTTTATGTCTGCCCGGAGGATTGGCCGTGATCGCATTCTCTTGTCTGCGCAAGTGGGGTGAAGCTGTTAGCCTTGCGCACAAGGGGGTGGGCGGGCAACTTTAAGCAGACAGGAGGAAATGAAGCAGGTCAAAAGGGCGAAAGGACAAGCCAACCGCCGGCCAACTACACCTACACAATGGGTCTCTAGGGCGGACATACCTTGAAACTATTGTTGTTGCTGATCTGGCGTTGGTTCAATACATTAAGTAAACGTCTATCCGTATTTTGCTGAGCTTCAAAGGTCAGATATTCCATCGGATGTGGGGTGTTTCAAAATCGGTGTTGGCTTCTACTATCTCCCACCTGATTTTGGCCACCCGCAGCTTCGCGGGGTACAAAGTCAAACCGAGAGCTACAGTGGGGCTGCATGGCCCCTACGGCCAATCAAAAGCTACTACCTTAGCCATTTTCTGGTCACAAAAGCCGTACAGAAAACGCACCTCCACAGTCTAAGCGGTAACAAGTCAACCCAGGAAAATTGTATCGAAGAGAAGACGGGAGGAAGAGGAGAGAGAAGAATGGAAAGTAAACTTAAGAAGAAGGAGAAAACGATGAAAGAAATGAAAGAGACAGAAGGGATAACCCGGAAAGAAATTACTACTATTACGCATCTATCCGGCTGACGTTGATAGTGAGGTACTGTGAATGGACAATCTTTTGATCATGTGAGCTCGATTACCGTCTTCCGTACCTACCTTAATTATTAAGGTAGGCACCGGGTACGATATTTACCGTGCGAACAGAGTAACAAGCAAACGACGTGGAGGACTTGTAACCTGCAGGGTCTTCCAACAGCTTGAAGATCCAACAATGCACCGCGATCTTGCGTCAAATTGCTTGAAGCAAAAATCCGGTCGGCAGGCTGCTGCAAACCTCATGCTTTGACTGGGCACTAACTCGGGGTTTTCCCTGTCCTTCCGATAAGTACCACTACCCTTCTCATTCATTAAATCGTCTTGTTATTCATCTTAGGACCCCATACTGTGGCAGCACACCGGTCGGCCCACGTCACGCCCTGTGCGACATTGAAATGGGCCTGACTGCTGAACAAAGAGGGTGTCGTTTTATTAGCTTCCTTTTACGGTGGTCTTCGGGAACATGATACATGACGTTGGACACTAGCTCGCAGGCCTGATGGCTTGACCTGCATCCTCGAGGATCACCCCCCCGAGATGGGGCCAACGGGTTACCGAGCACCTCTATCACGGCAACCCATTTGTTGAAAACACCGTCCTCGGACCTTTGAGGTGGCCGGGGGCCGACTTGCAGCCAGACAAGTATCAGCGGTGATTGTGGTGGCCGTCATGAAGACGAAGTTGCAAGGGCGTAGCCACATCCCCGCTTCGTCTTGAAGCAGTTCTGTACTAGTATGTGTAGTCCCGAGTGCCTAGGTTCTCCTCTAGATATATGTAATAACCTCGACACACGCATCGTGTGGTGTTGGTTGCTGCCTCGATTCAGAAACTTCCGCATGGCAACTATTCCGGCCGGACCCCATCAGAGGGAGATTGGGCGGATCCGATGAGGGGTTGCAGTTGGGACAAGGTGACCTCGACAACCTTTTGGAATGCCTCCATCTCCTCCTCTACAGTGCCGCCCAAGCCAGTGCTTGCCAGGCTGATCGAGTTGCCCACGTAGGTCGGGCGCTGCGTCTTTCTTGCCAGCAACTTGGCCAGCCGCGTCGTGAACTCGATTGTCGGCTCAACCGTGCAAAGCGGCGTCGACAATGGCTGGCTTGGTTTGTATCTCTGAGCAAGGTTAGCAGCAGCGCGGAGGAACGGGCAGATGGGCTCAACTCCAGCAACGCACATCAGGCAACGCATAGACGAATGAACCCAACGGCGAGGGCGAGCCTGCTTCTTCCATGGACGCTGTTGTGAGGAAGAGAACAATAGCTTTGGGTTTGACGGTCAAGCGGAGGAAGACTCGTGTGTCCAATGACCGTGGTAAAGGAAAGGATGATTGGATTGGTGCCTCCATTGTGTGAGACATGGCTCCGGGTCTGAGTACCAGGTAGTATAGAGCAGCTTCAGAGTTTTCCAATCATGAGATCTTGTTGATGGAAAGAGCTGCAGTTGAGTCGAGGAGCAACTGGATCTTCTGGTGAAGGTGAGTTACGGGTCGTGGGGGTTAGGGTTGTGGGTGGCTTACAGTGGTAGAAGACACCACTTCCCTTTCCTGTTCTCCTTTGAATAAGTATCAATCACTCGAACCGGAATACACGGTCACAATGTATATAGCCCACATGAAAGATTCAGACAGGAGAATGGTAGGTAGCTTTATCCGTGGGCCCTCTTACCGGCAGAAGCCCTCTCGGATCGAGGTGCACCCGGCGATCCCGTTATAGCAACGTCAGGTCAGGTAAGGGTGTAAAATGTTCTCCCACCAGATATTTGTTGAATATTGTGAACCACGACATGCTGGTATTTTGACGGGACCCAAAGATTCGTCAGCAGCGTTATGCGGAATAAAGGTGGTACCGATGTTGTCGTGCTCCGAGAGACGCAGGCACCTGCCGGCTTCCGGCTCCGCTTGCCAAACACAACATTTCTTCGCGCTCCAACGTTTCTCCTACGACGACCGCATCAACAACATCCAGATCTACACAGGAAATGGAGGAGGACACACAATGGCAAGGCATCGAAAACGGCATTGATGATCCGGAAGAGCTCCAGGTCATCTACCGCACTCTAGACTCTTATCAGTGAGTAGTAATCTTGGTTTGTATGCGTCATCGGCGCATATGATGCAGCTCAGCGGCCCTGGTCGATTATATGACGCTCAATGCTGCGAGCACGCCCAATTGTTGACTCACCGAGACGCTTCAGCTACTGACTCGACGACAGACAATACGCCAAGATTGCCCATTTCCAATGTACACATGTACGCCGGCAGGCTTTCTATGCCCTGCCCCAGGCTCACTGGCAGAGGCTTGCGGCGCCCCCGTTCAACTACCTGGACACGTTGAACAGGATAGACGACGCGATCGAGTCTAACGCCGACCTGGCCCGCACCATCGTCAAGACGGGCCTCGAGATGTTCGGCATTGGCGTTCCGTCCGAGGGCGGCGAGCGGCAGTTGCCGCCGCAATGGAGTGGCTCGGCCAAGCCTAACGACATCGACAAGGCGCGCAGCACCATCCGCCAGTTCTACCGCGACTGGTCCGCTGCGGGGGCGCGGGAGCGGGAGGCCTGCTTCGGCCCCGTCATGCGCGCCATCGCTGCCGAGCAGCAGGCAAGGGGGCCGGATCATGCACCGCTCAAGGTTCTCGTCCCCGGAGCGGGCCTCGGCCGGCTCGTCTTTGAGCTTTGCATGAGCGGCTACGAGACCGAGGGCAACGAAATATCGTACCATCAGCTGCTAGCATCCTCATACGTCCTGAACGTCTGCCCACGTGCCGAGCAGCACACCATCTACCCCTGGATCCACACCTTCTCGAACCACCTTTCTCGCGCCAACCACCTCCGCAGCTATGCCGTCCCAGATGTCCACTGTGCGACCGAGCTCACACGCGCGGAGCAGACGAGACCGGTCGGCACAATGAGCATGAGCGCTGCCGACTTTCTATGTCTGTACTCGCAGGAAGACAGGGCGGCGGTGTATGACGTGGTGGCCACCGTGTTCTTCCTGGACACCGCACCCAACCTCATCCGCTATCTCGAGACCATCTTCCATTGTCTGAAGCCTGGCGGTATCCTGGTGAACAGCGGGCCTCTGCTGTGGCACTTTGAGGGCCGCGTATGGGACAGGGATGAGCACGAGGAGGGCGACGGCGATGCCAGCCACGACACTTCGGGCATAGCAGACCCGGGTAATTTTGAGCTAACGGACGACGAGGTGATGGCGCTGGTAGCCGATGCCGGGTTCGAGATCGTGTCGTGGAAGACGGGCGTCGAGGCGCCGTATATTCTCGACACGGAGTCGATGCTGCAGACGACGTACAAGGCGAGCACATGGGTAGCTCGCAAGCCGGCGACAAGTGCTGCTGACGTTCGGGCAGCCTGAGGCGTACTGTCACTGTAGACGTAGACAAACCCATTCGTACAGCAAATACAACCGGTATTGGCACCACTGCCCCCTCTTGCACCATCCACCGGAGCGTTCTGATTTCCCCTCTTGTATTACAACTTACTAACATCCAGCTGGCCCCTCTGCCACATCGCTCCGCCATCAATCTCAATCGCCGCCCCGTTCACATGTGCACCGGCCCTGCTCGTCAAGTAAACCACGGCCCCGGCAATATCCTCCGACCGCCCCAGCCGTCTCATCGGATTCGCCTTCGCGAGCTTCTCCACGCCCCCGGCCATGGCCAACAGCCCATTGGACATCTTGCTCGGGAAGAACCCGGGGCAGATGCTATTGACCGTAATCCCCCTGGGGCCCAGCTCCACGGCCAGGTTCCTCCCCAGGTGAAGCACGGCGGCTTTGCTCGCGCTGTACCCGAAGGTGGCCTGCTTGCCGAGGGTACCGATGCCCAAGCCGGCGACGCTGGAGGTGATGACGACCCTGCTGGGGTCCTCGGCACTGGCGCGCTTCTGCAGCAGCGGCGCGAACTCGCGGATCAGGTTGAAGACGCCGCGCACGTTGAGGTCCATGACCTTGGCGAAGGCGCCGTCCGGGTGGGTGTCGAAGGCCTCGCCCCACGTGGCGCCCGCGTTGGCGAGCAGGATGTCGACGTGGTCCGCGCCGTGCGCCGACACGCCCGCCACCAGCTGCTTCACGCCCTCGAGCGTGGCACAGTCTGCGGGCACGGGGATGGCGCGCGCCCCGGGGCGGAGGTTCGGCTGCGCGTTCAGGGCTGCGCAGGCGGTCTCGCTGGATAGAAGGGGCTACGTTAGTTGCGTATTGTCCATGTATGTACGTGACCCAGACCTCGTAGATGGATAGGCATTACTATGACTATACATACCAGGCTTTTGCTTTGCGGGAGGATATGAAGACCGTAGAAGCACCTGCTTGGAGGAGGCTACAAGAGGAACTGTTAGTAGGTGGCACGAAATAAAGGCGAGAAAGGAATCCGGAAGACGCACGCAGAAGCGGCGCTGAGGCCCAGACCGCGGGAACCGCCTGTCACCACGGCGACCTTGCCGTCGAGGGAAAAGAGGGACGAGAAGTCCTGGAGTTGTGCTTCGGCCATGGTGGATTAAATTACGAAAGGCGTAGTGACAAGGACAATTGGAATCAGGCGTGAATGATCCTACAGATATGCAAGTTGAGAACCTTGTCAGAGCAATTGTTCCGGGAGGTTGGACAATTTAGATACCTTCCAGGTCACCGTTATGTATAAGGTATCGGAGCCCCTGCCGTTTGCGGGGCATCGTGACAGCCTCGGTACGGCTACCGAGTCTGGGGTAACCGAAGTGGACGTCACCGGCGTTCCCCACTTCGGCGAACCACCAAGACGCCGGCGCCGAGACCAAACATCGGGCACCTAGTTATCAGGGGCCTGAACCACATGTAAGACAGTAAGTTCTCTTACATTTGGGATATTCTTGGTGGTTCTACCCATGTAATTCTTCTTCTGGCAGAGAACACCGTCACAAATGTTGTATGGTTGCTCACTTCCTGTGAACTAAGCGTGCTGATTAAGTACAATCCCGTTTGAAGGCAACGCTAGCGGAACATCCGTGACCCTCTCTCAAACTCCATGTTTCGTTGCGCTCGGGCCAAAGATAAGATATTCCCAACACATAATCTCAAACACAGGAGCAGCCCGAGTGTCTCCAACGCCTGGTGCAGACGCACCACCGTTGGCCCTAGATGTGCTCGTGGGGAGAGAAGGAAAGCAAAGGAAGGGAAGGGAAAGAGAACAGCTTCGACATGACAACAACACTTGTATGAGTCCCCAACGCCTGGCTAGATCGGAAAGTAACCCTATACCTCGACCAAAGGAGGCTGGGGCTCAGCCTGCTGCTGCTCGCGAGCCCGATCCGGCACCTCGCTCCTCTGTCCCTCTTGAGTCGCCGGGCTCTCCGTCGACTGCGCGGCCTCTGCCTCGGTTTCTTGTTGAGCAGCAGCCGCCGCCGCCGCCGCCCTCGCCTCCTCCGCAGCCCTCCTTTCTGCTCTCTCGCGTTCCTCCAGCTGCTGAATGTGTCTCTCGGCCACGCCAGGAGCAAAACTCGCCAGGAAGAGAATACTGGCCCTCTCGATGCGCCTCACTTGGTTCCTAAGCCAGTGGCCGTTTCGCAGTCGCCTCTGCGCGACCAGCCTTGCTGCTGCCTGCGCGGGGTCCGGGCCCGCTCCGTCAGACCCGGTTTGATTAAGGATTCCTCCTTGATTCCGGTGCGGATCTTGTGCCTGCGGCTGCTGCTGCTGCTGGAGGTCCGGATCTTCAAAGGGGATCATTCCCTCCAGCTGCTCCCTCACGGGATGGAATGCTTGGTTAACCATTCCATTGAAAATCCCAGTGTTGATGGCAAATACGATGAAGGCAGCAAATGCCAGGGACAGCCAACGCTCCCAGGACGGATTGGTATACGAGAACCACCAGGTGAAGGCAACCAGGCGGATGATCAGCCAGACATGCGGCCAGACTGCTGCTACAAGTGCGCCGGCTCCCGGATTGCCGGGATGGTTCATTCGAGGTGCCGCTTGCGCCGCCGCAGGGGCCGCAGGAGCTGCAGGAGCTGCAGGAACTGGAGGCGTTGCGGGGCCTGCAACTGGTCGGCGGCGAATGCCGGTCGGCTGCTCATTATGTGGTTGAGGGGCCGGCTGTTGCGGGACCTGAAAGACGGGCGGTTGGTGGGTGTGTGTGGGGGGAAATGGGATATGCACTGGTGGCTGGCCGGGACCGGTAATGGTCACCTGGCCATGTCCGAATCCGTGAGGGAGTTGAACATCAGGGCGATGGGTTCCAGGTAGCACGGATGACGACGTCCAGGCCCGGTAAGGGTTGGGCATCCATGTCAAAGGGTGCGCCCCGGGACTGGCGTATATTTCTGACGTGCTGTTGATCAGCAGTCCACGGGGACCGGTAGGCGACGAAAGGATGTACACCTCGGGGTGGCGTTGGGGCTGGGCTTGAGACTGCGGGTTGCTGGACTCAACGCCGCTCCCATGGCTGACAGACCGCCCTAAGCTGTCGGGGGTAGGCACTCGACTCGTGTTCCTTGATAGCCCTGGGACAACTGGAGTTGTAACGCCCGGCTGGATGGGCTGGATGGGCGTGTTGAAGTTGAAGTGGGCGAGCTCTGCCGCCATGTTGGCTGGTGGCCCGCCGGCGGCGTTTCGTTGCATGGCGCTGGTCATGGTTTGAGCGGCCCGTGCCGCGTCAGCTCCGTGGATTATGTTGCGAACTTCAGCCGCTGAGAGCGGCCGGGGACCGACGGGATCTGGGGTTGGCCCGGATCCTCCAGTAGGGGGGGGAGCCGCGACAGGCGTGATAATATATTCGTCGACCGTGATCGAGACCGGAGCCGCATTGTGCTGCTGCCGTTGTTGTTGTTGGTGTTGTTCGTGCTGCCGTTCGGCCTGCCGTTGTTGGACCCAAGCCTCGCGTAAGGCTTCTTCTCGCTGTTGGAGCTGCCTTATCCGCTGAATCAGATCTTGGTGCTGGTGGTGGTGAGGGTGTTGGTGCGGGTGTTGGTGTGGGTAGGCGTGCTGCGGAGGATGGGCTGCGGCTTGAGGCGCCCTAATCGGTGCTGAACCTGGCCGGGATAGGGTAGTGGTCGACATATGGCGGACGGTGTGTCGCCCGTTGTGATGGTGGCTATGGCTTTCCGGCCGAGGCACAGGGTCGCTGGACGGTGCAACATCACCAGTCTCTGGCAGCACCAGGTGAATCGTTTGTTGTTCACTAGTTCGGATCTACCAAGCCAGTTGGTCAGCAGCTCATCGACGACCTCATGGTCCAGGCACAAGTGAGCGTACCGTTTGTTCGCCGATGGTGTCTTGTAGCGTATCCGAGTCCCGGATTAACGGCCGACCTCGGTAGATCAGCCTCTGCTGGTTATCCGCAGGGCGACTCGGTAACGACTCCCGGATCTTCTCTTTAAGCTGCCGCACTGTCGTACCAGCAGGGAGGTCAGCGAACCTCATGCTCGGCACGCCAGCCGAGGGCGACAAGATCTGGAGGTTGAGAACGAGCGGGCCATCCTCTTCTGCAGCCGTTGGGGCGGCATTGGGTCGCTCCTCTGCCATCGCGCTCTATTTGCGTCGCGACTGATAAAAATCCAGATGATGCGCGTCGCGTCGTCTCGAATGATCGATGGAGAGCTTGGATTGACGAGCAGACGTTACGGTGGCAATGGTCAATGACCGTCTTGATCACCGTCAATCAGACAGCGAGCGCGACCAGGAAGGCTTGCTATAGCGCCTGGGGCTGTTTCTATGGGCTTCACAGGAATTCGGAAGAAAAGAAACAGCGGGTATGTGTTACGATATCCACGAAAACGAGAGATCTGAAGTTAGAAATGCCGCGGGCCTAACAGCCACATCTTTTAATGTTGGTGCATGTGCTTTGGTGTCCTGTTGGTCTCGTCTCTTGGAAAGATCGAGCATTGCACCTCCCACACCCATCTCAACTTTCCACGCTGTCATTCGGGAATCGGGAGATCATGCTTGATTTACCAGGCAGTGCAGGGTACGCCGGTACGGAAGTACTCCGTACCAGTGTGTACATCTAACCAACTCAGCCCCACCCTGAGCCCTAGCTAACTCGACATAAAAGTCCCTAGTGATCATGCCAATGCAGATTGAGAACCATATCTTTTATTGTCGCGATTAGCGAGATTGGCTATCATGCAAGTACCCACCGTATTTCTACAAAAGCCGATCGGGTCCCAAGCTGCTGGGCAGGCGGGAAACGCCGTTCTATCACTGGCTGCTCTCCTTCGTCCACATGCACACCCTTTCGTCATGAGCGTGACGGCTTGAGCTTTCGGACACACAGCGACATCCCGGTCTCGGGTTCCCCTCAGTGTTCGACCCTTCGGTCGTTGATTGGCTCCGGCTGAGCCTCCGTAGCTTCTACAGACGGGCCGACGATGCAGGTTCGTCTACCTTGACACACCCGTGCCACCGCTCTCTCTCTCTATCGACTCTCGAAGACAGCAGTTTTGCTAAAGCAAAGCAAAATGGCGTCCTTACAGATTGGTCTCGCCTCTAGAACTGTCGGGTTAGGTCGCTCGACAATTGCCCGCCGCACCACTTGCCGCGGCTGCCGTCATATCTCCCGGTCCGCTGCGCCGCGCCAAGCGCACCCGACCCAGCGCGTCTTCAGCCGCCGTTACTTTTCGCAGCAGTCGCACAGGCCAGGGGCCTCATCCAAGGTGCAGGACTCCAAGTTCCGCTGGTACCCCATCCCCGTCGGTCTCGGCGTTGGGTTTTTGGGACTGGTGCAGTTCTACAAGGTCTATACTAGAGAGCAGGAATGGCAGGCTGAAGATGAGCACGAGCAACGACCGAAGAAGAGGCCGCGGGTCCGGCCGGATGGTCCTTGGTAGGAATAGCCCCGACCTTGATGTGTCTGTGGCTCGGACCCTGGAGTTGACGGATTTCCAGGCAGGTGCGCATCATGTCAACCCTCCCCCTGAAGGCCATGTCCAGGCTATGGGGCAAGTTCAACGAATTGACGCTCCCGACCTTCCTCCGCGTACCCGGCTTTCGACTGTATTCATTCGTTTTCGGCGTCAACCTAGATGAGATCGAAGAGACGGATCTTCGCAAGTTCCCCAACCTGGCCGCCTTCTTCTACCGCACTCTCAAACCTGGTGCACGGCCCCTGGATCCGAATCCCAACGCTCTCCTATCCCCAGCCGACGGAAGGGTTTTGCAGTTCGGACAGATTGAAGGCGGCGACATTGAACAAGTAAAGGGGATGACTTACACCATTGACGCGCTCCTTGGCCAAAACAGCCCGACCCCGAGCATATCGGGCCAAAGCCCACTCGACGGCCCCCCCAAGCGAGGCGCTCAAGACCATGGGAGCGGCGAAGAACTCATCAAACGGGACGAGGAATTCGCCCGCGTCAATGGCATCTCCTACACGCTTCCAGACCTGTTCTCGGGCTCCATGAAGAAGCGGAAGAGCAGCCTCGACCGACCCAAAGACGAATCCGTCACGCCCTCGACCGAGTCCATCTCCGAAGTGCGCACTGAGCTCGCCCTCGGCGAGAGGTCCTGGCTGGACTACCTCACGCCGGGCAGCCGGCACCAGCTCCACTACGCCGTCATTTACCTCGCGCCCGGCGACTACCACCGCTTCCACTCGCCGACCAACTGGGTCGTGGAGCGGCGGCGGCACTTCGCCGGCGAGCTGTACAGCGTGTCGCCGTACCTGCAGCGCACGCTCCCCGGCCTCTTCACGCTCAACGAGCGCGTCGTGCTCCTGGGCCGCTGGCGCTGGGGCTTCTTCAGCTACGTCCCCGTCGGCGCGACCAACGTCGGGTCGATCAAGATCAATTTCGACAGGGAGTTGAGGACGAACAGTCTGACGACGGACACCGAGGCGGATAAAGCTGCCGAGGAGGCGGCGAAGCGGGGCGAGCCGTATCTCGGTTATGCCGAGGCCACGTACGAAGCGGCGAGCGCGGTGCTGAGGGGCCACGCGCTACGACGTGGCGAGGAGATGGGCGGCTTCCAGCTGGGCAGCACTATTGTGCTTGTGTTTGAGGCCCCGGCTGCGGAGCATGACGAGAGTGGCGGGCACAAGGGCGGGTGGCATTGGAACGTGGAGAGGGGGCAGCGGGTCAAGGTTGGACAGGCGCTGGGATATGTGGATGCTTAGATCTGCCGTGGTAATAAGGCGTAGAAGAAGAAGAAAAAAAAGAAAAGAGGTGTATTTGGGTAATGGTTGTAATGCTTGATCTCCAAAAATAGACTTGTGGCTCTTCTGGTTTGTTACGACGATACCTGGGGTGCAATTAAGACGAGATGTGTGCACTGAAGTGGCTACAAAGGCATTAAAAACCATGCCTCTACTAAGAATGCATCTTGCTAGTTCTACTCTACTCTAAGTATCGTTTCTAGCCGGCAAGTGATGCCTCATCCAACTCCATGCCATGCTAACCCAAACACACAAAAAAATCCCATCCCCTTTCCAGTTCTGCCCCCTTATTAAGCACCAAAGACCTTGAACTTCTCCTCCAGCGGGAGGAACGTCTTCTCACGGGCCTCAGCAACCGTCCTGCCGCCAAAGGGCATCTGCGCAATCAGCTTCCAGGTCGCGGGCAGCTTCCATGCCTCGGCGACCTTGACGTCGATCAGCGGGTTGTAGTGCTGCAGGTTGGCGCCGAGACCCTCTGCTTCGAGCGCCGTCCATACCGCGAACTGGAGCATGGCAGAGCTGTGGCCTGCCCAGGAAGGGAACCTGTGGATAATTTTTGACTGTCAGCAACCTCGCTCATTCTCACCATAAGACTAAAAAAAAAAAAAAAAAACCAAACCTACCGATCAGCATACAGCGGAAACCGCGCCTGCATGTCCTCCACGACGGTCTGGTCCTCGAAGAAGAGCACGGTGCCGGCGGCGCCCTTGAACATGGCCATCCTCTGGGCCGTCGCCTCCCACTGGTCGGCGGGCACGATCGCCTTCAGCACGTCGCTGGTGATGTCCCAGAGCCTGTCGTGCTCGGCGCCGAACAGCACGACGGCCCGGTTCGACTGCGAGTTGAAGCTGCTGGGGATGTGCTGCAGCGCCTCGGCCACGATGGTCTGCACGCGGCTGGTCGCGATCGGGAGGTCCTTGTTGAGCGGGTACACGCTGCGCCGGGCCTTGATGAGCTCCAGGAAGGTGTCCGCGTTGGCAGTGGCGGCCGGCGTCGTGGTGGTGCTGCCCATTTTGCTGCTGGTGGTGGCGAATGTACGGGGGATGGGAGCGGTCCTCGGAACTGGGATGGGACGCGGCTTCGGGTTGAGGGCTCGTGAGAGGGATTGGAAGGCGGTACGCATGTGTTTTAAGTGCTCAAGAGGCTGGTGGTGATGAGAGTGTGGGAGAGCGGATAGTGGTCATGTTCGGCGGACGGGTAGGTAGTATATATAGAGGCGGGATCCAGGAACAGTACCAACGCAAAACTGACCGAGATTCGTCCCGCTTGAGATTATCCAGCACACCACATCTGGAACAAGACAGAAGCCGCGCGCGATTCCATCGTTCCATTCTTGCAGGTATGTCGCCTTCACCCCCACTGCCACTTGGGCAACGAGCTTTCGAATCCCACTTCAGGGTATGTATGTACTGCATGTTCAGTTTCGCCCCCTTCCACACTAAGTCAACGGCTCTAAACTGGAGCAAGCCGCGCGCGAGACCGATGTGGAAAGCCTAGGTCGGTTGATTGGTCCAATCGCTGCGAAGCCTGAGTGCGTATGCGGTAACGGCACGTTCCGCTGTCGAGGTGCATTTTAGTGTACTAGTAAATGCCATGCTTCTTATTACACAAGATGTGAAGATGCTTTTACACTAAACTTAAAGGCCTGCTGCTTCTTCACGTTAGTAAGCCACGCCCTCTGCCCGCATAACCAACGCTCGCTGCCGGGCCATGGACAAGGACATGCTGCCTACCTACTCCGTATTCACATAGTATAACCAAGAGGTAACATTAGATCAAACTTCTGCTCCTTTGATGAGTCAAACGGCTGTGCATACATACCTGCCCACCATCGTGTCATGGCTGAATAAAAAAGCATTCTTTCTACAGCGTAGATTCTAGAATGCCGGCGAACTGGGTCCTGGGATGTCTCCCGTTACCTACAGATTTGAAACTGAGCGATGGGTTGGGCTGGGCTGACGGGTGCGGTAACGGTTGGTTCTGGAGCTTCTCGGCTCCGACGTGGTCCGTAACCTTGGGAAAGGTTATCTGTATCATACACCGTAGTAGTAATAGTCACGCCGTGTCTTGCGCGCACGGCGGAAAATTGCCGTCTGAATTGGTACTCTGTATATATACGTGGTCCCTATATGAACGTCAAGTCAACACACAGCCAGGCAGGAAATAACGGACGTCGCTAGGCCGCCCCTTCCACCTCCGAGTCTAGCTAAGTGTACATGATGCCTCTAGTTGTAGCCGGCCCGAGCCAATGGTGTAAAGTGGCATAACTCCTGGCGCCGTCCTGAAAGCCATATGCGCCTAAAACGCCTTCTCCTTTTCTCTTGCCGTCTCCCAAGCCATATCCGATGACCATGAGCGTGAGCGTGAGAGTCGAGGCAGATGAACCCCAAGTAGCATATCATAGCCATTGTGCGGCTACCAAGTCTCAGCGATGTACTGCCCAACCTCTCTCTTCAGGTTCCAGAACTGCTGAGCCTCCTCCCGCTCGAGGTTGCCCTTGTCCATGGCGACCTCGACAAGCGCCTCCTCGACACCCTCCCCCATGCCCTTGCTGCTGCCACAGACAAAGACGCGGCCATCAACCGAGTTGATGATGTACCAGACCAGGTCGGCCTGGGCCTTGACCTCCTCCTGGACGTAGCGCCCCTCGCCACGGCGGCTCTCCACGACGCGCTTCACCTCATCCTCGTGCACGCCCCATTCGCCGCTGTAGAGCTCGTCGACGAGCGAGTCACGGCAGCCCTGCAAGACCCAGACCTTGTTGGCGCAGCTGGCCGTCTTGAGGCGGCGCTGAACGAAGCCGCGGAAGGGCGCGATGCCGACGCCGGCGCCAATCAACAGCATCGGCCCGTCCGTCACGAACTCCTTGGCTAGCGGGTTCGCCATCAAGCCTTTGAACATGGGTATGTAAAACTCCGGGTCCTTCTCGCCTTGCCTCTGGGCCTCGAGGAACTTGAGCGCCTGCCGCTGGAAGAAGCCCGACCCGACGCCCGTCCGGGATCCCGAGCGCCAGTCCGCCGTCTCATGAACCGTGACGGCAATCTCGATGAGCCGGTGCTGCTTACCATCACGCGTCAGGAACGACTCGTGCGGGTCGTTCGACAACGAGTAGAAGCGGGGCATCAGGGTCTGCAGGACCGAGAGCAGCTGGTCCAGTGGCGGCTTGGCGCTCGGAAAAGCATGAAGAAGCTGCACGAGCGAGACATGCGGCCCCGTCCGGAAATCGCAGAACACACCCTGGCCTTCGGCCGAGCAGAGGTACAGGAGGATCTTGCGCTCATTGGCATCTACGGCGTGCTCGGCGAGGACGCGGAGTAGTTGCTTCGTGGGCGGGTACGACTGGATGTCGCAGCACCAGGTCAGCAAGTCTCGCCGGGTAGTGACGAGCTCGCGCGCCTGGTCGTCGCCCCAGACGGTGGGCCACCGTCCCTTGGTTGTCCGCAGCAGGACCGGCTTGTCGCGCAGGAAGCGGGGCACCAGAAGGAGGTCGAGGACTTCCTCGACCATTGATTCCTCGTTGGGAGCGGAGATCCCGATTGCCCCGCCCACCTTGAAGTCGACACCTTCGCCTTCAGGGTACTGTGTGACGTCCAGGTCGAAGTGGAAAGTTCGCTTCTCCGCGCCCGGGCGCGTCAGTTCACGGGTGTTGTGGATGCGCGCGGGGAAGACATGGTGCGGGGGATGCGGCTGAACGAAGGACGGCGGTTGTATCCGCGTGTCGAGATCTTCGAGACTCAAACCGTGCAACGTCTTCGCGACACCGCCCACTGCTGCTGATGCTGCGCCATTTTCGCCCAGCGAGACGGCCGAGTCAGCGGGAGACGGCACGCTCGAGGGTCTTCGCAGTGGCTGGAGGAAGGCAGTCTGTTCGGGCAAGTCGCACACGCCAGTGAGTGTGGCGGGTACTTGGTCGATTTTCAGACACAGCGATCGATATGCGTCGTTGTCGGGGAACTCTATTTGTTCAAACTTGATGTCGCCCTTCTTAGGCCGTCCCAGATCGAGGCAGCAACCGCCTCCGCAGCATCGCTGGATCAATTGCGTCCTGGTTTCGCCCGTGATGCGCTGCACGTCCACCGGGTTCTGGGCGATCAAGCGCGTCGATGCGCGTCGGCGGCGCAATTCCGGTTGGCGGGGCTCGTCCAATTCATCGGAGGAATCCGAGTATGTAAGCGACGGAGCGGTCGACGGCCCAGGATGAGGCTCCTCAGGGACGCTCGCGGCCGAGTGCTCGGCAAGAAGGAGGTCAATTTGCGTTGCCATTGTGCTGAGAATTCGCCTCGCCAACTTGTCTGGGGCGATTGCTGAGCAAAGAGAAGCGAGGACAGCGAGGAAAGGGGTGGTAATGGAAAGTCTTTGGCAGGTGTCAGGAGGCTGGCGTCATGGCCGAAAATCGAAAAAGGGTGGTTCAGAGCGAAGTGGACCGGGTCGAAGTATTGAATGCTTTACCAGCTTTCTTCGATTCAGCTTGTTGATGCTTTAAGGAATTTGTACCTTCCGGCTGACTATTCGAAGGGCACTAGTAGCTTGGTGCTTCCAAGTGGAAATGCCGCAATGGGTGCTCAGTGGCGGTTGATGATCTTAAATTCATCTCTCGTCATTGTCATGAGGACCGGAAAGGAGACACAGTGCGAGGAAAGATGGAGCGGGCTTACTCCTGAACGCTAGGTTTGCTTTTCCCGGTAGCCGTTCCTTGCCGACCACAAAGCCAAGTCCCCCCCTTCCCCTCGAACACCTAGGACTTGAGGTTCCCTTGCGATGGTATCCGCAAATCGCTCTGAGCTCTTGCTTCCCTTCGAGCATGGATCTAATGGAATACAATCAAAATCAATGACGCTCCAGTTCATGGTCGCCAGCCTCGTGATGTGGCGTCGCAACGCTGCTTGTAGTGGTAGTTATTAGCCTCGGCAGCAGGCCCCCAGCAGGCAGCGCCACAGTCCTAGGCTAGGTAACCTGGACAGGCACTCGTTTGAAGGTATCGCTCATGCCATTCTTCGGTCGAGGTAGATGAACACCAAGACCAGCCCGACTCATATCGAACCATGTACAGCCCATCGCACCATCAATTCATTGTCCCACACGGTATGGCTGACAGCCGTAACGAAGACCCTTCGAGAACATCAGACCACATCGGAATTGCTCCGCTCCCCCATCTCATCAGCTGGCGGGGGTTCCCCATTTGGACGGTGCTTCCACAGCCCTGGGTCTAGGTCTGGGAAGTGATAAGCAGGCAAAGTGCAGTGGATTTTAGACAGAAGAGTGCTGCCGTAGCGAACAAGCCCGTGGGATGAACTCATCAAGAACTTGCCTCCGAACTCGGCAAATGCTGCGCCAGCAGCGGCATGTACTGTGCGAGATTAAATTCAAAACACTGTATGACGCCAAGATATCTAATCAATCGGAATTATCAATCAGCCCCACATTGCCCCGTTGTCGGTTCCGGTCCCTCACCGTAAATTGGTAACTAACTAGATCACTTGTCAGGGGGTCTGGGGTCTGGGGGAAGATTTTAGCTTCTATACCTGGTACCCTTTCAATGAACCTAACACTTGTACCTAAACGCAGGTTAGAGAGCCGAACATACCTATCGGAGAGCCGAACAGAGGTCAAGAAGCCAAACGTAGGTCAGGGAGCGGCATATAAGAGAACCGAACGCAGGTGATAGAGCCGAATATAGGGCGATTAAGTATACTGAGCCAGGTGTTTCAACCTTCAGGAACGCCGTTAGTTGGGCTTAAGCACTAGGCATCTATGACTCACTAGCTAATCGTACGATTTGGTCCTCTCTACTAGGTAGGTTAGGAAGGAACGATGGCTTGTACACTCTCCAAGCCGAGTGTTGATACATTGTTGGTGTTGTATCTGATGGCTTCGACAATGGCAGGGGGAAATAACCGTTATTCACCAAATAACCGTAGTGAGAAGCAACGTTAACTGGCCAGAACAACAACCGTAAAATCTCCCCCATACACTCCCTGATACGCATCTGATAAGACAACCATCTACCTGATTCCCTCCAGACAACGCCGTCCACCAAACTTCGGTATCAGCCGGATAGATGGGACTTCTAACTCATCTTTAAGGGGTTTGCTTCCCCTTCCGTTAGTAACCTGCATACACAGGATGTATGTACTTGAAGCAAGTGGTTTGGAGGGGAGCCTCAACGCAAGAAGCGACGGCTCTCACGATGCCACATACTATATCTTGTACCCACATCGCATGTATGTATGTATGTAACCTACAAGGAGGCGTTGTGGGTTTGTTGTTTACGTAATGCTGCTGTTTGTCTAGGCAAGTGCTTCGCAAGTAGGTAGCGACATTAGCAGAGGACCTAGAACGCAATGCCATTTCCATGAGGGGCCTTGGCATAGCGTCTCGGATGTGTACCAGGAAGCGCGATGGCAGACGAGTGAGGTGTCTACCCAAGTACCTACCTAAGCACTTCTCAAATCGCCATAGTATCATGTGCTACCACTATGCGTGGATCGCCAGGGGAGATTTCGACGCATGTCGCTGATGATCATTCAAGGCCTGTGTCGAAGAGAAAACTGACTGTAGATCGACAGTGGAGGTCCATATCAAGCTGAGAGGCGGCCCAAGTCTCCGGCGGTGTGGCCCACCTGGTATCATGTGATAGTCACAGGTCTTCCATCAAACTTCCTGATAGTAGGGATGGCTTAGTGAGATCACTTGAGGGCAACTCGCTATTGTCGCTCGCATGGCCCAACCAGTCTTCAACGAATCGCAGCCAAATACGGAATCAGGACCTTCAATCATAGAATACCAGATCGCTCTCATCCTTCAAGCATGACCCACGCTCCCTGCGCGCCCAGTAGATACTCTCTCCGTCGGAAGCTTAGGCCTATGAAAATACCAAAACAAGGCATCTCCCACAGAGTACGCGCATGAGGCGGTGACAGGACATAGTGGAGTACAATAAGGCGTCCGTCACGGGTATCAGGTGATGAACGGGTGATCTCAATCTCTTGGTGAATGATACGGATAAGGGAATAACCGGAGACACCAGTGTGCCGTCCCCTATGGACTCGTATACGACGTCCCAGCACTAGAAGCCCCGATCCAAGAAAGGTAGTTGGAAGTGTCCAGGAAAGGCGAGCGTTGGTATTAAAGGCGAAGCTGCTTTTTTCCCATGCCAGCTAGGTTTTTTGGGTATAAGCCGCTTTTGTCTCGGGTAAATCTCGAGACATCAATGTAAAAAGAAGGGCTTCGGCCATGTTTTCGTACCATCCAGCATTAACAGCATGCCATCCAATCCAAGGAGAACAAGAATAGTGTGGTATAAGAAACAAGAAAAGCCAAAACAAAAGCCTCCAGTGCCAACGCGTTTGCACAAACCCGCCCCTTAAGTGCTGAGACGGGGGTATACAGCTCACACCGAAGTAGAAACGAAGAGAAGCGTAGAAAGCCAACGCTCGCTCAGATCAGATCAGATACCACCAAAAACTAGAAAAGCGAAAAGATGCCGGCCGTCATGCATATGGAAAGTGTCAACGTCATTATCATCATCTCCTCGGCGTTGGCGGGTCCGCCGTGGCCCCCATTCACCATCATCAGAATCTCATCAGCATCATCTCGTCATCCGTTGGCCGCGAGAACCAGACTGTTGCCATCTCGCACGTCGTCGTTGCTCATATTAGCGTGAATGGTCGCATCTATGTGTGGAAGTACCCATCACCGTGCCGCGATGAGTACGACGAGGGATATTCCGGGTAGGGCGGTGGGAGCGGCGGGGCATAGCTGCTGAAGGTGTCGTACTCCGGGCCAGCATCATACCTCGACGGCGGAGCAACATCGTACTTTGAGAAGGTGCGGGAGTACGACCTTGCGCGCGACCTTGCCCGCGAAGTGGCACGTTCCCGCGCTGCGGGGAAGTCGATCCTGGTACGGCGATCCTCAGGGTCAATGTAGCTCGACCGGTCACTGCCAGTCCGGATCTCGGCGTTGCCACTCCGTGAGCTGATGTTGATCTCAGCTCCGTCCTCGCACTGCATCTCCGCATTGCCGAACTTGAGCACGGTGTTTCCTTTCACGCGGATCGTAAGGTCTTCGTCATTGGGCGCCGTCGACCTCGTGGTGCGGGTCGCAGCCGACTGTCTGTAGTCGCTCTCATCATGGCTCCCCGAACTCCTCGTGGACCTGCTGCTGGCACCACTTCTGCCTGCCTTTCTGAGGGTTTCGGCCGTCAGCGGCATTGGTGGCCCGCCTGACAGTTCATCCTGGTAGTGGGCGGCCTGTCGTATCTTCTCCTCTAGGGCGTTGGAGGAATGGGCTGACTGCCCGCCGTAGTACGAATTACGTCGGCGCCCTTTCGCAGCGACTTCAGTCTGGTAATCAGGCACGTCATATCCTAGATCACCAAAGCTCGGCCGTGAGCTCGGTCGTGGCCGGAAAGGGATGGACTTGGACTCGTAACTCCCAGGCGCGAAGCTCCCTGGTCCGAGCGGCGAAAGGTCGTTGAAGAGGCCATCATCGATGTCTGTCTCGTGGTCGTCAAAATCGCCCCGGTGCCTAGCTGGCGTAGATGGGGAAGGGCGAAAGGCGAGTGCTCCAGGGCGAGCAGAGGCAGGTCGACGTGGAGGAGGAGGAGGCATTGATCTCCTGTCTTCCTCGTTCTTTGACACCCTCCGAGTCGAAGACGGCCTCCGCGCCAGCGCCTGCTCAAAGGGGGACTCTTCAAAGTCATCGTACTCAAGAGCACGAAGAGGTGGGCGAAACCCCATGGACGACTGGGGTCGGGCGGACCCAAAGCGAGATTCGAGCGGGCGGGCAAAGTAGTCGGGCGGAGGAGGTAGTGGCGGTGGCTGTTGCATAACCAGAGGTGCAGCTACCGGCGAAGACGGGCCAAACGGCGGCAGGGGCCCTGGCCCTGGCCCCGGCCCCGGTCCCGGCGCCATCCAAGGACCGGGTGGTGGGAACGAGGTAGGTAGAGAACCGGGCGGTTGATTTGCGTTTGCGTAGAACCGGGCATTTGCAGGTGGCGGCCTGGAGGGGCCATAGAAGCTCGATGGCCGTGACGTCTTGGCTCGGGGACGTGAAATGGCCGGGGTGACGGTAGGGTCGACGCCGTAGTAGGCTGCCTCAATGTCCTTTCTTGACATGCTCGGCGCCGTCTTCGTATGCTTGACGGGGGGTCGTGAGGAAGCCATAAGCGCCTTCTTGCTGCTGGAGACCGATTTATCTCGGTCCTTGCTGGTCTTTTTGAGCGAGTCTCTCCGCGGATGCACCGTGGAATCGGAGTCGGTGACGACGCTGGTGGTCACAGGCGAGGAAGAGCCTCTTCTCGCCTTCTCTCTTCTGGCCCGGCTGGTGTTTGGCTGTTCTTTTGCCGGACTGCTTGGGGCAACCGATGATGCGTAACGAGCGGTTTCCTCGATGATATTCCCAGACTCGTCAACGTCTTCGACAGACGCAACTATTGGCTTTTCTCGCCTCGACATGGCGGTACGAGCCCACGCCCGCAAAAGTGGTGTTGTTGCTGCTCACAGTCGAGCGGGTAAGTCGCTGCAGGAGAGGCAACGATGCCTCGGGTAGGAGACAACCAGTGTCAGGTGCAGCCGTGGCGTGACGGTCCAATGACAAATGCGGTCAGAGTGGCCTAGTTGCCGACAATGCGCGACGTCGGGATGCGAATATCCAGGAGGTGATGTGTCGAGTCTAGCGATAGCGGAATACTCAACATTGGGGGGTGTGGGAGGTTGGGAGTTCGGACGACGGCGGACATGGAATGGCGGGAACAAATTGCAGGTTGGGATGAAGTGTCAGGCTCCAGGGAACAGAAAAGGTGGAGGAATGGGACGGGCGATGAGTTTTATTCCACTGCGGGGGTTGCACCTATGGAATCATTGGTATGATGGAATGTGAGTGGACGGACGGGAGGGGACTGCCAGCAGGGGATCGCTGCTTGGCTCGCCCTGGAGCGAAGGCTTCTTTCACCACCTAACTGGGGAACCGGAGGCCGAGACGCATTTGGAGAGGGGCATCCAGAGGCGTTCTACACTGGTATCGATAACGGAACAATAGAAAAAGCTGACGCTCTCCGCCCGTGGACGGGAACTGGCCGGGCGACGAGCTGACCTCCTCTCCCTGCCGCTGCAACAAGGCGTAGGTCTTATTAGGTGGCTCTTGGCTCGCATTAGGTATAACGTATCTACTCGACTAGTACTCTGTACAATCGAATCGTCGCCCCGACCGCTGTTGCAGCGCGGGTTGAGGCGCTTTTCCTCTTGCTTACCTTGCACAATAGGCCGCCTCCAGGATCGCTTCGAAGTCTTGCGTCCCGGTCCGGGGGGTTGTCGAAGCCGAAAAAGAGGACTTCGGATCGTTGATCGCTCCAGGACCAACCCTGCGACCCTCCACAGACAGATCCAACAAGATCTGCCGACCAGGGCGCCCCGGGCACTCGTCAATCCCCAAGCAGGAAACAGAAGGTGAGGCGGATGAACAGCGACGGGGGGCGCACAGACAACGTCAGCCTACTGTGTACAGTACTATCCGCTGCTGTCTCCTCCACGAAGATTTCTTTCAACGACCTGAACTTTGGAATACGATGGCAGGCCGAGAGTAATACACGTGCATATTGTCTATCCAGGCATGCTCCAGTGCACAGGTAATTAGCGAGACTACCTTAAGAAGGTGCTCGCACGAACGCCGACCTGGGATGGAAGTTCAGGTTGTGTTTGGTAGACATCCTGCGTAAGGCGTCAACCGATGGATATCCCAGTGGAGCCACTGGCTTGAATCGGTCACGCCTGGGGAACACCTCTTGCAGGGCGGGAGAAGGGGACAGGGCACGGTGCTGCTGCCCGGGATTGGGGAATTGCTCTCTCAAAAGGAACCACTGGCCAACCGTTTCCCACTCTTCTCCTTCGCTCCGCCGTCTTAATGCCCGACACTGCTCTTGGGTATCAATTTGCGCGCACACGTCAACGGCGAAGTCCGTTGTCGGAAAACAGACTGCAAGTGGCCGTTCGACAACTGCAAAAGCCTCTTCCGGCAGTTCCTAGGAAGTAGATGTCGCAGAGTGCGGCGGACAGGAATCGCAAACTCAACGACGGGACGGGATCCTACTAGCGTAAGCTAACTTGGCCCCTCGAGATTAGGGAGGGCACCGCAGAGACGAGCCGCGGACTATCAGGCGGGACGTCGAATGTTGCCTTGCGAATGAGAAAGAGTGAGGCATCCGTCCGCTCGCTCTCCAGACAACCTACGTCAACCCAGCACACCATTTCCGTTGGTGCCATTGGAGCCACCAAGTCTGGAATGCAGAGTCATGCAGCCACAGCTTGCCCGGGGCTTCTCATAGGGCAGCAGATCGGAGGGGGACCGTCAAAGTGTAGGTGCCCCGTTGATCTCCAGAGTTCCTTTTAATAACCTTAGTACATACCCTATGAATGATGCCGCCATCCCTCAATTATGACGTTGAGCTGGTGCTGTTCCCAATCCGCGTCATTGGCATGGTCGAGCCGTCGGCATCGGCCTGGCAACACAAGGGACACGGCAGTACCGAGATTATAACTAACGTTACGATGTTACAGGCGTTTCGGGTCAGCGTTGCCTTCGATGCTCTGTTGCCCCGGCGACCCCAGAGCACCAACTGAAGATCATTCCATGCGGGATATTTAGAAGACGTACCACAACGGGCGATTCGAATGTTTCGGGAACTGCTGACAGGTATCGTGGCGCGAACAGAACGCCGCATGTAGCATGCAGCGAATCTGTTTTGGTGGTTTCATTTTCGCTGACTTCATCCCATTGGCCTTGCGCGTCTCGAGTTGAGCAGTGGGAGCCAATGGTCCCCGAATTACCTACACCCCATCCAACCGGACTGCGGAGGTGGTCTGGCTGGACGTCGGTCGGGATGATCCCACCCCGCGCGCGGGAGGCTTTACACAAAGGCACCAAAAGGCTGATCATGGCCGTCGCAGATGCGTAAAGGAGCTGCATATCATGCCGCATCGCCATATCGATCAAGTGGCTGTGATTACGCTGGGCGTCCGCCTCCAGAAACCGGATCTCTCAAGTGGGACTTCGGAACGGCCGCTCGCTGCCATCGAGGGGCCAGTGAGTCAAACTCGCGCCCAGGAAAGGGGAGAGGGTTGGCTGTAGTCCAGATCAGTCCCCGTGGTGCATTTTTCCGGCATCCAAATGCATTGTGCTTCCCGATGACCTTGGTGTTGTGCGGGTCATAGGTGGTGAATGGCGTTCGTTGAGGTGCTGCACGGAAGCTGACGCCAGACAAACTTGTTCCCGTGACATTCATTCCACCGAGGCCAATGCCACTCACTGGGCGAGAGCAGGGGTTGCGGCGAGATTGCCGGCCATGAGTACCGACTGGGTGTCACCACGACCGAGCCCACGAAGAGCCGGGCTGTATGTACATACAATACGTAGGTAGACATTGCGTTGACATGTTCTGGGTGCCGGATTCGATGTGTTTCGCACCCGGAATGAACCAGATCTGCTTGCCTGGTTCTAGAAACCTGACTACTATGTATTGTGAAGGAGCGAAGTGTATCTCTCAGTCCCCCGCATTAGACGAGAGACAGGTAGGTAGGTGCCTTCCGGGTGCTGTGACTGTCTGACAGTCGACCCGTCTCGTCGTCATCTTTCAGTCCACACCGCCATTTTGGCACTCCCTTCGCGTCTTGCAAGTGCGTACCATGTCCTACTTCGAGCAACGTGACACTCTATCGTAAAATATGCTTCTCGTTCTGACAACGAGGGCGGAGAGGGGAGCATCGATCGAGAAAATCTGGAATCCTCAGGAGATCCTTCACAGGCCCAAGAGGGAGATAAGCTCAAGGGTAGATGCCCGGATTATAGTTGACAAGGGTAACATAAGACTCTGCTGGGATTTCTTTTTTTTTTTTTTTTTTTTTTTTTTTTTTTTTTTTTTTTTTTTTTTTTTGGGGGTTGGGTGGGGGGGCGGGGGGGGGGGGGGGGGGGGGGGCCAGTCGTGTCTAGATGCTGGCGTACGCTTCGAGCAGCGAGACCCCTCTCTTGATGTAGTTCAGATGCACACGCCAGCGTCCTGACTTCCACCACCGCTCCATGTCGCCACTGCCGTGTCTTGGTGCGATGAGCACGGCGAGCGACGGGAATGCTCTAGATGGGCGCCGCAACAGACACCACTTTTGTGTGTGAACCTGAGGAGGGACTTGGATGAATCTGGGTTACCAGTTGGCGAAAAGGATGAGCGCAAGGGGAAAGCACACTTCCTTCCCCACCATCAGATGGCCGGCTTGACCGGTACCTCTATGTCTGCGACCACGGGCCGGTGATCTGAGAGATAAACTTCATCATCAAACTTGTTGGAGGGGATGCCGAAAGTCGAAAAACGAAGTCTCGCGGCGTCTCGTACGAAAAGGAAGTCTATCCGTGCTGGTCGCGAATTCGGTTCTCCAAAAGACGTGTACGTTATTTCCCGGTTGCCGTACTTTGCATCTTCCGCCACAAGCCGGGAAATATCGCTCATCCTGGAGCCCGGCTCGGTCAAGATCTTGTAGGCTTTGCCGGTTGGAGTGCTGTTGAAGTCGCCACCGAGAAACAGCGAAGGGTGTGGTGCAGAGTCGGCTATCTCAGTCCAGCTTTTGGCGAGCGTGAGTAGGAGGCGGGAGCTCTCTTCGCGTGCAAGCACGCCTCTATGGTCAAGATGAGTGCTCATGAGGACAACAACAGTCCCTGTATCCCGATGGCAAAACGAGCCCACGGTGACGATCCGCTTCAGAGCAGCATCCCAGCCTCTTGATGGTACATGCGGAGTCGGAGAGAGCCAGAACGTCCTGCTGCGCTCGCACTCCCAGCGATCCGCTCGGTAGAAGATTGGCGAATATTCTCCGGCCCGGTCGCCATCCTCCCGTCCATTCCCGGTATGATCCCATGACAGACCTAGGCGCTCTTGAATGTCGGTGAGCTGAGAATGCAAAACTTCTTGAAGACAGACAAATGCGGAGTCATGTCCAGAAGTAAGGAACTTGAGCTGTGCACAAAGCCTTGGACAACGAATCTGCCATGTTTCCTCTCCTGGGACGGGGCTCTCAGTGGCGTACCGAATGTTCAGCGTAATGAGTCGGATTGGAAGCGAGAGGTGGCTTGACTCTGTCATGGTTGCCATAAGGTTGCGACACGGTACGCATATGTACAGTACCACTGACAAACGAGCGGACAGTACCAGCGGGCGAACGGCTTGTCCTCGGATCTAGGCGCTGTGTTCTATCCGTACTCGGGACGATTGCAGTCAATGGAGTAGGTGGGCGAGTTGTATCAACGGATACTGAACGACCCTCATTCGCACAGATATGATACGTAGGCAAACAAGATGCGGAGCATTGCTGCGAGTCTGGAGCCGCTTCCGTACCGAAGTATTGGCTTTTGAATGCTGCTTCCGCTGCAATTACCCCTGTAGATGCAACTGTGTGGACGCAGGAGCCTAAGGTAATGTATGCGGCGATTCGAGATTTGCGCTGTGATGTTACGTCCTCATCTGCAAACGACATGAGGCTCATTGAGCCCACGTTATGGTGTTTGCGAGAGTGCTGAATGCGGATGCCTGGGCCTCAGCTCGCGACAAGAGAGTTGTACCATAGTACGTGAAACTGCAGATCTTGGTGAAATGGAAATCGCAAATCCCCAACCGTCTCAGGTCAGAAAGCTGCGTTCAGGTTGAGGATGCCTGTTCTGGCTGCTGCAGCCCAACTTGAGGATTGGATCAAGAAAGTTGCGTCATAAATGTGGGACTTGCTGGTGGAGTCATCCCCAGTGATAAGTGTCATCAGTTCACATGCACTATCATGTGAGTGACCCTATCACGGAAGAAGACGGACCACGTCTCCAAACAGTCAGCATCTCAGCATTTGGTGCCCTGCGGCGAGCGCGTATTGGACAGACCGCGCAGTCAGTGGCACAACAACTCAGTGCGGATCGCGATTTGTGAGATTGGCATGCAGCGCGATGCCGCTCTTGACTCCTTGAGGCGCGGGTGCCTCCTGCAACCGAGATCTGTTGAAAATGTGGCAGTCACCCGACTCGTCCACTCACCCGTGTCGTATCCGTTCTATCCTCATTGATTGCGCGATCTGCGTGCAGGGCAATTTACGACGAAGGTGGGTAGGAGAACTTGATCATTTGTCACCGACGCGAACTTGATGGATGCACAATGCAGGTACATCGTGAGCTCTCACCTTCCGATGCAGGATGGCCGGATGGTCTCTGGGAGCTGGGAACGCTGAGCAATCTGACCTTGCCTAAGCTCCATCATCACCTCCCCCCAGAGTTCCATTTAACTACTCCGAAAGCAGACTGGCTACCTACCAAAGTGCTTTGCCAAGTGCCATTTTCCCTTTTGGAGCACCGGGTAGTCAGATGCCAAAGATAGTGGTGGTTTGCAGTTCTGGGCCGGTCTCAGCTCAGCCTGCTGAACGCCGTCACGCGTCGAGTCAGAGCGGTCGCTCACGACTTAAAACCCCACGAGACTCGTAATCGAATTCCGTCCTTGCCGGGCTTATTCCTGATATGGCAGCCTTTTCAAGTATTTTCAGACATATCACCCCCATCAGCTTCCAGTGTCTGTCATTGTACTTGGAAACTCGCAACCTAAGGGGGTGGGGGTGGAGGATTACGGTCGGTCCACTCACACACAAGTCGAAGAAGTTGGAGAGAGGACGCCTTGTGTTGCCCCGCAGAAATCTGAGACTTATCACCTTGGCTGACCGGTGACTTGACCGAAATGGTGGCTGGGACAGCTCTTCTCTACCGATGGTGGGAAGGCTGCCATTCGCGCCTGGCCGGGCATAAGTTATATTTGCTTGGTACGTCGTTCTCTCAACTGGCCACCTCCTTCCGCCTCTCCTCTGCTCTCCCACCTCATGTTGCACAGCATCAGGAGACATCAACTCTTTCTTACATCTCTATTCCGCCCGCTTCTGACAACCCTATCTGAGCCGGCGAGGCCGGCGAGGGTTGGCTTCCACTCTGTCACTCTGTGTTCTCGGGCGGTCGTACTCCCGGTATTTCTTCACCGCCGCGGTCTCCTTAAAGACAGCCCGATACCCCCTCGCATCACCTACCCTGCCTTGGTCCTCCAGGCGGGATATCAGCAAGATGTCTAGCTCAAGGTCCTCTTCACAGTACGGCCGGGACACGTGGGTGCCAGGACAGGCCGTCCTACAGCCCACTATCGGACACGATGCTAAGGTTGAGGACATGGACCTGGACAGCATGGATGAGCATCCAATTATCTACTTTCTGACCCCTGCCCCGTCCTCGTATTGCGATGATTCAGCCATGGACTTCGATATGGAGTTCGACGCCGGGATCGAGGACGCCAAACACTCGCCTCAGGTCGTACGAAGCGTCAGCCCGTCGAGCCTCGGGGGGTTCAGCCGGCCACCTCTCCACCCTCCCACGCCGCCGAGGTCACCAGCAACTCCTGATTTGGAGTCGGACCTGTCCGCCACGCCGGACGACAACGAACAATATGACTACATGGTTCCTTCTTGGCCGCCCAGGCCTGCGAATCCGCCTGGTCTACCCCACCACCTCAAAAAAGACAAATTCAGGGGTGCCCCAAAGCAAGACGATAGGAAGACGCACGGCTTGTCACCGCTGTCATCAACTCGGTCCCTACGTGACTCAACCCGGGGCCGCGCCGTGACAAAGTCCGGTGCGAAACCCTCCTCGGCCTCGACGGGGAGCAGCGCCGCTCGGATGAGACGGCCCCCGGGCACCCCTGCCCGTCTGTCCGCGCATGCGTGGCGCGAGCCGAGCCCAGACGTCTGGTCCATCGAAGAGGAACCTGAGCAGGAACCGCATAACGAAGTGAAGGATGGCAGTGCCACTCGGTACGGAACGACAACAAGAGCGGTAGACATCCCGGCTGCAAAGCCAAAGAAGAAAGTTCGGTTCGTGCTGCCGGCCATGGACGATGACGATGACGGTAGGGGCGTTCAGCATTGATTCGGCGTATGGGTGGATCATTCGTGCATTTTCTACTGCATATCATGGTGTCCAGTTTGTTCTCGTCTCGTATCTATCCCGGGGTTGGCTTGCAATGGTCGTTCATGGCTTTTTGCTTTCTCTCGGGCATCCACTGGAAAGGGATCGGTGAGAGAGATTGCATGACACTGGCTAGGTGCAGGTAGTTGGGTAAGGTACACAAGTACCGTAATCAACTCGGACATTGTGTTGCATTGTCTTTCCTCTAGCACATAGCAACTGGCACTGCCGCTGTGAGGTGATAGCTTGATTCATTTACCTTGAACTTGAATAGAGAACAGGAATGAAACTCACACCATTACACGCACAATCCCTCTCTATCTATTGATTTATCGCCTTCCCTCGGCTGACTCGAAGTCCGCGAAACGCCAACCAACCTTCCATCGTGGTGTTGAGTACTAGTAATTATTGAAGGAAGATGTGGCGGTCAACTCCATACACCTCACAATTTATCAATGAAAAGCATCAGTTTCGGCATTTGCTCTCCAGAGCCAATCTCTGTCGTAGAAGCAGGTGGATCTTGCTTGTACTTGTACTAGAAGCCACCATAGGTGGTTACCTTAATGGGGATAAAATTTACCACAGCAAGTGTTGACCGCCGACCCCGATGCACGGCACATTCTGAAAGGGTGGCGGTAACACACTGACACTGGCTACCTAGTATCTAGGTAGGTAGAGTCAGAATCAAAAAGATCAACATCCATGGAATCCGCAGATGGAAATGTTCCTTGTTCGCACTTGCCACTACCACTATGACCGTGATCACAATGGACATAGTAACGACAACGGCGATTATAACGATAGCGACGGGGGCAACGGGCTACCTAATTAGGCATTCACCGACCCTATCCCCCTCCCTGACATGTTAGGGAACTACTAGTAGGCGGAACATGCAAGTGCTGGTGGCCGTTTCACCAACGTTGTAGTCCAGATTTCTACCTTAGACCTGATGTGGCACTGCCGCCGCAGGCCCCGGCGTTAGAGGAGGGGCGCAAGCGTGAGGTATGTTCGTGTGCAATGTATGTAAGGTACATCAAGTATATATGCCCGGGCATAGGTGGCTATTTCCTAGAGCATCGTTCAACAGCACAGCTCTGATCTTGTCATCCGTCTCGATTGAAATGAGGATAATACTATGCTGTTGCTAGTAATACTAATTCTCAGGTTACAGGTATAAGTACTGCCAAATCCGTGTTCAGTATTTTAACTACCTTACCCATCTGAAAACAACGTCACGAGAGAACCAGTGCCAACTAAGGTACCTTATCCTTATCCCCGCGGATAGTATTAGATACTTGAGGGCAGCAACTGCCCATCTGTACTATGTGCAAAACTCTGACTTGACTACACCGCCGGCATGGAGGGAATATGACTCCCCTACGTTCCTTACCTACTTGTCTAATCCCTAACAGCTAAGTGACATGCTTGGTCTTCCGTATAACTCCTTGGCCTTACTGACTACGCAGTGGCCAAAATGTATCGCAGCGAGTCTGCACTTTACAGTCTTGGCACCGCGTTCGCAGCTAAAGATTCCCAGGTCAGCAGACTAACAGCTTCGCCACCGTGAACGTAGACATGCAATCGGTGGAGACTGGGCGGCGTAATAAGCCCTCGTGACTTCTCCGCGTTGCCATGGCTGCCACACGTTTACATGAGGTAAAGTTTGGGCAAGTTACCTTACGTGTCGCCACACAAGCATGACGATTGGCGGCATTTCTGTTTTCGCGTCGGAAACGTACCTGGGTAAACAGAGACACTTTATCTGCTTACTCGACGCTCGCCCCTGGCTTTCTTTATAATCGAAACAGAGCCACATCCCCCCTCTGATCACGGATCAACATTTTCCTACCTACCTACCTGTCCTCACCTCAAACGAGATCCAGAACCCTACAATTCGCACACTAGCACCATGGCACACCGTCTCCGAGACTGGCTAAGACGCCATCTGGCACTGCATCAGCCATCTCATACCACGTCTCCTGCAACATCTCCTGCAACATCTCCCGCAACATCTCCCGCAACATCTTTAACGGCACCTCCGTCCTACCAAGAAACCACATGCCCTATCCAAATTGATGCGCTCCCAGACTTCGACCGAGTCCCCGATCGAATTCCTTACTTTAGCATACTCCCATTTGACCCGGATGCCCCAGTTCCGCACGACTTAGCTGATGTTGCACGCTGGATCGCCTCTATCGCTGCGAGCGCGGCACCAGGCACAGTAGTGGCCGTTGCCGCTGGTTGCGCAAACATCGTCGCAACTTTGGCGTATTGGTATGCCACGTTTTCATATCAACGCGGAGAGGCAGGTACTCCGATGTCCACGTCAGCGGTAGTCAATGGTCTTATGTTAGGCTACTGACTGGCACCTGGCCATAGGAGCCTTGACGGAGTCAGCGCCTGTATGTTCGGAGTCGTTAGGTAGATGCAAAGGCATCGGAAATCACCGGTCCATGCTGCCACGACTGCTCGCCGGGTTGCCAACCTAGCCCATGCAACGGCACGACTCATTGCCAATGGTGTCGCTGCGTTGGAACATACGCAGGACACGGACGAAGAGAACAATCAAGCATGCCATCTTCCCGACAGAAGCAGGACACTGACGGACACGGTGACGAGAGATCCCATCGTCGCTAGGATTGTCGCCGAAACTGTTGCTGCTCTTACTGCCGCCGCTCAAGATGTCGAGATCGTCGCTCCTCTCCATCCAGCTCCGCCTCAGCCGCCGCATCAAGTCCCAACTCGCGGGAGAAGCCTGCTACCGTCTCAGACGATCATGGTCCATAAGAGTCGCAGGGCTTTTTTTTAGGGGAGTCGCCACCAAACCTGGCCATCGTCCAACGATTCGGAGACCCTGTCGCAATCAAACTAGGTAGCTGAAATTGAAGTTCTTTGGACAAACCTATACTATCTTCCGCTTAGCTTTTGGTATACCATGCTCCGGAATTGCATTTTGCGGCCTGCCTCTAGGACACCTAGCAAAAGCTCGCTAACTTCCGGTGAAGTACCCATTTTTGCGATTGGGATGTGAATTCGTGGGCAGATGGTACAGTCCTTCACTAATATCAAGAAAAAGGAGAAGCCGAGAAGAAGATAACAATCTCAATCCGACGTGCCGTCGCGAATAGATACGATACAAGTGACCAGAGACACTACAAATAAGGGAAAGAGCATAACCTGTCGGTGACGAAACTGTCAGGTATTCGATCAATGTCCGTAAAATAAAAGTGTCCAGTCATCTAAATGGAAACAGCGCGGCGAAAGGCCCAGAAGGGCCATTTGAATTCTCGAGAACTTGAAGTTCAATGTGCCTGTCCCAAGCTGAAACGGAACCGCTCTTTCCTCTTGACCGTTGGCTTACGGCATAATGAGGAAGGTGCAGAGACAGCTTAAGTCGGCCGGTGTGGACTGCTCGTCAGTCGCAACTTCCCTTCCAGGTTATACTAGAAGTAGAAAGAGCCATAGCTGTATGGCCTTCATTCTGCTTGACAGATCAAATTTTCACTCAACTTGAACCCGTTGGCACCTCGTCCTGCTCGTCGTTCTCACGCCTGCAGAGTCCTTCGAGTCTTCAATTTCAAGCACCGGTCAGAGACGGATCTCCCTGCCGCTGTTCAAAGGTTTGAAATCCTCGCATGATACTTCTATATGTTTGCCGTACATCTTTAGGGTATCGCTGATCTTTCTTCAAGCAGTCGCATCCAAACCCACCACCATGGACGCCGGAACGCTTTTTCCTCTTTATAGCCTCCCGACCATGACCAGCACTATCACCACGGCGGCCAGCAACACAATCACTATCATCATCACCCCCACCGCGGCAACCAGCACCATCACCACCACCGTCACCAGCACCATAACCAGCACCGCCACTGTGTTGGCAGCAGCAGCGGGGGCGACGGGATCGACAGACGTCGACCCCGTCGCCGTCTTAGACATGGTCGCAAACTGGGCCTAAGTGCCCTACCTAAACTCCCTCCTCGCGGGCTGCGGAGTCAGTCTCTTGACATTCCTCCGCCGCAGGTGGCGCCGCCGGGGCAGACAACTGCAGCAGGAAGAGGAAGAGCACGAGCTGCAGCAGCGGGACCGGGTTCTCATGATTCTCTCTCGTGAGATTTCCCGTGAGTGTCGCTCCGCCATGCACACCACCATCCAAGAGCTGGGGGTTCTTCCCCCACAAGGCATAGACGGTGTGAAGTGAATTCGAGAATTAACCGACAAGGTTACTGGGAAGGGGATGGCCGCGGCGGACCTTAGCAACGTCATACGAGAGTTGGGATTTTAATTTTCTTTTTTCTCTTTTCCTCTGGCGGACACACACGTGGATTGCTCTGAGAACAACAGACTGAGACCTAGGCGGCTAGGCGAGGGCGTATGGGTATGACCGTTGCGTAGGCACAGTACAGGAGCGAGGCGCTGCCCGGATCATTTGTGCTGGCTATCTTCTGCCTGGCCAGACTTGAGGCTGCTGCTCTGAGGTGCGCTTGGAACTATCCGGTAGCGGGGTATGTATGGCAAAAGACGGGAGGTGGCAGAATGAGAGAATTGGCGGGCTTCTTCTGCGAACAATCGGTCTGCACAGTGCACACCCAAAGAGCGTCCTATGTGATGATGGCCCTGCCCCGTTCTCCTTATTACTCAACCGAGCTTCTTCACCACTCCAAGCCCCAAATGCACGGTGACGGAAGTAGTATGGCATTTCATTAGCATTACAATGCGGATGTCCCGAATAGCTAGATTGATAGGATTCATAGTCTGAGGTCGTTTCTGGTGGTCAATTGATTTCTGACATGCCGAGCACGGCAATGCAAGATCCCCAGCTGATCTTCGGCGGTTTCCTACACAGTAGAGCCTGGACGTGGAAATGGGTCTCGGAGCGAACGGAGATCCGTGTGGAGACCGTGACCGCGAAGCGGGGCAAGGTGGACTTCCGCCCCGCGCCGCGAATTCATTGGATGAGAGGTTGCCCTGGCGTTGCTAGGCAGCGAGGTTTGTTTATGGACGTCAACCTCTGTGTACGAAGGATTGCAGAAATAGCGAACGTTATTAGTGACAAGTGTAGGAGGGCCGACGAGAGCATAATTGAATGTACATGGTTGTCTAATCAATCCCAAGGCTGAGTTTGAAGTTTTGGCTAAGGTACCGCAGTCGCCTGTTGCTGGTCTCTGTTGGCGGCCCAGCCTCCCGACCCTGGGCCCCAACCTCCCGGTTTCTGGGTGAACCAGTCTTGACCACAACACCATCCTGCTGCAACTGGTCTTCTCCGTCATTCTACCAACCAGCCAACAGATATCCAACTTTATAACAAGCGTCTGAATCCACATTCGCCCGTAGGGCTCTATTTTGTCTCGTGTTGAATTGAGCCTCTTTCCAACCCACGGCAACTGCATCAACAATCTTTCCGTCTCGATTGGCTGGTTGACCAGCAAGAACCAGCCAAGCGCGAGCACCGGCAGACATTCTACAGGGACACTTGAAGCGGTAAACTCCCCAGGCCACCATGCCTGCGATCATCAGCAAGCTACTGCGCGCCCGGTCCGATGCCGCGTCGCTGGGCCCGCTTGCTGTTCGCTCGATTCTCCTGGCCCGAGATGCGACCCCAGCAGAAAATGATCCGTCCAAAGGCGCCCTCCGTCCGCAGGAAATCAACAACAATGCTGTCTTTGCAATCTTCGGCCTCTTGGGTGCGGGCTTCGTCATAGGTGGCATTTGGTTCTTTTTCTGGGCTAAGAATGGCGGTTTCTACTTCAAGAAGGGTGATTGGGATGACTACAAATCCACGGTACTCCGGCGCAAGGGTCCCAACGGCACCATCTACTCGGATGCCACTCCCAGCACTATTCTCGGCGGCGGAAGTGTCTACAAGGACGTGGACGACGGCACAACTACCACGGGAGACGACCTGACCACGGTCGTGAGCGCTACGACAGGCATCACGGGTATTACCGGTGGCGTCTCCGACTTCTCTGGCCGTGAGAAGCGTCGCAAGAAACGGGAACAGAAGGAGCGCGAAAAGGAGCGCCGGCGCGAGGAGAAGGCACGCGAGAAGGAGGCGAAAAAGAAATCGCGGCGCAAGGTCGGGGAGGATGGCATCATCGACGAGGAAGCCGAAGCCCAGGCACAGGAGCAGCTCCGCAACTACCGTCACGAGAAGCCCGCCCGCGTCGGGGGCATCAATCGCGAGTCGGATGCCTCCACTTGGGACGGCTCGACCAACCCGAGCTGGTCGACCATGAGCCCCAGCCACGCGGGCGGTGCCGACAGCGAGGTCACCTCCGAACTTCTCGAAAACCGCCAGCGCACGCCCACCAGCACGCCCACCAAGAAGGACGGCAAGGGTGGCGGCATCCGCAAGGTGTACTCGACCGCCGACAAGAACGCAGTCCGTGAGAACGAGCGCCTCCGGGCCGAGGCGCGCCGCCTGCAGGAGAAGGGTCGCGCAGCCGCCTCTGCCTCTGCCTCCGCCTCCTCCAACATCAAGCGCGACTTTAGCTTCATCCGGGGGGCCGACGAGGCCATGGCGCTGCGGCGCATCGACGAGGTGCCGGCCGACGAGAGCGTCGTCAGTGCCTCGACCAACACTTACTCGGAGAAGTCGGCGGCGGACGAGCACCGGCGCCGCGCCCGCTCGCGCTCGCGACACCGGAGCGCGGCCGCAGCAAGCGATCGCGAGTCGCGCGTGCCGGGTGGCTGGGCGGAGAGCGACGCCGGCTCCACTGATGTCGGCACCAAGGTGTACCAGCATTCGCACCATATCCCGACGGGCTCCGTCGCGGCGTCTTCCGTTACGGGCACATCGGTGGTTGACTATGCAGAGGATAAGAGGAAGAAGAGAGGCGGTGCTGGCGCCAGGAGACATCGGGACAGGCGCGATGACGCGGAAAGCGTTGCGTGAGAACGATGCTCTCCGGTGATGGGACGATAAGGGGAGAACACGAAATGAGTGGTTGACGACGGAACATATGAAGCGACATGAAAGCGAGCAGGATCGTGGACGGGCGTTTGTGGTACACTTAGCCTAGATGCATGTTTGGGTGGATAATGTCGGCAATGACCATTTGTAGGGTACGATGAGGAGTATGTCAGACGATCGCGTCTCAGATAACGGCGCTTGCTTTCCCCGTAATTTCCAGCTGTTTGAGTTTCTGCCGTCAGCGAGTCATGATTCCCTTTGTTCATGCTTACATTGTAATCGACTTCTGTGAACGCCAACCTGAATGTATTGTACCACCGCACTCGGATCCGGCGCCGCTGATCAAGGTGTACACGGAACCAGATACCATCGACAGCTGTTCCCTCTTCAGCCCTCTTCAGGTGTCTTTTCAGTTTAGTAGACATTCTACCTATGTAAGTGGAAATATACGTTCTCCTATGGTCTGCAAGGCTTCCCGTCGGACGCGGCGTACTCCGTTGCACAGTATCTGCTCGGCCTCAAGTGGACCCTGCCGCGGCAGACAAGGGCTTTTGTCCGGCCCGGTGCAACCTCTCCAGGATCTCCACCAGACCGCTCAAGGTTGAGATGATGTCACGGCCACGCTGTCAAGGTTCTGGCCCGCCCGTGAGGAGAGAGACTGCAAAGAGCTTGATGCGGTGAGAGCTGCTTCGAGATACTCTGCCCTAGTCATGAGCAGGTTCTAGGTTGCTGTCCACAAGGTCTCACACGGAAGCAATTGCAACTCAAGCCGGCAAAGGGCGGGCTGCGCGAATGTGCACGGATGGCCTTCGAAGGTCTCAATTGCACCCGATGATTTGCGCAGCTGGCGGGGAGGACGGGAGCCTGAGGTGTGCAGCCCATGCTCCCAGCCTCCCGCCACCGAAGAAAGCCACGGATTTGGTATGGCAGCCCTGTCCAGAGCTGCAGGCCAAGGAAACTGGAAGCAAGTTGCTGCAAAGGTGAGGTGTGGGCGGGGCAGGTCACTCTTACCTCGAGTGTTTACCTTGCAAGCTGCCACCCATTGTTCATCGTCATTGGCACAGCGCGTAGCTTGCGGCGCTGCGTCCGACGGAGGAAGCGTCAGCGCTGTTCGACAGCTTTCGCTTGACCGTCTCCGACACGAAAAAGGCGGCGCAGGTTTTGGAATCCCGCTCCTCGAGCCAACGTTTCAACAGTCATTTCCTCTCGACAATTCTTTTGGTGTTGCTCTCATCATTGTTGCACGACTTGGAGGGTGCTTCCAGGTCACGGAGTACCCCCAGTCCGGAGCTTCGATCCAGAGTCTTTCTGCAGCAATCCGTAAATCGACCAGCCCATTTGACGTTCGAGTTTGATGGCCACAGTGCCGCAACCTCTTTCCTCTGCACACCGTCATCCTCAATTTATCAATTCCAAGCGCTCATGATCAGCCTCATTTAGCCGTGTTCCCCCTGCCGTCTGCTGAACCGCCTGGGGAGCGGACGGATGTGATCTCGACTGCAGATCGTCGGCATGCGGCTCACCTCGGTGAGCGGGGTAGGTTGGTCCCGACCGATCGTCCCGTTACCCTGGATACACACTTGTTGATTTACCCCCTGGTCCCAACCCAAACTGGCATGCAGCACCTAATTGGAGGCTCCTTGCCGTCACAACGGGTGGATGCTTCGTCAATAACCCGACAGGAGGGCTTCTAAGTTCACGTCATACCACATCTCTTCATTACATTGCCGGGCTTGAATAATGCAAGTTGCTAACCTGCCCTCTGTCCTTGTCCTCTAGAACCATGTCACCCGCCAAGGAAGACGAACCACACCCCGCCGACCCCGAAACACCACGGCGCACTCTCGCTGCCAAACACGGAAATGGGCCGGCGACGCCAACAAACACACGAGCTTCGGCTCAAGCACGCGCGACACCGAAGAGCGCCCCCGCAGCTTCCGGCTCAGGCTCGTCCAACAAGAAGAAGCCGGAACCGAGCTTGCTAAACGACTTCTTCCTCGGCCGTCCGTCGCCGGCTCGCGTCGTAGCCCAGCGGGAAGCCCTGAAACAACGCCGAAAGAGTATGGCGGCGGATGCGGCTAACGTGCGGGAGGAATTGCGGCAGGAGATGCGCGCGGCGGCAGTGCGGAGGCTTCAGCAACCCGGCGGCGTGAGGGATCGAGTGAAGGCATGGCAGAAGGCGAACGCGGCGGCGATGAAACAACAAGGAGGCGGGATACCGCACGCCGAGGATGTGGCTACCGAGCCGACCGAGGTTGCTGTTCATCTACCTCCAGAAAGCGTGACGGAGAAAGACCGCGTACGCATCAAGATGCGACAGAAACCGAAGAAGAAAAAGCCAAAGGCTGAAAAGATCGAGGACAAGGAGAACCACGACGACGGGGATGGCGAAGAGACGGAGCGCGAGAACCCCGGTGCAGCCAAGCCGGGTGCAGTGAAACCGAGCGCCGCATCCAAGGAACCGCCGGTTGTCAAACTCGCGCCGAAGAAGAGGATCGTCAGTGACGACAACTGGATGAAGCGCAGGAATGGGAAGAGCCCACCCAGAGCCGCACCAAAACCAAAGGTTGAAGCAAGTCCAAAACCGTTACCGAAGGACTTCTTGCAACGCACGGCCCAGAATCCTTCCGTGCAAAGCAAGATCAAGGACTGGGCCCAGAGAGTGGAGCTTCCTGAGCCTGAACCGCCCAAGGTGAAGAAGTATCGGCACAGAAAGTCCGGGGCGACGGTGACCGTTGAGGAAGACGCCACGAGTGTGGGAGCGTCCGAACCCGAAGTGGTTGTAGCCCCGCCTAAGCCTAAGTCCCCGGTTGATGACGGCATCCGAATCAAGCCTGTGAAGTCAAGGAAACCGAAGTCTAACACCGACGACGGCATTCGGATAACTCCTGTGCGAAAGAAGGAGGCGCAGGATGATGGGATCCGAGTGCGACCAATCGATACCAAGCTGCCAGACGATGGGATTCGGGTCCGCCCCATTGGAAGCCCACGGCCGGATGATGGCATTCGAGTACGGCCCAGCCGGCAGATGCCTGCTGAAGAGACACCTACCCGCATCGGCTCATCCAGGTCGACGTCTGTTGAGACGAGAAGCAGAGTGCCAAGCACGAAACAGGAGCCTCCTTCGCATGATGTGATAGAGGTTTTCGTGGAGCCCGAGACGGAGATTGAGACGCCGACGAGGAGGAAGCCCTCTCGGCGCCGGTCGAGACGACGGAGCCGTAGTCCCAGCCCGATTGTACGGACCGTGGAACCCCCAGACGATCGACATTCCGGGTCGGAAGCAACGCATCCCGTCCCTTCAAGAGTCAACTCCGATGACGAGTCCGAGATGATACCCCCGACAGTCGGAGGGAACAAGTCACTGGCGGATATCCCGTTTGGATATTCGGCATTCAGTGAGCTTGACTTGCCACTGGGCGCTGATGCGCGAACCAACGCCAGGAGGCCGAAACCGCAACAACGGACCCAGAGCTTCAAAGCGATGCCGAAGGTGTTCAAGAAAGTTGTGACAGGCGCGAAGGACATCATTCAAGAGATGGCTGAACCTCCAAAGCCTGTCGTGGCAAACAAACCGCGGAGCATAGAGTCGTGGCTCAACGATACGGTTGACCCGTTCGTCGAATCCACTACTAAAGAAGCTACCGTCAAGGAGGCACACACCTCGGAGTCAACGCCTCAGGTGCAAGAGGACAGTGCGGAGCCGACCCCGGAGCTAGTAAAGTCAACACCGGAGAGCCAGAAGCGCTCGCCATCAATAAGGGCGCCGCCGAAGAAGCGGTCATCATCAATCAAGACGCCAACCGAGTCTCGTTCAAGAGAGACAGTTACCTCCGCCACGCCTGAGAAGCCGGAAAGTCAAGAAACTACAGACTCACAGCGAGAGGATAGCGATGTGACGCCCAAGGGAGTCAAGTCCTCTGGCACTCCACCGGCGGGGTTGAGAAGGAGACGGGCGACTAGAGTCGCCGCATCTCCGGCAAAGTCGGGTGGTAAGAAGCCGTTCCGTGAGCTGCTGAAAGAAGCTTTCCGGGGAGAATCTGGTGGGCATAAACTCCCGCCCACAGTCTACTCTAGCTACGAGACCGACGACAACAGGGGAAGCGATCATGAAGAAGACGACTGGGAGTCCACTGACGACCAACGCCCTTCTGTGGAGCGCAGCAGGGGCCCTGCTTCATCCGACTACTCGTCCGCCCACTACTCGTCTACATATGATTCGACCCTCTCATCTGATCTCACGAGTCAAGATCAGTCCCGAAGGAGACCGCCGACTAAGGGAGTGCATAAGCTATCCACTATTGTGTCGGAACAATCCGGGAACGCGATAGATTCAGAGACACTGTCCGATGTCTCCCAAACAACCGTCACTCAGACGACCGCATTCACAAAATCCACAGAGATCTCGAGACACAAGAGCCAGAAGTCGACCCTCAAGCGCCGTCTCACAAAGCACTCAGATCTGGTCTCGGTGCTCTCGCTGCCGGACAATGGGCAGCTGATCCCACCGAGCCGGTCGAAGAGCATCAAGTCATCGCGCAACCTTCACCGCCGGCCCAGCAAAGCGAGCCGAGACAGGGTCGATGATCTGCTAGACGAGTTTGCCGATGATGAGCATTTTTACGGACGGGAATTGAAGGCTCTCGTTGACGGCGTCATTCCAGTGCTGTTAAGGGATGTCATGAACAGCGAGGCTAGGGATGCAAAGGCGGACACGACCGCCAAATCCGTGATCAACATGGGAATGGCGCTGGAGAAATTGAGGGACTTCCATCGGCGTGTGCCGCTCGCAGATATGGGAGCCCTCCTCTTCTGGTTTGAGGATGTTTCGCCAGTTTATGACAACTACCTGGACGTCTGGCGACTAGGCTTCCAGGGGCTGATCATCAACCTCGCGCCGAAAAGTGGCCGCTTCGCCGACGACGATTCGCTTCTGAATGCACTCCCGCTGAACGAGGACGGCGATGTCGTCGGGAAGCACGGCGAGCGGGTTGACGTTGCGTTTCTTCTGAAGCGGCCGCTGATCAGGGTCAAGTGGATGGTTAAGTTCCTCAAGGTGAGTCCATCCCTTGCCTGCCTCATCCCGAATCGACCTGTGCTAACAAAGAATCGCAGGCTGCGGTGGCAGTTACAGGGTCTCACCAAGCTGAGCATCTGCTTTCAGTCTTCGTGGCCCTCCAGGAGAAGGCGCGTAAGCGGCACAAGGAAGAGACGGCTCGCCTGATGGACGAAGATGCGAACAATACAGACACCACTCGTTGCCGAGATCTCCGGAACTTGCTACCACTTGACGGCGTCATGATGAACCGGACACGCCAAGTCGCCGCATTGGATGTCTTCTCCCTTGATTTAGTCCACTCAAGCGGCCAGCGACTGGGGTGCGAAGTTGAACTCATTTACAGGGATAGCCCGGCGCTCCCTAGCGACAAGGGAGACATACTCATCAGAGAACTTGGGAACAGCACTCGATCATGGCTCCTGTTCCCTCCGGTCCCCAGGCAGAATATTTCCGCCCGGTTGGGTGACGACGACTGCTCGCTCATCGCCATGATACGCGGCTCGCACAACGGGAACGAGTGGTTCGAGCTCCTCAAGCTATCGACCAACAACGAGGAGCAGATCGAGTACTGGCTGCGCGTCTTAGGGAGCCACCCCATGCCGCCAGCAGCTCGGAAGAGGCCGATCAGTATGGTGCTGGAAGTTCCAGCGTCACCCAAGTCGGGAGAGACGGATGTCCCCGTCGGTGAACGCAGCCTGGGCGCTTCAACATTGGAATTCTCCGACAGCGAGAGACCTAAGACGCCGCCGCAATACTACTCTCGGCAGTGCGACGGCGATCCTTTACCTGCTTCTTCCACTAGTCCTCCTCCCGATAGGGCGCCGACCACGGAGAGCTGCCCACAAGACACCGCGGAGGACGAACGAAAGCCATCTTCTCTGGCGGCGCCTGCGTCCGGCATACCAAAAATCGTGAAACAGCCGCCCAACACCACACCGTTTCGTGAGGATGGGGCTCCGCCTCCACCTATCCACCGCACGCTGGGTCCGAAGAGCTCTGCCTTACTCGCGCCTCCCGTGGAAGTGGGTCCCCAGGGTCGACTGAAGCGCCAACGGTCATCGCCACTGAAGCATGAATACCATCCATCCGACGTCTCCTCGGACAGCTCCACCACTGTAAGCGATGACGAGTCCGAATCGTCCCAGCCGTCCAGCGACGACCTGGACGAGGATGAGGTGCCCGACACCATTCCCGGGTACAGCATCAAGGAGCCCGAGGTGACCCCGGCCGCGTCGGCCGTGTCGGAGAACAGCATCACACCGTCCAACTCTGCTTCCCAGGTCGCAGCCGCAAAGCAAGGCAATGCGCAGCCCGAGCGGCCGGTGCAGAAGTTCGTGGCGTGCGTCTCCTACTGGTCCAGCAGGAAGGGCCAGTGGAAGGACATCAACAATGGACAGGCCGCGTCCATCGTAGTGCATCCCGGCTGCATGGAGGTGCACCATCTCAACGAAGAGCGGTCCAATCGACAGGCATACCCGTTGCAGTCGTCGGGGACATCGGAGGTTGACAACAGCAACAAGGACGCCGGGAGCATCGTGCCACTTGTCGTGCTGGTCCTGACTCCGGTGGTGATGATCCGCCGCAGCACTGCGCTTGACCTCGAAGTCCGCAGCCCGGCGTCCCCGGAAGCACGGCTGAAGCTCGAGGCTAGCATGTTCCGCTTCCGTGCGGCAACACAGAACGAGGCCAAGAACCTCTACGAGGCGGTGCACATCAGTCGCCTGAACAACGCGCGGTACATCCAGCTCAGCGAGGAGGCGCGCGTACAATCGTTTGGCCAGATGCAGGCCATGCCAGGCGAGGGCAGCGCGGACGGCGACACGTCGAGCCGTCGGCGGAGCTGGTTCGGGCGCAAAAACAGCTACCGTGCATCCACCCGAGCCCCCAGCGTCTCCCAGGGCAGCATCTCCACCACCATCTCGGCGAGCAGCTTCCTCAGGCGCCTGATGGGTGGCGGCAACAACACGTCCTACAACATCGACGAATCTACCCTCGACAGGCAGCGACCAGCCACAGCAGCCCCGGCGGTCGGCGGCGGCAGCCTGTATACTTCGAGCTCCGGTTCGGGTTCCGGCTCGGGCTCCGGATCGGGATCATCCACCCCGCCTCGCAGCTTCTCCGTCTCCCTGTCCGGCTCAGGGAGCCACAGCCGGTGGAGCTCCGGCTTCGCGAAGCCCTTCTCACCCGAGCAGCCCCTCGAGATCCGCTGCCATCTCAACGTGCAGAACAACCGGTGGCTCGACAAGGGCGACTGCGTGCTGCACATCAGCCGCCCCCCGCCGGGCGTCCGGCAGGAGCTGCCGCTGTACCACGGGCTGGAGAAGCGCGTCATAGTCACGCACGCGACTAAGAAGAGCGGCGCCGGCGGTGGGGACAACAACAACAAGCCGCTCATCCTGCTCGATGCGGTCCTGGGCTCCAAGAGTTTCAGTATGTTGGGCACGAAGGGGGTGATGTGTAGCGTGTGGGAGGATTTGAGAGATGAGGAAGGGAATGTTGGGGTGGCGCGCAAGAATGGCGCCGTCGGCGGGAAGGTCACCAAGTGGTGCTTCCAGTGCAAGAGCGTGCAGCAGGCCGAGTGGATCATGAGATTGCTTACCTCAGAGGTGCCCGGGTTGATGATGGGCTAGTAAGAGGGGCGTCGTTTGCATTTGGATTAGGGATTTTGGGAGCTTTGGGTTTGATGGAGGGGTATCGCATGGTTAGGAAAGGGAAAGGGGAAGGGGAACGGAAGGAGTTGTGACGGAACGGGACTGTTTCGGTCGGCTGGTATCATGGTTTGGATGGGCGATGGGACAAGCGGGCTTATTAGGATCCGGAGTTTATCATCTAGCATTTCCCTAGACTTTTGGCTCATTTTTTCACTTGCTGCTTCCTATAGTATACCCACCTCAGCGATAGATTTGTTACTTAATACCTAGACCGCATAGCTGGTTGTTTGTGAGCCTTGGCCAGGAATGTCATGATCATCCATTCCGCTGCGAGCTGGTTCTGGTATTGCATGTTAGACGAGCTTCCCCATTCATATAAACAGTAGCTGCGTACAGTCAGTCTCTTTTGTTCCTCACTTGATATAAACGGAGTACATTGAAAGTGACTCGGACTCTCAGAGCTTCATAAAATTCATAGAGCTCACATTCCTATTGTCTTAGCTACATTATTAATATGTACTCTGAATATTATCGTCATTGATGGGGCTCGGGATCCCGGGCCGTGTGTGCGCTAGTTGCACAATAGGTGCATATGTGCCTTGAAAACAAGCTTGTGTTAGATCAATACAAGCCACCCCTTGCTAAGCAGCATCATTATGCAACTACCCACTTTCCGGAAACAGGCTGAGCTGTGATGCAAACGACGCGTTTCCTGCGCGACCTCACTCCTACACAAAGAATAAACCTGACATCCGACTTGCCAACATCGCGCTCATCAAAAGTCATAACCACGAGGGCTATTATCCGCTCAATTCCCTCCCTATAATACTCTACGAGACAGTATTCGCGCAGAATCGTTGATTTTTCTTTTCTTTTCTTTTCTTTTTTTTTCGCCCTTCATCCAGCGCTGCGACAGCGCGACATAGGCGGAAAGATGGCGGACTACAATTCCATGAAGGTCCCCGAGCTGAAGAAGCTGCTCAACGAACGGGGGCTTCCTCATACTGGCAACAAGGCAGAGCTCATTGCGCGCCTCAGCGAAAACGACAAGCAGAAGGCGGCGGAGGCCGCGGAGCCGCAGGCCGGTAAGCCTTCCTTTCATCCTCGACCGATTCCATCTCTGCGAGGCGCTGTCGCCGGAATTGGTTCGACCGCACTTTTCTCTCCATGGGCCCGCGACTTCTCTTGCGGTGATAAACGCCAACAGAACGCGGACTTGGCCGATCGGATTCGTGCGCTACTGTACAAGCTACTAGTAGCTTGACTCGAAGGATCGCTTCGCGGCGGCCTAACGTTTATGATGAGAGCTCCCCGCTGACCTCGATCTCCCTCCGTCGCTAGACTCCAGCAAGCAACCTGCCGCAGAGGACGAGATCGACTATGAGGACGATGAGGTCCCGACCACCAAGCCCGCCGTAGATAAGAAGCCCGCGGCTGCCGCTCCTCCGACAGAGGAGAAGCCCGCGGTGACCGCGGCGGCTCCTGCTCCCGCACAGCCGACGACCACCAGCAAAGCGGATACCAACGGCACTGCCCCCACCACCATCAGCACCACCACCACAGAGACCAAGAGCGCCGGCGAGAAGAACAGCAACTCCACACCCGCCGAAGGTACCACTACCACCACTACCACTACCACCACCACTGCGGGCCCGGAGCAGCCCGCCAAACCGCTCTTCACCCAGAACCTGCCGCCGACCGACGCCAAGACGGAGGCCGAGAAGCGCGCGGCCCGCGCGGCCCGCTTCGGCATGACGGCTGCCGCCGACGACGACAGCAACAAGGACTCGGAGGAGGCCAAGAAGGCGGCGCGCGCGGCCCGCTTCGGCCCGGCCAACGACGTCGTCTCGGCGCTGGACAGCGCGCTGCCGGATCGGGCGCCTCGTAAGCGGGGTCGTGGTGGTGGTGGTGGTGCCGAGGTGGGAGAGGGCGGCGGAGGCGGCGGTAGCGGTAGCGGTAGCAAGGATGAGGAGGGGGCAAGGGCGAATAAGCGGCAGAATCGTGGTGGTGGTGGGAGGACTCAGCAGCAGCAACAGCAGCAGCAGCAGCGGCGGGGAGGAGGGAGGAACCAGCGCGGGAGGAGGCACGGTGGCGGCGGTGGTGGCGGGAATGGGAACGCCAATGCGCAAAAGGGCGCCGGCAAGCCCCAGGCCAAGAGCGTTGCCGTTGATCCGGCGGAGAAGGCCAAGATGGAGGCTAGGGCAAAGAGGTTTGCCGCTGCTGCTTGAGCGTGCTTTTGCCAATGGATGATGCGGTTTACTCTGGCTCTCCGGTTTTCTGGAGGATTGTTCGGGTTCGGGGGTTTTCTTCTATCTTGAAGCACGTCGCGAGCTGTCGTGTCTCCGGTCGGTCACGAGGGTACCCAGATTGTTGGCAGTCGTGGGGTGAGGGAAACCGAACCACTACGCGGGCTATAGGATAGGGGGGCGGAGGAGAACCGCGACACCTACCTTGTAACCATACCACCCCTTATCGTCTTATCTACCACCTCTTTGTTTATCCATTTCGATTTCTTGCTCTGGATGGGCCAAGGACCTGTCTAGGAAGCTATTGGGGACGGCGGGTGACAGGTTAGTGGTATCTTAGGGAGGCGTTTTAGGGTTCTTACTTGGGCAGTGCTGTTCCTCCTCTACCCGTATTTGAGCTGGCTACTAGTAGTGATGAGATCAGGATATGCTACAGGTCTGTAGTGGCACTCTAGCACAATAGGGTAGGTATGCTCGTAACTCACTGCAGCACTTACGTACGGCAAAAAGCCCATGGATCTTGTTTTGTTGCAGGCATATGGCAGTGTATCCTAGGAGGGATATCATGATGTTGGAGATACTTGATACAAAGTACACCGTGGACGTTTGATAGCTACCTGACTGGTAGTAGGTTATAGTTGGAATCTTCCTACTTCCCCACGGCCCATTCACACAATTGCGGGCCAAATGCTTCCTCAGGCCGAGTAGAGCTACAGGATAAGTACTCTTCAACAGCTCTTCGTCACTCTACTGGCATCTACAGTAAGATGAGCTCATTGCATGACAAGCAGGACGATGCAAAACATCAGGCGGGGATGTGCAGGAAAAGTCTTTTACTAGATGCGTCTTTGCCGAAACCAGCCGCTGCAGTCCTGAGTGGTCGAGTTTCGAGATCAGGAAGGAGAGCATGCATGCAAGCTGCAGAGCGAGTCGAACGATTCAGATCGCTCGCGAGCCACAAAGGAAGCTAATGTATGTACAGAATCACTCAGATGGGGACAGCTTGTGGGTTCCCATCCTCGTTGCAACCGTCCTACTGCAAGAAGTGAGCCATCACACGACGGCGACAGCATCACCCACCAGTCAGGACGGCCGCTCAAGGCGGGTCGTTGCATGAAACCCCCCTCTTGGTTCGCCATGCATGCCCGTGGATAGGGCCATCTGGAATGTCATAGGTCAGAGAATGCCGCATACTACCTCAGGGGTAATTTCTCCCCGCATCTGCTCGAGGTCACTGGATCTCGTTGTGGTGAGGACTCGGGACACGATTCTTTTCGGAGATGGATGCAATCAGAGCTGAGAAAATGAGGAGGAAGTTGAAATTGACCGGTAGGTACGAAGTATTCCATGAGAGGCACTTATCTTGCCAGGAGAGGCCGGCCGGATACTGGGCGGGACGGTCCTTGATAATCGCTGGCCACGACCGGGACGGGGCGTCGGCCTCCGCAGATAATGGGATAGCAGGTTGTGATTCGCGGGGAAGGGGTCGTGAAGTAGGGGATGAGGGATCAGCCTGGCTCCGAGTTGACATGCCTTTCCTGGCTCGAGTAAGCAGCACCATCCAACTCCTGGAGTGGGACGGCTGCTAATAAGATATCGTCCCGCCCCTACCAGGTGAGACACCTGCTAGTCTAGGGCGCAGCTTGAGAGGTCGGCCTTGATGTAGACAAGAGTGCCCCAGAGTCACGACGGCGGACATATCATCTGGGCATGTGAACAACGCAAAGTTGGCAGAAAGGGCCTGTCCGGCTGAGACAATGCAGATCAGGGTGCCGGATCGTTGATTTTAACGGTTGGAAGCCCGCGGCATTGGGCCACTGGGTTGCGATTGTCGATGCAAGGCAGCAGACTGGAACAAGGTCCCAGTGTTGCAGAACAAGGACACATGACCTTGGTCCCGTCGACCGTTGGCTGTCGATATCGAGCTGTGTCAATGAGAGCTGAAGGCGGTCCGAGATCAGCATGCCAACAGCAGGAGGTGTTCAGCTACGCCAGCGAACAATTCACTGAGATTGACCCTTGATATGAACAGCGACGCCGGCGCGGCCTAGGCCATGTAGCTAAGTTCATACACAGTAGGTAGGATCGATGGGTGCTGCATTGCTGCACACCATCTTGCGATCTCGTACCAATGGACGTCGCGAAGAGGACTCCAAGAGGTTGCGCTCATACCGCCAATGACGCTCGCGGAACCCCTGCTTTACCGGGACAGGGCCTTCTGAAGCCGAGCTTGGCGGCTCGCGGGGACACGGACGATGATCCAGGGGTCAATGGCCAAGAAGAACCGAAGCGCATCTTTTTCGAGGTTCACTGATCAAGTTGCCCCAACACTGCCCAACAAGCTCCAACCCGTCGTCTCCCTTGATCAGCATGTGCCGTCGTCAGCGCACACTAGAGCAGAGGATAGAGGCTGGCGCAAGTGGGTTGCGCGTTTGCCTCCTCGGATGGCGAGCTTTTCAGAGGCAGCCACTGACAGTTCATCCGGGCATGCCACGTCACCAGCCTCAGTTCACCGTCGGTGTTGGCGATCGACCCGGGAACCTGGTGAACCTGTGGCGGGCCTAACTGTGGCGGAGTGCAGATGCGCAAATGCTGTTGGTAGCGGTCCTGCTAGTGTACGAATGAATACACTACTCGCCACACTCCAACAACGTCGGTCCTGCAGGTTCCAGACTACCGGAGTCGCTCACCGTCGGACGCACCGGCCCCATCGCTTCCGGCACCCATCCCGTCGTTGCCCTGTATTAGTGTATTACTGCTAGAAGACTGCAGACTCCGGGAGTATATGCCTTGCGCCATGCGCAGCAAGGGCACACAGAGCCAACACGATGCCAACTCACACTCTTTCAGCTATCGCGGTTCTCTTCGTCTAACGCTGTATTGTACTTGTACCTTAGCGGGGCGGGGAGGTGTCAGAACCTTCACTGATGGAGAACGCCCATGTGCCGAGAGCCCCGCTTGCCGAAAGAGGGGTTAGCGGGACCTCGTTGACTGTTACGAGACATCTAGATCGATCGGGGGAATAAGAGGTGTCAACACCAACAGTTCTGGAGTTCGGCGATGATCCTGTAGTGGTTCGCAGTTCGGTGAGACACGCATGCATGCAGCAAGATTAACGATGATGGGAAGATGGTGTCCAGAAGAAGCTGAGCAGGGTGGTCCTAACGAGCGATGATGCTCGCTATGTAAGTCGCTGCATGCAGATTGCCCATTCGAGAAAGAACAGTGTAAAACGCACCTGATAGGTCAGAATTCTAGCTTTTTGACCAATGGAAAAATCCATTCGGTCCAACCTAGCCGCTGGGCCACACCCATGCCCGACCATGGTCGAATCGTCTTCATCAGTCGGTAGGCAGGTTGGTTCAGACCTTCAGCAAGATGGACACCTATTTGGCCGGGTAGGGTGTGATTATAAGTGAAGGACTCATGCTGTGTACCCCCTGCACGCTTCACAAAAACACCCTTCCATCGGCGGACGACTACAATCTGCCTCCTGTATTCTTCTCATGTAGTCGAGCTCGTCTTCTGGTATCGAGAGTACGTGCCTGAGTTGAAACGCCATCGATATCCGAACGTGAGCCAACTCTGTGTCGTAAGCAATTATGATGGCGCCCTGATGATGGTGTGCAGGTTGAACTGCATGAGTGTACCTATGTACACCCCGTTGCTAAAAAAGCACCTTCACGGAAGCAACTCTACCCAAGTTTCCGGAGGATCGACGCCAGTGGATCGAATCATCTTTATGTATGTAATATACACTATCCGTACTTAAAAGTACTTGCCACAGCAGGATTTCTTCTCGTGTTACGGTCCTGGGACAGTAGACGGGAACCAACAGTATCAGCTAGCTTGCCGTCGCTATTGTAAGTACATACATACACATCTACATCTGCTACCTTAGTAGTAGTTCGTAAGGAGCTGTATGTAGCTTTTTGCCATTCCCGGTTAAACCGGAGACGCAAACAGGGAGCAACCATGGGTTGTACTCCCGAGTTCCGGGGGGTTCTCCGAGACCTGCCCCGCTTTGCCGTTCAACTTCGCCGCCCGAACTCGGCACGGGGTGGCGACCACATGTTCCGCTTCCAACCGCCTTTCCATCACCGGGCAAAACCTGGGGGATATTGGAAGAATAAGGGGCCCTTCTTCCGTTTGTTGATCACTTTACACTCATACTGTAGATACCGGAAATCACTGCGAGACAGACGAGATTTTCGAGACACCAAATGCAGCAACGTGCCCGCCAGGCGTCTAGGGCCAGCTGCCCAATTGTACCGCAAAATGCGACTTTTGCGCCCTCATAGGGCATGCTCTCCTGCAGCTCCCAGGGCTGTCTTGGCGCACACAGCCGCCCTGCAGGGAAGCGACAGGACCTGAGAGCTTGATGAACGCCGAGCATTAGTGGCCCCGCTCGTTCCCGGCTCCACCGCGCTTGTGCTGCCATTCGCATCGCTTCCATCGCTCCTGCCGCCGGTTGCCTCTGGTCGAACCATCGCAACTTGCTGCACTGCGTCCATGGCTCGCCTTGCCCGCCAGTGGCTCTCGGCAGCTGCCTCCCATTCCTGCGCCGTTTTCCTAGTGGATGAGTCAATGGCTGGATTGCTTGTCCGATCGGCCACCTGCATCTTTTCGGCCCAGTCCAGCTGCTCCCCTGGCCATGTCCTCTCGCTTCAAACCCACATGACTTCGCCAACGTCCCTCTTGTCTCTACTGTGTATGGTCGCTGCCAGCCTCGGGTGTAATTGAGGATGGCTACGCCACTCTCAACAGATAGGCTGCAGATGCAAGTGTCCATACATGGGTAGCATATAGGAATTTTCCGCATCTGTCTTTTCGGCTAACAGGGCTCTTGTCATATGTAGGTAGGTGGCTCCAGATTTCAATGTACGTTACATACATGTATCTTCCCGCCCCCGTCTTGATATCCTGCTGTTTCTCCTGAAAGATCCTTACTCTCCCTTTCTATTCTCGTGCGAAGGCCTCTTTTCCGCTTCGATGACATAAGGCGGCGAATTCTCCTGTCTGCGCCTCGCTGGCCTGCCTTTCTGACCTTCGCGGGTTACAACACATCTTGTTCTACATTCCCTCATCTCACTTTCACGAGCGATATTCGCGGATGTCGAATTCGAGCAGACCCACGAAAGCGCCAGCGCTTCCTGCCCGTGCCGCTCCCCCACCCTCCCGCCACCCCTCCACCCCTCTCTTGGCTCTTCAGGGTTTTCTGTTGATAACTGAATCGGGGGGTTCCTGGAGAGTCGTTACTTTGTGACTCTCTCATCCTTGTTGCCTCTCGTGGTTGACGATTCTGCTCGTCTCGTTGGAGTCGTGCCCGTTACCCCTAATAGTGATCGGAGGGGGGTTATACACCGTCCGTCACACGGCTGGACTTTCAGCGCCCCTGGTACTGTCTCTGCTGCCCTTGATACGTTCCATTCTGCCGAAGTGCTTACATCCGGTAAGCCAGCTCCTACCTACTACTCATCCAGGTCTAGAACATCCCCTCAACATGCCGCCATCTGGTCAAGGCCATTACCTTTGGTGGCGTTGCTGACTCGTCCTAGGTACACCACATATGTGTGCCATCACTCATGATTATTTGATGTTTTGATCCTTGAGCATTGGCGATTATGGTCGGAGCGCGCGGGCCTGGAAACAATAGAGAGAAACAATGGCTTCCAGAAGGTCAGGCTCGCAGTCCTTTGGCTGGTCGGGTAACACTAAGACCAGAGAACCCCGCACCGGTTCGGAAATCCGGGAGGAAGCGGCCCAGGTGAACGCGAGGTGGACAGCCAGAAGAGGACCCGAAGCGAGTCTCCGATCTACGGGGCCCATCCCGCAGCCCACTGTGTCCAGCCGGCTGCCGCAGGCTCTTTCCCACCGTCGGCCTTCTGACAGCGAGCCGGAAGAACCACGCTTCGTTCAGCATTCTCGGATCAAGGGTTCCGTAGGAAGTGCACGCGGCTTGGTGGTTGGGAAGACTGATGGGACGTCAACATCCACCTCGGCCTCCAGCAGGCTCCCGGCGCCCAGCCTGAAGCCTCGAAACATCCTCCGGCGGAAACGCTCGTGGCTGTCGCAGGACGTGGGCAGTACCCAACTTGACTTGAGGAACGACTCGACTGGAACGACTGGAACGACTGGAACGACCTCCTCTGACTCTCGGACTCGTTCTCAGACTCCCCTGGAGTCTCTCCATCTAGACCGCGAACTGACGCAAAGCCCGATGGAAATCAGAGTAGCACAGAAGGTTGAAATGCCGCTGACAAAGGCTCAAACGGTTACAATATATCCCGAATTGGACAGATACCGCGACGTCAAGCCTCCCGCTCGGTCCGAGAGCCCGGTTTCCAACCTACCCTATCGCATCGCAACCCACGATCTGCCCCCGCCGACTCCCCTTTTCTCCGGAACAAGCAGTCAGCTCAGCGTTTTCAGCGGCAGTCCGTCAACAAGATGGTCGGGATCACCAGGCCCGGGGCCATACAGCCGAGACACCACACCCACCTCCATCTCATCGCAATCTCCGGGGCTGGTTGCGCCGATACGCATACCACCGCCCGGGGCGAGGGCAAGACAGGGGGATCCGCCCTCTAAACGCCCTCCTGTCCATCGAATAAGAGGCGGGAGTATATCGAAAGAAGCGGGCACTGTTAACGAGGACCGTCAAGGCTTGGCAGCGGTCAGGGAGTTATCGTCTTCGTCCTCCTCCAATTCGACCGTCCGTGCCGGTGAAAGCAACAAGGAAAAGAACAGCAAAGGTTCGGCGCGGTGTCGGCACAGTCCTCCACCCCGGAAGTCCTCGCAGAAGTCCCCGGAGGGCCAGGATAGCGGCGTTGCATCTCTCTCCAAGCCCTCTCGTGAGGCTGCATTGCCGCAAGCAGTATCGCCGGCGCTGAAAGCAACCTCTTATTCTTGGCCTCGGCCTGTTCAAGCTGGCAGAACAGACGCTTCGCCTCAGCCGACACCACCTGTGCGGCCCAGCCGCGAGGGGACTGTCGACCTCCAAACCGGTCAACCCATCCCTATCGTCCAGAGCAACTTGTCGTCAACCTCATTATCCGAAAGACGGCGAAGTGGTCTTTTGGTTCCGGCGCCGGCTAACCGACAAGCCTTCGCATCTTCTCGGCCGGAGCGAGCGAGCTATTTGGGGCGGCGGGCCCCTGTCACAGAGTCAAACCTTCCATCCAAGCCTGCCGCTTCGAGTGCCACGACGGACACATCAGCAAAAGGAACGGCAAGGCCCATTCGAACACCCAGCCCAAGTGTCTCGACGTTGAAGACCCGATTTCCGATCTTCGGGCGACGGACAAAGACAGTCCCTGAGCCGGGTCAGACGGACAACGATAAGCCGACGAGGAAAGGCCCGGCAGCTGGGACGGGCCATGAGGGTTATGGACGTTTGGGTTCAGCACGCCGGAGGAGTAACAGTGTCATGAACGCGAACCGTGTGATTCCAGGGACCATGTCTTCGCAGGAAAGCCTGAGCAGCAGCCTCGGGCAAGATCTGTTCTTGATGGAGAGGATGGCCCCGGTGATCATTGCTGGAGGGGAGGTTATTGAGAACAGGAACACCAGTACGGAACTGACTCGCACAGAGAGCAACCAGAGCTCTACGTTCAGGCGACCGAGCATCCACTCTCGCAACGGCTCTCAGGTTTCATTATCGTCTCGCGAAGCGCCTCGTAAGACCCTGTGGCCATCACCTTTCCCGCGTGGCGCTACGCCGGCCCCGTCCCTCAGCAGTCGCCGGCCTTCTGAGAGCAGTGATTCCGAGGCCGTCGCAATGAGGCCTTCTTTGGCTGTCCGGAGATCCATGCAGCGGCTTCAGTCCGGCGGACAAGAACCCCCAAGGTTACCGAAGCCGATTGTCACTCGAACTCAGGTTGTGTCGCCTTCTCTGACTAGTTTGGACGCCAGCATCTTGTCCGACGACTCGGTCTTGGACCCTCCGGCGGAGCCCACGGTGATTGCCAAGGAGACAGCCAGCATAACGACCATCTCCGGGCCGAAGAAGCTTGTCAAGCGAGCTCGATCTCCCCGCAAGTGGAACCTTTTCGGTCGCTCTCAGAGCCAGCCAGCAATCGAGAAGACGGAGACGGCGAGGCCGGTGGCCGCCACGGTTGAGGTTGTCCAGAGCAAGCCCATAGCGTTCTACACCATCCTGGACTCGTCAGAGCAGGATGACGCCGATCCGGTGGACCTGCAGGAGGTTCTTCGCGAAGCCAGGGGCATCGCGATAACGGCTCCTGAACAGCACCCGGTGACTGAGGCGGAAACACGGAGGCCTTCGGTGAGAGAAGACTCGGCACCACAAAAACTAGAAAGCTCCCAGCAAGCCGAGAACCACCAAGCCGCGGATGCGGAGGCAGCAGTCGCAGCTCCGGTCACCCTGCCTGTTTCCTCAGTTCCGGAGCGAAACCCCGACCTGCCACTGCCCCAACAGTCCGATAGCCCAGCGCCGCCGGTCCGCCATGGCCCTAGTCGCCCGAGCAGACTGCCTCAGGTCGGCCGTATTCCGAAGGTTGTCAGTGCCAGAGCCGAGCAAACCTCGCCAAAAAGCTTCTCGAGGCCATTCCATCGGCTTAGCGCGCATATTCCTCCCGTGCAAGCTCCTCCTCAGGACCAGGGTTCGGTCGCCAGGGGACCGAGTCCTCCCAAATCATCCACAATGAAGTCCGCTGAAGAGGACTTGGGACGGGTCAGCCCGTCTAACATATCGGCCTTGATCTATGGCGTACCGAGATTGCTGCCGCCGGTTTCTAGTCAGACCGGACCAGAGTTCCTCTCGTTCTCGCCGCGAAAAGACTCACAATGCACCACGACAACCTCGTCTAGTAGCTCTGGCGGCCTTCCGAGCTACGTCGACGTCACTGCTGTGCTGCCGGAGCCGAACGCTCCGCTTGCCGAAGATGAGATCTGGGATGAATACAACGACCTGCTTGAGGACGAGACGGTACGGCCGCCAACAACACAAGGATCCTCCTGGCCGAAACCCTTACGGCTAGATGGTTCCGCATTCGGCAATAGGAAGACGGTTGAGGCGGCATTGGAGTCACCAACACTAAGTCCGCCCCCGTTGCCGAGTCTTGTCCAAGCCTTGCGTTCTGGGATGGATCACTCCTCACTGAGCGTTCGCGGCTCGGACGTTGCCGAAGAGGTCAGACGGATGCTCGAGATCGCTCCGTTGCCAGAACATCCCGTCACTGTTCCTGCCCCTTTGAGCAGTCAAGATGGTCAGGTCCGCGGCATCGACAAGGACAAGAAGGCAGAGCACGAGGGTTCTGAGGAGCAGCGAAACAGCGCGTCCTCCGTGAATCAAGCTAGACGATCCGATGCCAGTGGTAGCACCCAGTGCTCAGAAGACAGTTCTCCCCAGGCTCAGGTCAACCTGCGGGTAGGCTCTATGACCGTTAGCAAGTGGCTTACGTTTGGCCATGTGCTCTTCAGCCCCGTTCGGGACGAGTTGATCGCCGAGGTGGGCTCGCTCAAGCGACCCTCGATACTCGTGGTTGACGGCTTAGGAAATGACGACTGGTCCTTCTACGCGGCGGAGACTTACCCGGAAGCTACGTTTTTCAACCTCTCACCACGTGCCCCTCTGCCTGCCGAGCATCGCAACGAATCATCGTTCCCGCTCAGTCCGCCGAATCATCACCAGGTCCAATACCTCACCCACACGGCCAAGTTCCCGTTCGGCGCGCAGAGCTTCACCGCTGTCGTCTTCCGCTTTCCCGCGGCAGCTCCGGAAGGGCACTATCGCAGCATCATTTCGGAGGCGCGGCGGGTGCTCCAGCCGGGTGGCTACATCGAGCTGTCCATTCTCGACGTTGACATGAACAACATGGGCAACCGCTGCCGCCGGAGTGTGCGTCGTCTCAAAGAGCGCATCCACATCAAGGCGCCCGATACCAGCCTCGCACCGGCTTCCGATCTGATCCTTCGTCTTATCGGCAGAAGGGGCTTCACGGACATCAAGTCGTGTCGGGTCGGCGTGCCGGTCGCCAGCATCATTGCCCGGTCCCCCAGCGGCCGGAAGAGGAGTTCGCTCGATCCTGCTGCCGGCGGCCACGGGAAGACGAAACCGAGCAAGGACGAGCGCAGTCTCCCTGAGATGATCAACGACGAGAGCCCCGTCGCAGACGAGAGCATTGCCCGGTCGGTGGCCAAGGTTGGCCGGTGGTGGTACAGCCGCTGCTACGAGAGCGCCGCCGTCCCCGGGATCGGGCCTTCCTCACGGGCTAGTATGTGGCAAGACAAAGCGCTCCTTGCCGAGTGTGAGGAATGGGGGACCAGTCTCAAGCTGATGGTCTGCCATGCACGGGCACCGGACGGGAGGGCGCGTGTGGCGAGTATTTGAGGAGTCTCGAGCGCGCTTTTCGACTCGCTCATACTTTTCAGCAATCGTCTTTATTCTTTGTTGCTTTCCAGCAAGCATTAAGCATGGGGATGGAAGACCAAGAAAGAACGGAATGCGCAGACAAAAACAAAACTTACAAGACCAAGAGGGCGCGAGCCCGAGGGTATCATCATCGTCATTTCACGACATTTTGCTTGCATTCAACAATCAACTAAGACGGTACCGACAGCTCTAGCAGCCATCGTCAGATTCGCTTCGGCACCCTCGATCGACAGGAGCGAAACAGGACGAGGTTTTTAATTTCAATTTTATTTCTACCCCCGCCAGGACGGGTAACGCTGTTCACACAAGAGGATGGGAGTACTGGATACATTAATGATGGGAACCCGCTGGCTGGGGCTGGAATGGACTGAATCGTTGGACTTGGATATCCCGGGGATGCTTTGGACAAGAATGATTGGTTCTCATGAGGGATGGGGAAACGAACTGGCGTTAGGGAGGCGTGTATTCTGTGGTTTTGTTTGTTTGTGTTGGTGCGAGCGAGCATCCGTGAGATACCCCCGGGGTTCCCCTTTTTCTTTTCGAGCTGGCCCTTAGGATAACTACAGGATGGACATAATGTGTGACGTGGAGCGCATGGTATGACTGATGAATAAAGATGAGAAGAGATGTCATGCGATGACAATGGATTGTTCCACCGTTGGTAACCGAGTGTTCCCCTTTGAGCGTGTTATTTGAACTTTTACATCCTTCCGTTGAGCTTTTGTTGGGTTAACGGTTTTTGTTGTGACCAAAGCCCGGTGATTCGTGTTATGTCGAACCGACATCGCCGCCAGACTACCAGTTGCCTGGGCAACGGTTACAGTGTACCGTGCGTACTTTTGATTCCTGCAGTCTGAAGAACAGTGAGCATAATGCCAGGCGAAGGTGGGCAGCATAAACAATGACCCGTCCAGGGCCAGCTGCCCCCGTGGCGGCGTGTCGGCCGGGCCGGCGTGATCGAAGACGCTCCCCTCGTCGTGGAGGCGCTTGGACCTTGGAGCCTGCGCTTCCATGCATTCGAGCTTCCGCTTGCGCTTGCTGGGCCTGCTGAGCCTGAAGAGCGGCCAGTTGCGCTTCCATGCTTCATTTGGTTCAAGTGCTGGGGGTTCATCGGGTGTTGGTTCGGATTACCCCTTTGCTGGGCTGGTATATGATATATCTGCGGTGTTGTTGGCCCTCCGTCCTTTGACAACGTTTCAACCGACCTTTTCGGAGAATCTCCTATCGGAGTCTTTTTCTTTTCCGCGACAATACGCTTCTATAAAAAAGATGTCTTCTTTAAATAATCAGACTTCTAACAACGAGTCGATCTTCCGGAAGCTCGTCGCCACCAGGGAGCAATATTGCTCAACGTATGTGCTCTTGTTTATTTTCTTTTTTCTTCCTTTCACTCACTTGGTTCGAGTCGCTAACCTTGGGATATTTTTTTCCAGCTTAGTCAACATCATGATCGCGCTAGACCGCATGATCAACCAAGCGATAACTCCGGCAATCATAGACGAGATCGTTGCCATGGCCGGTATGGATATCCTTTATTTCACTAGCTTCATCCCAAGGTGTACCAGCTACCAAGTACTAACCTTACTGACTGATCTGTTTGCTTTGGTGGGTCCGGATCTTGACCGAGAACTGCAAGCCTTGAGCTGTCCAACGGACGAAACAGTTCGGGAGAGGCGCAAGCGCCTACTACAATGGCTCGACATCGTCACAGACTCACAGCCAGAGAGATGCCCAACTAGGTAGTTTGGGGACTGTCTCTCTGTGATCTACGGCAGCAAGCCTCTTTTTTTTTTTTTTTTTTTTTTTTTTTTTTTTTTTTTTTTTGGTGGGTAGTAGGATACTCTTTTTTGGCGCTAGGGATAGTAACTGGGTAGGAGACATGTGGTTGTTGATGACGGACGATGTTGAGAAGGGTAAGGTATGAAGTAATTCAAATTCACTTGCACGAATAAGACGAAGGTTATCTGAGCGTCGCGGCGTTATTCCATGGTAGCGTTAGGGTTAACGTATATTATCAGCGAGTGACCCATATCAGCGAGTGACCCAGCTTAACAAATTTAGCAGGACTGCATCCAAACCTTGATAAGAAAATTGTTAGGAGCGATATCAATTTCTTATTGTACATTTGGATGCAGTCCTGCTAAATTTGTTAAGCTGGGTCACTCGCTGATATGGGTCACTCGCTGATATGGGTCACTCGCTGATAATATACGTTAGTTGCGATTGAATTAGAGAGCCATTACCTACTACTATTGAATTATAGCAGTCAGTGACTGCGAGAGCCTCTGCGATTGAACCGTGGGACCAACGAAGGTTGGGGTCAAAAATGCCTGCCCCGCCATGTTAGTGTATGCAACATGACACATATATAACTGTGTGTGGTAAAGCGAAATGTCTATCGAGCCAGGGCGGATACTTTTGCCACCAACCTTCGTACCTAAGGTGGCGAGGTTGGCCACGAAAAACGAAGAGAAGATCCCGCACACATCTAATGGGATCTCTCCATTTTCGTGGCCATAGTGTGAGTAGTTACATGACAGATCTAACCTCACAGTCAAAGGTATACTGTATAGGTGGCTCCCCATGAGCAGAATGATGACGACACATTCACACAACTCAGTGGAGGGTTGGATCTGTCACTGCTTTTGCGCCCCTTATATATCGGCTGCGTTGCCCCCAATCCTCTGAAAACTGTCTACTCACCTTTTCGTCTGTCCAGTCAGCTCTTTCAATCCGGATCTTGCTCCCACTTCGAAATCAGAACGAGCTTTAAGCATAGAACCCGTACATAAGTTTCTTCACGACACCACACTTTCGCTAGAAGAAATGTCCTCTTCTTCAGACGTTCCGAACGTCGATAACAGCGCGACGATCTGCCAGTATATCCAGGAGGGATATGAAGCAATGTTCGTGTTCTTGATTTGTTTTTTTGATTTCTTTACACTGGCACTTGGTCCAAAGTCGCTAATACTTATTCTCTAGCTTTGTGAAGGGCATGATCGAGTATGAACGGCTGGTCTGCGGATCTCTAAAGCCGGCAATGATCGATCTGGTTGCTGGCATGGCGGGTATGGATATTCTTCTCGGGGTTTTACTAGCCTATACTGAGTTACGGATTTCACTGACTGATCTATAGGTCCAGAACTTGACCGGGCGCTGGAAGCCTGCGACCGTCTGCCCGGCGGCAACCTTCGCAGAAAAGGGCCCGAGGGCCTGATAAAAGCGATGGGCATCGTCACGGCGGTCGCTGACGGGCAGACACCCGACTGCCCGACCGACGGCAGCCCCCGCGAGGAGGGCAGCCTTCGTGAAAAGCGCAAGCGCCTGTTATACGCGCTTGACATCCCCACGGCCAGGCAGATGCCCGACTAGGTTGGGGAGCGGGTGAACTTTGATTGATTTTACTAGTAGACTCGCAACAATTCAAGTTGTATATAGTCAGGTTCATTGCGAGAAGATGATTTTCTTATCCGGGATTCTTAAACCAGCACATGTGCGAGTGTCATCCCAATAACCCTATCCAAAACCAACAGATATCAGACCGACTTTCTCATCCATTTCAACTGCTTTATGACCGGGAAAAGCATCCCACTATCACCGAAAAAAGGAACAGAAAAGCAAAGAAAAGAAAAGTCCTGCAGCATATAGTAGAGAGCCGAGTTGCTTGTCATAGTAAGCTGGTAACAGATAGGTCGACCACCTTGTTACCCTTGATTAAACAAATCACTATTCGGCCGTTTTGTAAGTCCCTACCAATTCACTCCAAATAGGATAGCTATAGAATTTCTCATTTGAAGAATGGGCAGCTCATTTAACGAACCGCTTGTGAGGCCAACCGCTAAACAAAAGACAAGGGTTCTAATTGAGCCAGCAACAAACGGTGCGTTAACCGCTCCTCGAACACCCCCTACTCCAAGGAAAGAGAGCAGTCTGACGGAGACCTGGTGTGATATGGCATTGACCGGAACAGTTCCATTTTGAAGTACATACAGAATATTGCTTTTTACACCCAGTTAAGGGTCGCTTCAGGGTCCAGATTTTCTGTCGCTGTCGGCAGCTTTGTTCCGAGCCGGCCTTGGCGGGGCTGCCGCTTCCCCGGATTGGCAGCGGTGCTCTCGCACTGTCGCACACGCTTGCCTGCGTGACCAGGCCCCCGGTCCCTGGTCCCCTGGTCGTCCCAACTGCAAAGGCAGAAAGGGATCGAGGTGCAGGACAGCAACTTCTCCATCACCACCTCCTAAGGTACGGATACTAGCCCTGCTTTTACAAGCGCCCACGTTTGACCACCACGCAGATTGATCGGAATATCGGCATCTTTTCAGCAAAAGCACAGGTTTGCTCGACGCTAGGTACACACATACTTGCAATACCTTGTCCGCGACATGGTCTAAAATGGGCGTTGAGCTGCGCCTCGCCTCCTCCCTGTCCACCAGAATCAAGCCCAAAGCGTTGGTTTCTTGCACCTCCTTTTCTGTCCAGCTCAGGTAGTTGCTGTAGGGCATTGGCTCAACCGAGACGAGGCGAGACGGGTATCCGCATACCCTACATCGGATTGCACGACTCGGGTTAGAAGGAGGGAGGCGGTAGATGCTCGGCACTATCCTTGCAAAGTCGAAGGGCGATTGTTCTCGCGTCCCTTACACTTCTCTCTCACCATGACGCGACGAATTGTAAGCGCCCTTCGTCTCTGACCGTTCCCATTGCAAAGGAACTAATCAGTGAAACGACGCGCACCTACAGGTCCGCACAGTCGTGCAAACCACCACGGCCGCCTTCTTCACCTTCGTCATCATCTTCTTCCTCGACCGAAACTTCCGCGTCCTCCCCAACGCCATACACGAGTACCTCCCCACGCACCACGCCGGCACCGTCATCACCGACATCACGCTGACGAAATGCTCGTCCATCAACCTGTTCTCGTCCTGCAACCTCGACCCGGCCCGCTGGCACCGCATCGAGAAGGACCTGCACCTCCGCAGGAGCTTGTTCTCGTCGGCCTACCTGCACGTGGAGCGCAAGCGGGAGGAGGAGCTGACGGCCGAGGACAAGGTCGTCATCGACGTGAGCGTGGGCAGGTTGAACCCAGGGCTGGCGGGGATCAAGGATCATCATGGACATGACAGGAGGACCGGGGATCATATCAAGGAGAGCGGGGAAGAGAAGTGGGAGGCACGGCCAGGCGGTCTGTGGATCAAGAGAAGCAACAAGCGCGGGGTGAGCGACTCCAAGAGCGCGGTGACTGGAGTGGATGTGCTGTTTGGCGATGACGCGGTCGAGGCGAGGCCTGGCTGGAGGATCACGGGCACGCCGTTGCTGGTCGATGCTGGGTCTGGTGTCCCTGCCGCGCACGTCACCATTCGGAGAGGGCCTGAGGAGAAGCCGTACCAGCCTGCTCCCAGGATTGGCGAGAACGGGAGATTCAAGATCATGCAGCTGGCAGATCTGCATCTGAGCACGGGGGTGGGGCATTGCCGGGATGCCTTGCCGGAGGACTGGAACGGCGGGAAGTGTGAGGCGGATCCGAGGACGTTGGATTTCGTCGTCAAGATTCTGAAGGAGGAGAGACCGAATCTGGTGGTCCTTAGCGGGGACCAGGTGAACGGGGAGACTGCGCCAGATGCGCAGACGGTAAGAGAGGATTCCTTCTGATTTGCCTTAGTCGCAGAAGCCCACTGACAGATGGTAGGCAATATTCAAGTACGCGCAGCTCCTCATCGAGCACAAGATCCCCTACGTCTCCATCTTCGGCAACCATGACGATGAGGGATCCATGTCTCGCGCAGCACAGATGGAGCTGATTGAGACGCTGCCCTACTCCCTGTCCAAGGCCGGGCCGGTTGACGTCGACGGGGTGGGCAACTACTACATCGAGGTCCTGGCCCGCGGCAGCTCGGGCCACTCGGCTATCACGGTGTACCTGCTCGACACGCACTCGTACTCGCCCAACGAGCGCAAGTACCCCGGCTATGACTGGATCAAGAAGAGCCAAATCGACTGGTTCCGCAGCACGGCCCAGGGTCTCAAGAAGAAGCACAAGGAGTACACGCACCACCACATGGACGTCGCCTTCATCCACATCCCCATCCCGGAGTATGTGTTGCCAAACCTGACGCTCGTGGGCGAGTGGAAGGAGCCGAGCACGGCGCCGGCTTATAATTCGGGATTTTACAACGCCCTGGTAGACGAGGGTGTCGTCATGGTCAGCTGTGGGCAGTGCGTCTTACCCCTTACCCCCTTTTCCCGCCTCAACCCAGCTAACATTCTGCCAACTAGCGACCACGTGAACGAGTACTGCGGCCTGTCGCCGCGAGAGGACGGGAAGCCGGCGCTATGGATGTGCTACGGCGGCGCCACCGGGTTCGGCGGGTATGCCGGGTACGGCGGCTTCCACCGCAAGATCCGCATCTTCGACTTCGACATGAATGAGGCGCGCATCACCACCTGGAAGCGTGTCGAGTACGGGCCGGACGTGAATAACAGGATCGACCAGCTGATTCTTGTCGACGCGGGGAAGGTCGTGGCGTCTATACAGGAAGTGTAGGTAGAATTACCTATCCGTGGCTGGACGTTAGATGCAATGACATGAAAAGGGGGGGTGCGGGAGGGATGGTTATGGTCTGTTATATAGTAGGGATATTATAGCCTACTATTCTTATTATGCTGCGTTGTTGGGAGGGAGCGGCAAAACAAAACCGGACTGGACAGGTTCAACTGGACAAGACAGGACAGGTTAGGACAGGACATGGATGGCGTTTTCTGGGGGTTTAAACTGCCAGGGTCATCTGGTAGCATGCTTAAAGGTATCCTCGGCTCCGTGGCTGACTTTGGCTTTTTAGTATATTGTCTACGGTTGCTTACTCTCTTACAAGGAAAACCAATGGTGAACTAAAGTTTCTCGGCTTTCTTAACATGATATGGTCGCAAAGTGCGTGGTAGGTAAACAAATAAAAGGAGAAGCGTGTTGGTGTAGTCACTGTTATCTTCGAGTCCTCCCAAAGTAAAGGATTAAATTATTATCTACATCCAACTCCAGACAGATACTTCGAAGTCCATCCCAAGGGCTGCCGACCGCTAATCCCAATCCAAAACCCGTTCCCGTCATTAAATAGATAATCAATCCGTCCATCCCGTCCCATCTAAACTCCTGACGACCCCTCTGAAAAGCCCATACATACCCCATGTTCTCGTTATTTTCGAGTTGGAAAAAACAAAAAAAGAAAAGAAAAAGAAAAGTAAAAGGAAAAGGAAAAAACAGAGTTTCTCAAGTTCGCGTGATAACAACCTCAACCTTCTTGCTGATGGCCCCAGGCACCACCACCATTCCATCATCATCATCCCGGTGCCTATCGACCTTGCCGGCCTCCTCATCATCAATACTCCGCCCACTACTACTACTATCCAAAATCGAATCCATGCTCCCATTGCCCTTGCCGTTACTACTCACACACCTGCCCGCGGCACCGAAGCTGCCCAGCTCGGTCCCGTCGTGCACGCTCGCGCCGCCCATGCTTCCCAACGCCTGCATGCCCGCCGCCGCCCTGGACGACAGCCGGCTGCGCGCATAGCGCGAGCCCCGGGCGTATCCTAGGCTAGCACCGACACCACCACTATTATTATTAGTTTTAGTATTCCCGCCGTAGCCGGACGGGAGGCCGCCGTGGGTGTTATTGCCGCCCTTGCTCCCGCCGCGGGAACTGCGCTGCTCATGGTAGTACTTGACGAGCGGGGCCAGCGTAGGCACGTTGGCGACGATGAGGCCCAGGTTGTTCTCGACGGCCGACCAGAGGATCAGGGGCGCCGAGTCGGTGTAGTGCACCAGCCGCTTGACCGTCTGGATGCGGATGATCTGGATGACGGTGATGAAGGTGCCCAGGCCGAAGAGGGCGAGCAGCACGAGCTTCTTGCGGGTTTGGATGCGGGATTTGAGGAGGATTGGGAAGGGGAGGAGCATTCTATATTTTGTTTTGTCCTTTTTAGTTTTTGGTTTTAATTGGTTGTTGAATGAGGAGGAGGAAGAAAAAGAAGAAGAAAAAGAAAAAGAAAAAAAGAAGACAAAAGCTTACACTGTCACGTCAAAGAGGATCGTGATGGAGGCCACCGAGGTGTAGAAGGGCACGCCGGCGATGCACGTGCCCCAGGTGACGGAGGGGTCCCACTGCTTCCGGGCGGGCTGGCAGAGGTTGATCTGCACGATCAGGAAGGCGAGGTGGAACAGGATGCATGCCGTGATGACGCCGTGCACGGCGTGGCGGTAGATGCCCATCGGGACGAAGCGCAGGTACGAGAAGAGCAGGGCGAGCTTGAACCCCAGGATGCTGCTGATGTAGCTGTTTTGAATGGGAAGTATCAGTATTTAGGTACCTGGTAGTGTTGACCACCGTCTCACACAAGAGGGGCGTGGGATACAGACAATGGAGCGCCGATGTATTGGAGCTGCGAGCGTATGTCATTGTCAGTCTTCCCGGCCTCGGCCAGCCACAGTTCATGGCGTAGATAGAGCCTTGACTCACAAGACCAAAGTTGTAGATGTCTTCAGCGGGAAGGTCATCGATATGGCGTAGCCCGAGGCCCCATTTTGTCTCTGGCCAAGCAATATCAGTTCTGCTGGCAGCCTACATCTATCTATCCGTTGATGCTCAGCACTCACGGACGATGGTGACGATGGCAAACCCGGCAGCAGCGACCCATGTTACCGGGATGATCCAATCGTCTGTTCATTGGGATCGTGTAAGTCCCTCTCCCACGGCGTCTTACAACAGGCCAAAAAGGCTTACCGATGCCAAAAGCCTTGAGGATGACTACCCGGCAGTACGTCCGGAGGCAGACGGTGACGAGCGAGAGGATAGTAAGAGCGCTAGTGACGCCAGTAATCATAGGCCCTATCGTCGGGGCGTTGGGGTCTTTGGTGTTGTATGTCCAACCCATCTTGACAGTCGCTCTGGCGGGGAGAGAGCGCTGTTGACGAGCGGCGGGGGAGTTTGAAGGAGTCGGACCGGGGCAATGGTCTGGAGTTTTATTATTTAAGCTTGTTGATGTGCCAGAGTGTGGCAGATCTCGGGATCTGCGCTGGGAGGAGTCGAGGGGTGGGAACTGGGCAGCAACAATAGGGCTAGATAGGCAAGATCTGATGAGTCTTCCAACCGCCGTGGCTCCTGGGCCGAAGTCTACCGACCACCCCGGAACATCGCTGCAGTTACGGTAGACTCTTGACATCAAGCTCCATGGCGACGACAGTAAGGGTTAAGGGCACATGCGGCATGGTTACATCACATATCATAGCAGGCGTGACTGGGCCCGGCGTAGGGGAATCGACAAGGGGTACCGTTGATCCGGGACAGGACGACCACGACCATACCGGCCCTCGGGGAGAAATGCCTCACCCATACCCAAAAAATCACAAAGGGCAACGTACGTACTTTCGGGGGTCATTGCGTTGCGCGCAATGCGCACAATATCTCACCGTCTCAACGCACACACCAGCTGGGCGGCTTTAAGCCCAATGGCGAATTGCCGAGGTGATAGTCAGTGATGGGTTGCCCCTGAAGGAGCAACCCTCTTGAATTTTGGCCTCGAGTCAAGCTTCTCGAATCCCAATCAGCTGCCGAGGACAAGAGTACGAGGGTAAAGATGATGCCTGGGCGGTACTTGGCCCCAGCTGTGTGTAGGTATCGAGTGGTCGGACATCCTCTGTGAAGCTAGTCCCGGGCAAGAAAGGGCTCGTGAACGTCAATGGATACCCAAGCTGATTTCCCCAGTCGGCCCTGCCAGCCCCTGAGGCGCTCCGCAAAGCTAACGCAGATACTAATGCAGATCCTGAAGAAGTTACGAATCCCGTCTCGTGGTTGTGTAGGGAATGCGAGAGAAGACGAAGAAATGGCAAAATCTTCCTGGTGGGCGCAGTGTGACCGGGATGTGGCAGCCCCAGGATCGGCTTATCGAGATTCGAGATCCGGCAATCACCGAGCGTGCAGTCAAAGTGTGTCTCAAGTTTTAACTATTTCCCTGGAATCCACGCCCTCCATGGCCATGCAAGATATGGTATGCCTTCCACGGCCACCAACAACTTCGTTCCCACGAGATGGTGCCTTCGAAAAGCATATGGTGAGGTCGAGACGCGATCCCAACGGACAAGCACCTCAGCTTGAAGAATGATGACCGCCCTGTAAGGCGCAAATTCGGCGGCGCCCGTTTTTGCTAAAGATCTCTTGGCAGCGGCCCGGGACTGACTATTTGTGGAAGGCTTCCCGTGCTCCCTTGGCCTTTCTTGGGTCGCCCTTTCTTGGCCTCTGCTGCGGCTCTCGAGATCGCCAAGACAAACAGTTACGTTACGTCGACGCTAGTGACCAGCCGCATTGCGCTGTTGCTGTGCTGGACGTCATCTGGTTGTTGATGAATGCGGATGCAGAAAACATCGAAAGTGTCTTTTGGTTAAAATCCGTACTGTGGGCAATCGCTTGTTGGCTGACTAGAACTCACAAGGTAGTGGTGTCCTTTCCTGATTGGAAATTAGGAAAATGCTAACAACTTCCACCCGGAGCAACACCACCTCGTCACTCACTGTCATTCATCCGCTCTACACTAGACTCTGTTTTCTCTTCTTTTCTTCCTTTTGCCCACAGTGGAGAACATATCTAAGACACGCCGATGAACTATTGACCATGATTTATAAGCCCGAGAGCCTCTCATTTTGGAATGCTTTCTCTGATTCAAAGCTGGACTATCCTAATGCGGAAGGAGGAAGCAAGGGCTTGCAAGTTGCGCCAAGCACCGTACAGTTCCGGTAGTGGACCGTTGCCGAGCATCTCCCGGACCCACAACACGAGACGTCGTCGACGCCGTGGAAGTGCGATTATTAGGAATTTGGGTGTGAGATGCGATTGGTCTGCTACGATATGCTGCGAAGTCGTTAACAGCTGAAAGCGGACTGTGTCGGGCTGTTAGGAAGATACCATTACATACACAGCGTACAAGAACGGATATGTCGCCCGAAGAATTCGAGACCATTGTCAACAACGAAGTTGGACCACGCTTGATGGATGCCTCGGGGCTTATCTCAACCCACCCCTCATCCATGGCGACCACGCCTCGAGCACGCACAGCATGGCTTGTGAGAAGCGCACTGCATAAGGATTGACAAAATTTGATCTGCCCCGACAATGCGGGAAAGTCCACGTGCGGGATGCCGATCCCAAGGTACCCTGGCGGAGCCGCGGAGCAGCGAGTTGCCGGACGAACCGAAGTCCGCCCAGGAACAGACAATCATCATTCGCCCTCTCTTGCTTCACGGCAATCGCCTTGCAACTCCTGGCCAGTGGACCATCAACGGAGATTGCCATGGCTTCAACTCCGACGGCCTGCAGCCTGTTCTCCACGACTCCTCTACACTATAATGTATGATCCTGAGAGGAACCCCAGACTAACCATATTCGAGTACATACCAAATCCTGGGTGCGCTCTTGCCGTCGACGGCTGCCGGGCTACCTGGCTTTGAGAGTCCCGAGGACCTTTCGTGGGGAGCGGTGTTAATAAAAGTCCTCGAAGCTGGCGATCACCATGCTTCTGTAGCCTAGGAATTTTTCTCCCTCCGTCCTCAACCACCTTCCTTGCCCCCCTACGCTCGTTGCTGTCTGTCTCACCCATTGTCACTCTTTTGTAGCAAAACGAACGATGAAGGCGCAGTTCTTCGCGGCCGGCGCGGCCTTGGTCGCGGCCGGTGCGCTTGCTGACTTGGCAGACGCCACGATTTCCATCTCCAAACGCACTGACTGCAGGTGCTTCCCCGGAGACGCGTGCTGGCCGGTCCCTTGCGACTGGGACAAGCTGAATAAGACGGTCAGCGGCCGGTTGGTCGCCACGGTGCCGCTCGCCCACCCGTGCCATGACCCCGACTACGACCCGGTGCGGTGCCTGGCTCTGCAGAATGGCTGGCAGGACCCCGCTACTCAGTAAGAACATGGCCCCGCCCCCTTGTTTGTGTCTTCGGAGGAAGGGAATGCATGAGCCGATGATGGCGATCTCTTCGATCGACATGCGTGGGACGGCTGGCCATGAAGGTGACCCTCTATTCCCCATACCAGTGTCGATCACTAACACGGGACCTGGCATATAGCATGGATGACTCCGCGTCCATCATGGCGCCATTTTTCGCCAACCAGAGCTGCGATCCGTTCACGGCTCAGTCCAAGCCGTGCACGTTGGGCAACTATGTGGTCTACGCCGTGGCTGCCGAGACGGCCGACGACGTGATTGCCGCGGTCAAGTTCGCCAAGAAGCGCAACATCCGCCTCATCATCCGCAACACCGGCCATGATTACAATGGCCGGTCGACCGGGGCCGGCGCGCTCTCGGTGTGGACCCACAAGCTCAAGGACATCGAGTTCAAGAACTGGCAGGACGAGTACTACACCGGCACGGCCGTCAAACTCGGCGCCGGCGTGCAGGGCTACGACATCCTGGCGGCCGGCCGCGACCGGGGCCAGGTCGTTGTCGGCGGCGAGTGCCCAACCGTGGGCATTAGCGGCGGCTACACCCAGGGCGGCGGCCATTCCGCCCTGAGCAGCTCGTTTGGCCTGTCCGCCGACAACACGCTCGAGTGGGAGGTCGTCACGGCCGACGGCACGCTCGTCACGGCATCCCGGACGCAGAATTCCGATCTGTACTGGGCCCTCTCGGGCGGCGGCGGCGGCAACTACGGCGTCGTGCTCAGCATGACGGTCAAGAGCTTCCCCGACGCGCCCGTGAGCGGCGCCACGCTGTCCTTCTACGCCAGCGAGAACCCGACCGACACCTTCTACAGCGCCATCGACGCTTTCCACGCGGCCCTGCCGGACATGATCGGCGCCGGTGCCATGGTGGTCTACTACTTCACGTCCAGCTTCTTCATGATCGCCCCGCTGACGGCCTACAACAAGACGACGGCCGAGGTCGAGGCCATCATGGCGCCGCTGCTGAGCAACCTCACGTCCATGGGCGTCACGTACAGCGCGGCCTACAGCGCGTCGGCGACCTACTACGACCACTACAACCAGTACTTCGGCCCGCTGCCCAACGGCAACATCCAGGTCGGCATCGCGCAGTACGGCGGCCGCCTCGTGCCGCTGTCGGCCTTCGACGCCAACCGCACCGCCATGTCGGCCGTGGCGCGCTACATCGCCGACAAGGGCGTGACCTGGATCGGCGTCGGCACCGACGTGTCCCGCTTCGGCAGCGCGGACCAGAACGCCGTGCTGCCCGCCTGGCGCACGCCGCTGATCCATGCGACGCTCACGACGCCCTGGTCCTTCGACCCGGCCGAATGGGACCAGATGCTGGCCAACCAGCGGCTGATGACGTACGACATCATGCCGCACATCGAGGCCGTCACGCCCGGGTCCGGCGCGTACATGAACGAGGCCGACTTCCAGCAGCCGGACTGGCAGACAGTCTTCTTCGGGGACAACTACGCCAAGCTGCTGACCATCAAGAACAAGTATGATCCGAGCGGCCTGTTCTATGCCAGGAACGCCGTCGGGAGTGAGAAGTGGAGCGTGGCCAATGATGGGCGAATGTGCCAGGTTGTTTGATTCGGTTCTTTTGAAGAAGAAGGGTGCGTGGTGAGGGAGGTGATGGCGATGGATTTTGGTGGCTACCATTTAGGTAACTTAATATTGTATGTACGCTTCAATAGCCCCGGCATAGCGTCTGTATACTAGTAGGTACTGGGACTTAGAGGCGGTCTCTCCCGCAACATTCGTTTTGTCGGCATTTTTACAATGGAAACTCCATTCTTGTAATACCATCCCGTCGACACGCTGTCCGAAGGTTCTGCCAGCAGATGCATCGCGTTGAACTCCTACTTCCGAGACGAAGACTGAAAGATTAGATTCCTCGAGTTCATCGACAGAGGACATCATGAACGATGGGAAGTGAAGTTCAGCGATTTGTCATCTTGCAATTCTCGGAGCCCGAGAGAGGTCTCCGTTGAACCCACAGTTACCCGGCCGACAGGTATGAGAACGAAGGAATGCAACATCATGTGTAAAAGAGCATACTCTGGTCTGCCCTGCGGGTCCGGCATACTTCGTTCTCCGTTTTGCTTTGACTACCCAACCACAAGGAGGATGCCTTATGGAGCAGGCTCTGGTACGGATACTCATCAGGTTGCGCCCTTCGTTTGTTGTTGGCATGTTGTTAGGTGGGGAGTGACGGAGTCGCTACCCAACAAGGGAAGAACGGGGGAGCTGATTTCTAAGCCCCGCATACGTAAGCGGGGAATATGTAGCATGATGTAGATAGCGTGATAGCTCAGAACAACACATTTATATCCGTCGGAGCCTCGTAGCGGAGAGAGTTTTAAGAGTTGTATGTACTTGGCCATTGGCATTCCATGCAACGAGTTGCTTTACTAGGATCGCACTTAACAAAAAGTCGTCTTCATAAGAACCACGGAACAGCTACTAGTACCCCTCACAAGATGGCCGAGACAAAGTCGGATATCCACCTCTACACGGCCCAGACGCCGAACGGCATCAAGATCTCGATGCTGCTCGAAGAGCTGGGGCTTCCGTACAAGGTAAGTTGCCTTGTCAAAAGACCAGTCTCTGACCGCAAGAAATGAGTACCCGCTGACTTGGACCAGGTGACGGCCATCGAGCTCGACAAGAACACGCAAAAGGTATGTATGCAGTGTTGGATATCTCCGCTGTGTCCTTGTCTTCAGGCCCCCACCCCAGAATCAGATGAGAGGGGCATGATGAAGTTGATTTCTCTCGCGTGAAATGAAAATAGGAGCCCTGGTTCCTCGAGATCAACCCCAACGGCCGCATCCCCGCTCTGACCGACACCTTCACCGATGGCTCGCCCATCCGCCTCTTTGAGAGCGGCTCCATCATGCAGTACCTCGTGGACCGGTACGACACGGAGCACAAGGTGTCGTATCCCCGGGGCACGCGCGAGTACTGGGAGGTGAACAGCTGGGTAAGTACGGACTGCATTCTTGCGGCCGGCATGTGAGGTGGCAGGCGTGGGCTAATTGGTTTGTGTGTCCGGCAGCTCATGTGGCAGATGGGCGGCCTTGGGCCAATGCAAGGGTGCGTTTGTGTGCTATGTTGTCATGGTTAGGAGCAATAGGAGGGGGTGCATGCTAACTTGCGGCGATGCAGCCAAGCAAACCATTTCACTAGTGAGTTTTCCCAAGAGATGGAAGTTGTGGATTTGACGGCATGTCGTGTCTGACACAGCACAGGATACGCTCCTGAGAAGATCCAGTACGGCATCAACAGATACCAGAACGAGACGCGCCGCCTGTATCGCGTCATGGAGGCGCAGCTGAGCAAGTCCACTTCGGGCTATCTCGTTGGAGATAGGTGCACCATCGCCGACATTGCCTGCTGGGGCTGGGTCGCGGCTTCTTGTGAGTTTCCCTTTTTTATCCTTCTGCCTGTGCTTTGATATGGCCAACTACAGGTCGTTGCTAACCACAACTCCGCACACCCGAAAAGACTGGGCAGGCGTCTCGCTGGATGAATTCCCTAAGCTGAAGGAGTGGGTTGACAAGATCGTGTCTCGTCCTGGTTGTGAAAAGGGTAGGCATGTGCCAAAGCCTCACACGGCCCTGGAGAACAGGCATAAGTCTGAGGAGGAGCTCGAGGAGCAGGCGAAGAAGTCGAGGGCCTGGGTGCAGCAGGGCATGGCTGCCGATGCAAAGAAATGAACCAGTTGCATGTGTGGTGTGCATGATAGTGCTGTTCGGAGCATATGCAATCAATCAACCGCAGGTACCAGCATCACCTTGTGGTTTGTTGGACTGGTATTAGTCAAATCGAAGGTCATCTTTTGGACTTTCAGGTTGAGGATTGGCTCCATGCTGAGGACTCGGTGAATTCACCCCATGCGATGTAGGTGCGTGCAAAAGAAGGTCCGTGCGCGGGGCACTGAAAATGATCACGTGAAACTGGGCCCAAGCCTGTGGCAAACTGACCTGCCGCGATGCCTCGAAACTTTAGAAGGGTCACTAAATCAACAACAACAATCGGTTTCGCGCCAGACAGAAGTACTGCTGCATCAAAATGGCGTGGAGAAACCAAGGCATCACAGGGTCTAACAACATCCCCTTGGGTAAGCGCCGCTTTGGTGGCGACGAAGAAGACGGCGTCAAGAACGGGAGCGCATCGCCCAATGGGTCCTACAACGGCTCCTACAACGGCGGCTTTTCAAACGGCGACCGCGATGTCAAGCGCGGCCGCAGTCCTGAACGTGCGTTTTTGTCGCGCAATTTCTTGATGCATGGTCGGTTGTGTTAACTCTTGGGCAGGCTCTGAGCACGATGGACCGAGACGCCGCAAGAAGCGCAATCGCTGGGGCGACGCGACCGAGAACAAAGCCGCCGGCTTGATGGGTCTTCCCACCGCTATTGTCGCCGACATGACCAGCGAGCAGCTCGAGGCCTACACGCTTCATCTGCGCATCGAAGAGATCACTCAGAAGCTCAAGATCGACGATGTCGTCCCCGCGGATGGAGACAGGTATGTTGGCGCCTCTCTCCATACTCGTGTTGCCAGTGGTTGACGCGCATGCACGCAGATCCCCTTCACCTCCTCCGCAGTACGACAACCACGGTCGCCGTGTCAACACTCGGGAATACCGTTACCGAAAGCGCCTGGAGGACGAGCGGCACAAGCTGGTCGAAAAGGCCATGAAGACGATTCCTAACTACCACCCGCCTCAGGATTATCGCCGGCCGACCAAGACTCAAGAGAAGGTCTACGTGCCGGTCAACGACTATCCAGAGATTAACTTCAGTATGATTGCTAACCCTGTAACCTTTCTAACCACTCCAAATTCCACATCCCCATGGTACTTTGCCAGGCACTTGTGGCAGCATCCTGCCGTGATGCTGTGCCTTGCGGGCTGACCTTGCTGGATTCTAACCTTGATCGCTATCCTATTATTTGACCCGGCTCACTAACACTTAGCTTCCCTACTCAAGTTGGCTTACTTATCGGACCCCGTGGAAACACACTCAAGAAAATGGAAGCAGAATCCGGTGCCAAGATTGCCATTCGTGGAAAGGGCTCCGTCAAAGAAGGCAAGGGGCGTTCTGATGCTGCTCACTCCAGCAACCAGGAAGAGGACCTGCACTGCCTCATCATGGCCGACACGGAAGAGAAGGTCAACAAGGCGAAGAAGCTGATTCACAATGTCATTGAGACGGTATGCGGTTCACCCTTTATCCGTTGCATATGCCGCTTGTACTGATGGGATGACTAGGCGGCGTCTATCCCCGAGGGCCAGAACGAGCTCAAGCGTAACCAGTTGCGCGAGCTTGCTGCCCTGAACGGAACCCTCCGCGACGACGAGAACCAGGCATGCCAAAACTGCGGACAGATTGGGCACCGCAAGTACGACTGCCCCGAGAGACAGAACTTCACCGCCAACATCATCTGCCGTGTCTGTGGTAATGCTGGCCACATGGCTCGTGATTGTCCTGATAGGCAGCGGGGCGCTAGCTGGCGCAACGATGGCCCGGCGGGTCGGCCTGTTGGTCGCATCGGCGGTGGCGATGCCGTGGATCGCGAGTACGAGGTATGTTGACTCGACACCAAAGCCTGCGCATGATAACCACGAGACTAACGCGCATCCAGCAACTCATGCAAGAACTTGGTGGCACGGGTGCTGCGCCTGCCCGCATCGAAGCCGGCCCTGGATCGAACGGTCCCCCTGGCGGGGGTGATGCCCGGCCCTGGGCTCGGGGACCTACTGGTGGGCCCGCACCCTGGCGTGTCCGGAACAACGACCGCGACAGCGAGAGCGGTCCTTCAGGGGGCCCTGCTCCGTGGGCCCGTGACCGCGGCGATCGGGACCGCGACCGAGACCGCGGCTACCGTGGTTCCGATGGCCGCGACGGAGGTGACAACTATTATCCCGCCCAGAGCGCGTACGGTGCCGCCGCCCCGGCCGCGCCCCCGGGAGCTGCTCCTTGGCATCAGCCCATGGGTGCACCGGGCGCACCGGGCGCACCCGCCGCATATGGTGGATACCCAGGTTACGGTGGTTACGGCGCGCCTGGTGCTCCTCCTGGAGTGGGCGGTGCACCTCCTGGCTTGCCCCCTCCGCCCCCGCCGCCTCCCGGTGCTGCTCCGCCGGGCCTTCCGGGCGGACTCAATGCGCTCATCCAGCAGTACGCCAACGCTGCTCCGCCTCCACCTCCTCCTCCTCCCTCGGGAGATGCTCCGCCGCCGCCTCCCATGGACCTGCCGCCTCCGCCGCCGCTTTAGGGTGGACACTGGTAGCGTAGCAACTTGCTGCAGTGTATCCTGCGCCAGGTCGTGGAAGTGCTACTGACTGATAGGATGCTTTGATTAACCTGTTCTCACTCACTTTTCCGTAGCGCAACTTTTCATCTTCACTAAGTTGACAGGGTTGCTCTTGGTGGGAGTGGGAACTAACTGTACACGTAGCTCTTTTCTGTTGGGAATTGTTGTTCTATAAAGCTTTAGATGTCGCGCGAGTTGAGAGCCTTGAGACACATGCATTGTGATGGTGCCAACTGCTAGCGCCAGCAGCCCAAGGCTGTTGTGCCTTTGGTCGAGCCCGTTGTAGATGTCCGGCTCCGTGAGGCCACTTGCCCGATTACACTGGTATGCATGTTTCTATTCGATATCCGGGTTATGCTATGCAGTAGTACCTACCACACCTAGCTACCTGTAAGTGTCACAATACTAATAATTGAAGGTAAACCTTGAAAGCTGCCATTCACTGTCCTTGTCACCGTGTGACATCACGCAGGGAGCTTGGGCCACTCACCTGCATCCGAAATCCCCACTCAATCCAGCAGCTCCAGCTTCACCGTGGCTTATTACCTTATCCCATTGCTTTCCAGCCTTCCAGTTTTCGTAGATGCAGAAATAGACCCTTCTCCAGAGGTGTCTTGAACTCTGACCAGTGCGGTTCGCCGTCGTTTTGGGCTACTTTCTAGCGTTTAACGGCGGTCGCACCAGGTAACAGCTAGCAAGAGCATGAGCCAGCACTGAGTTGTCGACAAAGGCCAACCTCCCAAGACGGAAAAGGTCACCTGCATCGGCTCATCCTATCTGCAGTGCTTTCCTTGACCTAGGACCGACGCATGGACTGCCGATGCGCCTTTCAACGGTCTTCCGCCTAGCTTCCAATATCTGCAAGTCTCATGTCTCCTCGGAATAGATAAAAATACTTGGCTTTGTTAAGGAGGGGGAGAGAAGGGCGTTTGCGCTGCTTTGAAACGCTAGGACCCAGGCGTCCGGTCCCAGCGGCAACACAATAAGTCGACGCCAAAATGATCAACCCCTTCTCGTTCAGGCCCGGGCCGGTCACCTTCTGGACGACGGTCACGTACCTTGCCCTGCTCATACCCATCATCATCGTCAATGAACAGGCGCCGCCGGTTCCGAGCGGGGAGTCGCCGGTGCCAGGCATCAACCTGACGCAGGCATGGCTCGACCTGGCCACGGTCACACGGGCGTACCATCCCTACAACAGCCGCTACAATGACGAGCTCCGCAAGATGCTTCTCCAGCGGATACGTTCAATTCTGGATGAGAATGGCGTGGCTTGGACGATTGAGGGGTGAGTGTTTCCCTGTCTCGAGAGGTGCTGGAGCCTTCAGTTGACCATGATTCTTCAGGTCTGGGTCTGGGTCCGGCAGCTCGGATGCCGCCGTCACCGTGTTTGATGACATGACATCCAACTGCACCTTCCTCATGGCGTCTGGCGTGGTCTCAACCGGTTCTCGGGTGGCGGCGTACTTTGAGGGCACGAACATTCTGGTCTACATCAGAGGCAAAGCCGACGACCAGGGCAAGTGGTGGAACACAGCAGGCGTGCATGATGACGCCAGGCGTAGCGCCAATGCTTTGACGCTGGTCAACGCCCACTATGATTCGTAAGAGGTCTTCTTTGCTCCTTTAGGGTCACTGGCAGCTTAAAAGGCTGACTTGCTTCAAGCGTCTCTACCGGGTATGGCGCCACAGACGACGGCATGGGTGTGGTGACGTGCCTGCAGCTGATCCAGTACTTCACTCGCCCGGGCAACCAGCCCGAGAGGGGCATCGTGGTCACGCTCAACAACGGAGAGGAGGACTACCTCTACGGCGCAAGGGCACTCGGACAGCACCCACTGCAACCATACATACACACCTTCCTGAACCTGGAGGGCGCCGGGGCCGGCGGCCGGGCCCTCCTCTTCCGCACCACCGACCGCGAGGTGACGGCCGCGTATGCGCGCACGCCAGGCCCCTTCGGCACCGTCATTGGCTCCGACGCCTTCGGCCTGGGCTTCATCCGCAGCGGCACCGACTACTCGGTCCTCTACGACGTGTACGGCCAGCGCGGGCTCGACCTCGCCTTCTTCAAGCCCCGGGCGCGCTATCACACCAACCAGGACGATGCGAGGCACGCCTCCCGGGGCAGTCTCTGGCACATGCTGTCGGCCTCCATCCACACCACCACGCAGCTCTCTCGCGACTCGGGTGACACCTTCGTGGGTCCCAGGCCGGATGGAGCGCGCGGGAAGGTGCGCAACGGCCGCCCAAGCGACGGTGTCTGGTTTGATCTCTTCGGCAAGGGCTTCGTGCTGTTTGGCCTGCGCGGCATGTTCGCGTGGTCGCTGACCGTGCTGATCGCCACGCCGCTCATCCTGGCGCTGGTCAGCTACATCCTCCACCGAGCGGATCGGTACTACCTCTTCAGCTCGAGCGTCAAGGCACCACATGTTGATTCCGATGGTGGCGAGCCCGTGCAGATCGGTGGCTGGAAGGGCTTCTTCCGGTTCCCGTTTGCGCTGGTGGTGGTTGGATCGCTGACGCTTGGGGCCGCCTTCTTGCTGAGGAAGGTGAATCCCTTCATTGTCTACAGCAGTCGGTATTCTGTGTATGTTGATACCCCGTTTACTTCTCCTTTTGGTGTGAGGAGTGAAGAGAGGAACACACTAACACGCAAAAAAACAAAAAGCCTGGCCATGATGGTCTCGCTGTTCTACTTTAGCTTCTGGGCCATCATGCGGGGTGCGAACTTTGCAAGGCCCAGCGCTCTGCACAGGGTCTATGTCCAGATCTGGCTGTTCATCCTCGGATGGGCCATGCTCGTCGCTGTCACGGTCGCCGAGGATCGGTTGAGGATTGGCGCCGGGTACATGTTTGTGTTCTTCCAGTCGGCCGTGTTCCTCTCCGTTTTCATCGCGCTTTGCGAGCTGTTTGCGTTGCCGAAGAAGGCTACGTGGAGCCAGCAGGTGCGCGAAGACCAAGAGACAAGGGCGCTCAGTCGGGGTCGCGCGAACGGTGATATCTCGCCTTCGCAGCTACCGCTGCCGAGACCCCATCAGGAGTCGACGCCGCCGGGGACGAGGCACTCGAACACGTCAGCCTCGGCCACAACTATCCGGGGCGACCAGGATGATGACGATGACACTGAGGCACCCACAGAGCGCACACCACTCGTAGGAGGGAATGCGGCTGGCGAACAACCGCGCACCACCTTTGCTACAACCTACCGCCAGTCCATCTCGGCCCTGGTTAGCGGAGCCCGCAGGTACAGCGACGGCGGGCTCGGCCACGGCAACGGTACTAACAAGCCGTTTGAGCACGAGCAAGCCTGGTCCGGTCCTCTCCCCTCGTGGACATGGCTCCTGCAATTCCTCCTCCTCGGCCCGTTCACCATCATCCTGATCGGGCAGATCATGCTGATGCTCGTCGACGCCACGCACCAAACGGGCGCGGACGGGAGCAGCCTCCTCCTGCCGTACCTGATCGTCTTCCTGGGCGCCGTCGTGCTCTTCCTCCCGCTGACGCCGTTTATCCACCGCATCACGCACCACATCCCCGTCTTTTTGCTTCTCGTATTTGCCGGCACGCTGATCTACAACCTCGCCGCCTTCCCCTTCTCGGCCAACAACCGATACAAGACCTACTTCGTCCAGACCCTCGACCTCGACGGCAACAGCAACAGCGTGTGCTACGCCGGCATCGAGGAATACGTCCGCCACATCATCGCTGCTCTGCCCTCCGCCGCGGGCAAGGACGTCGTCTGCGCCGCGTCCAAGCGACAGGGCCTCGTGAGCTGCTGCTTCGATGGGGCCGATACCCCTCCCCGCCTCACCACCTCTCCTAGTAAGGAATATCGCGATCTGATCACGGTCAATGCCACACGTACTACAGATACAGATACAGATGTGGTGGTGGCCGCGCGCATCGAGATCGCCGCCAACAACACCAAGGCCTGCTTCCTCGAGTTTGACTCCCCCGTGTCGGCGCTGCGTGTGCGGGGGGGCTCCGGGTGGGACGAGCGGTTTGGCGCGTGGCCCGAGCAAGAAGGGGTCACGACTGTCCGGCTGTGGCACCGCGAGTGGGATAGGCCGTGGGTTGTGGATGTGGAGTGGAAGAAGAAGAAGGAGGATGATCATCGTGACGATGGGGATGGTGGTGATAGCATTAGTAAGGGAGGAGGAGGAGAAGAGGAAGAAGAAGGAGAAGAGATGGTCGATGATTATGGTGAGTTGGGGCGGCGAGATGGGGGAACTACTACTGGTAGTAGGAGTAAAGGGAGGTTGGCAGGGCATGTCGTTTGTATGTGGAGTGATGTTAATGTGCCGGGCACGATTCCCGCGCTGGACGAGGCGCTTGCCTTCGTCCCCGCCTGGGCGGCGGTCACTAAGTTGTCTGAAGGGCTTGTGGAGGGGAGGAAGCGGTTTGAGGTTTCTTGAGGTGTGAAACTGCTAGCGACTGGTTGCAGTCTGTTTTTCCATCCTTCTTTTGTCACATGTACTTACTCGGGTCAGTCTTTGGTAAGATTCAGCGTGTCTCTCTTGTTAGGGGTTGTATTAGGGCGTAGGTAGCGCACTTGGGACATCGGCTCATTCCTGAAGCAGTCTCTTCCTACCTCCTTACTTTAGTTACACTTTACCTGTTGCGGGCAATCCTCCGGTCTCCGAGTGGTGACGCTGTCCTAGACACAAACAGATACACCCCGAAAGTTGGGGGGGGGGGGGGGGGATGTCTTTTGTCATACACTTACCGGACTCGATCTGCCACAGTCTCCCTTTTCTGTCTGTTTCCAACTGAGTACTGCATTGTGCAACGGAGGGGGAGCGGGTAGGTGTGGGAGCTTTGGTCTCGACTGGGGGTGTGGATTCGGTGGTGGTATGTCTTCCTGATTTTGCAGCCTCGTGTCTCACCGGTTGCTGTGTTGCAAGACATTATTATGTCTCTCAATCCGTCGATGGCGTAGGTATCCGCGCTGTGTGATAATGATGTTATGTCCCTTACAAATCGGGGCACGTTGGACGAGATATTGGGGGTTGGACATGGCATATTTTAAGGGGACCATAACTACTAGTAAGGTGTATGTATACAGTATTGAGTAAGGTAGGCAGTGCTTGAGATATTCTTTGAGGTGTCCCTGCATAGGTATGGATATGACAACCTAACCCGTCCAAAGCAGCAGTGCCTTTCTTTCCATGCGGAAGGCATTGATTCATGAATTCCGATCATGCCATCTTTTGCTAAGTACCCCGTGTCCTCGACATGTGCTACACATCCTGTGCGGCCAAACGCGGACACAAGGGTCGCCCATGCCTCGACGGCCTCGGGCATCGAGCAGGCCTGGGAGTGAGTTGCGTCTCTGAACGTGGCACTAAAACACCAGATAAGTCGTACAAGTGTTCGAGGCAAAGACTCCAGGGAACCGGTGGGATCAAGACGTGTCAATTGGTAGGAAACGGCCGAGGGACTCAGCCCGCGGCCAGTTACATCCCGATATGCGGAAACAATCCATCGTGTTTGGCTTCGAGGAAGCAGAGAGAAAGCCACTGGACCTCGTGCCATCTGCTCGCGCCTTCCTTCAAATCTGCTCCCATCCCCAAAGCTTTCCGTTTCTATCTCAGGCTGTTTGAAGAGCCTTCCAGAATCAAAACTCTGTAGAATTAAACATTCGCGCCAAATCTCAGACGAACACTCAACTCACCACCTTCGCCTCTACTCTCCTCACCAGCCATTACCACTACCGCCCTCCCTCTCCATCTTGTTCCAGCAGACCTCAGAATACGCAACGTCAACTTTCCAATACGAATCGACGTCAAAATGACCGCCACCACCAAGTCCATGCTGCTCACGGCCTTTACCTTGGTGACAATGGCAATGGCCATTCCTCCTCCCCTGTCCCGCCTCACCAGGGAGGACACCGTCCACCGCCGCGTCGAGGCGACTGCCACTCGCGACGCCATGGGTCCCGTCTGCACCAACGGACTGCCGGCATCGAAGCAGTACCAACCTGTCGCCTACCAGATCAACGACTACACCGTGGTGACGGCGAATGCCAACAACTGGACTTCATACGCCGTCCAGCAGGACTGGTACCGCGACCACTTCATCTCGGGCCCACATGTGAGTTTTCCCCAGACCACCCCCCCGCCCCGTTCGGCCGTCGATGATGGAAGGAAATCGGTATGCGTTTTGGGGGTTATAAAGAAATGCTGATGTCGGTTTGGTTGGCCACCACCGGAGGGGCAGGTCATGAACTTCGCGCACGATACCAATCCCTACGGCCCATACAAGTGCCAGTACACATGCAACGCGGCCGACAACTGCAATGCGTACTTTGTCTGGTATGGTGAGTTTTAGTGCTGCCCACTGTCCCGAACCGATCCATCTCGAGGTTTAATAAAATGCTTACTTTCTTGCAGAGAATGTTGGTACCGACACGGAGCACCTCAACTGTGTGCTTTTCAATGCCGTGTAAGTAAAAAGAACCCCCCCTTTCTTTGTCCTGGCAGACGTCCTGGCTGGGTGGGTGCTGACTGGTTCTTTTTGCAGAATCCCGCCATCGGTCTTTGTGCAGACTACCGGCACCATCACGGCCGGTGCCTACGATAGACTCTGCGACCATTCTTCGGCGTAGTTTGTTTAGTGCGTTGACAACTGGGAAATGATTTCTTTTTCTTAATATCGGGTTGTGATGTGTTTCGTCTGCTATGGTAAGCGGCGGTTGGCTGTGTAATTGGGATTCGCTCTAGCGGAGGTCGTCTGGCAACTGTTCCTAGGCCTTCAGTATCTGGTTTTTTGGTTGTACTCTCATTCTTGACCAATGTTGCTTGTAAAGCCGAGAGAAGGGGAGGATGGTCAATGGCGAGTGGACTTCCCTAGATATGATGTCCAAATTCGGGTTGAACATGTTAAACATGTGATGAGATCTGCCTGAAAAGCCACATGGCTTGCAGAAGATTTAACTGAGATAACCGCAAAAGGCAAGAGAAAATATATCTTGATGCTTGATGCTTACCCGCCGCCCCGTACTTTAAGAGCATACCCATGCCCGACTGAAACCAGAGATGACCCTTAAACCAACCTAGCAACGCCAGCAGCTTTTCCGAACCGCTCTAACCTCCCCAGATCCCTCTAACGCCACGAAGAGAGCAAGGACCCCTTCCCCCCGGCCACCTTTTCCACACCTCCACCAGCCTACTTATTCCTCCATGACATCCCCCTCCTGCTTGACCCTGACGCCCACAACATTCCCAAGCTCCTCTCTCGCCTTCCGCCACAACTCCCCCTCCATGTCCCTCTCCACCGTACTGCTGGCCATATTCAGCTGCCCGACATCCAGCCCGCCATACCGGCCCATCCCGTCCGGCTCCAGCCGCGGCGGAGCAGCAGCTCTGGCCTTTGCGTCCCCTCCTCCTCCTCCTCCTCCCTGATGCGGCGGCAGCTGCTGCTGGTGCCCTTGGTGGTGTCCGGAGCCGCCAAACGAGCCGCCGCCGCCGCCGCCGGGCCCAAAATCGCCCTGTTGCGGCTGCTGCTGCTGCTGCTGTTGTTGTTCTGCACTGTTGTTGTTGTTCCGCAGCGTGATGATCCCGGCCTCCTCGAGCGCCAGGATCTGGCGGGTCAGGTGCTTGTCAATGCGGTCGATGGCGTTGAAGAAGGAGGCCTGTGCTGTTCGGAAGGCCGATACTGGGTCGGCTTCTCTTTCGCGTTCTTGTTGTTGTTGGTGTTCTGATTCGAGGATGGGTACGTCGCTGGGCGTGTCGCCATCGGCCTGCGTGCCGTTGCCGTTGGGTTGCAATAACGAGACTGAGCTGCCCGGGGGTGTGGCTAGCGCGCGCATTGCGCTGGAGAGGTGGGTGAGTAGGGAAGCTATGTCCTGTGTGTGGCAGCCGGGATTAGCACTGATGTTGCAATAAGGGGTGTGGATGGTGGTCGGCCAGTACGTTGTCTATCTCGGCTAGCTGCTGGATGCGCTCTGCCGGAGTGAAGGGTTGGTGGATGTCGACTGCTGGCCCGCCGCTGAGTGACGGAGGTTGTGGTGGGTTATTCATCGTGCTGTGTAGGGTGGGAGTATTGCTTCTTGAGTTTCCATTCCAATTGCGCAGATTTTCGTTCGTAGTCCCGTCATAGATCCGATTCAAGAGCTGCTCTTGTCGGGTCGGCTGGATTATGCTGCCCCGCGATCACACGATGGAGGTAAAAGACGGGCCCCCGGCCGCTGTGATTTTCCCTGCTCGTTTTGTTCCATAATCGGCTAGCTAAATTTGTTAGTTACTGCCCAATGTAGTCTAGGTGCACAAGCAGCCCGCGCTGGCCTTTACAATTGGGCATTGAAGATACACAGTACAGATTAGTGATATCAAGGCAGTGCTTCAGAGACTACTGGGGGGCTCGGGCGGGCTCTTTAGAACGCCCGGACCCCATAGTACAAGCACGGCGATTTTCCAATCGTGTCAACGGAGGGAAGACGGAGACATTTGCCCACCACTTACTAAGCAGATGTATGGCATATCAGCGACAGATGGACCGAGTCGGTCTAATCTTCTCCGGCGACCTGGACGATCATTCGTCGTGTTGACGTACTGCGAGTCGTGTTTGATGGAAACTGTGACCATTGCGTGATATCCTGGATAAATATACTTCCAGACAGCAGAGTGCAGCTAGTTCGAAGACTGTGACCATTGCGCGATAACCTGGAACATCTTACAGATAGACAGGGTGGCACTACTCTGTAGTCCCGTTCGGTTCTATATAAAAGACACATGAAACGTCTTGATCTGTAGAATAGAACGCAAGTTAATCATAGCAACGTATCTCAACCATAACTCCTCTGTCTCCCACTCGTTCCAACTGCATAATACATTACACAATGGCCCCGACCATCCTCGTTGTTGGCGCCACGGGCAACACCGGCCGAAGCGTTGTCGAGACGCTGTCAAAGTTCCTGAACGGCAGTGACAACACCACCCTGCCAGACCACCAAGTCGTCGCCCTGACGCGTTCCCTGAACAACCCTGTGGCACAGCACCTCGCCACGCTCCCTGGCGTGCAGGTACTCGAGCACAATTGGGTCGACATTACGGCCGACTGGCTGCGTGGGCACCAAGTCGTGCGAGCCTTTATCGCCTCTCCCGTTCAGCCCAGTCAGTTTGCCGAGGAGTCGGCCTTCCACCTGGCCGCGCTGCGGGCCGGGGTGCAGTACGTGGTGCGCATCTCGACGACCGCCCCCAACGTGCGCCCAGACTTCCCGGCCTTCTACCCGCGCCAGCACTGGGCCCTCGAGGTCATGCTCGGCTCGCCGGAGTTTGCAGGTCTGCAGTGGACCTCCCTGCAGCCCAACGTCTTCACCAACTTTTATCTTGCGACCTCCGTCGAGTGGATCAAGCAGGTTCGCAAAACCGGCAAGCAGGACACGCCGCTGCGGTTGATGGCATCAAAGGACGCACCCGTAGGCGTCATCCACCCTGACGATGTCGGAGAGTTTGCAGCCAAGCTCTTAGTCCAACGGGACACTGCGGCGCACAACAAGGCCAAGTACGTGCTGAACGGGCCCGAGGACGTGACGGGCGAGCAGATCGTCCGAATGGTGGAGCAGTACATCGGTGCGCAGGTCGAAAACGTCGTCTACAAAGACGTGACGATGGTCGATGGCATGGCGGCCGCCGCCGAGGCTGCTGGGCAATCCAAGAGTATCATCTTGTCTATCAAGCACGGACCGGTGGCGGCCTGGGAGGGCAAGTGCACGGCTGCGACGACCAGCAAGGAGGTTCTGGAGCTCGCTCCGCCGACTAGAACCGTTGCGGGTGCATTCAAGGCATTGTTGGAGGATGAGGCGTAGAGTTTAGTACGATTCAGTCACGGGCGTGTATGTACTGTAAAGTCTTGATTCCGTAGGTGAGGATGACCAGCCGCAAGGAGCCGTGGGGGAAACTGGCTGCACCGTCCATTGGATAGGGTGTACTGTGTATACACTGTATCCGTACAATATCGTACATGTAATTGAGGGTCGGGATGACTTAATGTACCCGTGGACGGAGTATACCTGGTACCTACTACGATTTCTTTTGGTCGACCTAATGAACCTCAGGCTGCGTGGGGCCGTGCTCAGGCCCAGGGGTCGCATTGCCCCGCCCCATCTTGGCAGCAGCCAATCAGCACCATAGATACGGCAGTTAACGGAGAACTCCGCCAGCGTTGCACGTCGTGTTGGAGTCTTGGACTGTCCATACCTCTCTACATCATTCACACTCGTCACTTTCCCCATAGGAATCACACTCATTACTTCCCATAAGCTGCGTGACGGATCTCATTGACGGACTCTAACATTAAATCCATTCAACCCAAACGCATAGGTCCAACAACCATCACGCACGAGAATCTCCAAAGGTATATAGAACGGAACCGAGAGTCGCAACGCGCCTCCAAACTCTGTCACCCCATCATCGCGCGCGGACGGGGCGAGATAATCGAACGCCTTCGCCCGGCGGTTGCTGCATTCATCGGCCAGATTGAATTCGCATATATCTGGTACCGAGAATGTCGAATCCGGCAGCTCAGAATGTCGTGCCGAGCTCAACTGGAGGGCCATATGGTGGGCAACCTCAATCAGCAGGCGGTTCTGGTGGCAGCAGCGCGCCGGTGGCGACGAGCGGCGGAAATAATCCGCCATCCGCCCAAAATCTAAATCAGATTGTGAGTGATCGGTAGCTCCTATTATCTATTTCAGCTTTGACCTTTGTGGTGTCGGGCACTTGCATTTTTATTCCCTTACCTCTCCTGTTGCAACCTTGACCCAAAACACTGCAAGTGCAGTGCATCTACACACTTTCGCTGTTTCCTTGGAAAGTCGAGCAAAACGTCATGGCAACCACCACCTTCAGTGGAAGGCATCAGGGCCCTCATCAATCTTCCAACCAAATCGTAAGTTCTGCTTTTCGTTCTAGTAGGTCTACCGTTCATGTCCGAGCTGCATCCCGCTTGGAGGTGTGCTTGGAACTTCAACGGAGTCGACTGTTCGTTTCGCTCAATAGCAAGTGGCCTCCCATCAACGCTGCGCTTCTCTTCTATTCATTGGCATCATTGCAGCTTTCTCTTTTCCCAGATTACGAGATGGATCCCTTCTCAAACCGTCGCGAATCTCTTGTCGAGCATACCAAATCTCCTGTCAAGCATACCAAGTCGCGCCGCCTTTTATGGCTGTCCCTCGTCGGGCGGGAACCCGACTTGGTTACCGACCTTGGCTTACCAATAAATGATGAGCAGGTCACGGATTATCTCAAGAAGAAGGGCTTCACCAAGACTGAAGCCGTCTTCCGCCAAGAGACGGCCTACCTAGGTCCAGATGGGAGACCTGCTCGGCGGGACGACGACCCTGGTCCGAGAAGGTACCTGAAGGCCTTCCTCTTGCTGAAGACTTGGATTGAGAACAACCTGGATATCTACAAGGTGAGCCCTTTACTTACTCACATAACGCGCGCCTTCAACTTACTGACCCGGAACTATCCAGTTTGAGCTACGAAAGCTTCTGTGGCCCGTATTTATCTACTCATACCTGGAGCTAGTGAGCCAGGGCTACACCGACGATGCCAGAGACCTCCTGGATACTCTGAGGCCAAATTTCGAGGCAGTTCACCAGGATACCCTGGCGCTCTTGAGTACCGTGACATTACCTCAGCACGTCAACGAGAATCCAACCACCCGTCGCTACCGTGAAAACAGGTACCGGATCCCCTTGAACCAATCTCTCTCCGGGAATCTCTTTCACTTCCTCGAGCGAGAGGCAGACGAGGGTGGTTCAACGGTCACCTACATTCTCCAGACCAACTGCATTGTCGAGACGAGCACCCGCGGTCCGATCGAGCCATACAGTTTCGAAGCGATTTACCGCCGCGCGCTCAATCTTGACCTGGAGGATATTGACGTCCAGGAGGGCATTCCTGGCGTCTTCACGGGCGTGTCTAACCGGGATGTTCTCGACACGAGCGCCAAGCTGAAGCTCGGCCCCTTGCCGATGGAACCTGAGCTGAGAGACGACGTCCGGGCAGAGCTCGAGGACGAAGACCAGCGGCACCCGCCGGCGGACGGTCGGCCTACTCTCGTCGAGGAGTTCGACAAGCGGATCAAGCGAGAGGAAAGCGCCGACGCGCCTTCACGAGCGGATTTACCGCTTCCGCCGTCGCGCGCACGAGACGTGGTTATGGAGATGCAGAAGGTGCGCGAGAACCGTGACAGGTTCCAGATCGAGGGACGCACCGGAGGCATTGGGATCCCCGTATCGGCCTGCATGTTTACTTTCCACAACACTCTAGGAAGGTGAGTTGTGTTCTTCGCAGTAATGCTTGCGGCGGTGCCCTGTTCTAACCGACTTGTCCAGTGTTTCGTGTATGGAATTCTCTAACGACCACCAACTCGTGGCCGTGGGCACGATGGATTCGTACATTCGCGTGTGGTCGCTGGACGGCAAGCCGCTGAAGACGAGCCTGGAGAACGAGAAGGATCTCAAGGTCAATAATCGGAAGCTCATTGGGCACTCCGGCCCTGTTTACGGAATCTCGTTCTCGGATTCCATCGCCAATCTGAACCGTAACATCTACGGTGACACCGACGAAAAGAAGCCCGATACTAGTACAAAGTTGCTGCTGTCATGTTCGGCAGATGGCCAGGTCCGGCTCTGGTCTCTCGATGTGTGGGCGTGTCTGTGCATCTACAAGGCACACGACGGCCCCATCTTCCGCGTCCTATGGGGCCCCCACGGCCACTACTTCGCCACAGCCGGATGGGATAAGACTATCCGGGTGTTCTCACAGGACCACGCCTCGGCGCAGCGTCTCATGGTCGGCCATGATACCAGCATCTCAGCGCTGGCCTGGCACCCCAATGGCACATATGTGTTCTCAGCATCGGACGAAATGGACAAGTCGATCCGCATGTGGTCAATAATCACGGGCAACTGCGTCCGCATTTTCACCGGCCATGCTCACTACATCAGTGCCCTGCAGTGTGCCCACAATGGCAGGATACTTGCTAGTGCCGATGCCGGAGGGAACATTTTCCTCTGGGATATCGACAAGGGCACGCGTATCAAACGCTGCCGCGGCCATGGCAAAGGCGGCATTCCGTCGCTTAGCTTCAGTGCCGAGTCGAACGTGCTTGTGTCTGGCGGTCTGGACGGTACGGTCCGCATCTGGGATATCGAGTTACCGGCCGACCCCAACAAGACCAACCCCCTGGCAGGCGGGACAGGGCAGCCGGGACCGCAGGCGGACGGGACAGCCGGCGACACTATTGCCGTGGGAGGGTCCTCGGATGGACGCAGCATCACTGTGGGCGGTCAGGCGGCGCAGGCACCGGGAACCAGCGCATCCGGGGGCGGCGTCGGCGTCGGGACTGGCGTTGGCGGCAGTGGTAAGAAGAAGGCGAAGGAGGTCCAGGTAACACCGGATCAGATCAGCGCCTTTGCGACTAAGAAGACACCTGTTATGAAGGTGCAGTTCACGCGGATGAATCTAGTTGTGGCGGGTGGATGCTACGATCCCGAGCGCTAGGAGCGCACGGGAATGCTATAGCCTGCTTGTATCTTAGCGGATTTCGCGGTATTTGCTCACTTCTGGGACGAGGGAGGGTTCTTTCGGGACTGGAGTTTCGGTCGGGTAGTACACAGGTGAAGGTGCAACGGGACTAGATATCCATCCTGCATATTGTCGATTTGCGTGGTCATTAGCATAAGGCAGAGAAAGTACATTCTCTGACAGAACCTGAGGTGACCTACTCGTATACCTGTCTGGTATCATCAGTGCCTACCTTCCATAGTACGTGATCTGATGAAGAAGGGGAGGACGAACTGAGGGGCCGTAGCTTGCAGCTCAAGATGACCCCACATTGCGCAGCTGCCAAGAAGGGCTTGGTATCGTACGTAACAGGCACGACGACGATGCAGCTTCCCTGCATCGACACTGCATTTCGAATTATCGCAACACACATCACCTCCTTGTATTCGGCGCGAGGTCATCCCGCGTCGCACTTGAGATCCTCTCTCCAATTGAGCAGTGAAGCCGCCATCATCGCCTTGAAACCCCTTTGAACCATTCACAATGGAGGATCCCTGGGCCGACTCGGCCGGCACCTCGGAGCCACTCGGCGCTTCCTCGCAACAGAGCGCTACCGACAGCACGCCAGCCGCTTCCGCTAGCGGTCCAGAACCATCTACAACGACCACCACGACGGCGTCGTCCGCCCGCTCCTCGCGCATCACCCCGCGCCGCCTCGTCGCCCAGCCCACTCGCCTCCAAGCAGTCGAAGACGACCCCCTCGGGCCCCTCGGCGCATCCTCCACCCCTCCCTCCGGCACCAACGATGCCGCGGCCACGACACCGGCAGCAGAGAAAGCCGGCGGCCCGCCCGTACCGCCCCTCAAAGAATCACAGCTGCCCCTGCGCACGACCATGCCGGCGCCCCCGTCAGCCGGCAAACACCGCGCCGGCCCGCCCGATCCGCACCGGATTGACGACGATGAGGATGATGACCGGCTGTTTGGCGTGTCGTCAGGTTCGGGGCCGGGCGGCGGCGGTCCCAGACAGCCGCCACCCGTGCAGGCGGCGCTGCCGAGTCCCGTGCGGAGTGCCACGCAACCTAGTGTCAGTCTCGAGCAGGCTGCGCGACCAAGCTTCCATATCACCGTGGGCGATCCGCATAAGGTTGGGGATCTGACGAGTAGTCACATCGTCTACTCCGTTCGGACTAAGGTATGTGTGTGTGTGTGTGTGTGTGTGTGTGTGTGTGTGTGTGTGTGTGTGCGCTACGAGAGTGTGTGCAGATGAGTGAGTGCTGACTGGGGGGTGATGGGTGATAAAAAGACAACGTCCAAAGCGTACAAGCAGCCCGAGTTCGAGGTCAAGCGGCGGTACCGCGACTTCCTTTGGCTGTATAACACCCTCCATGCGAACAACCCCGGCGTAGTGGTCCCGCCGCCGCCCGAGAAGCAGGCCGTGGGCCGATTTGAGAGCAACTTTGTCGAGTCCCGGCGGGCGGCGCTCGAGAAGATGCTCAACAAGATCGCGGCGCACCCCACGCTGCAGCTCGATGCGGATTTGAAGCTGTTCTTGGAGAGCGAGGCCTTCAATGTGGATGTCAAACACAAAGAGAGGAAGGAGCCGAGCTTGGGGGAGAGCAAGAGCGTACTGGGGTCGTTGGGGTTCAGCGTGGGCGGGGGGAATAAGTTCGTCGAGCAGGATGATGTGAGTTGGCTTTCTTTCTCTCTTTTTTGTTAAAAGGTATGGCTGCTGACAGCTCGCTAGTGGTTCCATGACCGCAGGGTCTATCTCGACGCTCTTGAAAACCAGCTCAAGGCGCTGCTCAAGGCCATGGACAGCATGGTAGCCCAGCGTAAGGCCATGGCCGAAGCAGCGGGCGACTTCTCGGCCTCGCTCCATGCCCTGTCGACAGTTGAGCTATCACCCACGCTCTCCGGGCCGCTGGACGCGCTCTCCGAGCTGCAGCTCACGATCCGCGACGTGTACGACAGGCAGGCGCAGCAGGACGTGCTCACTTTCGGCATCATCATCGAGGAGTACATCCGGCTGATCGGCAGCGTCAAGCAGGCCTTTACCCAGCGCCAGAAGGCCTTCCACAGCTGGCACAGCGCCGAGTCGGAGCTGGTCAAGCGCAAGGCTGCGCAGGACAAGCTGCTGCGCCAGGGCAAGAGCCAGCAGGACCGCCTCAACCAGGTCAACGCCGAGGTGGCAGATTCCGAGCGCAAGGTGCACCAGGCCCGCCTGCTGTTCGAGGACATGGGCCGGCTGATGCGGTCCGAGCTGGACCGCTTCGAGCGGGAGAAGGTGGAGGATTTCAAGTCCGGGGTCGAGACGTTCCTGGAGAGCGCAGTCGAGGCGCAGAAGGAGGTGAGCTTGTTCCTTGCACTAGTGCGCGATGATTTGTGTTTGTTGACATATGTCCAGTTGATCGAGAAATGGGAGACCTTCCTCATGCAGCTCGACGCAGAGGACGACGAGACTGTCTTCTACCGGCCGCCCGTCGTCCAAGCCAACAAACCGGCCGGTGACACAGCAGTCGACCGGGCCCGGGCAAGGATCCACGAAGACTCAGACTAGGCATTGCGCTAGGGCTGCTGAGGTACCATTGGATGGGGGATATAATATCCGGTAGATGCCTGAACGGCGTGTTGCCATTGTATTATACATAGCCGTATCCGCATGCTGCTGCGGTAGCCTTCTTCTGGTTCACCCAATCCGTCTCTATACAGACAGGTATGCCGGCAACTGGCAGGACTGGCGGGCCCATCGAAAATACAAGATCGGTTTTCTATGTTACACGTTTCCCAACATCCCCTCTATCCCCGTGTGCTTCTCTATTTCTTCTTGCCGCTCTTATCCTTCTTCGCCTGGTCCTTGGCGCTCAACCCGCCCTTGACGTTCTTGTCCTCCGTTGCGTACGCGCTGATGAGGTCCACAAGAGAATCAAACTGGTCTTCCGCCGGCGCCGGTGCCGCCTCCGCCTCTGCCGGTGGCTTTGCCGCTTTTGGCTTGGCTTCCTGCGCCGTCTTCTCCTCTTGCCCAGCAGCCTTCTGATCCGCAGGCGCCCCCGGTGCCGCGGCGGGTGGAGCAGCAGCAGCAGTAGGAGCAGCAGCAGGAGCACCAGTCTCGTCTGGCTTCACAACGTCCAAGTCCCACGCGTTACCGTACCGCTCGCGGAAGGCGGCCAGCTTGCCGGCCTCGTCCACCTCGACGTTCCGGAGCGACTTCTCCGACGGCTGCCACAGGATGTGGTTGCGCGAGTCCTTGGCCGACTTGTACAGTGCCAGCGGCGACGTCGTTCGCACCGTGAAGGTCGACCCGTCCGAGAGCTGCACCAGCTGCGTGAAGGTGTAGGGCCGCCGGGGCCGCGGCACAAAGGTCGCGTGCCGCACTTGGTTGCCGACTTGGCTAAACCGTGGTCTTGTGCATTGTGATGGTGGTGAGGCGAGGATTGTGTCGGAGGAGGAGGAGGTCGTCGTCGTCGTCGTGGAGGAAAGGTAGCTTCCTGTTCCTGCCAGGGAGGGTCGGCGGAGGATGGTGGCGGGGAGTTTCCCCATGGCTGGTCTTGCTGCAGCCTTTGGCTTGTCCTTTTGTATGCGATGCGCCTCTCCCGGATCGTGGGAGACCGGAGGTCGGAGCGGGAGCCGGCGCTGGAAATGGGAAAGGGCGCAATTGACTGTTTACCGCCCCTGGGTCGTGCTATAAGCGTGGTGCCGTCTCCGGGCTCAGGGTTTCGTCTCGTCGGTTACACATGTGTTCGAGCGCCCAATTGAGGTTGAAATTTTGATACGGCGGACGAAATCACCATGCACGCAGAGCGTACCGCTCAGTGTCAGGGTTGTTATCTTATCGGTGGCTGAATGGCTAAAAGGCCAGTCTGAACAGCAGTCTGCAGGCAATTTGCACGGAATTTTGGCCGCCAAAGGCAACCCTCCACTCGTGTTTGACAGAAAGCGGTCGCCTCTCCATTTGTTGGGGGGGTTCAATTGGAAGCCACCGACATTCATGGAGCTGTGATGAGCAGCCGCCGCGTTCTGGTGGGCTCCGCCGACGAGTTCGCCCTCGTATCTCGCCAAAGACCCCGGCGCAACTATGCCCCCCGCTCAGACCTCGCCGTGATGCGACTCCGGACTTCTGTAGCGCAGTTTGCTTTGCCGTCCGGGAGGATATGTTACCCAAAATGTATGTCTAGGACCTAATTGACTCGTAATTCTGATTCCAACAGATCGCCCTCGACCCCGAGCAGCCTCTTCCCTCCCCATCCGGCCCTTGCACACCACCCGCCAGACCTCACGAACCTCCCTCTCCGATGATGAGCGCGAATCCGACCGCCGCCGACCACGGACCTTCGCCATCAGCCCTCCTCAGCCCCCTTCAATCCATCCGCCGCGCTCCTCCAAAACACAAGGCACCACCTCATCAACAACCCCCACCCCGTCGCTACCCGAGCAATTCCGCTCCGTGATGCGCCTCCTGACCCATCCGGCGGTAGTCTGCACCTCCACCTCACCCGCTGCCCCCCCGGCTCGCCGTCCATCCCGCGGGCAATGACCATGTCCAGCCTGACCTCGCTCGCTCTGTCTCCAACGCCGGTGGTGACCTTCAACATCGCCGTGCCGAGCCGGACGTTTGACGCCATTGCGGCGAGCCGACGCTTCAATATCCACGTGCTGGCTGACAATGCGGCAGGCGCGAGTGTGGCAGATTGGTTGGCCGGGGGTAACACCGGGGGCAGGGAGGTTCTTGAGCGGTTGAGTGCGGACGGAGGGGTGGAGGTTGAGCCTGGCGAGCAGGAGGGTGACGCGCCGGTGTTGAAGGGGGATGGGGTGCTGTATGTGCTGAGGTGTCGGTTGCTGGAGGATGCTAATGCGCCGACTGGGGGGTTCGTGAGGGTGAGAGATCATGTCATTGTTCTTGGGGAGGTGTTGGAGATCGTGGAGAGGTCCGGGTCACAGAGGGAGGTGAAGGATCGGTTTGGCTTGCTGTATGCGGATAGACGGTACAGGCAGCTTGGGAAATGTATAACACCTGTAGAGAAAGAAGAGGAGGGAAGGTTATTAGATGACGAGTGAAAGGGTTGTGTTCGGATCCGGGATCATGTACATGTACTCTAGTTTGGATTCACATGGCGACGGCGTTGGCGGGGCATGGCATGGCACAGATCACACACATACTCATACGGGGACGCAAACATGGCAGGGGACTGCCTGAACAGGTGTCTCGATTCTCAATCCTCCATTTGAGGATCTCGCGTTATGGCCTCTTCAGAGACTTCACGTCGAAAATGAAAGAAAAATGCCGCGCCGAGAATTCATCATGATGCTTCTTCTTGCTTAGTTCTTGATGGTGACAAGCTCCGTCTCGAAGATGAGAGTGGCATTGGGCGGGATGACGCCACCAGCACCACGGTTACCATAGCCAAGCTCCGGGGAGATGGTGAGCTTGCGCTTCTCGCCAACCTTCATGCCCAGGAGACCCTCGTCCCAGCCCTTGATGACCTGACCCGCACCGACGGTGAAGTTCAGCGGCTCACCGCGGTCGTAGCTGGCATCGAACTTGCTCCCGTCCTCGAGCGTGCCCTTGTAGTGCACGTCGATGCTGTCACCTGTGCAGAGGCAAGCAGCGTCAGCGATTTGGTGCAACTTGGAAGCTAGGAGCGGGGTGCGGGACTGCTTCAGAGGTGGAGGGGTAGCAGCAAGGTGGCAGGGCGGGGTAGCAATTCATTCAGCTGCGAAACTTACCGCGCTTGGTCTCACGGTCACCAGTGCCCTCGGCAAGGACCTCAACCTGGAGACCGGCAATTTCGGGGATAGTCATCTTGATTTGACGGGGAAATAGTGATGAGTTGGGCTTCTGGCAATCGATTGTGTTCTGAAGCGGGCGTGGAGAGTTGTGAGAGAGAAGAAGGGAAAGGATCTGAGGAGGGGACCTGAGGATCGGTCGGATACTTAAGGTGGGGTAATTCTGGGTAACTGACGCAATCGGAAATCGGCAGCGATCAACAGCCTTCCTTTCCAGGTACGGTATGCACGTGTAGCCCTCAACGGTTTTCGTTCCATCCTACAGCTCGCATGAAACTTGTTCCTTTTCCGTCGTGCAGCCCCAATAGTCCGAAGCGGGCAGTCGGGCACGGTTCAGAAGCACGACTCGGAAGGATCCCGCCGACCAGCATAGGGTTAGGGTCTGGCATGACACTTCACGAACCGAGGACTACAAATGGAGGTTGTTGAACGGTAAAATATGCCCTGCTGGATGAGTCGAAGGGACAGTTTGGGGAGTCGTGACAGACATTCTGGTGTCCAGCGTGGCATCTATTTATGTACGAGAGTCACTTCCAGTGGCCAGGTAATGTCATGCCCATCGTTGCCGTCGCTCGAGAACGTCTCGCTACTCGCTAACCGGCTTCAACTGCTCATATCTCCATAACTAGCGGTCTGCATCTCGACTCTCGACTCTCGAGCCTCAGGTAACGAGTCGCCAACTTTCCATGTTAACCTTGAGATGAGGGTTTGCAGGGAGGTATGCTCTGCTCCACTCTCTCATCGATAGCTGAGTGCCTAAGGATTCAGATCCAGAGTTGCTGTAATGTATCGTACATACAAACTCAGAGTCAGACCCACGGAGGGGGCATCATCGCATCGTAGTTGCACAGGTCACTGCCCGGATGTGATGAATCATGAGCCTCGGAGTAAAGACGGGTGTGCGATATCCAAACGCGGTTGCCTTGGAGAAGACCCGCCACCCTATGTGCAATAACATGTACATTGCAGGCGCTTGACCGCCTGCCGCTCAAGGCAGGAAGGAGGGGCAGGTAGCGCGGCGCGGGGGACCCAGCCTCGTTTTCAGCCTCGCAAGCGGGGTAGTGGTCTCGACTTTTCTGGAGCTTTCCTCACTTGCCTCGTCAGACCAGGTATTATTTGAGCTGGGACTATGGGATGTTGTACAATGTGATTTCCGGTTGCTTTCAGCTCCTGATATATCTCCAGTTTGTTCCTGCAATTGTTGGGAGTTCTATGAATCTTCTGGTAGAGTCCCTTTCGCTCCCCGTTTCCAATTGCAGCCTCAGTGTGGGGCCCTGCAGAGGGGAGCTCAGGAAGGTAACCAATCAGAGCGTCCTATCTGTGCTTGTGGAGCTCTATAGAAGCGAATCAGAAGAACGCCGCAGAATTTGGACGATAGAATCTCATAGAATCGTTGAGCATCGCCCAGGGCAGCCCGCACATACATTTTAGCTGCCACAGCTCCTCCTGCCCTTCTTCTCTTCAACCTTCTTCCTCCGCGTTCTCCAAATCGAATCTCCTCTTCACATTCACCCTTCCCAACACCTCGAGGTCTCCGGAGGCGCAGATCGCTGACCATCGTGCAAATAATCAGCCTTTTGGTAAGTGCTCGCACCTTCCTCGATCCGCCGCTTCAGCTTTCCCTCAGCCTCGTCGGGTGCCTCCGACTATTCACCGCACTCTTCCAACATGCCACACTATTCGCATTCTATCCTATCAAAACTTCAAGATGTGTTTGTTTCTCGCCACTTTCTGTTTGTACACGTGCACGCTCTTGTTGGTATCTGCTTGGGCAACCGACTTTCATCACCCCACACTAGCCTTGCACAAAACGCCCCGCCAACAAGTACGCCAACTTCCTAGTAAGGCAATAGCTGACCTTCAATTGTCAGGTACCAGAACAGACTTTCCAGAACTCTCAACATGGCTGAGACGTTCGAGTTCCAGGCTGAGATCTCTCAGCTTCTCTCCCTCATTATCAACACAGTCTACTCGAATAAGGAGATTTTCCTGCGTGAGATTGTCTCGAACGCTTCCGATGCGCTCGACAAAATCCGCTACGAGGCTTTGTCCGATCCCAGCAAACTGGATTCGGGCAAGGACCTTCGCATCGACATTATCCCGGACAAGGATAACAAGACTCTGACCATCCGGGACACCGGTATCGGCATGACCAAGGCCGTATGTTCTAGTCCGATATTTCTGAATCACTGCAACAGCTGCTAACATTTCACTCCGTAGGATCTCGTCAACAACCTCGGCACCATCGCCCGCTCCGGCACCAAGCAGTTCATGGAGGCCCTCACCGCGGGTGCTGATATTTCCATGATCGGCCAGTTCGGCGTCGGGTTCTACTCGGCGTACCTCGTCGCCGACAGGGTTACTGTCGTCTCCAAGAACAACGATGATGAGCAGTACATCTGGGAGTCGAGTGCCGGTGGCACCTTCAGCATCACCCCCGACACTGAGGGCGAGCAGCTCGGCCGTGGTACCAAGATCATCCTCCATCTCAAGGATGAGCAGACCGACTACCTCAATGAGAGCCGTATCAAGGAGGTTATCAAGAAGCACTCCGAGTTCATCTCGTATCCCATCTACCTCCACGTCAAGAAGGAGACCGAGAAGGAGGTCCCTGATGAGGACGCTGAGGAGGTGAAGGAAGGCGAGGAGGGCGAGGACAAGAAGCCCAAGATCGAGGAGGTTGATGAAGAGGAAGAGAACAAGGAGAAGAAGCCTAAGACCAAGAAGGTCAAGGAGACCAAGGTCGAGGAGGAAGAGCTCAACAAGCAGAAGCCCATCTGGACCCGCAACCCTCAAGACATCACTCAGGAGGAGTACGCTTCCTTCTACAAGTCGCTGTCCAACGACTGGGAGGATCATCTTGCCGTCAAGCACTTCTCCGTCGAGGGTCAGCTTGAGTTCCGGGCTATCCTCTTTGTGCCCAAGCGCGCTCCTTTCGATCTCTTCGAGACGAAGAAGACGAAGAACAACATCAAGCTCTACGTCCGCCGCGTCTTCATCACGGATGATGCCACCGACCTCATCCCCGAATGGCTTAGCTTCATCAAGGGCGTCGTGGATTCTGAGGATCTCCCGCTCAACCTGTCCCGTGAGACCCTTCAGCAGAACAAGATCATGAAGGTGATCAAGAAGAACATTGTCAAGAAGTCTCTCGAGCTCTTCAACGAGATTGCGGAGGACAAGGAGCAGTTCGACAAGTTCTACACCGCTTTCTCCAAGAACATCAAGCTCGGTATCCACGAGGACTCGCAAAACCGCGCCACCCTTGCCAAGCTCCTGCGGTTCAACTCCACCAAGTCTGGCGATGAGCAGACTTCGCTCACTGACTACGTCACCCGGATGCCGGAGCATCAGAAGAACATGTACTACATCACTGGCGAGTCTCTCAAGGCCGTCTCGAAGTCGCCGTTCCTTGACTCCCTTAAGGAGAAGGGCTTCGAGGTTCTATTCCTTGTCGACCCCATCGATGAGTATGCCATGACTCAGTTGAAGGAGTTCGAGGGCAAGAAGCTCGTCGACATCACCAAGGACTTCGAGCTTGAGGAGACCGAGGACGAGAAGAAGCAGCGTGAGGCTGAAGAGAAGGAGTACGAGGGTCTCGCCAAGTCGCTCAAGAACGTCCTTGGCGACAAGGTTGAGAAGGTCGTCGTTTCACACAAGCTGGTTGGCTCCCCTTGCGCCATCCGCACCGGCCAGTTTGGCTGGTCTGCCAACATGGAGCGTATCATGAAGGCCCAGGCCCTCCGCGACACCTCGATGAGTAGCTACATGTCCAGCAAGAAGACCTTCGAGATTTCTCCCAAGAGCCCAATCATCAAGGAGCTCAAGAAGAAGGTTGAGGCAGATGGTGAGAACGACAAGACCGTGAAGTCGATCGTCCAGCTCCTCTTCGAGACTTCGCTGCTGGTCTCCGGCTTCACCATCGAGGAGCCTGCTGGTTTCGCTGAGCGCATTCACAAGCTTGTGTCGCTCGGCCTGAACCTGGATGAGGAGCCCGAGGCTGCCGAGGAGGCTCCGGCTGCTGATGCTAGTGTCCCTGCCGCCGAGACCGGCGACAGCGCCATGGAGGAGGTTGATTAAATCATGAACTGGCTGGGAAACGGAAAATCGGGTTTGGGAATCGGAGTTAGGACGGTTTTCGTTTTATGATACTGGAGTTGCCCATTTATCCCAGTTGGCTGCCTCGCCTAATTCCCCGATAACCTCGTTGCTCTCTGTATTTTAGTCTAGGACACTGGGGTGATCATGATCTTCGACGTAGACATCCATGGTTAGACGGAATTGAGGTGTTGACTTGCCTGCCATTTTGCCGCTGGCTTCCCGTACCGGAAAGTGTACCAAGTAACGAATGCGGCGCCTTAAGCTCAATACATCCCGCGTGGGAGTTAAGCTGCTCTAAACTTGAATGACAGGACGGCTGGGTCTCGAACTACCTGTAGCTTTCACCTCTTATAGTCATTCTGCGTCGAACCCCCATCTTATTATCACCTTTGCTTATTGTCAGGAATTCGAGCAGATGAACCCTAAGCACAAGATCACCTGTGAAGACGTTGAACAAACCTTAGTTCTAAGAAACCTCGATTCGAACCCCCTAGTGGGCCGAGGGATCTTAGACTACGGCAGGTACAATATGTACCTATGCGATAATTAGGTATACGGCCACAGTAACTACCCTATTGGATCTACATTGATGCTGTCCTGTTGCCGGGCTTTACAAGTGAAAGGGAAACACAAGCCTGCCCTCTACGAAGTAGCTGTCACTCACAACCTACCCTGAGGGCCTCAGCATGGGCTTGAGACTCTGAGAGAGTTTGCTGCATTCACTCGCCTGATGGCCCGTCACAAACATTGTTACCAACTCAAAAAACAAACCGAGACTGGCTTTGGCCGAAGGGCAATGCAACTCGCCTGGCAGAGGATACATAAGAGACAGCAGTAGTAAGTGCAGACGGGTTCACTCCGGTTCCCTTTTCACAGAATACAATCGATCTAACCTCTCTGCCATCCAAAGGACCCTTTAGGATGAGAAAGCACATAGCCGTATCCTACCAACCAAGCAATTGATCTATTGACCCCTGAACTCCTTCCTAGAAAACTCCGACCAGTTTTCTCTTCCCTCTTGGCCATTCATCTTCTCTTCTAGTATCATCATCATCGACAACGGAAAAGGTGACAAAGACTAAAGTATGCTACACGAGAAACTAGGTCTTAGGTAAAAATGACGCGGATGGTTGCGGACCAGTCTGTCTTAGTGGTGGTAAAACATGTCCCCACCAAGGAAGAGAAAGAATAGGTAACTGATGGGGACATTTTCTCTCCGGTCCAGCCTTGCCCGCCCAAATTATGGCCGCAGCAGAAGAAAAACCTCCCTGGCCGATCTGATCAAGGTAAACCACCGTTACCCTCCGTCTAAAACCCCCGTGAATCCCATTAACCCCAGGCAGCTCCCAGTTGTCATTACTCCATTGCAACGCACCAAAACCCTCTTTCTGGTCTCCCAACTGAGAGGTCATCAATAGGAAGCTCATAGGACTTCCTCGCCCTCTTCCTCCTCCCTGAATTTGATCCCCCCTTCCACGCGTATCCCGCCACTAACCCACTCGGTCTCGGCGACCTTGGCCAGAGGCCAACGACTCCTCGCGCGCTTCAACAGCCCCTCAACAACCTCCATCGCCCCCGTCAACCCCTTGGCCTCAAACTTGCCCACATCCGCCTCGTGATCGCCCTCTCCTTCTTCCCCTTCGCTCACGCCATACTCAAACCACCGCCACTCCACCCGCGCGATGCGATGGCTCGTTCGGCTGCGCATGCGCATCTGCATGGCATGGTCCAGACCGGCGGGTCCGCAGGGTGGCGGGTCGAACGGGAGCCGGGCTTCGAGCAGCGCGTAGAGCAGAACGCCCAGCGACCAGGCGTCGGTGGCGCGGCCGTCGTAGGGTTGACCCATGATGACTTCGGGGGCGGCATAGTCGTCTGAGCCGCAGCGGGTCTCGAGCTTCTCGTCGTCGGCAATGCGGCGGGACAGACCCAGGTCGGTGAGAGTGATGACGGAAAAGGGATAGGTTGTCCAGTTGGTTGTTGTTTTTGATGTGAGTTCGGATGCGGGAAGGTTGACTAAGACGTCTGAAACCGTGTTAGGTGCCGATGAGTAGAGCGGCCGAGGGGTAGGGAGTGACTTACTCTCGAGTTTGATGTCTCGGTGGACGATCTTTTGGTCGTGCAGATAGGTGATCGCGCCAACTAGTTCGGCAAATATGCGACGTATGAGGCCGGGTGTAAGGGCGTCGCGATGCCGGGTGGCGACATCGAACAGATCTCCGCCAGGGTAGTAGCTGAGCACAAGGATGGCCCGGGTCGGTTCGATGCTCCAGGCTTTGAGGTGCACCAGCGAGGGATGCCGTATGCTCTTCATGATCTCGAGCTCACGCTTAAGGCTCATCTCGATGCGGTCCTCGGATGCACCTCCTCGAGGACCGTGCTCACAGATCTTGACGGCAACCAACGACCGGCGTTCGTATGGCTCCGGAGTATGCAGGCGACCGCGCGGGCTGCGTTCCTCACCGTCTGAGTATGAGAAAGATGTGTGGCTCGTCGCCAGATAGACTTGGCTGAAGGTGCCCTGGCCGAGCACCCTCACGGCCCGCCAACGCCGACGCGTTTTGTCGTAGCGACCATAGGCCTCGAAGTATTCGGCTCGCGACTGTTTGCTGCGGGTACTGGACCCAGAGCTCATGGTCAAGCTTAAATCAGTCGTACTTAGTGACGACTCGCTTGGGGGTGGGGTTGGCGGCTTCTCGATCGGCGTCAAGCCCCTCGCTTCGGAGAGGTGGGGCTCCCGGCGCATATGCCCCTCGGCCGCGTTCTGCATGTCGGTCTTGACACGGGTGCCGGACACGGTTAACATCCTCTTAGGTACCGATATCGGGTCCGGGATGTACTCGCTGGTGCTTCGATTCCTCGTGTGGCGTATTTGCGGCTCGGCAAGTCTGGCATCTGGGTGTCTTCTCATGTCGTTGGCGGCAGACGGCCATGATGATATTCCCGCGTACGGCTTCTTCGTGCTTGTTGGGTGCGTCGTAGAACCGCCCGGCTCGGTCTGGGCTGATGCACCGTTGGAGACTGCTGTCTCCCCGGACGTTCGCCTACCCATCTGTTTCCACGGACCCGGCGAGTCGCTTGCTAACAAGGGAGAAGGAAGAGGAGTGACGTCGCCCATGGCGGAGATAATGGGACTCGGGACAGTGGAGCTGGCAGCCGAGCCGGAGCCGAAGACGCCGTGGATGCTGCCGGTCTTGAGGCTTGGGGTCCTCGAGATCGGCAACAGGGACTGAACAGAAGACTTGTGTTGCAGAGAAAGCGCCGGGCGCCTTACTGGTTTGTGGGGTGTGGAATAGCCGTATGCTGGTGGCGAAATCTGCGGTAAAACTGGATGCACGTCTTCCGGTGGGTGCTGAGCGCGTTCGTCGTCGTAGGTGAGAGAAACGGGTGACTGTGTGAAGCTGGTTGAATCCTCGGCCGGGTCGCGGATCACTGCAGACGGCGAATCAAGGCGGGGTCCGAGAGCCGGCACGGGTGGCGACGGAGCAGTGGTATAGGAACGGAACTGGAAAGGGCTCGCGGATGTCGTGGAACCTGAAGCGTGAGGCAGGTCAGAGCTGAGGTGGATGGCCGAGTTTTCGAGAACATTGCGCTTGTTCACGGCCTCGGTTGCGGCTATCGCAGCCGCTGCGTCCAAGAAAGGCGCATTGTGACCACTTGGTTCGTCGCCTCGGTCGGGGGATAGCGATGGGAATAAAGATTGAGGTTGAAAGGGGGTTGAGGACATGGTCGCTGCGCTTGAAGGCGACGTCAAGGCAGCGCGGAAAGGTGAGTGGATGTGTAAGACGTCGCCGGGACGGCGCAATGCTGGGAGGTTATTTCCAGCAGAGCAGCCCAGGCCAGTTATGTGCAGCGCACTAGGGTGTGCTTCAGCGCCCTGTTAACTCTGATGCTAGTGGGTCGGCCTGCTGATCTGCAGTGGGCGGGAAGTGGGGCAAACCAGGTCTCTCAGCGGGAAGGCGCGCTTGCTCTCAAATTGTTCCTCCTCCAACAAATGAGGGATGTGCATGGGAGAGACTGAGCTTGAACAGTAGGATTGTTATTGATATCGACATACCTCGAGTCAGATTGCTTGTTCATCAATCGAATCCCCCATGTATGGTGTGATAAAGGAGAGCAATCTCTCCTTGGACATATGCTCCATTGGATTGGATTATAGCGACACTAGACTTTCGGACCTTTCCATTACCACCTAGCCTAGACCAAAATTGGTGATTATTCAAGCATGCGCGCGTTGCGGGCGGACGCAACGTTGACTCGACTGCGGAGGTCACGCCGCAAAATTCCCCACGGTTTCGTCCTGTGCAAGTGCCAAGCAGGTTGGGGAACATCAACCCACGCATCAACACCTCTATATAAGCTGCCTCGAACAATGAACATCGACGGAAACCCTCGAGCACGGGGTCCAATGTCTCGCTGTACCTTGAGCCGACGACTTGGCAACGCCATGTCCTCGTTTTCGCTGCGGTCAAAGGATGGCAGTGCCAAGACGAACAGGGAACAATGGGACGTTCGATGCGTGGGTCTTTGGCATGTCTCCCACTCCAAGCTCGTTTGTCCGTCGTGGGCATGAGAAGGCATGTTGGTGAATGGAGAAGTTATTAGTACATACGGACCGTACTGGATTCCTTTCGCTCAAAGAAACCGCATCTCCCGCATCTCGAACCCCTTGCTAGGGAATGGAAGGGAGGTTGGGTTCCTTTACTCTCTGGCTTGCGGCTTATCAGTTCTAGTCGACGGGCAATTCTGCACTTGTGGCTGCGATAGTTCAATCGCTGCAATCAGATTTCTTATCAATGCCCGTGGAAATCTGATGTCAACAAATAAGCATGCCGCGACAGTATGCACATGTGGTGTAATCGTGATACACTCGATTGATCGTGCCTGGAACTGTGTACTCCGTACAGAGCGCCCGACTGGAGTACGTAGCAAAACAGGATGGTGATCGGTGATCAATTGAGAAACAGCCCCTCGTTGGACCGTGCAACACCACGATGGCTAATCCTCGACAACAATTGGTCACGTATACCCGTCAACCATCTCTGGGCCGTCTTACAACGTCGTTGCAGGTCAGCAATTCATGCGGCACAAACGGGTGTGATGCGGATGCCTGCACTGCCTCTACATAAGGTAGTTATAGCTTCGCCCGCAAAAGAAGGGACTTGACCCAAGGTCCCGTCAGGCGCCAGAGGACGCAACGGCTTCCACGCCTTTGCAGGCTCAGCACACACTACCTAATAAGAGACGGCGGTCTGCGCGGCCGGAAGGGTTATTATGCATTCTTTCAATTTACAGTTTAACTAGAGGTCATCCTCTACAAATCCTTTGCAATGGCTAGCCGATATTTCCAGTTTCCACTCGGTCGCTTCAGGAACAGCTGGAGGTTGCGTTTGGCTATAATAAATAACTTGAACCCAATATGGAATTGGAACCGAGACGGTCATGTGCCCCGCTGATGATGTTGATCTGCAAGCACTTTAACTTTCTTCCCTGGTGTCCTTATGTAAAAGGCATGGAAGTCACGTGGCAGTGACGTAACGTTGGTAACTTACCCAATTCGGAAGCTGACACCTGCCGGGGTTGTTGGTCGGATACGGTAGCATGGAAATGGAACACTTTAAAGGGAACGCGCATGAACTTGTCAAGATGACCTGGGAGAGAAACCCACGATATTAGTACCTAGCGTTTGAGGGCATGTTCTTCCATTTTACACGTCGAACTGCGGCCAATTGATACCTGCCGCGTCCGACCAGGCCGATCCATGCCGAGTTCCCCTGTTTTCATTTCGCGGTTCGATACGAAGCACACATTTGCGCCTACGGGGTTCGGGAGCTCCGTAAAACACTAGAAAGCCAGAGTTCGTCACCAGACTCACGGCCGTGAAGTGCTCTTTCAGGGCCATAAGGAAAATACGTTGGATTCCGGTGGTTGTGCCGACTGCGCTCGGCGGCTCGGCGGCATCATGGCGTCCACCTCGGCCGATGTCTCGGATGGCGTTGTGCGACCCCGGCCCCGGAAGCCCATCCATTCGCAACTGTCGCAAACCTTCAGCGTGTCCGACACGAACGGCGGGCTTGAAACTCCCAGCAATGGCCACGCCACGGGTATGACGAGGTAAGCAAGAGGTGGAGAGTCACCAGGCGCCGATGTGACCATGTCTCACTCACTGTTCCTCTGTTCACACTCACAGTGGCCGCTCAACCCCGGTTCCCCTCGACGCACCACCATCGGTGAAGTCGCTCTCCACAGCGCGCAAGCAGGTTCGCGCAGAGCAGCGCCGCCGCCTCTTCCCAACCATCGAGTTCGCGAGCCGCGTATCCCACTTCGACCCCAACAGCGACTACCGCGACTTCCATGGCTTTTTCAACCTCTTCTGGATCGGCCTGGCCATCATGGCCATAACCACCATGCTGCGCAACATCAAGGACACCGGGTACCCCCTGCGTGTCGAGATTTGGACCTTGTTTACCGTCAAGCTGTGGCACCTGGCCATTGCCGACTTCCTGATGGTCGCGAGCACCGCCGTCTCTGTTCCCTTGCACAAACTCTTTCGCGCTGCGCCGGCCGATGGTGCCTTGACATGGGCAAAGGGCGGGATGGCCATCATGAGCGTGTATCAGGTCCTGTGGCTGGCTCTGTGGATCGCCGTGCCTTTCCTCCTGGACTGGACCTGGACCTCCCAGGTCTTCCTCCTGCTCCATACCATGGTGCTGCTGATGAAGATGCACTCGTATCTCTTCTATAACGGGCATCTGAGCGAGACGGAGAAGCGGCTGCGGGCGCTGGACAACCCTTCGACCGCCTCGCGCGCCCCGGCCTTCATCTACCCTACCCCGGACAACCCGATGGGCACGATGGCCAGTCCAACGCGACCCGAAGCAAAGGGTAAGGGTGCCGCGGAGGACGGCGCCCCGGGTGATGCGGACGAGGTTGCGCAGTTGCGCGAGGACCTGGCACGCGAATTGACCAGCCCGCTTGGCAACACCACATATCCGGCGAACCTGACGTGGTCGAACTATCTCGACTATCTGTGCTGCCCAACCCTGTGCTACGAGATTGAGTACCCGCGTAACGACAAGATCGACTGGCAGAATCTGTTCTCCAAGATTGCTGCCGTATTTGGCTGCATCTTCCTGCTCACCGTCATCTCGGAGGAGTTCATCCTGCCGACTCTGGTCGACGCCTCCCAGAGGCTCGACCCGGCGCTGCGGCCACCCGGCTCACCGCTGACCGCGCTCGAGAAGCTCCTCGTCCTGGCCGAGACGATCTCCTGGCTCCTCTTCCCCTTCATGCTGACCTTCCTCCTCGTCTTCCTCGTTATATTCGAGTACGTGCTCGGTGCTTTCGCCGAGATCACGCGCTTCGCAGACCGGCACTTCTACAGCGATTGGTGGAACAGCACCGACTGGATGGAGTTCTCGCGCGAGTGGAACATCCCCGTCTACAGCTTCCTCCGCCGCCACGTCTACAGCGCCAGCCGCCCCCACATCGGCAAGGCCAACGCCACCGTCATCACCTTCCTGATCAGCGCCGTCGGCCACGAGATCGTCATGGCCTGCATCACTAAGAAGCTGCGCGGTTACGGCTTCATTTGTCAGATGCTGCAGCTGCCTATCGTCATGCTGCAGCGGACAAGATGGGTCCGCGGCAGGAAGACGCTCAACAACGTGTGCTTCTGGTGCAGTATGATTCTGGGGCTGAGCTTGGTAGGTAGTATTGCGCGTCTCTTCGCCTAGGTACCTACCTAGGTACTCAGTGAAAGGCGACTCCGCTAACTAATGTGTTTTTTTTTGCCTGCAGATCTGCTCGCTCTACGTCTTAGTATGAGGCAGCGAATCCTTATTTTAATGTAGGGCGACCAACTCATGGCCAAGCGTGGGCACGTGGTCCGCTCCGCCCCGGTCCCAAAGGAGAGCATCTGCACTTGTTGGCCACTTTGGCCGGCAGATCCGAGCGCGGCAAGGCGGATGTGTGACCCCGAGATTCAAGGGCCGTGTGCAGTCGGCCCAATTTCACATCAATGCCGGGAGGCAGCCCATGGGCGGTATCTGACAGGACATGACAGGACATAGCACTACTAGCGATAACAAGCATTGCTTTCACCGAGAATACAGCGACGCGATACCCATTAGATTCGGCATTGCATACTGCAGCGGATGAAATACCTCAGCAGGGACTACCTAGACTTGTATGGATATTGTATAGAGATGTATAGAGAAGGCAGATAGATATATGTATAGCACTTCGATCAGTATTGCTACACACGCATGCATCGAGTAGAATCCAGTCCGCGATAAAGGCAAAGGCACATCTGTTGAGCTGAACTAGAGGAATCGTCAGGGATTCGGTGCACTCTGGAGGCGGAAACTATCCGGAAGAGACAGCGACCGACTTTGACAATCATACCTTTTCCATACCGCTCTTGGAGAGTTTCACTAGTCTTCCGTACATAACCAAAACAGTTATTGCTAAGATTCTTTTTCATTTTGCACTCATATGTAGAATGGGGCGCGGCAACAGCTCCCCGTCGTAGCTAGATAAGTACATCCAGAAATGGAGGTTGAAAGGGAACCAAGACCCAACCACGAAACAAGATCCGAGAAGATGTTCATCCGGTCATTCCAAGTCCCTCCCATTTCCATGCCCCAGTCCCGCGAGAACTGGGAGTATCTCATCTGAAAGATGAGCAGGCAGTTGCAGAGAAGTGATCTCCGTTGCCTGAGCCCCTGCGCCCTTGGGGATTCACTCCAATTTCCCCATCATATCCATCCTCCCAATCCTCCCAATTCCTTCCCATCATCTGAACCCGTCCAATGCTGACCCCGCCCGCTTGAAATGCCATGACTACCCAATCAACCCCCCATGCCCGTCATCTCATCATACGACTGGTTCGTTGCTGTATTCATAACGTGGCTCTTTCGTTCTTTCGTTTGATTTGTGGATGTCGAGTAAAGGAAATGAAGCCAAATTGAGACCCAGTACTCCAGAAGGCCTCCGCGAGCCGTATCGTCCATACCCCCAGGCGCCAGTAACATGAGGAGAGGAAATAGCCCATGAAATCATCATCGTAAACCCATCCCCGCACTTACCCATCGATTGCTCATTAGGCATTATAAGAAAATGAAAGGAACACCAGAATACATGGAGCCCGAGCGTCTTGTCGCACCGCCCTCTCACGTAGACTCGGTGGTCGCGCAGGGATCTAGCCCAGTCCCAGCCTTTTCAGGCAGGGGTACGAGCCGCCGAATAGTACGACGGTTGGGCGTACTCCGAGTACTTGACATCATCCGGGCCGTAGACCGGCGCCTCCTTGACTTTGAAGGGGGCGCCTGCATACGTCGAACTCGGCGAGCGCGCCAGCACCTCCGCTGCTGCATATCGCCTGGTTGACGACGGCGAATCGCCGTACACGTAAGGCGATTCCAGCTTGGATGACGAGTAGTGGGAGTCAATCTTCGACGTCTTGGCGCCCTCGACCTTGTACCGAGACGCGGCTTGCACCGAAGGCGATCGGGTTCGGCGGCTCCGGCGGTGGCGGCGTTCTCGGCCGTCATCAGAATCGTAATCGTCCAAGTAGTCAGTCGCGAGGTGCCGCTCGTCGATTCCGCCCGCGGCCCAGGTAGCACCTCGTTGGAGTGGCGCTGGAATGGGCCGAGCGTACGACTCATGCGGAGTTGTTTGGGATCGGCTGACACGCGGTGGCGATTCCGGGGCCGGAGGGGGCGTGCTGTAGGACTTGGTCAGGTTAGGGATGGGCCGGGCCCTCGCCGTGGCATCCAGATTGTAGCTCAGTTTCTCCCGCGACCTGGCGGGATCGTTGGAGGAACGACGCCCCGCTGCGCGGGCAGCTGCGTGTCGAATGCTGTCTTCTTCCAAGTCGACAGCGGGCGGGGGTGAGGGCACAGGAGGCGTGAGGTAGGAATCCGGGGGAGTCTGGGAAATCCAAAAGGCCGTCTTTTCAGGTACCGAGCTTCCGGCGCTGGACATGTAGAGTTTGGCCCGCTCGAATTCTTCCATGTGTTTCAGTTTCTGATCGCTGCTCAGATGGGGAGATTTGGCTCGGCGCGAATTCGACTTGTCCCGGTCCCGTTCCCTCTCCCTATCGCGATCGCGGTCTCGCTCTCGCTCTCGCTCCCGTTCGCGTGCTTCGTCGTGCTTCCTGCTCGATGACCGCTTCTTTTCTGATCGGGAGGTGACGAACTTCTCGTCTTCGAATAGGAGATCCTCCACATAGGCAGCCTCGTAGGGTTCTACGTAGGGCTTGTGGCGACGGGCCTTGTCCTCGACGTCTCTCCTTCGTTCCTTCTCTCTCTCCTTCTCAATCCGCTTCTTTTCAGCCTTGCGGGCTTCACGCTCTTTCTCCGCCCTCTCACGCTCCCTATCCCTTTCTCTCTCCCTTTCTCGGTCTCTCTCCCTCTCGCGTTCCCGGTCTCGCTCCTTCTCTCGCTGCCTGAGCAGCTCCTCATCCTCTCTCCTGCGCCTCCGCTCTTCGCGATCACGCTCCCGTCTCTCCTCGTCACGCTTCGAGGGCTTTTCGTAACCCGCCGACTTCCGCGCCGCTTTGTCACTTTCCTCATACAGCGGATAGGAGCGGGTACTGGGCATCTCCTCGTGAGAGCGGGTATGTGTCGTTGTGTAGTGTGTGTACACCTTCCCGCCTGACGGAGAACTCTTGTATCTCGACGTCGGTTCGGCAGTCCGAATGTCATAGGTGGCGTATCTCGTCGATGAGCGCGGGACTGAGGTGTTGGGCGAGTTCTTCGCGTCCTGATGGACCTTGGCGGCAGCGCGCTGCAGCTCTGCGAGTTGCAGCTTCTGCTCGTACTTCGCCTTCTCAGCATCGTTGTTGAGCAATTCGTACGCCTGCTGCACCTTCTGGAACTCCTCCTGCTTCAGCGCCTTCTGCGTGGGGTCCTGCACCTTGTCCGGGTGGCACTTGAGCACAAGCTTCTTGTACGCAGACCGAATCTCAGACTTGTCTGCATGCCTCTCGACACCGAGAGCTTTCCAGGGATCCGGTGGAAGGGTAGAGGTCATGATGGGTGTCTGTTGATTTGCGTCGTGCGACGTCTCCGTCAAGGACCAGTGACCGTGGTTAGTGCAAAGAGCCGAAAGGGGAAAGCCGAGAGGAGCAATCGAAGACTCGACGTCCTAGTGTAGTGCGCGAAGGCAGCAGGAGTAATCAGTGGTCACTCCTGAAGGCTGCTAATTCATCGGAGGCGATGATGGCTCGGTTCCGCCAAGAAGGAGCGTGGGCGGTGGGGTTAGGAAGGAGGCGTGTGCGGCAACGAGGAATGTAGGGAACGGTGGCTGCTGGGAAGGCGGTTCGGCGTCCAGCGGCACACAAAGAATGTACAAGAATGCCTCAAGTTTGAGTTGCTGTCTTCAGCGGGTGTTGTTAAGCTGTGAAACAGCGAGCGGGGGGGATTGAAATGAGCCGAGAAAGAAAGCGGTGCGAAGTAGGGACGTCTTTGTATATGGCTTGAACACTTTGGCTGGTGGAGTAACTAGCGCCCAGCACCAAGCAACCGGTCGTTGGCCTGGGAGATCGTATAGTGGCTCGGCCGTTTATCCTCGGTATGGCGATTACAACTGTACAAAATCAAAAAGAGGGCAAATGACGGTCACGTTTGTAGCCCGGCCGCTAAAGCTGGTCAGGGGTGGCCAAAAGTGCCGGTCGAGTCAACTGGCTCATATGCTGTCTGTCGTGGTGTAAGGTGATGGGAGGGAGCGAAACAGGCGATGAGATCACCTGTACTGGATGGAAGAGGTGGGATGGCTTCTTCGGGCAGCGGCCAGGGCGGGTGAGGGGGAGCACCTTCCTCCCGCACAGCTACCAGTGGAGCAGTGTCAACTCCTGAGTCTTTTCGGGCTTGATGGCTGACTCCCGCGCCCGTTCCGCCAAAAGGAGAAGGATGGTTGAATGCTGCAGTGGGCCCGCAGGTCTTCGCTGTGGACTCCGGACGGCCAGGGGTGTCTGTGGAGATATGTGGGACTTCAAGATCTCTCAGCCGTCCTTTCATTGGTCCACTACTCGATTGGTCCCCTCTTTCAGATGGCTTACGGCATCTCCCTCTGCGCGGGCCAAGGGTTCCTCACGGTCGTCCCTTCTCTTCTGTCAGTTTCTGTGCTCAGCTCTCGCTTTGCGACTAACAATGCAGCTGTCCCAGGGTGTACACATCTGCAAACGAAAGTGCGCAAGCTCGGGAATAAGCCACCAGCCTTGATGACAGAGCTGAGAATGCGTAGCTGTTGCAAGCCACTGACTGGGCTTCGTGGCGAAATATTGAGATTTGGTGCTTTGAGAGACCACATAAGATATTCGTAACTACTACATACACAATGGCCGCACAACGCTAACAGAGAGCCCCTGTCCAAGGCTCAAGCGGCCTCCCACGCGGGGTGTCGGTAAGCAGCCCTTGAAGAATACTAACTAACAAGCCACAGTCTCTCGGTAGCTAGATCCACATAGCCTTCACCTGCCGTGGCAACGTGGAATTCGAGCATGTGAAGAGCACAGAAAATCCGGCCGTATTCAGCGGCGAATAAGGCCTGCAAATCCCGACAGCCAGCTGAGCTAGCATAAGGTATACGAGGGTTTGGAACAATTGCAAATTCCCGGCTGTCTGGGCTGACCTGAGGTCGCTCGGGCTTGAGCCGAAGGGTGTGGCGGCAAACCGGCCCAAGGATCTGGCTGAGTGTGGGCTCTTCCTCCGCAGTGGCGACTTTCCTACGTACCTACCTCCATGCTTCAACATCGATTCCAAATTTCGACTCTCCTTCTTTCGATATCCATCATGGCAGAAACTTCCCAAGCGGGAAATTGCATGGAGACGGCATTCGAGCATTGTTAACGCCGGGCCCATTGTGGATTCTGCGCGACGGGATTGATTTGACAAAGCAGTCAACATTGCTTCATGCAGCGCAAGGGCAGAATCGGCGGTGAGCTGTTGCTAGGTGCGCACCGAGCAACGAGGCCTTGAAGAAGCGTTCTCCCCTCAGTCAGACCCACGAGGAAGTTGCCGGACAGTGCCGGTATCTGAATGGAAGAGAATGCCTTCAGCCGTCCCAGGGCATCGCTTTTGAAGTGGGATGCCAGGGCATGATCTTGATCGCACTTCGACCCGTCTCGCAGAGCAGGCACAGGTCGAGCACGGTTGCCTTTACAGGGGCGAGTACATAAGTAGCCTCCTCGACGCATTCTGTTGCGCTTCTTCCGCTGTGTCGGCCAGCATCTAACATACACTTCTTTGAGGGCAGTCTGCGGGCTGGTCAAGAACGAAAGAGCAACCCCTCCCCTGTTGTTCGATTCAACCCGACCCGCGCTCCGCTTTTGGGCAAGATGGCCACCCCCCCTTTGCTGCCCCGAGCTTCCCAGCATAACGTTACTTCCAGCAGTGCAAAGTGCAAGACTGTCTACGACCTGCAGAGCCTAGCATCCTTTAGTTCGCAGTCAGATCGTCTCGATCTCACACCTACCGCTTCAATCCCGGCCGAGGTGGCCGTTCGGAAGAGGGCCACAAAGCCTCTATGAGTCCCGATTTGGTCGCTAAAGTGATCCTGAGGCGACACTGCGCGCCAGTGCGGTTCAGCCAGCAGGCACGCACAGCAACGCAAAGCAACTTGGCTGCTTTTCTGTGGCTCTCACCATTCGCCAACCATTCCCCTTCGGTTGTGATGTCCTGCAGGAGACGAGCCATCACCGCTCAGAGCCCGCGTGTATTTGATCACTTACCCCATTCACCGCACCTCATAGGCATTCCTCAAACAGTACGGATGTTCCTCTCGATTTCCAGAAGCTGGCGATTGACGAACCATGGCCCAGATCCCACAATTGGAACCATTTCCCCCATATCTCCGCGCCAGTCGCGCCCTCCGTTGCCTCATACGTACCGCTAGCATTAGGTCTGAGTCGTAAGTGATCATACTTGCCAGGTCAAGGCCCACTGACATGTGGGATACAAACCACAATATGTCAAGCATGTTAGGTAACGCCTCCTCCAGAACAGCCATGATCACAGGACGTTTCAGTAAGGCTGCGGACTGTTGTTGCTTCGTTTGTAACTTTTGCTTCGCAACAGGCACACCCTCAACACCAAGGCCCGCTCAGGCGGCCACGTTTTGCATGTGCCATGAAGCAGGTACGGTGGCATTGCCGGCCTCGCAGGGCACAAGGCATGCAGCGCCGTCACCTCGGGACGTCAATAATTGGAGCACTGTGAATCCGATCGTGATGCCTTGACGAACAACACCAGCACCGGCAGTGCCACATCCTCTTGTGCTTCTCCGCAACTGAGGAGCACGAGGACCGCTCCTCGAAGCCCGGTTCCCACGATGAGGCAAGCGATTGGGCGGTGAATTCTGGCCCCTCACTTCCTTTGGCCTGGCCGTGACTGGCTTATCGGCACTGCATGTCGCTCTCAGAGTCTCACCACTCACTGGACGATGCGTGTGTGAAGGTCCTCGAGGCGCCCTGTCACCGGCCAATGCGGGGTGGCGAAGTGGGGAAGGGCTTCTGTCCGCCAATTGTTGACCCCCACCTCTCCACAACGATGCAAGTGCCTGACAAACTGGCCAGGGGTCGAGGCCACGGGGCACGCAGCCGATCGGACTTCTTGCGTGGATCCTGTCTCTTCAACGGATCAGCCCGCTGTGAAGAGACGGTGCCTGAGGCCACATGTAACGCAGCGATTCTCACGCAACCTGTTGGTGGTCGGCTGTCCGAGCTTGGGAATAGCTGTACACAGTAGTCAAAAAACGCCCATTCTCCCTCCCACGCTTCAAGTTTCCTGGAGAGATCATCAGGATGTTCGCTCAGGTGAGCGTGGGAGCCCAGTCCACGTGAGACGAATAGTGTCTGCCCCCCACGAGCTGTGATCATTCTACATACGTCGTCATTCCGAACTGTTGCTTGAGATTCTGCAGCACTCAGGAGACCCAGTCGGATACACCTTACCTACCAGCGCCGGCGACTTACCTCCCTAAATTACCCCGCCAGAACCACCCAATTACCCCTCCTTTGCGTGCTGTGCCAACCCCGAGCCAAAACACCTTGGAAGATGTCTTGCGGGGCTGAAGAACACAAAAAAAGGCCTTGTCAATTTGTCTGCCTATTGTTGTTGCCAGAGCACACACACTTTTTGGGGCAAGGCCCCATTCATTCAGAAAAGAATCTTGCATATTTTGGGTCTATAATAGAGTCTAACAGTAACTAGTACTAATAAAAATTCTCAGTGCTACTAAATTCTCAGTGCTGCTATCCAATCTCAAAGCAGGGTTTGTCACACTCCCCTGTTTTCTCCAGAATCCCAGCGCCTAGGCTCGTCGCAATGGCAACGATCAGAGACCTGCACACTACCAAATATGAGCAACAGCATCGCCCCCTGTCGGCTAACAACAGGCGGTCGCACAGGTGGATGGTGACCTCATTTTCCGGCGTCTCAGCCCCAGGGGTAGAGGACTCCCCTACGCCTCAACCGCAGTAGGCGAGTGCCGCAGGCAGGCCAGCACCTTGATGCGGATCTCACGCCCCGCGTTACTCTGCTGACTCCCCTGGTAGAGCAGGTCGTCCAGGGAGCGCGCATACTCCAGCACGTTCATGTCGCCTCTGGTCAGTGGCTTGACGACCCAGGGCGATGTGTCGGGATCATACTCGTCGAAGTCGACCTGGTAGTATGTGGCGTCCGTGCCACGGAACCGGAGCATGGCATCACTCGAGGTAACCGGCCGGCTCGGCTCAATGGTGGGGTCGAAGAGGTGCAGCTTTGGGTGGCGGTCGAACAAGTCGAAGATGTCTCGCTTGAACTCTCGACAGCAACGGCGTGGACGGGTCAGCGGATGATGATCAGAGGCGACGAACAATCCGGTGCACCAACAAGACGACCACGCCGCCGCCAGGACGTCGCAGTGGACCGTGGCGGGCACGACCCATGGGGCTTCGTCGTGCTCTGTGGTCAGGACGGACCACGCCAACGGCCGGATCGTGCCCAGCCTCCTCGAATTCAGAGTCGGCTCGAGCAGCAGCGCGTCCTCCCTCGAGATGGAGGGCACCAGCCGCGGGTGGCAATGAAAGTGATATCCATGGAACAAGCCAGGCATGCTGTTCTGATGCCAGAAGCAGACCACGCCCTTGTCCGCCCTCAGATCCACCCACTCCCGCGGCGACCGTACTTCCCCGGTCCCGGAGCTCGGCTTCCCGCTGCTCACGGACGGGGAAGGTCCAGAAGGGTGCTAAGTGAAGCCAGGGGATGGGGGTGTGTATGAGTGGCGCGAGGAGGGCGAGTTTCCAGATCTTTTGCCGGAGCTCGGTAGGGAGGGCCGGGAAGAGGTGGAAGGTCGGAAGCTGGCCTCCCTGGGCGTCGTTGGCGTTGTTGTGAGACATGTTATGTTGGGTGGTGGTGTTGATGTCTGTAGTTGCTGTTGGTTTGTGGATTTGGTTATTCTCGAGGAGTGTTGGAGGTCAGTATGACGGCAGGAGGATAGACCCCTTCTTATACTCTCTTCCGGAGGTTGTACTGTCCTGACTCTCTCAGTATGTTCATGTGTACGACCAGGTGTTCGGCCTAACAAGGAGGAACCGTTGACGAACAACCACATTGTATCTCCTCAGGGGGTTCATCCGTCCCGAATAGGGCACATGTTCATGTGTTATAGCTCGTTTTCCGGGCCGGCGGAAGAAAGCAACAAAGGGGAAGGGTCACCATGCTTGTAATAGCCTCCAAGACGACCATTGGAGGCTGAGACTGTTCTGAATCAAGCTTACGATATATATATATATATATATATATATATATCAAGGACAACCCCATTGTTCGGACCCCAGATGGGAACTATTTACTCAGACCCCTGGTCACGAGACAAGGGATATTGTCACAACACGGATAGGACAAAGAAAAGTACAAAGCGGCAGACAAGTGGTCTGATCGGCTAACTGCCCGGTTCATTCAAGCGAAGCGTCGTCGTTCTGAGCTTTCTTTGGGTTACACAGTGTAATGTACATTGTACGTTTTGGACACGATAGAGGTCGCTTGGGTTAGGGATACAAGCGTCTAGGTTCCACCCGTCTCAACCTCTGTTTCCTATACCTAGCTGGACTAAACTTTAAGCATTAGCATGGGAAACGAGATCGCTTGGAGTACAGGGATAAGCGGGCTTCGATCGATGACGGGATACTTGGGCCAGCTGCTGGTTCGCTTCTTGAGCTGAAGCTAAGCACGAAGACGATGGGTTTGTGGGGGAGGGTGCGTGCAGGGTGTGGTACACGTCCATGCGACGGTCGCGGCGCCAGTTTGTGTGGTTGTTGGGATCCGAGAGCGGGAGGGAGGCTGAGGCTGGGCCGAGGCCCATTAAGATTTGCGAGGGGCTCGCCCAATGCGTTACTACCGTCGTTGACGTCCTTGGTTTAAGAGGTATGTCATTGTTTGGTTGAACCACCTGCAGGAGGGTGAGCCGCACAAAGTCGAGGAACTCGACGGTATGTTCTCCCACACTGCCGGCTTACGTTAACTACAGGTAACGTTACGCTATATAAAATAATCCTCATTGTGTCCAAACTCACAAACGCAATATATACACTTCAGAATACCTATGTCGACTACTGAATACTCTTTATCCCATTATCTTCCATTATATTAGACGCACAATGCCATTGAAGGTGCTAAAACTTATCGAGGCCATATAGACTTGGCCCAATTGGGTGGCAGTTGCCGATGCGTAATGCATGACACAACGTTACAGTACACTACACTACAGTCCAACCCCTGAAAGTTCGTTAGCGCCTGACTTGAAGACCAGGGTCTACCCCAAAGTCTCTATCTCAACGTCAAAACGGCCATCTTTTCTACGGAAAAAAACGTGCAGATGAACTCAGCCTTTTAGGTTATTGCAAGACGCTCTATCTTTTTGCGTTGAATCAGCTTTCCTCGTAGTTTAGGAGTGTTGCTTCGGAGTTGAGAGCAGGACCCTGTCGCAGGTTCCGCGCTAACAATCATTAAAGGGTTGTCCTGTATGTCAGGCATCAATTACGCTTGAAAAAGAAGGGGGATGATAATTTACAATAAAGCCAATGCTGAAATGTGGAACCGACAAGGGTTTTAAGGTCGCCGGCGCAGATGACGCAGGGAGGTGAATCAGGAAGTGCAAGTTCTCAGCTTCGATTCATCATTGGCCGGCGTCCGCCATGCATACTCTGTACAGGTAGTTCGTTATACAGCAACTGTTGATGCTGTTGGTCAGGACGCAACCAATATAAGCGTGGCGGTGAGTGTCCTGCAGTTGGCTTCACTTCGCCGTTTGAGCATCGGCGGAATACTCGATGCAGTGAGCTCTACACTACTATGCAATACTCTGCCTTCTGCGACGCATCCCAGAATACTCCGTCCTTGCCTAGCTGCCGGTTTCTCCGGTGATCTCTCTAATCGCTCGCTTGTGTTTTGCGCGAGAGCATTCTATCAACTTACAACTCGGATTGAGTTAAGTGCTTCGGTCTCCTTACCGGAGGTATGCAAGGAGTAAATACACAAGTACTTACTACGTCTGGAGCACTCCATATTAAAGAAGGGTTGTGAATGGTGGAAACAACCTGAAGTCATTGAAGGTAAGAATGAGATCAAGCTCGTAGAAATGTAGTGGCTAACTACTAACCAATGCACATCACAGTCTAGAATAGAAGCACCTGCTCGTTTAAACTGTCAACCATTCATTGAACTTCACTCCCGATCATCTCGACATTCCATCTTCCTTCTGTCCCATCTACTCGTCACGAAGGGAAGCATCAAAAACAGTAAGACAAGCCTAGGCCCCTCCCCTATTGGTCCCCAGCACATGCAGTAGTGCGCCTCATGACCTTTCTGTAGAGACCAATCTCCAGATGGCGAGCAATCTAAGTGGCTCTCTCATGGGGCTCAATTGGCCATTCGGAGTGAGCTACCAACTACCTAGCTTCAAGCTGCCGGCGCCAGCAAAAGATTCCCAGACTAATCGAGGTCGGGCTCTAGATATGGGTCTATTCCAAGCCGGCAAGCTGGGGGTGCCGTTTTAGGAGATCCGGCGAGCAACTGGAGTCAACTCCACCGAAATCCTCGACTGAGCTGTACCCTAAGACCCTAGATTGCCAAGGGGCACCGTTCAGTGTGCACGTGAATACCTGGAGACACTTGGAGGTCATATGGACTGGAGTTCCAACCGCCACGTCGTGGACGGGACTAGCGATGACGGCTGTCAGGGTCGTGGTGAGCGCTCTATGGCGTTCTAGAAGGCGACCTTGAGGACACCCATTCTGCTGGGCGCGTAGGAGGCGCCCCAATGTGTTATGCCTGGTTTACAAAGAGACATCATAGCGGCCTGCTGCCTGTCTCCAGGCCGGGGGACAGAAGTCCTGTTCGCCCTGGCCAGGCGGCGATGCCAATTCTGTTGCTGTCCGCGTCCGTGTTGCGATGCTCCCACGTTCACTGCTTGGCTCGTTGGCTAGCAACACGTAGCTGCGACTTCGTGGTGGTAAGATTAGCTGATGACCTTGCCTCACCTCCAGACCGGCAAATCAAGGTCGACAACAATCGGTTTATTGAATCGTTTCCCTCCGGCGTGAGGCCACCTGGTGGCAACGATCGCACTTGTCCAACGGTGTGAGCCATTTCGTTCCCTATCAATGTGTCGTGGGAGGCGCTTTGGAAGTAAAAGTTCCTGTCTCAGGAGCACAATGCCCCCCGAGACAGCCCGAAAGGGATACAAACATTGCAGATTTGACATACCAGTTGATGACGCAAGTTTCCCGTCGGCCCGCGCGGTCCAATGCGCCTGCTGTATTCGTACTTCCGGGTCTCGCTTCTGGCTCTAGGGCAGAAGTATTATCATTCCTTCCAGCGAGGTCGGTGGGCGAGCTGCCCGAGAGCTCCTGCGCTGGGTCCGGCACGTCATATGTGCCATATAAAGCCTGCGCACCGTTGAGTGACGCCCGGTCATGGAAGTCGAGGGGGCGTTTCCCACCACGCCCGGTCAGGTCGACCAGGCTTATCTTGGCCGAGCTTGGATCCGGGGCTGGATCTTGCCATCGTTCGACGGATACCTGGGCAGCAACTTCGTTCCGAACGCTGAGGCCGTCCGTATCCCATCTCACGCGTTCAGCACCCCTGCCTTGATGGACATGGCCGCAAACATGTACTCGCGGCCGAACTTTAGCGAGCGCTTCCCGCAGGTTCTCACATCCGAAAGAGTCATCGCAGTGCGTGTAGGCGGGAGTGTGAGTAACAAGGATATCAGTATCGGGCGGTATGGCAGCCCAGAGCTCCGCCGCGCTGGGGTTGGCTGCCGTTGGGCTGTCGTCGGACCGTGAAGCTTCTGCTCCCAGGCCTGGGCGAGGGTACTTGTACATAAATGCCCACGTTCCATATTCGGGGCAGTACGGAGACCCAAAAACCTTGAATTCAGTGCAAGGCCCGTCCGGGCGGGTGAGCCGGACGGTTGCGCTGCTGTGCTGGAGGTACGTGATGGTGCGGCTCCCAGTAAGTAGTGACAAGCACCTGGCAGGATCCTGAGGGTTGTTGTTGTGAAAGTTTGATCCATGCTTCGCGTAGAAGTCATGATCCAAGGTGATGTCGTGGTTTCCTGGATTGTGTAAGTGCAAGCTCGCGAAGGGCTTCCGTGTCAAGACGGTTGATACCTGCAATCACAATCTTGGCTTCGAAATCGGCCTTCTCTAGCCATTGGACCGCCCTGGAGAGCTTCAAACTCTCGAGTGAGCCTCTAATCCCCAACCAACCGTGTCGCTCTCCCGGGTCGCCCCAGGACCAGTGTTTCCGGGGACAGACCTACGTACCTCCGAGTAGCTTCCCTGGTTTGTAAGATCTCCCGCGTGAATCAAAACATCGCCTTTTGGCAGCTTGATAGTGGAGTTGTGGGTGTCGCTGATGCAAACAATCCTAGTTCGCCGTGTCGGACGGAGAACTCCTGATGAAGAAGGCATGAGTTCCCTCCCCACTCCGGGCCGAACGTCGCAACAGTCAACGGTGTCGCCGAAATTGTTTTTCCCAATGCAGAGAATGCTGCTCACAGACTCGGAGAAAAGTCAGTGCGCAAGAAGCGAGGGCCTATTTATTTGAGTTGCAAATGAGGATGAGGACGGCTAACTGCTGACTGCTGACTGCAATGGATACATGTTCTGGGGTTCAGCTGGCCGTCCCGCCTGTGTGAAGGATCACAGCGTCTTCCGCCGGAGAGTGGACAAAGATCGAGAACACACATGGGTCAAGCCAAATTTCTCTTAGAATAATCCACTTCCATCAAGTGAATCGTTGAAGCTCGAAAATTCCCATCATGATAACCGCAATTTAGAATTTTGGAAGCTATCGGTTGACCGCATCAAGAACAGATGTGAGGTTGACGAAGAGAGTGCTTCTTCGGCTCGCAATGAACCAATACCCTGGTAATTCCGCACAGACCCACAGCATTGACCAATCGCGTGGCGCGGGTAGATTACTGGAGCTCCTTCCCCCTGTCAGAGCCCCGTTAACAAACTTGGTGCCCCCTACCAAAGCGAATTCTCGAAGCTCTTGGGGGCTGGCCCCTTCATCACATAGGCTGCTGCTCAGTCGTGAACTTTCTCGAGCTGTGGTGTTGGTCGGTTTTGGATCACCTGCAGTCGACCGCAGATGAGAGATGCACCCCGCTGGGCTTCGGACGTCGCTCTAGCACATCATCGATTGCACACGCTCGTTCTTTGTAAATTCGGTTCTTCCTAACTGCTTTTCCCCACAGCTCCTGCCTAAGCCCACCGAACCCAATACTTTACCTACACACACAGTATCTGCCACCACATAGGTACCACGGCACCGGACGGAGGCAAAAGCAAATACATACTCGCCTGGCGCAGATACCGACCCCTCAAAATAGTTGAGCCCCAGCAAAGCCCGGTTTCCCTTGGACTCTGTGCTCTCCGAGGCGAGAAATCCGCCTCCCCTCTGATCCACGAATCTCCTACCCACCACCGCCGATTGACAACATACCGCCCGCGAACCACGCACGCTAGTCGCTGAAACCCCAACAACCACGCCACACGGCGAATATCGGAATAACGACGTGAGCAAAGCTCGCTCTTGCGTATGTTTTCGCTGGGAGGTAAAGGGTGGCCGTGCACCTGACTTGCTGTTGGCCGATTTCTGGCCCGCTGTGAAGCCAGGGCCGGCTCGAGGTGACGCAGACGCTCCGCGCTTGCAGCCTCAGGCAACGGAAACCCCGAACGTCGTCCCGTCTTTGGCATACGAAGAAAGTTAACGCTTGCGGGTTTCTGATTCCGTTCCGGCCTTGTGGTCGAGAGGAGCCGACAACCGGAGTCGTGGAACGTTACAGATACCGCGGATAGCGGTCGCAGCCGTGTTTGTAGATTGCTGTCTTTGATGGAAGTATGGTTACCGTATCCCAGACAGCGACGATGTTGACGTCACCCGCGTACATGTGGGAAGGTGCGCTGCCGGCCAAATCAGAGGTAAAGGCTTATGCCGCTTTCTCCTTCCTCAGTGTCTCTCTACATCTCGGCAACTTTGATCGGAGACACTATCCTTTCTCCCAGCGCCTCCCTTCTTATCCCAGGCAAAACATCTAGCTAATCACTTCCAACAGGCACGCCGCGATGATAGGTTCCGGGCAGAAGGGGGAGAGCATTACCTCTCTGATGGGCCTCCGCTGGCATCTCGGAACGGGAGTTTAAGCATGCGTGGCGCCGCCAATTTGGGACCTTACTCGCCAGGAAGCAACAGCCATGAGGAGTTGGACTCTGAAGCGAAAGCAAACGGCGTCGGCCCTACTCGCCTACCGCAACACGATCACAAGGATCCGGAACCACGAAGTGTTAAGGACTATGCGAACCCCGAAAACTCTCTGGACCCGCAAACCGGCACCAACGGAGAGCGGTCTGAGGAGACGCGCAAGAAAGGTCCGGGTGGCCCGCAGTCGGAGTCGGACAGCGATGACTCGAAGTGGATTCATCGAGACAAGCTGGCCAAAATAGAGAGCGAGGAGTTGCAGGCTGCAGGAATTGTTCTCCCGCGCCAAAGGGACAGGGCAAGGTCCAAGAGTCAGAACAGGCCGAGGCGGGATCAGAGCCAGGACAAGGTCAACGGGTCAGGCAGATCGATTGGGGGCTCTGAGCAGGCGGTCTCGAGATCGAGGAAAAACTCAGCCGCTACCTCGGTCGAAACCAAAACTCTGGACTCGGCAGCGGTTCCTAGTTGGGATCTGAGGCGGCCCGAGGAGATCCTTGAAGAAATCGATGGGCACTGGGTTTCGAACGGCAACGGGAAAGGTTCGTCCCGAATACCCGTGGCAAAGGCCAGCCCCGTCCCAATACCAACCGAGCATCTTGCGCGGGACACGCGTCTGCCCAGAAAACGGGATGGCAGCCCTGGTGCGGAAGACAATATAAGCTACCCGAAGACGCGTTCAAGGAGCGGCAGCACAGGCAATGCGCTTGTGAAGCCAGCGGCCACGACCCCGGCATCGCAACCGAATAAACGACCCGATTCCTCTCCGAAAAAGCCTGGAACGACGGCGACGGCAAGGAAACCAAAGCCTGCCAACGGTGCCGCAGGCCGTCCGAAGACGCGAGGCGGGGTAAGCAAGGATTCAACCAGCAGCGGAACACGGCCATCAACGAGGTCTGGTGAACGCGAGTTCTCCAGCAGCAACTGCAAACCAATGGAAGGCGAGCCTCCATGGATGGTCTCGGCTTACCGCCCGGATCCGCGGTTACCTCCTGACCAGCAGCTGCTACCGACAGTGGCCAAGCGGCTGCAGCAGGAGAAGTGGGAGCGGGAAGGAAAGTTTGGGAGCGTTTACGACAAGGAGTTTAGGCCGCTCACCGACGAGGGCTTCCTACGACCCCCCGAATCCAACAACGCTCCGGACAAAGAGACGGACGGAGACGCCGAGAAGGATGAGCAGAAAGAGGATCAGAGGGACTGGCCGCTGAAGGGGGAGCCCAAGAGCCCAACGTTCCCCACGAGGACGAATTCATACTCTACCATGCCCAAAATTACTGACACGCCAGTCGCCAACCCTCTGCCGAGTCCAAGGGCGCCATCACGGCAAACCCAGCAAGCACCAACGGTTCGCGTACCGGAACCGCCCGAGGAGACGCAGGAAAAGAAAGGGGGCTGCGGCTGCTGTATCGTGATGTGATCTTGGCTGGTCCCTTTCAACGACAAGGCGCCCTCGCGAATTCAAGCCCTCGACTGTCACTTCCTCCGTATGAAACTCTCTCAACCCGCCTCCATGCAACAGCACAAGACAGGAACTGCTATTCCTGATCCACCCCACGCGTTTTGCGGATCTTCGAGCAGACAGTCCGATTTACGACGAGATGATATCTTTGATTCCCAACTTCTGCAACATTTCATTTCCTCGCCCAGCCCATCACACATGGCCTGTACCTTTCCTGCGGGCCTCATTACCTTCCTTTTGTTCTTGTTTCTATACCCGCCTTCGAGCGCTGCTGATGCATTTGGCTTCTTTTACTGCGAGCAAGACCCACGATCACCAGCCTAATACCACCCACAAGGCTCTCAGACATCGATCAGTACGTACTTCCCACGGCCAGGTGCTGGTGGGGACCTTTTAATGCAGAGAGAAGGATTCATTTTTTTCATCTTACATCACCGCGTTATCCCCCTCGCTCTTCCTTTTCACCCCTGTATCGTCCGGCCGAGCCATGCTTTCGACCGGACGCCGCTGGAGAATATTATTATCACCCGCCTTAGGAGCCGTCAGCCAAAACAAAGGCGTCAGAACCAGCATGCGACTGGAATGTGACGGTGGCGTAAAATGTGGGAGGACCAAAGGGGGAAGAGGAAGAAGAGGGCGCCCGAGTCACTCATCCCACCGGGCATACCATGCCAAATTTGTTGTTCCGTTTCTTCTCTGCTTGTACGTCTCGTATATGGAGTGGGGGTTTTTTGAGGTTTATTTCTTGCTTCCATTGACAAGGGGCGAAAGGGGACGTGGCGTTCATAGCAGGCTTGGTGCGGAGTTGACTTGCCGTCGAAAGCAAACAGAGTAGACAGACAAAGAAACCAGAGATGGTGAAACCCTGTTAGTTATCCTGGCCCTGAGTTGTGAGATGTCGTTGAGCTCGTCCTGCTTCTGCTGAGCGGTGAATGTCTGATAAGTGATACTCGGAGCTGTCTGCGCCCAACCTCTGATGTAATGACCCGCTACCTAGCACCAGAGAGACAGTCATTGTAGAAATGAAGTCCAGTTCGACACATAGCTTAGCCGAGACTCTTGCATCAGGATATGGAAGGTTGGATGGAGGACTGGTCTGACAAAGCCACCACGGGGTCCCCGGTACTGCCGCTGACAAGCTCTGAAGACAGTGAGGGACCTGACTGTAAGTCATGAGAAGGCTACGCCATCACACGCATCTATGATTCCTCGAAACCACATTGTCAGTGGTCTCAATGAGGGTCGAAATGTCAACAGGCAGCACGAAATGGCCAATACCCCCCTGGGAGCCATGGATGGGCACGGTATGCACCAACAGAGATCGCAAAAGACGACAAGACCTGAGTGCGCTACGTCGCGCTGCATGGGGAATTCGTGAAATGGATCGTGGTTCTATCTAGAACGGCCGCTGCGAAATCCTAGGAGTTCATCTTCTGCTTCCTTTTCTCCTCCTCCTTGCTCCGGGACTCACTGACCAGGCCCGTGGCTACGGACTGTGGTTTGGTTTATGGGAACCTGGCACAGGTATCTAGCCTGTGTGTGTTTGTCCGTTCTGGTGGTAAAAGGGAACAACTAGCTGTATGTGTGCTCAGCGCCGTTCGTCGTTCGTCTCGAAGAGGTGGTTGGGCAGGGCGACCGGCATGTGGGCTTTGAAGCAGTGCAGGACGGTGGGGGGATTGATTGTCAAGGTTATTGGGTCTTACGGTCGAGGCTGTCCATTGTTGAGCCGGGAGTGATAAATAAGCTATGGTGCAGAAGGTCCTGCTTGGTGCCTACCTAGGTAGGTACTACTTTACCATTGTCGACGGGTACCTAGGTCCCTAGGGAAGTGAGGATAGCAACCGGACTTTGGTCGAGTCACAGTTGCTGCCTGTTGTCGAGCAGCCGATTGACTGCATGATCAACTTGACAGCAGCGCTGGGTCTCGGTAGTTTCTCTGCTGGTGCCTCGTAAAGTGCCGAGCTATCGTCAAGAGAGTAGCCGATTCCCGTCCGACCATTCATCCTCGTAGGCTCACAGATACTCACAAGCCTGAAAGGCAATGAAGATCTCACTCAAGCTAGAGAGTAGGACTCAAACTGACTTGCTGAGTCTCGCGTGGAGGCTTGCATTCCTCCCAAAGCCCAGACCGCCGATGTCCTGAAGTTGCGCAATCGATGGAGGATGCCGTCAGAACAGACACCCGCATCCGCAGACGGTAATGCCCATGACAGCTAGATGTGAATGCCATTCTTGAATCCCATCCCTCATTCGCATGGCAAAATGGTCGCAAACCTGTTTTCCTGAATGAGCACAGATAGATCTACACTGCACCTCTTCGCTAAGCGTGTACTGTGGATTATGGAACGGTGGTAGCGTGTGTGCCGAGATGTCTGCCATTGGGCGATGGGGAAACACGGGACGCGTTCCCACGGAAACCGCCAAGCCCAGACCACATTGATGAAAAACGGACGTGGTGTGTTGGCTAGGTACCTTACAGTGAACACGGGACAGACGGTGCGGACGAATCGGCCCATGACCAAAATGGGCTGATAAGAGAAGTTGACGTGCCATCCTTCAAGCACTTGGGGTTTCTGATTCGGCCATCGTCCTCAATGCGGGGAGTTGGATCTCCCCAAGTGGTGTATGATACTCGTGTAATAACGGTAACGTCGGGGATAGAGTGCGAGAAGCAGGGAGAAACCCGGTGCCCATGAATGAGGGGAAAGCTGCGTTGCCGCCTAGGAGGTATGCCACAGTCTTGGTTCGATGCGTTGCCCTGACTGGTACGACGATGTCTGTTTGAGACCCACGATTATGGGGAGATGTGCTTAACGCGTGCCGTACGCCCAGAGCCGGAGTGGCCGTTCGCATCGAGCTCTATCAGAACCCGGCATCGAAGTATCATAACGGAGAGATCGACTTCAGAGGAAATGGATCGATGATGGATAAGGGATGGCCAATTTGATGGGAAGCGATGTGGAACCAGGAAAGGGTTCGCGAAAATCAGTAGGACAGTGGCAATGAGTGCCGATCAGGACGACAGGTCGGCGCCAAGTGCTACGTACCACGTAGGTACGTTACCGTGCTTTTGGTGTTCATCTTTCACCCGGATAGACTTGTCCGGCCGAGCTCGCCGATGCACGCCTGCTCCTCCGTCTTTCGAGACGCTGCGATTCATACCGACGCCGTCGCGCTTCAATACCATATGTCCCGAGTCATCCGGCAAAGCGCACAGATGGCAGATTGAACTTTGCTGACACAGTCGATCCTAGGGTATGTAGGTGCAGACATACGGAAGACAGGCAGTAGTCGGCCAAACAACCGAGGTATATGTTAAGAATCCGCGATGAGGGGATCATCGGTAGCTGTTGCTGTCGCCGGCAAGATGGGCAAACCGTTTTCTCCGGTCTGTCATTGCCCCTCACAGTACCGTGCTTTGAACTGTCAGACCGGTCGGGAGCTCAAAGAGAGGACTACTCTACTGGCTCTCACATGATGGGATCGCATGGTCTCACATGGTAGTATCAGTGGTGTCTCTACATATCTCCTCCGTCCGCAACAAATGCGGTAGATCGGCAACTGCGATTCTCCGGACCATCGGCCGATGTTGGGAAGTTTCGATCGACCGGTCTCGAACGCGGCACTCGCATGCCAAGCGCGGGAGATGGTCGAAGCGGAGCTTCTGGAGCGGCTACCCCTGTCGAGCTCTCGGTGCGTCGCACACAATTTTGTGGGTAGCGTAGCGAACATTCCGGAAAGCATTAGGAACCCCTTCGAAGTGCAGGAAAAATTTGCGCCGAGATGCCTTTCTCTTTATATCATTGATGGTCTCGAACACCGTCTATTAGTCTATATGTTCAACGGGCAAGCCTTTATGAGGAATCTTAAACACTTTGTGCGCGGAGTGGATCGCAAGATGAAACATGGCAGCATTCCGTGGAGAACCGAAGCTTATGAAGGCTGGAGGGCTGGGTCCGCTAAAAACCTGCTGGACAAAGAAAGGACGCAACCAAACATGTTGATGCAAGACATCCAGATCCAGCCCCTGGTAATCCGGAGAGTCGGGTTAGCAAACCCAGGGAATTGACTAACTACAAGCTACAAGGGCGGCGGTTGTTTGGAACAATGTAATTTCTTTTTCTTTTGCTCTTAGAGCCTAATCGTGGGTCCGGTGCCGGCCTCAGGCTTTACCCGTGAATTTAATACTGAGGCAGTCAAGGCGGAGTACCCCGGGTTTGATACGATGTTTCAATGATGGAAGCCTCGAGATGTGTCGCCCGGAGCAGCACTGCTCGCCTCGCTTTTGGTGGTCTTGCATCGTTTGAACGAGCGCTAATTACTAGGACGCTTGGAGTTATGCTTCATCAATACTAGATGATCACGCCGGTCAGAAGAGCGCGCGAACGAAGGAAGCCCGTGACCTGTATCAAGCTTCATGGTCTCCGTATGGCGACTGTAATTTGTGGTTGGAGCCCAAAATTACCGTATCCAGTGCACGGCTTCTTCTAGACTCAGTACCTGAGGAACGGGACGGTGGGTCAAGAAACGGTCGGGCCGGGCTTACACTACGTTAGTAGGGCAAAGGATTTGAAAAGATCGAACTGGAACCCCCAGCGTAGCGATGCAATTATTGAGTGCCAGTGGCATTGTGAGTAAGTCAGAAGTACATTCAGACGCGGATTGTATTCTAGATTGCGGACAGAATGCAGCAACATCTCGCAGCCCGAATCGAAATACACTTGCCGAGACAGCTCCGTTGAACTGCTGACGAGAACACAGAGTCTGAGCCTGATCGCAGTGTTGACTAGGCCCACTTGAGGTACTTTACCGCTTGTGTAGGTAGTGTATGTACTCGGTCTTTGGGGCGGTCTTAATGAGCACGTTGGAGGAATACGGGTGTGAGTCAGGAATCGGCGAACCGCTGGCAATCGCAGAATTGAAACGGTTGCGACGCCAGAGCGAAATCGTGCCGGTACACGTGTAACTGGTATTCCGAAACGCACCGTTTGGATGCGACGGGTCGTACGGGAAATTTTGGGGCCTGCAGATGGAGGCAGTCAGATCGTAAATTTCGTACGATCGCAGACGCATTCGCCGATGCTCACCCCCCTTGTCAATCTCAGCCCCACGTCCCATGTCCCAGCCGTTCCTGTTAGTGGGGACGCAACTAAGCCTTGGTCTGGCCCAGTCCAACAGTCATTCCCCAAATAAAGCAGCGTACAATCCCCTCAAGTAATCCCACACTGTTAGCCAAAGCAAACGTCTGGACCCTTCCAAACCAACAACTCTCCAACAAATGGTTCCTACCTGGCTTCGGCCCCGAATCGCTAGATAAAAGAGCATACTCCTCACCTCAATCATGATGGCTTCTTCGTCGAGACCTGCAGCAGTCCCTTACACCGGCGGCATTTCATCATCGTCGTCTACATCTTCTTCGTCATCGCCCTCATCGTCAAGCTCATCTCCATTCTCCGTGTCGGACTCCGACCTTCCGTCTTCAAACTCGGCGAGCTCAGGCTCCAGTGTGCGACACAGCATGGATTCCTCGAAACGACCCACAGTTCAGGTCACCACCATCCGCTGCCTGCGGTGCGCGCGGGGAGAGGAGATTACCACGACAGACGACCCGGTCTTGTCCGGCATGGTGCAGATCGGGACAAACATCTACTACTGCAAACGCTGCGCCAAGATGGTTGGCTTTACCTGAGCCGTATTGCACCACGAGACTCGCTTGGGCGAGTGAGCCAGACGGATGGCAGTTCTGCAATGGATTTCCTGGAGGTTGGAATTGAAGGAAATGCTCCCGGAGCTGCAACCTACGGTTATCAACATCGAACATCACGACAGCACGCGCCCTACTCTTCGAGTTTCACGAACTTTTCCGCTCCAGGATGCCGAGTAGCACCTCTCCAAGTTGGGGATTCGAGATGAGGCCAGCAGAGCGCAGTCGGATTACGTTGTCGACTTCGAAGTCCGGCTCGCATGGTTATTTGGGACCGCCACTGGCTGTCGACGCCAAGTTACACCAGTCTATCTCTCATGAGGATCAGCCGCATAGCATGAGCTGTACGCGACGCCGCCCCACGGCTGGCAATCGCTTTCTGCGCCTTGCACATCACTCTCCACCCCGGTACTCGATGCGCGCACAGCTTATCGAGTTTCGTGGGTCTGTTTGATGAGTGGTGATCGCTGATTTCACGACTACCTACCTACCTTCTCGACACTCGAGGTTTCAAATGAGTCGAGGAGTTCCCCAGCAGCGACAGCTGGCAACATCGCAATAGCCTGCTCTCTACAACCCAAACGAGGCGATACGACACGTGTCGCAGACACCCGCTTGTACTCCGCACACACGACAATTCCCATTGCCGCAGCAATGGAATCATTGTGCATCAGACAGCAGCAGGATCTCGATCTAGCGATGGCTATTGGGTGTCGCCCTGTCTTCCCGCCAATTGCGGGGTCATGGTGCAGAAGCCCCGGGCCACCGCCAAGCCTCTGACGTCGACGTGCCTCAAGACTTCTGCTAGTGGTTAATCGCCTCATGGAGGGGATGCAACACCATTGGCATCGTCGTCACACTTGGGTGCATGACCACAAGGGCACGTCGACGGCGTTTTGCGGGCCCCGCCTTCTGTCCGTTTTACGCATTTGACATTTCATTTCTCCGCACTACCTTTGCATCTCGATGATGCATGCGTTGCGAACTTGCGATTCACTTTAGTCACTTTTTTTTTCTTTTCTTTTTTCCTTTTTTTTTTTTTACACGCTGGCGGTTTATATTTGAGCATTGGTCTTGAGCGATGGCGTTCTAAAATGTACGGATCACACGGTTCCAGGAGCAAAAACGGGATACGGATTGCATTCTCAACACCGCGGATTTTCGAAGAGGGGGTTCTAAGGCACACGCTGGTTTGTTACTGATATTACACAGCATGTTCGGTTATGATGGGATTCGATATTTTCATGCCCCGTAGAAATTCAAGACGGGTTCACAACCCCATTACAAACATGTCCAGCTCCGTCGCGTTACCTTATACTACTGCCCTGTCGTGTCATGTCTCTTGCCCTGGAATAGGTGCTTCACCACTTTCAGCACACAGTCGACAAGCGAGCTTTTCCCGCTAGACTGGAACTTGGGGTCCATGGAGGAACAAACCATGGCCAACTTCAATGTTTCATCTGCCCGGTGCTGCCCAGCCAGCCTGGAAACGGCTAAAGACTGCAGCTAGCTGAAAAAAACGGATTACTCGGGATTGTGGGAGCGCACCCTACCCCTGCACTGCCAACGCACACAACACTCAGCAACAGCAGCTTACTCAGAATCCCGAATGCCGTTTCCATCCAGGAACAGAAACCGAAGCTCGGCCAGCTGAAGTGGGATGGCAGTAATACGCTCTTGCTGTGAAGTACATACAGTAGACTACTACCTATGCTCGGTGTCAGTTTATTTAGCCCCCGATTTCTCCCTAGCACAAGCCATGCAGCATGATCTATGAAAGATTAGCCCCCCGCGGTCTTTATATGAGTGAATAGCATAGGACGCAACGCCAGGTACATGGGACTACCTGTTCAGTACTGTAACGATGCGTAGCTGTGTCCCAGCCCTGATTTTCTACATTTGGCTCTGGGGTTGGGGGTGACAGATGGGGGCCCGGGAAGCTTGCCCTGGTTTCTTGTCCCTGCTTCTCAGCCGGCGTGCAGCATGCGCTTCTCCTGTTTCTGCATGTTCTTATATTTATATTCCGTGAACTGCAGGTGCCGTGGCTGAAACATCGCACTGCGAGCTGGCGTGGTGTGTTATTGTATGGACGGGCTCTGCTGCAGGGTCTGTTTCTTCATTTACAGTAGTAGTCCTGCATATCGTGCCCTACTGACTATAGAGAAACGGTATGTAGAATCGCCCGCGCAAGCTCTATCCTCAGAACTGACAGTAGTGATGAGTCCGTGAGGTCAACAACACATCAGTCTTCACTAGCCTGCAGGAAGTGCGTCATCTAAGGGTCTTGTTGCGGCGTGACGCCTGTCCGGTACTAGTGTAGTGCTGTCTGATAGGGGTCGCCATCATCATCATGCATCAGTTGCGGTATTGCTTCCTAAAACGTATATACTACGTACTACATAGATGCCATCCGCGGTTTAGCTGGGCTGCAGGGGTGGCAGGGGTAGGCTACCCTTAGAGTTCGGTCCTAAGGCTTGGTTTGACGAGGATGTTGACAGAGACACTGTCATGACAACGAAACCTCGAAGCACTCAAGATGTCTCGGGAGAAGGAGGACCATTGGAAGAAACTTCGTGTTAGTCTTGATGATCGTTTGAAGACACACGTCTGTAACTTCCCTCGGGTACAAAGTTGATTTAGGGGTAACCAACCTGCGGTTTCGGTAGAACGGGGTTTGTGAACACCAGCATAAGGTAAAGCCAAATCATTACCTGGTGCTATTTCGAGTCTTCGTCCCGCTGTACCGGACGGAGAGTTAGGTGGAGGGATCGTTTCCCGCTCTGACCGTCCCGGGAAGGAATGGTTCGTATACTTCTAATCAGACTTTTCTCCTGGTGCTGCTGGGACAGCATCAACAATTCGACAACCCGGAGGGCACCGCTGGAAAACGGCACGAGCACGCTAACGTTATCCAACAGGAAAGTCCGCTTGGAACATCCAATGCGGCTTTTCGTGCCCCGCCAGATGACCTCATGCTGCATTCTGCCCTGCGTCCGCCGTTATGGTGGGTTCCCATATTACCGCGGTTATTAAAGCCCTCTTGTATGTATGCGCGCCGGTTTCCACTCTGGTAGCTGTTGCCGTGATGTTTTCTCGTCGCTGTTTCGCTGAGCCCCGGAACGATATACCAAAGGACAGCCCGATTTAACCGACGCAGGATCAATTGCCGAGCGCCGAGCAGGGAACCCTGATGCGCTGTGTATGTACGCATCATGAAAATTGGTGGGGGTTGAGACGGCGGGGGATCCCAAGCCTTGGCCGCAGTGCTGGATATCGTAGGTAATACAGATGCGGCTAATTTATGGGCAATATGGGAATGGTGCGGAACCGTCATGAATCGCGGGTCGGTGATACATGTCATGGGAAACTTGAAGTCCATAGCGGGAAGTTATGAGTTGAGGTGGTGTGTGAGACAGTGGCAGTGTCATTTTCCATCTTTAGCTGACGGCAACCCAACACCCTCAACCGCGAATTTGGCGATGGCCCGACGCAACCCGGCCCGGTTCTCACATGGACCATTCACTTTTTCTGCGAATAGCCTCAAAAGAGTCAAAACACAAGTTGGAGAGGCTCGCGAAGGTCGAAGGAGTGCCAAGAGCAGGTAGAAAATGGTACCGGAACATTTCCTCCGGGTCTCAAATCTCGCAAAACCTGGAAGTGGTATCCGTAAGAGACGTGGCGGGCCAGAAGCAGAGGCCCAAGCTTCGGATGGCGCCGAGCGGACCGCGAGCCCCACATGGCCGTTACGAACCTTCCGACGCTTGCAGCGTTTCCCCGTGCGATGAGAGCGGGGGGGGAGAGGGGAGATAAAGCACGCTTTCACAGGTTCGCAGAAGTCTCCGGAAAGCTTCAGATCGAGCGCTCGATCGAAATCTCGGCGGCGAAGGTTTCAATACACGTCTTAGGCAGTACATTTGTCGTACTAGTAAATTTCATTACATGGCTGTCACAGTCACGCATGTCGAACATCAACGGAACAGAGGAAACGGTTCGGCGGCGTTATGGTGTTGTCGCATCCGAGCGTTCCATTTGGTGTACACAAATCTGATACTCGATAGGTCATGTCACATTTCATTACCAGCGTAAGCCAGCTCGGCCCGAACTTCCAGTTACTTCGGGCCACCCGTGCATTGTGCTCTCACATGCCTTCTTTGTGTGTTTGAAGCTGTTGCCGGCAGCTTGGTACTGTACCTCCCGCTCAGCCCCCGGTGAGCCGAACCAATATCGTAAACCACACTGAACCATCACCACTACCATCACCAAGGTACATCTGGAATCCCACAATCCGCGCCGGCGATGTCTCACACCCAACGTCGCAAAGTGATAGTAGGTCGGATGTCAGATGCGCACCCAGCTGACCCTCCCACATGCTTGGGCGTCTCAGCTCTTCACAGTGACATGCCACCACATGTAACGGTCACCCTTCCATCTTCACATCTCCTTGCTGCTGCTGCTGTGGCTGCTTGCCCATATTCTTGAGCAGATAGCTTCGCTTGAAGTACTCGTTCGGGTGCACGATGGTCTCGAGCTGCGCCGCCGTCATGACGCCGTCGTCTTTGGCCCGTTTGATCTCTTTCTTGTGGAGGTGCTCGAAGACGCTGTTGTCACGGTTCAGCTGATTTAGTTTGGGCGCTGGATGGGAAGGGGTGGTCATTACGTACCGGTTACACGCCATGTGGTATTTCTGGCTCTCCTTATCCTCCTTCACCCCGTGCAGCACCTGCGGGTCGGTGACGCCTGACGCCCGGAGCAGCGAGGCGAGGTTTTCCATGCTGAAATGCCGATACGGGCAGCCGTGCGCGTCTCCCGAGCCGGGTGCATTCTCCGTAAGAATCTTCTGGCAGCTGTACGGGCTGTGGCCGCCGCTGCGCCTGTTCGAGTCGCCGCCCACGTCGCCGTAGGAGTACCGCACGTTGTAGCGGTACTCCTTGTTGAAGGTGTCGTCGGTGATTTTGTTGAAGCTGGAGCGCCAAAAGATGAGGGACTCCTCAAGATTCAGCCCGATGCCCTTGAGGAAGAGCATGTACTGCAATCGGCCGAAGTGCCTGAGATGCGAGTCACGCCGCAGGGAGCGGTGCAGGTGCGCCATGCACATCGGGAAATGCTGGGACAGGTTGTCGATGTTGCGTGCCGTGATCTCGGCTCCCTCGATCGCTTGGCTACTACCGCTGTAGCTCGAGTCGGGTGCGACGAAGTTCTTGGACAGGTGGTCGAGGATCGGAGTCAGGCGGTCGTCTTCGTCGAGTCGAGGGAGCGCCCGAGACGTGAGCTGGGAGATCGGTTAGCAACAATAGATTCAAATGACCCGGTCCATGTGCCTGGCGCCCACCTCCAATGCCTGCTCTAACCGCTTCGTGAACGCATTCAGCACCATGCTCTGCTGGGCACTCCCCGGCACATATGCCTTCCCTGCCTTCACAAACACCTTCCTCCCCTCAATCAGATCTGGTACCCTGATCCAGTCGACCTTGCACCAATCCTCATCCATGACCTGCTGCGCCCTCTTCCCGTAGCCGAAGCCGATGGTTGTCGCCAGTTGAGAGGCGAGCGCGCGCTTCTCCTCCTCCGACACGGGCTCCCAATCAAGGTTGAGGGTGCGCACGAAGGCAGCGCGCTCCCGCGAGTCGTCGGTCTGGAAGCGCAGGCGGAACAGCATGGTCTCGACGCGCGTGAAGCGCCGGCGCAGGTCCTCGGTCGACGCGAAGGCCAGGCGCAGGATGAAGTGGCTGTAGTGGTCCTTTTGACGCTGCGCGTGCAGGTTTGAGCTGCCGGAGCTGCTGGCGCTCAGCGGGAGGTACTTCTCGAGGAGTGGCTTCATGTGCGCCTCCGTCTCGGCCGGTGTTTTGTTGCGGAAGGAGCACGCCTCCAACTCGGCGAGAACTGCGCAAGCGCTGCGGTCAGCATGATCATTCTTCTAGTGCCATAGTGGCGTCCGCACACACTCCGTAGTCTGTCGATGGCCCATTGCTCGAACTGCTCGAGCGTGATGTCTGCTGTCGGCGGGGTCGAGTAGAAGTTTAGGCGGTGCGGATACTGCGTTTCCTTGTATGAAGGATCTGCAAACTGCTTCTTGCGGTGGTCGAGGACGTTTCGCCTCTTGACATCGATACGATTCATGGTGGCGGCCTGACTTGTCTACGGGGGTAAGGATACTGCTTTGCTGTTGATTCGGGAAGCCTTATGTTGATGGAGGCGGGCAGGGGCACAGAAGTGGGAGACGCGACGCGACGCGTTTTTTGACGATCAATTAAAGACGGCCGAACCAAGGCGATTCGCATGTTATTTAGCATAACCCTAACCCTCATTTCCCTGGCGACCTGAACTGCAGTGGTTCGCAAATCTCCTTGGGCAAGGATCCTCACGAGCTTGGCGGCGCTCCTGAACAACTCCCAACCTGAAGGCGGCACCGATTTAGTTACAGGGACATGGCAGGGTCCGGCTTCCGTAACCGAGAACAAAGGTATTCGGATTACCTGGTTACCAAGACTCGCCGCAAGGGTTAATGATATCTTTAATCCACCATATAGCTGTGCTTGATGACGGTGTGCAATTGTCTCCTATTTTCACACTGACCCTTAGGTCTTCCCTCTGGGTATTTACCGCTCGAGTTCGCTATTTGCAGACGAAGCCTTCTGCGCTTCGTCCCATGACATGTATCCCTGGAGTTTCCAGAGAAGCATTTGCAGCTTCACTGTTGCCTGCCTGCCAAGCAGAAACAGGGACCCGCCACTCAGAAGCTCAGACTCCTGCCTCAACCGAGCTATACGCTCCTCGCCCAACAGTACACGCAAGTTATGCACCGCGAGCTTCGACCCGTATTTCACAGGCCCAACATCCATGACTGACAGCCTTGGCGGGACATATTGGGGGGTCGACTCCGGAGTAGCCCCCTCGGGCTGGCCCAGGAACAGAAGACAGCCTCGATGTTTCAGTGCCTTGGTGTCGTTCCAGCGCTCACACTTGACGATGTACTTGCGGTCTTCTTCTCCGCTCTTCTTCGCAAAGTAAAGGAGCGCGTCAAAGACCCGCCGGCGGATCAGTTCTAGCACCACCACATCCATCTCGCTGTGCCAGTTGGCGTTGGCCAGTAGCGCACTGAGGTTTGTTGCGCCGCCGCTGCTCATGCGGAGGAGTTTCTTGTGGCCGTTAAAGTACACCGAGTGCTGCTCCTGGAAGCCCTGGAGAAGCGTCTGGCGGGAGAGAACATATCCGGAAGGTCCTGTTTTGGTGGAGTTCTGGGTCTTCACAGCTGGCTCGGCTGGCTCTTGAATTATCTCAACGCTGTTGGGGGTAGCCTGTGCTGAATTGTCCGGTTCCTGTTCGCTCTGGGTGTCCTGTGTGGTCTCATGAACCGTCCCAGCCGACTGCTCCTCAGCTGATTCCGGTTCGGCATGGTTCCCTTCGTCTTGGGTGTCTGCAGCCTTGGAGTCGAGGGCACCGGGCATAAACCAGGGATTTCCCGTCTCAGGGTGCGAGACAAGAACGAAGCGTTGAAGGAAAAAGCTCGGGAGATTGACGCCGGTGATGGGGCATCTCCGCACAGGTGTGGCCAGAGCCTTGGCTGGAAGGAGGTCAGTAGACGTTGAGCGCTATGATCATGGACGGACCCGGAGAGGTACCATATGGATTCCGGGCCAAGTGCCGTTGGAACTTGGTCGGTTTGTGCTCTGAGTGTTTTGGCTTGGGTTTGGTGAATCTTTGCCTGGCTTCGTGAAACGACGGGTCCATCAACGGGGATATCGGCAGCTGGCCGACGGCGGTCGAGACCGTCTTGCTCTCAAAGTCGATCGGTATATTTGTGTATCCATTGTCCGGCAATCTCGGAGAGCCTTCTGTGTCCGTAGGTTCAGGGCATTGGTTGCCTTGGGATGCGTTATGTGCACTCCTATGAGCATCCCAAGCAACAGCGGGCCGCCTTGGCTTACAGCATGCAGCAGTAAATGATGGCCTGAGATATCTTCTCCCCACAGCCTGCATGGCACCGGATGTTCCACTTCACTTTTGAGTGCGGTCCTTGGTCGGATTCCTCATTCATTTTTTTGAAATGGCAGGTCAGTGAGAAGGAAAATCCATCTCTTTAGCTGGACTGTGTCTAACCAAATAGGTACGTGCGCATGTGCTTCAGGCAAGTATGGCAATGACGGACGGCAAACAACAAGAAAAGTAAAATAAGAACGGGAAGAGGCAGTATTACTCTTCCGGTAACTGGGCCTGGAATCTCATACAGGCTCTAAAATAGGTAGCAGCAGGTAACTCAATCGATGGCGGAACCACCTTCGTGGACCCCTGCCAATGCCAAGCCTGCAACTCAGATGCGACAACTGAGTGGCTCCACCACGGGAATTCGCGTCTCGCGAGCGGGCATCCATCGCATTCATCTCCTATCGGAAAAGACAGCCCGATCAAGGCGCCAGCTCCCTCGCCACAATGAACTCCCAACGAACAGTTTTTCGCCTTATTAGGAGTATAGGAGCGTCTCAATGTCGGAACTTCTCCAGGTTTAGCGCACCTTCCGGCGCGATGCCGCCAATGGGCAACCTCCCTATGCCCTACATCACTGAGGTCACGGTAAGTGCTCTTTAGTCGTTCTCTATGTCGCGTTGCTGACGGACTAGGCGGGCGGTTGGCGGACATGTGGGTGCTAGTGGCCACTTTGGATCGAACGAGTTCTGGTTGACGCTGACTGCACTCCAAAGCCGACATATTCTCCAAGCTCCTGCAGGTCAGCTGGCCACCCGGATCGAACTTGTCGACGACGTCTGACTCAAGCAGGAACGAATAGTATGTCTCAACGGACCGATCGACGACACCGTCTCAGCATCAATTGTGGCCCAATTGCTATGGCTCGAGTCGGACAACCCGGATAAGCCGATCACCATGTACATCAACTCGCCCGGCGGCGAGGTGAGCTCGGGGCTCGCCATCTACGACACAATGACCTATATCAAGTCACCTGTGTCAACAGTGTGTGTGGGCGGCGCTGCGTCGATGGCTGCCATACTACTTGTTGGCGGCGAGTCCGGGAAGCGGTATGCGCTCCCGCACAGCTCCATCATGGTGCACCAGCCCCTGGGAGGAACTCGCGGGCCGGCAGCGGATATCTTGATCTACGCCAACCAAATTCAGAGACTTCGAGAGCAAATCAACAAAATCGTGCAGAGCCATGTCAACAAGTCCTTCGGTTACGAGAAGTACGACATGAAGGCCATCAACGATATGATGGAGCGGGACAAGTATCTGACCGCTGAGGAGGCGAAGGAATACGGCATCATCGACGAGATCCTACATCCGAGAGGAAAGAGCGAGGACAAGGCTGCGGGTGCCGAATCGAAGGGGATAAAGCCGTGATGCAGAAAACCGGTAGAAGGGGATACTTAGGCGGGTTACGGCCGATTCGTGCTCATCTCGGTATACTGTATCTCCAGGAGTATTGGAGAAAATGAGCGTCAGCCGCATGTCCGAGAAATGAGGCTTATCCCCGCTAGAGCAGGTCACCAGCGTGGATAAGAGGCAATGGCCGCATTTGCAGCAGCCTTGTGCTTTCTCGGACAGGGAATGCCGGCGGTATCTAGCAGATCGATCTGGGAACCCAATGGGCCACTGCAGAGTGTTCCGGATACCCATCTCGCACAGGTCGAAATACAGCCCGTTATGTACATCCAACACTGGACTTGAACGGCTGACTCACCTCCGCCTTAAACGCACCTAGCAGCTCATCGCCAATCTCAGCGTTGACAAGTCACAGGGACAGAGGGGTCATAGCTCCCAGCTCCCTTGCATTGGACCAATCGGGAAGCCGGTAATTCAAGTAGCTTGTTGCGGGGATCATCCGCGGGGACCCCTGTCTCTGTCCCTGTGATCGTCCCTGTGACTTGGGAACAAATCATTTTTAAAAGCTCCGATCTCGCCCAGAGGTCCGACTCATCGGCCTTGAACTACAATACAACTTTTTGTCCCTGGGCATCAGTGGATGACCAATTGACTGGCCTTGTGGTTCCGGACCACATCAGAAACCCTTCAGTCCTCGTTGCCAACCAAGGGACCTTCCTGTCCTGTTGCTTCGTTGCTCTCCCCGATCTCTTGCCGGGCGAGTGATCATGCTGTCGCCCTGCCTCCTGCGCGCCGGCCCCCCCAGGGCGTTGGCGACCAGCCGGGCACTGCCACTGAGGAACCAACTGTATGTTTGCCCAAGCCATACGCTTATTGCCTTTTATACGATACTAATCTCCCTGCCTAGCCGCCTCCTCTCCACCAGCCACCGCCGATATGCCGACGAGAAGCTCAACCGCGTGTCGTCCGCCATCACACAACCCAAGTCGCAAGGCGCTTCGCAGGCTATGCTCTACGCGACTGGCATGACTGAAGAGGACATGAACAAGGCCCAGGTTGGCATCTCGTCCGTCTGGTACGAGGGTAACCCCTGCAACATGCACCTCATGGACCTCTCGGGCCTTGTCCGCGAAAGTGTCGCGAAGGCCGGCCTCATTCCCATGCGCTTCAACACCATCGGCGTCTCGGACGGCATCAGTATGGGCACCACGGGCATGCGCTACAGTTTGCAGAGCAGGGAGATCATCGCCGACAGCATCGAAACGGTCATGCAGGGTCAGTGGTACGACGCCAACATTTCCCTGCCCGGGTGCGACAAGAACATGCCGGGAGTCATGATCGCGATGGGCCGCGTCAACAGGCCCAGCATTATGGTGTATGGCGGCACCATCAAGCCCGGATGCAGCATGAAGGGCGAGCCGCTCGATATTGTCAGCGCGTTCCAGGCCTACGGGCAGTACATTTCCGGCCAGATCACCGAGGAGCAGCGCTTCGACATCATCCGGCACGCCTGCCCCGGCGGCGGCGCTTGCGGCGGCATGTACACTGCCAACACCATGGCGTCTGCGATCGAGACGCTCGGCATGACGCTGACCGGCAGCAGCAGCTTCCCTGCCGAGGACCCGAAGAAGAAGGCCGAGTGTGAGAGCGTCGGTGAGGCCATCAAGAACCTTCTGCGGGAGGACATCCGGCCCAAGGATATCATGACGCGGCAGGCGTTCGAGAACGCCATGGTCGTCGTCAACATCCTCGGCGGCAGCACCAACGCTGTGCTACACCTTATCGCCATCGCCGACTCTGTCGGTATCAAGCTCACCATCGACGATTTCCAGGCCGTCTCCGACCGGACTCCGCTGCTGGCCGACCTGAAGCCCTCCGGCAAGTACGTCATGGAGGACATCTTCAAGATCGGCGGCACCCCGGCCCTGCTCAAGTTCCTGCTCAAGGAGGGCCTCATCGACGGGTCGGGCATCACCGTCACCGGCAAGACCATGAAGGAGAACGTGGCCGATCTGCCCGGCTTCCCCGACGACCAGCCCATCGTCCGCCCCGTCAGCAACCCGCTCAAGCCCACGGGCCACATCCAGATCCTGCGCGGCTCCCTCGCGCCCGGCGGCTCGGTCGGCAAGATCACCGGCAAGGAGGGCCTGCGCTTTGAGGGCAAGGCCAAGGTGTACGACTACGAGGACGCATTCATCGAGGCGCTCGAGCGCGGCGAGATCAAGAAGGGCGAGAAGACGGTCGTCGTGATCCGGTACGAGGGTCCCAAGGGCGGCCCCGGCATGCCCGAGATGCTCAAGCCCAGCTCGGCCATCATGGGCGCCGGGCTCGGCCAGGACGTCGCCCTCATCACCGACGGCCGCTTCTCGGGCGGCAGCCACGGCTTCCTGATCGGCCACATTGTGCCCGAGGCCATGGAGGGCGGGCCGATCGGTCTGGTCCGGGGCGGCGACACGATTGTCATTGACGCCGAGAAGCGCGTGCTCGACCTAGGGGTTTCGTCTGAGGAACTGGAGAAGAGGCGAAAAGAGTGGAAGGCGCCTGAGCCGAGGGCGAAGCGTGGTACGCTGAGGAAATATGCCGCGCTGGTTAGGGATGCTAGCCAAGGGTGTGTGACGGATAAGTTCTAAAAGCAGTTCAATGTTGCTGTGGCCGACTTGAAGAAAAAAGGTCATTTCAGGGATTTTGATGTACATATACACTTTTGCATGTTTGGGCTCGGAAAAAGGGACTCGCAATGCGATCGCTTACTTGAGGGTCAAGGAAGTATACTAGGCTGGCTGTTTAGGGAGTGAATGGCAGCACATTTGTTCGTCTGATATAGGTACTCTGCTTTCAAACTTGGTTAATGCCCAAAACGGAATTTCGTCGGTTATGATGGGTTGAAGCCACCCGCACTGTCCAGCCTGTCATTTCCTCTTCGACCACGCGGCCACGAAACGCTTCTTGTCTTCCAACGTCAACCCCACCCTCTTCGCCCTCCCCAGCCGCGCCAGCGCCTCCGCTACCTGATCCAACAACTTCTGCTCCTCCGCCGTGGGCGCAACCTTCCTCTGTTTCAAACCATCACTATCCAACGCTGCCATTTCATCGTCCGAGACGCCGTTCGGCGCCGCGGCGGTGTTGAACTTGCCCTCCGCGATCCGGACCCGGATACAATGCGTCGGCCGGCCAAGCAGCTTCCACAGGAAGCTCGCCCACCCCTTCAGCCCGGGGACGGGCGTCGTCACGTCTGGCGGCGTGTAGCGCATGTTGACGGGGAAGATGGCGCTGTCGGCGGGCGCTGTCAGCAGGCAGGGGCTGAGCGGGAGCACGCCCTTGCCGTTGGTCGTGCCGCACTCGGGGAACAAGGCGATCACCCGGCCCGGGTACCGGGCCACCAGCTCGCTGAGACTGCTGCTGCTGGCACTGGCACTTGCTGTATCTTTCTCTCCTCCTTCCCACTCTTGCGAGTCAAAGACCTTGGCGGAGAGCTGGGCGGAGGGGGAGAGCGCGGCGCAGACCGCCGAGAAGAGGCCGATGCGCCGGACCCGGCGGGAGGTGGGCGTCGCGGCGACGAAGACCGGGTCGAACACGGCGGCGAGGTAGAGCGCGTCGATGGGCGAGGTGAAGTTGGCGGCGATGATGGACTTGGGGTGCGGGACGCGCGAGCGCGGCTGCTGGCTCAGCGAGCCGCGCTTGACGCCGTCCAGCTGCAGGTCGACCCACCATATTCCCGGGATGGCGAGGATGCACCAGAGGAGGAGCTTGCGTAGGACGGCGGGGAGTGGGAGGTGCTGCAGGACGAGGAAGTAGGCGATTGTGGTGAAGAGGAAGAAGGGTAACCGGACGAGGAAGAGGAAGGCGTGCAGTGCACTTGCGGGCAGTGAGGATGGGGTCGAGACGGGCATGAAGGGAGATATGCCGGAGCCTGTTTGTTCAGGAGGTCAGCTCGTGTCGGCAGCCGTCTGAACAGCGACGACCAGAAGGGGCTTGCTTGCCTTTATCCCGGAACTGCGAGAACTTCTCCATTGCGGCAGGCGGGGAAGGTCAATTAGCAATTTGGCAAAGGCAGTCAAAGAAAGAATATACTATTTGGTCCTAAGGACACTAAACCACTTTCACAGGCCTTTGGATCCTACAGCAGTGGTTGTCTTCTAGCGGTCATGATGGTGTCAGACAAATTATTGCGGCTGGTGTTCTTAACACCTTGACATTGTTAGAGAATCACGGTGGAATACTCCGTAGCATGTGAAGGAACTTGAATTGCCCTGTGCGTTGCCACTACAAGACCCTAACCCTGACATGGACGATACAGCGCAGTCACGAACTGGGTGACCTTAGCTTCACATGTTGACGTTCTATGGCCTAACCGTGATCAGCGCTTCAGACATCTATTTCAGAGCGCTCTTATTTCACCGGTAGAGATGAGAAGCATGAATAATGCATTCGGAGCCTTTCTTGACTCGCAGAAGTTGAACTTCCATATCGAACGTTACATGGACCCCACTCATGCTCACTGCTTCCCATTGGTTCTAGTGAGTGCTCTTGGGTTGCCGGGGTGATCGACCTTGAGCTCGGCATCCAACTTCAACACAAACTGAACTACACGCATTGCGGAGAAGAGCAAATAATAACTGTGTCAGGGAAGCCCGCCACAAGCCACAACGTTGCCGACAACCACACCAGCCTCAGGAGCATTGCTCCTCTCGTCCTACTTGCTACTTCACTTCGTCATTCTTCGCATGCGCATCTTCAACATGGACGGATCCGAGAACGCGGTGTGTTTACTATGCGGTTGCCCCAGCCCGCAACCCCAATTGCTGACCATGGTCGCAGCACTTCCGGTCAGGACTCCGACCTCCTCAGGTCCGCGCCATCACAAGCGCTCCGATGGCGTACCTGCAAGAAATGAGCGATTCGCAACACAATGCGCGCACGCAGACTCAGACGACGGGAATCCCTCAAAAGCGCGCACACCTTGGAAGTATGGGTTCCCGCTCGCACCCTTGTTGCTCGCCCGATCAACGCAGCTGATGCTGAAGAACCCGAATAGATCCGCAACCAGAACCGAAGCGGAAGACCCTGATGGAAAGGGCAGGCGAGCCCTCCAAACCTCAAGCTCACTCTGGACTGCCGCAGACTGCGAACGGCGTCAAAGGCACCTCAATCGCAAAATTATCATCGAACAATGCATCCGGCACAACCTCGCGATATGCGCCCAATAGCAACTTCGCGAAGTCCACCGGGCCCGGCGCCCGAGCGCCGGCATCAGCGAGAGCCCCGACATCAATGGGCTTTAGTCAATCAACAATTGGCCGCCCAAGAACATCCACACGTCCATACACGGCTATGGGAACTCGAGGAGAGGAGGAGGAACCACGGCAGGCCGATCAGAAGAAGGGTATGAAGGTCTCAGCTTGTTTCCAACAGCCCCCTCTTCACTATCAGAAATCGAGGAAAACCGGTCCTCAGCAGTCAGCTGGTTCGCAGACATGGAAAGAAAGCAGAGACTTGTCGGGGCTCAGAAGGCGGTTAGAAAACTTATCGCTCGATGAAACCCAGAATGGCGGCTGTAATGGAGATCAAGTGGTTTCCCATCAGCACAAGCAGCCCCCGCCTCGACACTCCAAGCCGGAGGTCCAGACGGAGGTATGCCCAAGCACGGTTCATCAGGAAGAGGCAGCCGGATCCGACCCATTTGGGCCTGCCGATTCTCAAAAAGTGACTCCATTACCAACAACTCCCCCGCCGATAAGCATCGCGAAGGAGGCGTTGGCAAAGATGGAGATGAGTCTTCGCAAGGACGGATTATCTCCCACCAAGCCTTGCTCGCCAACAAAGCGCCAATTTCTCACTAAAGACTCAAATTTGACCAATTTTGTAGGATTCGACGTCGACGGCCGCCTCAACGATTTCGAACGAGAGTTCAAAGTCATGAAGGAGGCCTTCGAAGGCACCCTTACCGACCGGAAAGCCATGGAAGAAGCGATCAGCTTAGCTAAGAATAGGGGTAGGTAGCTTGCAAGTTTGTGAGTATGTAGTGAGATGCTGACCAATGCCCGTAGCGAGCGATCTTGAACGGGAGCAACAGCGGCTTACAGACCAGAACACTCAGCTTCAAGCTCAGCTTGAGGCTGAACGGAAAGAGAATTCTTCACTTCAGGAGGAAAAGCGATCATTGCTTCTCGAGATAGATGAGAAGCAAAGGGAACATAGATACGAGCTGAAGGAGAAGCAACAGGAGCACAAACATGAGCTTGATGAAATGCGGCGAGAGTTCAAAGCAGAGACAGACCAGCTCAAACGAGAGCATCGTGAGGCCCTGGAGGCCCTAGAAAAGCAGTACAAGGCGCAACTAGCCGAGGAGCAGACCCAGAGGGCGAGAGAAATCCAAGAGTTGCAGAGAAGATTAGGGGCAGAGCAACAGGACATGAACCTGGAGCTGCTGAAGAAGGAGCGGGAGGTTCAGGAGATGCGATCACAAGTGGAGGCTCTGAGATCCGACCTCGACCGGGAGCAGACGATCAAGGGCACTCTGCAGCAGCAGATCGCCGAGATGTCGACCACCAACATGACGCTCGAGGATCGGATGCGCGGTCTGCGGGCAAAGATCGAGTTTCTCGAATCCGACAGCAAGCAACAGTCCGACTCCTTCGCAAACATGGAGGCCCGCCTACAGGAGGCCTTGCGTGTCGCTGAGGAAGCGCGCCAGAAGCTGATCAAGGAAGAGACGGAGCGGCGTGTGCTCTTCAACAAATACCAGGAGCTGAAGGGCAACATCCGCGTCATGTGCAGAGTGCGGCCTGTACTTGATCCCTCGGAAGGCGAAGAAGCCAAGATCGCGTTTCCCGATACGAAGACGTCGGCGCAGATCGATGTCACGGGGCCAGAGGAAAGGAGCAGTCTGGGCACGGTCAGCCGCAAAGTCATTCCCTTCGAGTTCGACCGGGTGTTCGACCCATCGGTGCATAACGAGGAGGTCTTCGGCGAGATCTCGCAGCTCGTGCAAAGCGCGCTCGACGGCTACAACGTGTGCATCTTCTGCTACGGCCAGACAGGGTCCGGCAAGACGTACACCATGTCGTCTCCAGACGGCATGATCCCTCGGGCTACGCACATGATCTACGACACCATCACCAAACTGGCCGAGAAGTCATGGACGTACACCATGGAGGGCAGCTTTGTCGAGGTGTACAACGAAGAGCTACACGACCTGCTCACGCCGGCCAAGGAGGCCGACGGCAGGAAGAAGCTCGAGATCCGGCACGACGACGCGCGCAAGCAGACCACGGTGGTCAACTGCAAGACGGTGGCGCTCGACTCGCCGGACAAGGTCGAGGTCATGCTCAGGCAGGCGCAGAGCAACCGCAGCGTGGCGGCGACCAAGGCCAACGAGCGCTCGTCGCGCTCGCACTCGGTCTTCATCCTGCGGTTGGTGGGCGAGAACAGCGCGACCAACGAGCGGTGCGAGGGCACGCTCAACCTGGTCGACCTGGCCGGGTCGGAGCGGCTCAAGCACTCGCAGGCCGAGGGCGAGCGCATGAGGGAGACGCAGAACATCAACAAGAGCCTGGCCTGCCTGGGCGACGTGATCGAGGCGCTCGGGCGCGGGTCGGCGCACGTCCCCTACCGCAACTCCAAGCTGACCCACCTACTGCAGTACTCGCTCGGCGGCAACTCCAAGACGCTCATGTTTGTCATGGTCAGCCCGCTCGAGGCGCACCTGAAGGAGACCATCACCAGTCTGCGGTTTGCTACGAAGGTGAGTGTCCACTTGTTTGGTAACCCCTAAACTGAAACTACCCGGAAAGGGAGCCAGAGAGAAAAAGAGAGAGGGAGAGAGAGCTAACCCGGTGGATGCTACTGTCTAGGTCCATAATACCCACATTGGCACGGCCAAGTCGACCAAGAAGATCAGGGCGAGCGACCTCTGAAGTGTTTGGGTATCTTTGTCTTACTGTTGAGGGGTTGGTTGGGAGGTTCCAGTTTGCTTGTTATGATACCATGAATTGACTTAGAAAGTACTAGTATATTGTAGGAGGTCTGCGCAGCCACCGAGACTGCTGTCGGTGGTTGGGCTTTCGGGTGGTTGGTCTCTGTTTCGGCGTTTCTTTTTGTTCTTGGGGTTTCAGGGCGGCTCGAGGGGGGTTGGGTGCTGCACAGCGGGCCCTGATGTTGGGGCTATTGTTGACGGGAAGGTTTTGGTTTGGAGTTGTATATACGGATGGGGTTGGGTGGCTACCTTAGGGTAAATAGCTGGTTGTTTCTTCTCTCCCGTTTCTGTTTGAGTGGCTGAAATGAAAATTTATTTGTTCAATTGAGCAGTTAGGCGGTTTTCAACTTGTGTCCGGTGCCAGCTTCTGGGTATTTCTCTTATACTAACTTATGTGGCTTCTGATCTGCTTGATGTCTGCCAACGCTGTTTGGAACAAGATAGGCAGTATGGAAAACCTGTACGTAACACGAGTAGTATCCGCATTTGAACAGTGCAACTAACTCCCTGGTACGGAGTACATATGCTGTCAGTGGTTTGATTTTATATCCGGCATATCTTTGTCAGTATCTATCTTATACACTGCAAGGTGTACGTACTCAGATAAATGGATGGATCACAGGTTAATAGGTGACTTAACTATTGGCCTGAAATGGACTGTTATCTAAGATACCTAGGTAAGCCGTTTCGCATAAGTGTGGCCCAGCTTTCTCTAATTGCTCTCTTATCTCTCCCTGGCCTATCCAACCTCACATGTAAAACCAAGAAAGCTCTTATTGAAGCGAGTGATTGCCGTTCATGGCCATAACCTCCAGTTCCCGACACGCCCACTTTATCGCGTCCGTTGTCGTCTCCAGCGTCTCCTCGGTATGGAAGATACTGAAATGATGCCCGGGGATATCCATGACCTTGGTTATCAAATCCTGCCGATACTTTCCCCAACCAAGAAGCGGGTCTCGGCGGTTGATATCCACCGCGTTGACGTTGACGTTGACGTTGGCGCCGTCTTGCACGTCTTCGGGGAGCGGAACGGGATCTGTCGCCCGGAGCAGCACGACCGGTGGTGGCCGCGGAGCAAGACTTGTTGTTGCCCAAGCCGTCGTCGGCCGCAATCCGTTCTGTTGCCCCTTTTCTGTCTTCTGCCCAATGGTGGTGGTGGCGGTGGCGCCCTTTGATTCTTCGTCCGCCGCCCCCCACGCGGGCAGCATCCACTCCCGCACCATCCTATGCGCCTCCGAGAAGCAGCGCATCACGCGGTCCTTGGTCTCCTGGCGGGTGTGCTCCGACCACTTGATGGCGTGCTGCACGACCTTCATGAACGGCGCGGCCAGGGCGTGCGGGTAGACCGAGTCGACCATGACGATGCCGAGCAGGTGCAGCCGATGACAGTCGTCCCTCTCGTCGGCCAGCTGCCGTGCCATCTCGAGCGAGATGAGCCCGCCCATGGACCATCCGCCGAGGATGACGTCGCCGCCGCGGGGCACCGCCGACTTGACGAATTCGAGGTACCGCCGCGCCATCTCCGGGATGCCGCCCTTCCAGGGCTCGCCCGATTGATAGCTCGGGTTGGCGATCCCGAAGACGGGCCGGCCCAGGTCGCCGAGGCAGTAGTAGGAGAAGATGGTGCCGCCGCCGTCGTGGATGAGCACCAGTGGCGTCGGCTTCTTGGACCATGGCGTGATTGTATGTTCTGGCGGTCCGTCTTGGACGATACTAGGGTTCTCATCGAACATGCTGCCCATTGTATTCAGCCTCGGTCCGCGGACAATCAGTCCTTGGCACCTTGCTACGTAGTGGTGGTGGTAATTGAAATGTTGTGATGCTCGGCGTGCGTTAGCCGTGAGCAATGAGATGATGGTGTGGAGACTAGTAGGGCGCAGATAGACCAAGGAGGCGAACTCCGAGAGTCCGAAGGCGAGCACGGCTTGAAGATACTAAATTGAAACCAGATGTATAGGGGTGATGATTTAGGTCGCGTCGTGAATCCGCCGGACGCATACCGGGTGATCAAAGTATGTCGTTATATGCATGGTGTCCTGTGCCGATAAGCATTGAGGGAAGGACTCGGAAGTCGGAACCGGAGCTGAGATCAGCGCAGGGTGCCTGTCATCGATGCCAAGCGGGTTCGATCAATGCAACGCTGCGGCGCCGACGGCATATAACTAATACGGATACAGCGACAGTAGATCGCTGACACATCGGACCAGTCAAACAGCAAGATAAAGTAAATGCCTTGAATGAACTCGCAGATAAGTTGACTTGATATTTGCTACTGCTTTAACCTTAACACATAGCGATCATCGATCCATACTATATAAGCAGTGCTCGGATGGAAATCATGGAATATTACAAAGGCGGCAGAAGATAGGTCATAGAAGCAAAAAGAAAAAAAGAACGAAAAAGGGGTATGAGGAGAAGAAAAAGAAGGACTCGGCCCAGCTGCGAGTATAAACCCCGACCTTCTGGGCTCTGGCTCTGGCTCATACCTTTTTGCCCCAGTTCCCCTAAAGTAAGAGAAACTTGACCGCCAGACCGGCACCCACCGCCGCCCAAACAAGAGGAGAAGCCAGAAAAGACAACCGTGAACGGGACGGTGGCGCAACCACGGGAGATACAAGATAGTCCTCCAAGAAGGCGACAAACTGGTCCAGCTTCGCCAATGGCCCGATGTGCGCGACATAGCCGTCCGGCCGCACCAGCACATAGCCCGCCATCTTTGCCCCGAACCCGAACTCGGCATGTAGTTTACCGTCCGGATCGACATACCACTCCCCACCACCATTCTCCTCTTCCTCTTTCTCCAGGCCCGGCCCTTTAATCCCCAGGAAGCCATTCCCGTCCCCAGCAGAAAAGGAGGAGGGGGAGGAAGAAGAAGAGCAGAGAATGCAATGCACCCTCAGCGGCGTCTTACAAGCGCGCACGGCCTTCTCCGCGGCAGCTGCCAGGACGGCCGCCCCCTTTCCTTTACTATCAGCTCCTCCACCACCACCACCACCAGCGAACAACAGCAGATGATGCGGCGCGCCGACGCAAACCCTCTGCAGACTCGTCTCTTCCCCCTTTTTTGTATAATCATCATCACCACCAGCAGCACCTGCATTTGATGATGACGATGACATGCGCACGACCTTCCCGTCAGGCACGCGATCCCCGCCGCGGATGGGCCCGCTCCAGCGCGGCGCCTCGCCGACGATGCGGCTGGCGCCGCGGTACGTGATGCCGAACTGGCTCACGAACAGGAAGGCACGCCGGCGGCGCTCGCGGCTGCGCACGACGCGCTCCACGACGTACCGCAGGAACAAGTTGCGCAGCCACACGAACAGCCGGTTGCGCGACCAGATGAACGCGAAAATGCGGTCGGTGCCCTGCAGCAGCGCGTTGCCGACGGGGCGGCGCTCCAGGTCGTACGTGTCCAGCACCGCGGAGGCGGCTGCTCGTAAGGATGAAGAGGACGACGACAATGAGGGAGGGAGGGATTCGGCTTGCGACTCCAGAGACAGCGCGCGGGCGAGCTTCCAGCCCAGGTTGATGGCGTCCTGGATGCCCGCGTTCATGCCCTGGCCGCCGGCCGGCGAGTGGATGTGCGCGGCGTCGCCGGCCACGAAGAGCCGGCCGTCGCGGTACTGATTCACGCAGCGGTGGTGGAGGCGGAAGCGGGTGAGCCACTGCGGCGAGTGGAGGACGCCCGAGCCGGGAGGGGTCATGGCGGTGAAATAGGCCTGCACCTGCTCGAGGCTGGGCGGCGCGTCGTCTTGCTCTTGCTGGTTGTCGACCGTCGTCGTCGTCGTCAAGGCGGCCCGGGACGCGATGAGGCGGACGAGTTCGCGGTTGACGGGCAGCGTGGCCAGCACCCCCCTCTTGTTGAGGTGCAGCGTGATGCGGTGCTGGTCGATGTTGGAGTCGCGGAGCCGTGCGTCGCAGAGCACGAAGTCTTGAGGGTAGGCGCCGCCGGGGAAGGCCATGTTACGGGACGCATGCCGGACCACGCTGTGGGCGCCGTCACAGCCGACTACGTACTTGGAGCGGATGGTCTCGGTGCTCCCGTCGGCCAGCCTGATCGTCGCCGTCACGCCGCCGTCATCTTGGGCGATGCTGGTCGCGGTCACGGGCCGCTGGATCGTGATGCCGTACTTGGCGAGACACTCCTCGAGGAACTCCTCCGTCACGGCTTGCGAGACGTTGAGCGGCAGCGGGAATTCGGTATTGGTCGTGCCGAGGTCGTCGAGGACGAGTCCGAGAACGGGTTTTTTGTTGATGTAGGTCTGCGCCCCGCGGAGGATGCGGCCACGACCGACTATGGTGTCGGCCGCCCCGTGGCGGTTCAGCAGCTCCAGCGTCCGGGGTTGCAGGACCAAGGCGCGGCTCTGGCTGGTTCGGGCCGGCTCTCGGTCGACGATGCGGAATGATACGCTATGCAGGGCTAGCTCCAGGGCAAGAGCCGTCCCCACAGGGCCCGCCCCGACAACGAGAACGTCGCAGTCGCGTTCCATTTCCATGGTGATAATGCGATGCTCCGAGGATGTCGTGTTACAAAATCAGGTGAAATGGCTGTGGACGGTGGGCATGAGTCGACTTGTATTTATAAACCCCTTCTCAAACATATAACGACGCTGGCGGCCCTCAACCCCCGACTTCTCATGAGATGCCGTGCGTCAGCCCGTGCCGTAGTATCGGCGGGCACCACGCCGACCCACCGGTATGCCGAGAAATTCGGAGGAGTCAAGAAGTGCGAGTGCGAGCCGCAAGTCGGAAGCGCGAGTCGCCGTCGAAGCCAACGCTGTTACTTTGCGAGCCCATGAGACTTTCTATCGGTGCCCACGGGAAATGTTAACGGCTAAATGTGGTGCAGAAGGGAGTAGTAATAAGTGACCGACTCCAACCCAGTGGGAAAGATCTCAATGCTCATCATCTTCGCAGAAGCTGGAGGCGACATCATACATCCATGGTCACCTGTCCCCCGGGCCCGATGTTAGCCGCGGCCTTCACAACGTCTAGATAGTTTCCCCACACTCACAAGTCCGCCATGAAGCGAATTGATGAGGTGGAAGGGACCTCGAGCAGTCATGATGACCGCCTTCGAGCCGCCGCCTCCCACGGAAACCCAAAGCAACATGGAGGGGCAGGCGCGGCCGAACTCCACTCCTAAGCCGCGGTCCACTGACATCACCTTCGTGGGGCACCGACTCATCTAGATCACCATCTAGATTGTTGATTGCTGATGCTCAGCATTTGCTTGAGCACTACCCCCTAGGTAGGTAGTATCAAACATTACCTTCCCTCTGTACTTCCTATTAGCATGACTTTGTTCTAATTGTATATATGTACATTACATACATGCATACATAAGTACCAATCAGAACGAGAATTTCCCGGGTAACAAATAGCCCCTATATACTAATTGTATGTATTATAAGCATCATATTGACCGGGTCTCACTAGAAAGGTGATGATATTCTGAAAGCCTCGGAGATAGGGGTCTCATGTCTGCAGAAGTGAGGGAAGCAAACCTCATAGAAGTCATGAGTCATGACAGAAATAGTCTGAGTAGGGATGCCTGCTCTTCAGTTTCAGCCGCTCGAATGGAACAGGCATTCACTATATTCGTTCGCAAACGAGATATTACTCTCATCAAGACTTGATGCTTCCAATAGTAAAGTCAGACCTAAGTCCATCAGCAAAAGCCAGCACTAAGTACCTAACCTACATCTCATTCATTCCCAATATCTCAATTTGACAACTTACATGTGTTACACCACGCAACGGGTACAGCACACAATTCACCTCATCTTCCGTTTGTATGTAAGGTATGTAGAATGCATACAACCGCTCTCCAGCACTTCCCAAAATGGCGCTCGATCCATCAGATTTCTTTTCCCCCGGCACAATGCATCCCACCGCTGCAGCCTGCCTCACGAACAGACCTTCCTCATCCTCCACAGCCGCGGCCTCAGCGCTCACAACTTTAGTCCCGGTATAGCTAGTAGTTATCGTTCGAGGAGGGATGTTAAGGCTGTTTTCGAGGGTTCGGTTAAGGGGGATGGGACGGAAGGGGAGGAAGAGGAGGAGGATTTTGATCCCTTTGAGAGGGAGGAAGACGAATAGGAAAGAGAGTAAGGGGAGGGGGGATGTGTGTGAAGGCGAGGGTCGTTGGGGCGCTGAGGGAGAGGCTGGAACTGGAAGCAGGAGATGGGCGGGACTGGGGGTCTCGCCCTAGATCGTTTTGATAACCCCGTCTTCTTAAGGATGGTGTAGAGGATGACAAGGTCCAGTTGTCCTGGGTGCTTGAGTGCCGCGTGGTTTGACGTCGAGTGGAAAGACTACCACGGCCTCGGCCACTGGTGCTCACTCGGACACCATCCTCACGGACGTGGTCTCCTTCCTCACAGACAGAGCCGGCAGTCGACGAGAAAAGGAAGCTCCATGAGAATCATGATCGTCATTAGTCCGTACACTGCATTACAAGACCATAAGTGCGTGCCCCCGTGCTACCGTGCCAAGCTCCCACGACACACCAATACAGTAGAGACAAACCCAGAGCCCAACCATGCATGCAAGCAAGTCATCAACTCAAGTCGTCCCACGGAACCGCCGCTCACAGCCCGCAGGCGCTGAGCGCCACCTGCTTGACGTTGGCATCGATGCGGCCCAGCTCGGCCGCCCGGCCGTTCGTCAAGGCGTTCATGGCGGTCTGGCCGATGTTGAGGCCGGCCGCGGCGTGGTCGATGGCCAGAATGTGGATGGTGTTGCCGTTCCAGCTCGCCTCCCAGCAGGTGCCGCAGTTGGGCGAGTTCCACCCGCCGACCGCCTCGGCCCCGCCGATGTACGGGAAGCCCTTGACGTCGCCCTGCACCTTCCAGTTGTACTTCCACATCACCCCGTTGACGCCGTCCGAGCACGACACCGCCGTGAGCGACCTCCCGGCGTCGTCGTAGCCAGTGTCGTAGCTCACTGGAGGCATTTTTGTTAGCATCCCCCGAGGTCATAATATTATGTACGAAAAGCCTGTTAGTAGATAATGCGAGCATACCTGTGGTGGCCGACGCAGCGGCGAGGAGCGCAGAGATGCTGAAGATCTTGGACAGCTGCATGTTGATGGTTTGGGGGTATGAAGTGGACAGAAGTCTGACGATAACTAGTGAATTAAGCTGCTGGTCTCGATGATCTGTATAGCCAAGAAAGTGAGCTTGTTTGGGATGTGGGAGAAGAGGACGGACGAGATTCAGGATGGTGATGGAGTGTCTTTTATATACAGAGAAGGCGGCCCATTCCTGCCCACCTCCTCCGCTCCTTTCGAAGTTGGCATGTTGTTTGGCCGGATCAACATTCCCTCGGGCAACCGCGGTGTGGGCGTGAGATGGATGCTCCTCTCACGAGGCGACCCTCGTGGTGCCGGATTCGACTGTCCACGATACGACCGCTCCTTCCCCGAAGCACCCAATTGTCGTCATAGCCTGCCGGGGGTCCGCCCTCCGCCGATCTGATCCCCGGCAAGATCGCTTGCCAAGCCGCATCAACCACGTTATTCTGTTTGTGGAAATCTCATGACCTTCGCGGGCATGCATGCGGTCAGTAAACCATCCGATGCAGTGGCCGGTTCCACGATGCAGTCGATGTCTGCCGGCTTCGTATTCCCAGATCCGCAGCAAGCGCAGCGGAGAGTTGCAGTCGCAGCGTGGGACGCACGGAGATCGGGAACGGTAGATGATCGGCACTTGCCCAACCTCGTATCCAACGGTCAACCCGCCCGCTGTGCCACTCCCACTGGAGCACAAACCACACAGACCCGCTGCGAAAGCTGGCACCACAGCAACTAAGACACGGTAGCATCGCGGAATGGATACCGGAGAGGCGGGGCCGGCCCTGCCGCCGGACTGCCAAAAAACACACTACGGAATACATACTCGGCCGAGCCACTCGGACCGCGCCGCTTACATAGAAGAAAAGTGAGGCTGCCCGGTCAGAGCTTTCTTCCCGGCGTCCGTGTTCGAATCGTCAGGTAGTCGTCTGGTGCCGTTGGGCATCATTCACCGACAGTCCGAGTTCTATTACGGGAACAGCGTCCACTCTCAGAAACACGTCGGGAACAGCGCCCTTGTCAGCTTCGCCACCGGCTTCTCTAGGCTTCTATGACACGAGGGTCATGCGTTGGTACATTACAGTGTCTCTCTCGTGGCCATCTATCTGTAGGAAATTTCGCTACCTTCCTCTGCAGCCTAGATAGGACAGGATACGGGTATCCCTTTTTGGAACCATAGAACCAATCAGCCTCCCTGCGGTGCACCTCCGCGATGCCGCCTTATGTCGGTCTCGGCGCGATCCTTTGGCGCGCCCGTGATGCCCAAGAGTATTATTGCAACCTCGTCTGCTGATAGCTCGGCTTCTTCCGGCTCGAGAAGCGTGTTGTTATTGTTATGACCCGATTAACGAGAAGCTGAATCCTCTGCTGTCGAGTGGTGTTGAGATGCTTTGTGCACCGAATCTAGACCCCGGGCCGGTGACACCAATCCCGGACTAGCCCTAGGAACTCATGGCTGGATGTGCCAGGTCGAAAAGGCCATGGCTGATGAGGCCAACTCGGTTCAGCACCGCTCGGTATGGTCCACATGTCCAAACTTCAGAATGCTGAGACTTGTCTCGCAGCCTCGGCCATTAAACACCACAAGATTGGGAGGGACATTTCCCATATAGTTGCAGATTTCTGTGCTCTAAATCGTGTTATTGCTCATCAGTCATGTACACATGATGAAGTTCTCTCTGAATCAGGAGCACAAGACATACCGGTAATCTCGGACTGCAGCCAGGCCGCCAGCGGTGAAGGCGATACACCCCAGGACAATATCTCCAGGATCGTCGAGCATTCTCACTCAGACGGCTTCCCAGTCCATGGCATCCACCATAAACTCCCACTGGTCCTCCTCACCATCAACGGCAGCGGCCCAGTCAATGACGTTGCCATCCTCTCCGAGCATGTCCGCGTCGCCCTCGGCTCCCCACTCCGAACCACCCTTCACATACCGCTCCGCAATCTTGAAGGCCCCGTCAAACCCTCCGAAGATCACCTCCAACATATGCTCGAGCCTGTACGTGTCAAGCGGGGCAGCGATCTTTCTAACCCGCGGCCACTCGAGCTGCTCCGCTCTCGCTGCTGACCCGTTGCCGTACCCCCCATGTTCATGCTCATGCTCATGTTCATGTTCAAGCTCGTCCCCGGCCGTCTTCCACCGGTTCCTAAGGTCCTTTGCCCTGCCCAACTGCGCCCTCACTTCGCCCGTCCCAAGCGTGCCGTGCAGCGGATTATCCGTCCGGTCCAGAGCGGCCAGCACGTTCGCGTGATACCGATGCCTCGCCCTGGACTCTGACCGCCACACGCTCCCGTTTAGCCCTTTGTTCCCGTTTCTTCCCGCCCCGGCACTACCGCCACATCCGTCCTCATACTGCAGATTGTGAGACGACGGTGATGGTGATGAATAGCCCCGCGGTATATCAACCCCAAAGACACCCAGCAGATGCACCAGCGCCCGCTCGATCAGCATGTAGTATTCGAAGAAGTCGAGCTTGAACATCAGCTCGGCTTCCGACACCGCGGTCGGGTCGGCGCCGATCCGGTCGACGGCTTTGCGGTAGCCCTCGGCCAGGAAGGGGAGCTTCCATTGCAGCCGGCGGATGATCTTGGTGTAGCGCGCGAGCTCGTGTGGCGCGGAAGGGGGCGGCCGTTGGGGGTGATCGGCTGTGCCGGTGCCGTTGGCGGCGGTTGTCGTCGAGGCAGCGGGAGGAGAATGGGAGTTGTTGTTGTTGTTGTTGTTGTTGTAGTTGCCGGCGATTGGTGCTGGCGTGACGGTCAGAATCGGTGGTGAGAAGCTCCTGGTCGTGTCTCGGAATGGGCTACGCGCATGCGGGGCGTGTCGCGAGTCGGCGAGACCGCGCGTCATCTTTTTGGCTACACAGTGCAAGAAACAGAATGACTGATATCCACGGATAGATGAAGGGCTCTCCTCCTGAACAGAGACACAGTGACAGATCCACCCCTTGTGTTATGCGGATGTGTCACCATTATTGTGCTCAGGGGAGGGGGCTCAGTAGGCGCCTTAATTAGAGGTAACTTGATTATCTCGACGTACAGGATCAGGGATCGATCGAGAAAATGGCAATGGTGGCGGCTGTAGAAACCCGCACTCCACAAAAATGACAGTCCGGAGGGTCCATCACCTGGTCTCGACTCTCGAGTTCGATCAGGTGGTACATTGGCAACAATGATGAATGCAAAGGCTAGAAGCCTGATAATAAAACGTTTGGATCCGTGAGCAGTTGCAAAATACGAACCCTTGCGACAGTCCGAATGGAGCGAGTTGGCTAACGAACAGCCCAAACCGCAAACTTATCTTCCGCGAAGACAAGACACTATGGCGATATAAAAGCTCTCCCAAGACAGCCTCCTCTTTATCACCTTTTGATTTGCCATCTTCTTCCTCACATCCCAGCGGTGCCGAGATTGCAACGAAAAAGGGTTCGCGTCACCTGGAGGCAGTGTAATACCAGGGACACAGTGGGAGTCGAGCATGTGCAAGCACAGAGGCAAGACTCCCGAGGGCCAAAAATAAGTATAATCACGATTCTACTCCGTAGAGCAGTTTCAGAGATTAAACTGAAAAGAACAGATACTACACTTGATCTAAGCCAAAAGGCAAAGAGAGCTAAAGAAGAAAAGAAGAAAAAGTCTAAAATTTGGCGGCCGGGCAAAGAATTTATACCTTAGTGAAGCTGGTCTGTGCACGCCTGCGATTTTCCCGCACGTGCAATTGTCCGTGCGCTGATCGGTGGGGCATTGTTCGCTTATCGACTTGGTGCCTGATGACTCTTAACATCCCTCGAGTCTCGACTCTGGCTTCAGACTTCATACATTCAACTGACCCATTGCTGTTCGAAACTGCTGGTACGACGGCAATTCAGATGCAGAACTGAAGCTCCATTACACATGAACTGACTGCATCCGCAAACCCTCGATTCCTCCTCGCTAGGCACGGGAATTGTCTTTTATATCAGTCGATCATCTAGAAGTCCAAACCTGTCTTCTGAACGGGGCTCCAGAAGTCCTCAAGTCGGCTCATTGCCGTGTCACCCACCACTGTCATGTCCCACATCGACCCGTTGCTCTGGGAAGAAGGCGTCGATGGCATTGAGCAATATACAACAAGTGTTCAGTCTCCCTCTTCTCCGTAGCTGTGGATGCGCCTCGGGTTTCCTGCTGCGAGGGTGTACAAGTTTCTTAGCTAAAGCAGCTGCCGAGTCTTTCCCACAACTCCAGCATCCTGTCATCGTGAATCCGTGATGCTCGCATCTGACAAGTGCCGAGACAACGGACGGTCTCCACGTCCCCGGATTCGTGTCCCCGGGCCGGGATGCCAAGAGCCTCGCAGCCAGCCAATTGCAGATCTGCCAGACACAGCCCTCTAGCGGGGCATCCAGAGCTCCCTGGCCGCGTACGCAATCCTTAACGGCTAAGTCGCTGACGATGGGTTCGTCAATGCTGCCTCTTTATTGAGGCGACTGCGGAGAAGGCACCTTCACTGCACCGGCGACCGTAAGGGTACGGAATTGACACGAGCGTACCTCAAGAACTGCTGGCAAATCATCATCAATGGCACCCTCGCTGCGCGCCCTCGTGTCATACGCCAGCAGCTTGGTTTCGCGCCTCCCCTTCTTCAACAGCAACGACGTACGCGATGTCTCACCCTACGAACCCCTCAGCGCCGCACCCTTCTGTCCTTTCGACGGGCCCATGAGTTGCCACAACGACACACCCGTCACCGGCGATTCGTGCTGTTTCGTGTACCCCAGCGGACGGATGCTGCTCGCCCAGCGATGGGATCAAGACATCCACGTACATGGCGCGGAGGAGGACTGGACGTTGCGCGGGCTTTGGTATGGCGCAGAACTCCCTCCCATCAAACTCCAGTGGCACATCCGTCAGGAAAACGCAGAACCTGGGTAGGGACGCTAACGAAGCTCTGTAATTCAACGGGAATAGGGCCGATCTCTGTGACGGCAGCAAGGCACACCACTGCAGCCTAACCCCGAAATACACCAACATCACGGCCATCCTCCGTCACTACGGCCAAGGCGAGCTGCTGGAGTTCATGAACCGGTACTGGTTCGCCGCATCGTAAGCTCCTTTACCTGCCTAACCACCCGAGCTAGGCCCCCTAGCACTAACCTCCAGGGGGGCTATCACCAGCGGCCCCAACGCCGACCTCTGGACATCCGAGTTCAACAAGCACGGCACGTGCATCAACACGCTCTCACCCGCGTGCTACGGTCCCTCGCATCGCCCGGGGATCGAGGTGATCGACTACTTCGTGCGCGCAGCGGCTCTCTTCCGCATGCTCGACACGTACCGCGCGTTACAGCAAGTCGGGATCGTGCCGGACGCGGGCAGGCAGTACGCGTTGGCCGACGTGCGGAAGGCCTTGGAACGGTTCAGTGGTGGCAGGGTCGTTCTGAGATGTAGCAGCGCCGCGGGGGACGACGAGGACGTAAGCCAACAGGCAAAGGGGGATGATGTACTGCGTGAAGTGCGGTACGTCTTCTTCATCACGGGAAGTTTGCAGACCGGCCAGTTTGTGCCGGCGCAGGAACTGGGATTAGGGCCGGACGGGAACGCGGGAAATTGCGCGCCGCGGGTGAGGTATCTGCCTAAGAGGCGGATGCTGGAGTTGTAAGGGGGCTTATGGAATGTCATGGCTGGGCCAGTTATGCTCGATGGTGGGGACGTCTCTGGCGTTCACGGTGCTGCTCATCGGGTCCATATGATGCCTGCTTTGTAGACGTGCTGCGTCTTCCATGGAAACCGCTGGTGTGGATGGCCATGTAATCGCGGTTGTCCGTGGAGGTACCTGAAGCCAAAGGATCCCAGGTCAACAGCGTCGTTCCGAGGCAGCCGTTCGCCAACATGCCATGACGGACCGACTGGCGCTTGGTGGTAGCATTCATTCATCGGTATTGCATAGCAGAGGGGCTTGGCCGACGGATTACCCTCACGGGGATATGATCTCGTGTCAGATGTATCTATTCGTCATTCCTGGCCGACGGGAATATCTGAAGATCTGCGAAGGAATTGCCCTCTCAGGGGACACACCCCCGATACTGAACCAGCTACTCTACGCGGGCAAGCTAGGGACAAAGGACCGACTGGAGATGCGGGCGAAGGAGTGATGGAACCACATGCGACGGAGGTGAGGTACGAAATGGGGAACAGTGTCGTTCGAATTATCTACCTTTCTGGACGTGATTCGCCAAGATCTGGATTTCGGCGGGTGCCATGGGGAAGCATCAACTTGCACTTCACTTCACATGCTGACTGCCGACTGTGTACGCAGTGGTGTAGTACCTATGGCTAGTGGTGTATCGCCTTTCATTTGACGGACCTGCGTGAACTGCGGAGCACGTAGCCTGCAGAAGAGAGGCTCGGGCTCAAGCATCGGTCCGAACCCCAAGTTTGCCCCAAAGTTAGGATGCGTGATGGGTTAGCGTCGCGCAATAGTGTGGCTGCAGCAAGCTCAGGCAAGCCGTAGGTAGTGTAGTTATAAACCGTGAGCGGTGTGTTCACCGCCGTGGACGCGGTTCAGCTCGAGGGTTTGGTGGGCTGTGGAACTTTGAGAGAAAACGTATCTAGTGTAAGGGCCGGCGCATCCCACCATTGCCCTGGCGTGGAAATCCGGGGAAGGCTGTTTGACGCTTGTGGGAATTGAGTGATACGCGAAGCGCGGCTTAGTTGTTGGATTCTGGTCTGTTACCCCGAAGTGACTGCTAGGTTTCGAAGCTCTTGAAAGTCCCAGAAGTGGACCGACGGGTCCAAGACAAGGCTGAGCGCTGGCAAGGCCCAGGCGTTGGTTCAACCCTGCGGTCACGATCTGCAGAAGGCTGAACCTTATCGAATCCCAGATAGCACTGTAATTGGGGTTTTCTTTCCTTAGTGTACAGGGCTCGACCGATGAATGCTCCGTCGCAGCTCGCCCGATGATGACTTTGTATGTTTTCATTCCAGAGGCCAAGGAATGAGGTTTGAGTTTTCGAGCCACAGCGGCAGCCTCTTCGGTCCGATTGTGGGGCCTTGGGTCGAAAGCTGCGTTCCATCCCTCCGCATTTTACCATTTCCAGACAACCCCGGCAACCCCAGCTTTTCGCTTGCAACGATGCTTCCGTTCCCTGTTTCCCATGACGCTACAAGAAAACGGCGACGCTCAACAAACGCCAAACGGTCCTCTTTGTTATTGGAGTTGGCTATCCGCCATGGCATCATGATGCGTTGGTGGTGGTCCGCTTTTCTGGAATGGGAATGTCTTGAATTTCATCAAACGACGGTGTCACGTTCGAGAGCCCCGCCCGACCCGTCGTGTTGGAACCTTTCGTACGCCTCAACTTGCTGATTGCACGGGCTGTCAGCTGAGACTCTGGAGATCCGGGCGTACTGGGGGATCCCGACCACAACAACGTCGAGAAGGAGTGACGAAAGGATTCGGCAGATGAGGAGTGGGTCAGCAAAGCGCCTCGGCAACCACCCGCGCTAAGGTCACTGAGGCTGAAAAGAAGAACATGAGACAGAACACAGGCTCGAAAGGGTGCTGGACACAATCAGCCACGCTGAAGCCACATGATGTTCGAGGTTACGCAGTAACGTTAGGCGCAAGAAGCTGAGGAAATGATCGAGATGAACCTGGAACCCGAGCGGTAATTCGTCGGATGATGGTGGAATGGTTGAGGTGGAAACAAAATACCACAGTACGTAAATATCAACCATTGAACTGCGCAGAATCTTCCTCTGGGTGGATGCAGTTCGGTCTTCGGCAACAACCTTGTGGGCTTCTCATGCAGAACCTCTCCGTATCTCACATTCTGCTTACTGTTGTCCGTCAGTCTCCGTTTTCGTGAGCGCTCGGTGTGCGGAAATGGCTGAAGCCGGCCGCACCGTCGCGCGTCCTCTGGGCATCCAGTACCGGTAACACCACCAGTAAGCCGTATGCCCACTTCACCCGGACCTCGGGAACGGAGTTATGAGATGCTTTCTTTTTGACTGGCTTTGAATCTTTGTTGATCCGACCATCCCGCGTGAGGTGCTCCGTATCACAGTGACGCTCGAGAGCAGACTGAGACAGGTTCGGAACTTTATTGTGTACGTGCTTGGCCCATCGCACGATGGACCGGACATAATCTAGATCTGGATATAGGCGTTCATTGCCAGGAGGTAAATCGCAGGCAGCCACAATGCGTCGCAGAGAAGCTGTCCCTTCCGAGAGCGACGCACATGTTAAAAATGAGAGTCTGGCTGTTTCGAAACACCCGATCAGGTTTTCGTGCCGGCTGCGCGCGAAAAAAGGCTCTCGAGGGCTCCGTTTTGGTCGGAGCATGCGCCAATTATGGGAGCCGCAACGAGTGCACTGGCCAAGCCAGAGCCCAGCTGGACCCGCATCAAATTAGCACACTCCTGCGCACCCGATTACCCCTGGCGGGTGGTTTGGCTCAAGCATCTCTGAGGCCATTTGGCCCGGTCCCCATTTCTTTCATTCCCCAGCCCTTCCTCCGCTTCTCGTAGTGGCCTCATCCTCTCGTCCGATTCCATCTCATCCGCCTCAAGTCGAGTCAACAAGTGTGTCGCCGTGAAATCGGGTTTGCTTCTGGTCGAAAATCAGATGCATGCAGCTTAGAATCGCTACTTTGCACCCATCGTCCTTATCAGGCCCATCTGGCGGTCCGCAAAACCAAACTTAGTCGACCAGTCTGCCGGGCCGATTGCCCCAGATTGTCTGCAAACGAGTCTGGAGTCCCCACGATTGCGCACCGTCACCCCAGACCAACGGTTCCCAACGCGCTGGATCTTTTGTCCAGATAAGGCTGTGGATGCTGGCACGGTGACACGCGCTGTCCGCTGTCGCTTTCGGAAATTGGAGGATACAGCGGTAACACGGGCGCAACTCTTAAGGACCATGACGACGGCCGTCAAGAGGGCGTGCGACGCCTGCCACCGCCGCAAGGTCAAATGCGACGGCATCAGTCCGTGTCGCAACTGTGCAGCGTCGCAACTTGCATGTACATACAATGCGATTCCGCAGAAAAAGGGCCCCAAGGGTTCTCGCGCCAAGGTCATCAACGAGCTGAAGGAAACTCAACGCCAGACCAGTCTTTCGGCCAAGTTGCAGGGCGGGCTCAACGGTGGCGCATCGAGTGCCAGTCTTGCGCCGACTCCCAGGCTCCTGACTAAGGAGACGCTCAAGGCGTGCATTGAGTTTTTCTTCGCTCACATGTATCACTTGATGCCCATCCTCGACCGCCAGCGCCTCGAGCAGGACGCTATGTTCATGGATCAAAATCTCGACACGTACTGCCTATTGACGTCTTTGTGTTCGTTCGTCTGCTTACAGCCGGGCATGGTCATGCCGGGAATGGGTATGTCGATGAACGACCCATTCAATCCGGACATCATGTTTGGCAGCAGCAACATCGTTACTAGCACGCTTCTGATGGAGGAGACAATACGGGTTCGCAAAGGGTACGATTATGTGGCGTCGCCGTCCGTCAATAGTCTCTGCACGAGTTACTTCTTGTTCGCGGTACACCACGGTCTGGAGATGCACGACAGGGCCTGGTTCCATCTGCGTGAGGCCACAACCTTGGCCCACATGGCCAGGATGAACGAGGAACGGACGTACCTGCAGTACGACAACAACGACAGCACTGAGGCATCACGACGCAGACGGTTGTACTGGCTGCTTTTTGTAACAGAACGGTATGCTCCAGTGTCTGGCTGTGTGGCTCATGTTAGATATCGGGATCGCTGACATTTTCTGCTTAGGGCTTATGCTCTCCATCACCGCCGCCCGTTGACGCTTCAGGCTAGTATCAACCCACCGCCTCCAAATGAGCACCCTGCGGATCCTTTTCTGCACCAAGGTACCACTTTGCTGCGCCTGATTGCTTTGTTCCGCGGGTTCGACGAGGTGCACATTCCTTTGTGGACGAAGTCACGGGTCGAATGCTCCGAGTCCTATCTCGCAACGCTCGACAAGCAGCTTCGGGAAGTTTTGCCTCCCTATCTGAACGACACGCAGGCTCAACTCGCCGAGCTGCCTATGATTCAGCAATGGCTCAAGCACAAGGCCTGGGAAGTCAGCATGGCCAATGGAAATGGGAACGAAGCGGGGGTTACATACATCGACACCATTCACGAACTTCTCCCGATGGTGTCTCACTTCCCCGGAAACCTGGGCCTGCACGGCCTCAGCCTATTTGAGCACCTGCTCAGTGTCACATCCGCCCTAACCGAGATTCTTGCTGTCCTGCCGGCACCTCGGACTCCCTTCACGCCGGGACCACATGATCAGCTGCGCAAAATCCTAAACATCGTCACGGTCATCCGCAATGGAGAGCATCGGTTCCTTCCCTTGTTGCTCAGCAAGGTCGCCTTGGCGCTTCCGCACCTCGCCAGCCCGATGCTGCAGAATGCTCCCGAGAACGCGGCTGCTTGCAACGTCGACATCTTTGACGGGTTCGGGAATGCGGGTATGGGCCAACCGTCGATGTATTCGTCTAGCGAGTTCGACAACAAGTACGCTGTCCCGCGCCTCGACGACATGAGTTCCGATTCCAACAGCCCGAACGGGGCGCCTTCAAGCGGCAACGACATGAACTCCCCTTTCGTCAGCTCTCCTGCAATCATGTCCCCTGGGATGCAAGAGTTGCCGCACGGCTTGCAGACTGATTTTACTTCGATGCCGGAAATGGTCATGAGCCCAATGAGCCATGCGCCACCTTCATCGCTCGGCACACCTGGCGGGATGAACAACGAGCAACACCAGCCATCACAGCACAGCCAGCACACGCCTATATCTCCGTTTCCGAACGCGAATTCTCAGATGCAGGGCTTGAATGTAAATAACATCAACAGCCCCGCGAACATCAGCCTCCCGTCGCAAATGCACCTTAACCAAGGGCTCGGCTCGACCATGAGCACCAGCATGGCACCGGGTGTCAGCAACAACAAGCTAATGGCACGAGCGCCCATATCACAGAGGGCAAATAGCTTCGCCCTCGGTGGCCTCCCACAAATACGAACAGTGGGCGATTTCCAGGCCCTGCAGCGGGCCAATACGGACATGAACGCTATGGGCTCGCTAGGGATGAGCCCTCTGGGACCTGACATGGACTTCAGCTCGATACCGAGGTAGTGACGCGGGATCTGGCGGACGTTCTGCGATTTGCAGGTACATACTCCCAGGCAGGCGTAAATAAAGGTACTAGTACTATCTCGGAGCAGTCCGCTGGTTCCCGACTGCACAGGTCTGCCTCACTGGCCGGCGCCGACAACTAGGCATGTCAGTCACGCTTACAATTCCTTTCGCATCTTCTTTGTCGCTTCAAAACACAGGTGTTTTCACGGGCATTTTATCAGCATCTAATACAGGAGTACATTTGGCTTGCGGCTTGGATCGTTCCTGTTTTACCATCTCCCGTATACGGAGTACCGTTTGGATTCCAATCGCACGATTGGCGAATTCCGGAGGGGATAGCTCGCATTTACTGCAAGAGGTTTCTTTTGTTGCACTCACAGGGGGCGTGTTACTGTGGAGTTGTTTTTTGGATCGATGGAGAGGTCGTTTTGGGGGAAATGTAAGGCGGGTGTTTGGGGATAACCTGATGCGGGGATGGATGTTCTGGAATGCATTCATGTTAATGTGTTGGCGAAGGAGCATAGCAGGGCAGGAGTAGGTTGTCTGGGACTGTGTCTAGCATACATTCATACCAAAGGTCCATGACCGACTGTCCGGCTGCGGTCGGTGTAACAAAAGAAATTTTATAGCTAGGGTGCTCTGGGCCTTCGGTTCTTTTCTCCATGAATTGCTCCGAGACAGTCTCTGATCGGGAAAGGGGCCAGGCGCTCAACACTCTGACAGGGGAACCCCTATTCCGCCGTCGAGCAGCATGAGGGGACAAACATCATTGAACCTTCCGGAAGTCCAACAGTTTCTCATAGCTCAGCAAGCTCTATCCCTTCCTCCAGCACTGCTAGGAGTCCTGTCCGAGATGGCAGCGGGCCACGGCTCAGGTCCAATTCGTTCAAGTCACCAACAGGGATATACAGATTCGAGATACTCCCAACGCCCACGAGGAATATGTTCCACCACTCTTTCACCTTCTCTCTTCCCTCCCCTTCCTCCTCATCTTTATCCTCCTCATCGATCACCGCATACCCCTTCCGCCATCCCATCACCACAACAGACGGAATCCTCTTGAGCCAACTTCGATCGTTGTTATGATGTTGTTGCCCTTCATCCCTCTCCCAATCTCCAAACAGTGACGATGACTCCCGCCTGGAGGTAGACCTCCAGGCCATCGACGAGAAACGGCATGCAATCCCCTCAGCCAAGGACCGTCGGCTTCGCTCAATGCCGCCAAGTCCGGCGCCGGATGCAACTTCAACCGTGGTTTCTTCCACAGAAGATGACGCTGAAGCAGGCGACGACGACGGCGGCGGCGGCAACAGCGACAGAGACGATGGAGATAGGGATAGAGAAGGAGAAGAAGAAGATCTCGCTACTAACGAAACCACACTGCTGCCCGTCCTACCACCGTCACCACCACCATCAGAAATATCTGTCTTACTATCCTGTCGACGACACCCGATCAGCCAGAGCCACAACCATGATCTCTGCCCCAGACGCTGGACCCCTGCGCGGCATCGCTTCCACCTGGTCTTGGCACCCCCTGATGATGGTGATAATGATGATGAGTGGGAGTGGTTGAGAGCTAGTTGCCGCATTTTTTGCGGATACGGATTGTTGACTGTGTGTGTGTGTGTGTGTGTGTGTGTGTGTGTGTGTGTGTGTCTGTCACTGCACCGTGTTGGTTGGTTACTGTTTCGGTTGAGTGATGAGTGCGGGTAGGTTTTGTGTGTGACGTCCAGTTTGGAATGGGGGGAGGGGAGCGATCAGGCCCCCTTTTTCTATGCGTGGTGTTTGATGAGAGAGGGGGGGATCACAGGACGTAGAGTCCGCTCCTTTTTAAAGGTGGTGGAAAGAGAGAGGATTCGAATTTGGGAAAAACTCCGCGCGCGAGAGTTCAGATTTGACAGGTTCATGCATGTGTGTGGGTGTGGGTATGTGTGAGGCTTGAGGGAAGATGAAGATGTCAGGCTAGAGTTGGGGACCGGTGGGCAAGAAGTAAGGGAGAGAGAGAGAGAAGGAGGAAGCAGGGTGGAAGTGGTTGGTCTTTCTCTGGAGAAGGGAGGACAGGGAGCATTCCTTTACTCGTCGGGGAGAGATGTACCCGGGGTGACTTCCTTGACGAACCTTGCGACTCTTCTCCAGATCCCGGAGATGACGACGACGGGGCATGGCGGTGGGGAAGGCCATGTAGGGGTCGGTGCCATGGATGGATGGATAGGGGCAGCGGTTGAACAATCCGTGAGGAGGCCCTGCAACAACCGGGATGAATGAAGGAGAAGGGTCCATGTACATACAAGACGCCGAATCACTGGCCGGAACTAGCCCGGAGCATGCAGAATCCCTTTGGCTGAGAGACGCAATAATCATGCCGAATCCCGCCGGCGGTGTTGTGCGTCCAGCCTCATCTGGGAGAAAACGTCGGGTGTGTTCATCAAGCACCGTGCTCCTTGTCCGAAAGACATGAACATGAAGCTCGAGGTTCGGAAGCCACTGGATCCCCTTACAGCATCTACTCTTGTGGCATAATGCAGTCATTTCACCGACCTGGCCACCGAGGGGAGAACAGCCAAGCTGGAAGACCGCGGTGAACAACAACAAATTGAATCGCCATCGTAGACTTCCAAGCCCCCCCATCATCCCGAATCAACTCTGGGGAAACTCGTGCCGAACAGGTGTTTGCTTCCATATGCTTACGTCCACCCGCAAGCAGCCTTTTCTCCGTTGAGTCCCTTTCTCCGCTTCGCTGGCGCATTGCTGTGGTTATACAGCGGAGAACGTTTGGTCATCCGTTCGGAGCCAGAACATGGCACCACATATGTAGCACCAACCTTTTGTCGTCTAGTGGCGTTATAATTTTGGTATCAATGTGGGGGGCTGAGTCGTTGGGAGCTGGATATTCGGAGAAAATTCAGACCGCAGGACGCGCTGCAGTTCGGAGCTGGCTTTGTTTTGCTTTGTATGTGTGTGTGTGTGACATTGTCAGCCGTTGCACCGCCCATGCACCTTGATACCCGATGTCCGGCCGAGGTGCAGCTGTTACGCGTGTTCAAGAGCTTCAAGGGTTCTAGAATAATTGGTTGGCTGTTGAGTTGTGAGGGCCCGTCATACGTTGCTGAGCTTTTGAGATTTGCAGTGAAAGGGTTGGAATGGTTTGTGTTCAGGGAGCCTGAGCAGCATAACGTAGGTACCCTAGAAGACTGCATCGTCGCTCGCACCTTGGGACTTACACCCCTCCCGGCATTGGATAATGTATTGTACATGTGCCTTGACGAGCGTTGTGTTTGGTTTGAGACCAAGGGAGGGGACTCTGTGGGCTGTTGAGACCTCTAGTAGGACAAGTGGCTCTCTCAAAGGGCGTTCTATCGAAGAAGCCCACCCCTTTATTATACGGATATTGATGCAGTATACCGGGGAACTGCACCTAAACATGCAGCCTGATTGCGCAAAATACGACGCGTATGCAGTGCCCCGGCGATCTAAGACATCCATCATGGCCCAGGCGAACCGATTCAACAGCACAAACGCCCTCTAACCTAGGTACTTAGGTACTGTATTTGGTAGGTATTGTACCTAACGCATGTGGTTGTCCACCCTCACACCACCTAAATGCAAGTACCCGATAATTGCTTAACTAAAGTAGGTAGTTATGACACATAAGATGCTATTACTGTAAGGATACTGGCGAGGGATGCACAAACCATAACTACAAATAAAGCATGATGCATAAAACACTACCCGCTTTTCAATGGTGAAGAGAGCAAGCGAGCAAAACACACACACGCAAGTAATGACCAAAAGACAACGGCGATATATTTTTACATGACTCGTCAAAGAACCTCCTCTCAAAAAAACCCCCATCCACATTGCACCTTTCCTTTCCCCCCTTCCCGTCCGTGGTGAGTGTTGCTGCCTTGTGAGAGCTAAAGGACAAGCCGGGCCCACCGAAACCACCCTTCCTTCCCCGCCAGCTTAAAGAACCGGCCCAGTTCAACCCCGGGGAACCGAAACCAACCCGTGTTCTATGTAAGAAGACTCCCGTGCCTGCCCAATCGTGCCAACCAACCAAACCCCTGCTCGAACGAAACCGACCAAGGATGAAGAGACAAGACCCCTAACGATGACTGCCTTCCAAGGAGAGAACGGGTGGCGGGAGCTGCCGTTCCTCAACCCCTTCGGTCACCGCTCCCCGACCCAAAATCCGGTTCCGGCACCGCCTTTTTGTCTTTCTTTGCTTTGATCACCAGCTCGGCCATGATCTGGATATGGTCCGCGGGAAAATGGTAATTCGGAAACCCCGGCACACGCTTGAGGTGCTCGCGGTCAGGCGGGCCAAGCAGGCTCACCACCTCGAGCGTGTTGGTCGAATACCAAATGTAATCGATCACCTCGGCAAAGCCGGGCACGTAGTTGGTGAACGTAAGCTCGTCAGGCGTGCCATTGAGATGGACGTAGGCCGAGCGCATGCTGAAGGGGTGCTCGACACCGTCCCGGGTGAAGCTACCGTACTGGTGGTCGCCAAAATCGTTGTGATTGGGCGCGACACGTCCCATTGACAGGAGCTCGTACACGCTGCTGTCGTAGGTTGAGTTGTAGTCACCGCATATGAGCAACGGGATGTCCGTGTTGTTCCTGTATTCCTGCGACGGGCCAGGTTCGGGCACGTCGGCGCGCTCTTCTCCCTCTTCCACCGGCAGCTGGATCATCTTCTTATCCTTCAGCGGGGGCCACCTGGCGTACTTCTCGGCAAGCCTCGTGAGATTCTCCATCAGAATTGCCGTTTGCACGAGCTTGACGTCAGCGAGTGTGGGCTCCCAGGCCAGGTGGGTGTTAGCCACGATGACCCGCGCACCCGTCTGCCGGCTCTCAAAAAAGCAAATGAGCGCAATATTGTCCTTCGGCATGACCCGGTTGAAGATGTCGTGCTGGTTCTTCATGTCGGGCCGGTTAATAGCGATGTTTGCGTAGTCAAGGAGTTGCTTGTCCAGTAAAATCCACTTGTTAGCTTTGTAGAACACGGCGCATCCGTCGACGGCCTGGGCATCTTTCTCCGACATCGTCTTGGCCTTAGGTCTCGGCCAATGCACCCCTTTGTAGCCGTCCTGGGCTAGTTCAGGGCTGAAGAAGTCGCGAAAGACGTCTGTCGCGATTTCTTGCAGACACAAGATATCCGCATCTCTCTCCCGTAGCTCCTGAATGATTCTCTGTTTCCTGTAATCCCATGAGAGCGCGGTAGGCGGTGTATAGCCGTACAGCGTCGGGGTGGCAAACTTGTCGCAGAGAATGTTCCAAGTCAGGATGGAGAGCCGTTCCAGGATTGGCGACACGTCCTCTTGGACCACGACCTGCTTCCTGTCGGCGGGCGGCATAGGCACTGGGAAAAGTGTTGGTAAAACAAAGAGGAAGCTTTCTGTTTGGGGGGGGGGGGGGATCATCTACTAACCTGGGGCTTTCTGGAGAAGAAGATTCACCAGACTCTTTGTATCACCGGTCATGATTTCTTGCTTAAGGGACGGGTCAATGGGGTTGCCCTCAATGCCAAGCGTTTCCAGAAGGTACAACGATCCGAGCTCCGTGGGCAAATCGCGGATTTGGTTGTTGAAAAGATGAAGAGAACGGAGGTTGGTGCACATGCCAATCTCCGGGGGGAGCTCAGATATAAGGTTGTAAGACGCGTCGAGATGACGTAGATGCCGCAGCCTCCCAATATCTTGGGGCAAAGACATCAGACGATTAGACGCGATGAAGAGCTCCTGTAGGAACTCATATGCGAATAGCGGGGGTGTCAAGACCCGCAGTCCTTGGCCACTCATGTCCAGATTGTACCAATCCTGTCGTTTGTTGACCTTTTCCAGACTCCACGGCCGTCTCCTGTCGTCTTCACCGTCGACTGACGGACCTGCATCCCCTCCGGTGAGAGCACCGCCGCCAATGCCTCGATTCTCAGCTGCCTTGAGTCTTGCATAGTAATGGGGCTGGTGCTGCTCTGTCATCGCGGCATGTGCCCGTTCGGCCTCCTTATGCAGCCGCAGTTGTTCTGCCCAGTGTTCCGAGATTTGCTGCCCTTGACCTCCCCTGGGTGTGGATGCGTGACCGTTTGGTAGATTGCTCGAATAGGGACTAGCATTCGGCAAGACACCGCTCGAGAAGGCCGAATGGCCCATGAGAGCCGCACCGGCGCCATGGCCGCCATGGTCGGGCTGGATGCCCTGGTGGTGCTGCGTGTGGGGTTGGTGTGGGTGGGCCGACTGCTGCGGGTAGTTGTACAGTATGGGCATTGCCTGCTGCCGGCCCGGCGCACCATTGATGCGGGAGTTGTGGCCCTGCTGGTGGTTCTGGCCGTACATGCCGCGCGGGTTTTGGCTCGCGGAGCCGTGAGCAGCGGTCTTGTTAAGCAACGATGGCTGGGCAGCAACGAGGTTGGTAAGGACCGAGTTCAAAAAGAGCCCGTTAGTGAGTTGGTCGTTAGCAATACCGCTGAGGGGATTCGGAAAGAGATGCGAAAGATGGCGGTGACCATCCGCCATCTACGAGTAATCCTGCGCCGGGTCGGACGGAGGTGGAAGAAGAAGAAGGGGTCGAACAGCTTCGTCCAAGGTAGGGGGAGGCAGAGGAGATGAAGCTCTGAACAGCAACGTCCGCATGAGGCACAGCAAGTTGTTCGTCGGGCATGGATGCAGTATGCGTTGCTCGTGCCGCGGCGGTCGATGGGGAGGTGAAGGCCGCTTGCTCAGAGGGCCATCCACCAGCACGTGGAGAGGGCGAGGGTAGATTTGACCGTCGCCGGATTGGTCTCTGTGTTCCACTGGGCTCGAGTCGGTCCCGGGAAGTTTTACGATGTGCGCTCGTGCTCTTGAGATCGTGAATTGATGCTTGTTCGTGGGAATGCGGTTTTCTTTACTTGGTGAGGGAAGCCTGATTTCAACCTTGTGTTTTCCGGTTTTTTTTATTCGCCTTCGTTCGGCCTTCAGGTCTGCGAGAGGCAGCAGCAGGTGTGTCAGCACATGGACCGCGGAGTGTGGAAGAGTTCGCCAGTTGTTGGCTATCAGCAGTTGTTGCTGGATTGCTTCGACTCACGGCTCTAGCACCAGGTCTACCTACGAAAAGGAAAAGGCGCGCTGTGGCTTTGCAAAAATGGAGAATCTGCCAATGGATACTTCGTGAAAGAATATCGTCTGTGATGGGTGAAATGTGCCGCAAATTGCGTCGGATGCATCAACCCTCAACAGCTCAGGACTCCCATCCATGGATTGTGGTTCGCTGTTCGTGGAGTTGCGAGACCACGGCTGCCACTGCGTTTGATTATGTAATGACTCACGTGACAGCAGCCCCTCTCAGAGACTCAGAGTCTCCACAGTCTCCAGCAGCTGGAAAATCAGATTGATGGCCCATGCACGCCGCCATCGGTGTAACTCGAAGCAATGGAAAACAAAACAACATGCAATGCCACATGAATTTTGAATTCGTGAACATATCACAACGATCCGGGCACAGCAAATCTCAAACAACTGTATGAAATGGAAGGGCCCTTGATAGAGTTCCCAGCAGGAGCAACAGTGTCTATGTGTGTTTTGACTGAGCTGTGATACATTGAGCGGTGGTGTATGCGGAGGTCGTTTTTGGTGTAAGTGTCTCTGTTGCCATTTCCACAGGATGCCACGGTAGCTGAGCGTCACTGCCCAAACATTTGTACGGGTGTGTTCGAACGGTTTCAACAAGGAAGCTATCAAAATTCCGAATACCCCTCCTTATTTGCAGTAATCCCCACATGGGAAGTGGCAGGCAGGACCTCACACTCAAACCTTGAGGGCGAGGACGGCATACGTGTTAGTCCAAGGTGAATTTGACGCAGCCTCTTTGCCAATATGGGCGCCTTGTTTCTCTTTCCGACGCTCTACTGCGCAATCACCAGCGGGCTCGAATAATGTTGTGTCGTCAGTGTCTTTTTCTTTTTCTCATGAGTCTTACACAAGTCCGGTGCTTGAGTTTTCACGGAAGTTGACCGAAGTTGCAGCACCACGGTCAAATCTGGCTCTCGACTAAGCATGAGGCGTATCAGCAAGGCGAACCGTTACCGGGCTCGTCTTCTTTATATACCTAATGTAATATGGTAGGTAGTCACCACAACGACTCGACTTTCTATAACTTGGATCACAAGATCTAGGTGGGATTGGCAGCCAGTGGTCGCTGGCATGCATGGAACCACAAAGTGGGCAGACACCGGCTTCCGACACCAACCAACGGCAGGCCAAGTCGATTTTATCCTTCAATAAGCTTCTCAGTACGAACGGAGGACCGGCATACCAAGGATGGCGCACACCGGTGAGTCTTGGGACCTTCGGCAGGATTTCCGACTTGGCTGCAAGTGTGGAAATAGCCGTCGGTATACGGAAGCTCTGGCTGGCCCATGTTGGCGTTAGCTACCCGGTGTCGTTACGGAAGGATTCCAAATGCAGAGTGTGGCTTTCGCCCCTTTCCAAAGCGAGCGTCATGGTTCGAGGATTCTAGGTTTGTCGATAGGATTCACACCGTGACCAGAGGGAAGGCAGCCGGTCAGATGCTCGGCGTACCAAAGCTCGACCCCAGACGCACTGCAGCAGCATGTGCAAAGGCCCATGGGGCCAATGGACACCCTGGATGGCTGCTGGGACTGGCGCAGAGCAGGGGCGTCAACCAGGCTGGCTCGGCTGGACACCCGGGACAGCCAATCCAGAATGAAATGACAATGCGGGGAAGCCGGGCGGACGATGCACACGGCAGCACACCATGCTTCGCTCCACACACTTGCACTGCATTTGAAGAGCCTGAGGACGCCAGGTGAAGCCTGCGGCCGAGAACGTGGAGGAGCTAACGTTAACCTAAGAGACCACCATAGGACCGTATCGAGTAAAATGTAGTCGTGTTGGGGTAAAGGAATAAATGGATGAAAAGGCCGCGCGGTAGCCGACGATGGGCTTTCACCACCTACTCAATATTATCCCTACCTAAGTGCTGGTGTGCGAAGGGGGCCTCGCGCCCATTTTCTCGATCCTTCTGGTCCTACCCACCGGCGTGTCTGTTGGGCCGTGACTTTCAGAGTCACTGCGGTCTTCTGCTATTCCTTCATTTCGGGTGTCGACCTATCCCTCCAAGAATAACACGCAACTGCAGCCAACAACCAGCGGGACATCGTTAACGCAGAGGGGGCTCGTCACCAGGATCTTCCACCGTCGTTTTTGAGCCCACGAAGGCCTGGATCAGTGAACTGGACATAACCCAAGGTTTTGGCCCGAAGACCGCACACCGGCAGTGATAAAATTGAATCCTCGACGTACCGGTCCACGACATGCGACACACATCCTTGCGATAGTTCTTGTTCGCAGGCGCCAAAGAAGATCCGTCGAAATAACCATGACCGATGACACCATTCCGAGGACATTGCGCACAGCAGAGTTGAAGAAGCACTTTTACTGTGCACACGAGGGCCAGTTCCCGAGCCAGAAGACCAAACACTCCACTCAGGCTCCTTATCAGACGGTCGCACCGCACGTACCAACAAGCGCGGCCTCGCCATCCATTGCACTACCTACGGGTTGCTTTTCCCGGTCCCGGCTCCCCTCCGCGGAGGCGATCTGTCATTCTCGGCAACAGGGAGCAGTGTCTGAATAACGGGGCTGCGTGGCAGGACACAAAGAGATTTGCCACAGCGGCGGTTCACCGGTTGGGGCCCAAGACCTGACAGGGACACGAAACAGACAGACGCTGGAAAAGACCTCCAGAGACGGGGTGGTCCCGGTGTCCAAAGTCGGTGGTGCCGAGACCTTTTTAGTCAACCTGCTGATCCGACCGTCTCGGGGGGTTTTGCAGGGAGACAGGGGACGGCCGAGCTCCGTTTAGGGGCATCTTTCGCGGGCGCGCCGTCGTCGAAACCCGAAGGTTTTGGCCTCGAAAGGGGAAGAAATCCAATTTCCCGTCCGCCCATCCCTGACCGCAAGCGCGATCCCAAACAATTGGAACCAAGGCGGATCAGGGACGAAGTTGCAAGCGGGAAAGAACCGACCTGGCGACCGACGGCCGCATCGGTTAAGCGGACAGCACCCACTGTAGCTGCAACCTCGCAGTACCCAGAGGGCCCAAAGGGCCGACCGGAACGGGCTCCGCGGTCATTCCTGGCGGGGCACCTGGGCAGCCCTGAATCGACCCCCCCGTTCCCGGCAGCGGCCCCCTGGCTGGCATCGCGGGAAAAAAAGTTTCACTTTTCAGGTTACAGTTAAAATGGAGTTTCTCTCCGGATACGCAGCCGCCAAGGCCCCTTACCTGGCTTATGAAGTCGAGGACCGCTTTCAGCACTCGCGGCGCTCCAAGCCGACTCGCTCCAATTCGACATCGAGGGCGACAACGACGAAGCGATCGCGCATTCCGGGGCACGCCCGAACCAACAGTGCAAGCACAAACAGCAGCGGCAGCGGGCGCACGGAGCACGAGCCACCGACGCTGCACCACAACGCCGGCTGGCTGCAGTCGCCAGTGGGCGGTGCCGGTGTCGACATCAGCGGATCAGGAGCCGTGACATCAACCGCTGCAGATCGTGCGGAACCAATCGCCGCGCAGCACCACAGTCGGCATCGCTTGCGCCGCAACTCAGCTCGGGAGCTGGAATGGGAAGGCGAACGAGAACGGATGTCCGCACCCCTCAAACACTACCAGGACAAGCAGCTGCCCGCGACGCCTCGACTCGACACGCAGGAAGCGAGCGCCAAATTCGCCGGCGCTGCGAACGCCGCTGAACCGGCATCCGCACGGACGCCGGCATCTGCAGGCGCCACCTTCGGCAATCCCGGTGCCGTCGTGGCTGCCGTCGCATTTCCCGACCGGCGCATACCTCAACCAGGTGCCGCCATGTATCCATATCCGTCAGACGGCAAGATGTCCGGGAGCGGTGGCGCGAAAGCTGAGAGTTTATCCAGCGTTTCGGGGGCGACATCGGCGAGCAATCGTATGAGCGAGCAACGATCCGACTCGGCGCATCACCAGTGGCCGTTTGTCGTCCGCAATGGACGCACCTACCTTGCGGACCCGGATCTTCCCTACCCATTACCTGTCGACCTTGAGGAGCTCAATCGCCAGGTCTTGAAAACGATGATGATGCTGCAGTTGTTCGGGCGCCCGATCTGCTCCCCCGAGTTTGCCGATAGGCCGCCCTCTCGGATATTGGATGCCGGCTGCGGAACGGGCTTCTGGAGTATGATGTGTCACAGGTACTATGCGGCACGGGGACACAAAGACATCTCGTTCACCGGCCTCGACATAGTCCAGCTTCCTCCCACCCTGGCCACAGGGAGCACCGGGTCATCAACCTCGTCCATATCAGGAGATGCACCACCGCCCGACCGGCCAGACAAGGACATGAACTGGCGCTTTGTGCAGCACGATCTGCGCAAGGTCCCGCTGCCCTTCCCCGACGAGAGTTTCGACTACATCATGTCCAAGGACATGTGCCTCGCCGTCTCGGCCACGATGAACCAGGCCCTCATCGAGGAGTACATCCGTGTCCTCAAACCAGGCGGCACGCTCGAGCTGTGGGAGACGGACCACATGCTGCGCATGCTGCGCCCGCACGTGCCCGACGACGGCGGAACCACGTCGGGACCGTCCATCTTCACCACCGAACTCGACTCCTCCTCCTTCTCCTTCTCCTTCTCCTCTTCCTCCTCCTCCACCACCACCACCACCACACGCGACAACCACCACCACCAACAACAACCACAACAACAACACCAATCCGAAATAGGCGGCGCGTACGTCATGACCGCCAACACGCCGCTCTCCACGCCGCTCAACACCTTCCTGGTAGAGTACAACAGCTGGATCACGCGCGCGCTCGAGACGCGCGCGCTCAACCCCACGCCCTGCACCGCCATCGGCGCGCTGCTCGTCCAGGAGGCCGAGACGCTGACCAACCCGGGCAGCCGGCGGCTGGCGGTGCCGCTGTCCGAGATTCGGTGGGAGCGGGAGGGCGTCGGCGGCGTCGTGACCAAGGACGGGAAGAGCTACGTCGAGAGCGCGTCCAAGGGGACGGCGCGCAGGGCGGCGGCGGCGGCGGCGGCGGAGAAGGGTGGTGGTGGTGGTAGTAGTGCTAGTGCTAGTGGTAGTGGTGGGACGACGGGGGCTGAAGGTGTGGGGGGAGGAGGAGGAGCACAAGGAGGGTGTTCTGGGAGCGGAGTTGCTGCTGCCGGGTCTACGGGGAGGAGGCTTGACCCGGCGGCTGCGGCGCTGCGCAAGACGGCGCTCATGACGGTCGTCCATCGCATTCAGAGCCTGGAGCCCCTGCTGAGGGAGATCAGTGGCAAGAGCCAGGACGAGTGGGATACCTGGCTGGGCAAGATGATCAACAATCTTGTGAGGGAGAATGGGACCAGCTTGGGGGAGTGTCTGGAGGTTGGGGCTTGGTGGGCGAAGAAGCGGATTCCGAAGCCTTGACGGGGCGAGACTGTGAGAAAGGGAATGTCTTGGGGAAGGGAGGCAGGGGAGAGGGGTTGTGGTTTGGTTTTGATCAGGGAGAGAGATACGGAACCTTGTAGCGGGCTGCATCTTATCTGTCTCCCACCCGGCGGGGGAAGGGGCAGTGGTTTTCCCGTTCAAGAAAGCGGTCTATTCAACAAACTGCTCGCCCCTTCCTCCGTCAAACCCGTGATTTGTTGCTATCACGGTCCTTCTTCTGTATACTATTTCTACATCACTGTTGCTACGCTCCGTCATATCTCTTCCTCAGCGTCCGGTATCGTTTGAGGTAGTACCTGGTTGTACAACGGCACGGTCAGTTTCACTGAGATACTTTGAGTGATGGAAGCATGTCGGACGACGAAGAAAGAAACGCGCCGTCAGGGTTACGGTATGGAGATTTGGGGGGAGCTGGTTGCATGCATTGTGTCAAGATCACAACTTGTTATTGAAGGTGTATCTCTGTTGTCCTCGTGTCTATATCGAGATATCGCAAGAGGGGACGGGCATTCATAGCTGTACGATGAGTGGGAGGGATTTCCTGACGCACTCGTTGCCCGTACGTTGGTTGACTGGCCAGACTGGCAGCGGCAGGTGCAGGTGCAGATGGTCATGGGTGGATGGGCTGGTAGGTGACACGAGGTCTAACACCGAGTAACTATGAGAGAGGAACTTGGACTTACAGCGCTTCGATCTCTGTATGTGTTCGGTGTCACACAGAGAGTCAGTCAGTCAGCCAGCTCTGGACTCGCGCACTACTGGCCTGATCCATCCATGTGTGCTCCCGGCTCCCCCTCATCATCATCATACCGGTCCCCCTTATTGATGCGGAAACAAACACAACGCCGCAACGCATCCGACGACCTGAGACGGGGGGGGCAACTCTTACCTTTCCTGACGAACTCAGCGCGGGCAATGCCCTGTCTGATCTCCTCTTCGTCGGTGAGGTGCGCCTTGGCCATGAAGGCACGGTGTAGCCGGGGACGGAAGTAATCGTAACCGAGAGGGTATTCGCGGCCGAGGAAGAGGAGCTCTGATGAGGGTGAGAGATCGTGTAAGTGAAACGGATGCTGCTGAGCTGATTTACATGGTTGATGGGGAGAGTTGGGCGGGAAGGACGGGGAAAGAACTTGCGTTTGTAAATGGCAATGACCTGCCTCCTCAGCTCTGGGTTAGAGGCTGGGGGCATCGTGTTTACTTTGATGTCGAGTAGGTTCTAGCTTTCTAGGAGCTCGTTGGTGTACAGTAGGTACCGGTACGGTAGTGTACCTTGCGACCCATCCAGGGAGTGCAGCACTCCAATGACGCCATGCGAAGGACCTGGTTGGAGGAACAACGTGCGGATATCCGGGTACCTTGTAGCGACAGCCCGTATTCTCGTCAGAGGCGATGGGACACACTACCTAGGTAGTAAGGCATCCAATTCTCAGTGAAGTCGGCTATAAATCTAAGGAGTAGCTCATTATTGCAATGCTTCCTTGACAAACATCCTCCGCGATTTACAATGTTCACAACTCGAACATGTGTTCGGTTCGGTTGACCCTGACCCGGCTTGTGTCGGCCGGACAAGGAACGCACACGCCCCACCTCATCTTCGGATCCCACCCTGCCGAGAGTGCGAGCCGATGGACCGAAGTTCGGTCACTTTGTTTGAGAGGCGACTCGATACACGCAAGTGTTCACGTTGAATCTTGATTGAATTCCAATTTTCTTGATGTGCTTGCATTTTTACGGAGTATTACACGAAGTGCATGACATCGTTAGACTTCCAGGGAGAAAAACAACCCCACGATGCCCTCCCTCCTCCCACCGGCGCAAGTGAGGCTCGCCGGGAGAGTCTTCCAATGCCGCCGTGTTTCCAGAGGCTCACCACCTTCGGTCTCACCCTCACCACGCCTCTATCCGCACCGGCCATTCTCGGTCTCCTCAGCCCGTCCCAGCGCCACACCAACAACAACAACCTCAGATAACAGCGCTGCCAAGCCCCCGCCGCTCCCGCCGTCCCGCTGGATCACCGAGCTGCGCACGCGCGTCGGCAAATGCCTCCTCTTCGGCTGCAACAGCCAGCAGATCTCGCAGGCGGCGGGGGTCATGCGCGCGCTGGCGACCGAGTGGAGAGAGCTACTGGCGGGCAGCGAGGGGTTCCTGACGGGCGGGCGGCGTGGGCTGGACGGGAGGGAGATTGTTTGGGGCGAGATGGATACGTTTGTAAGGTCTTTCTCACACTTTCGCAAGCAGTGGGATTAGGTACTGGTATTGTGTGTCTATGATATACATTTTTTTGCTGACCTGAGTGGGGGGTGATGATGGCTAGGGGCATGTCAATAATGTGAACTACTACCGCTACGCCGAGTCGGCGCGCGTGAACTGGATCACCAACTTCGCTGTGCACGTTGACCCGGCGCATCGCGAGCAGTGGAGGGAGCTGATGTCGCCCAGGGCCACGGGGTTAATTATGCGCAGTTTGAAGGCAGACTTCAAGTTTGTATGTTTCCCCAGCACCTTTCCCATTCAGTCGGTGAGGAGGCATGGTCCTCCTGTGCAAGGCGCTAACTTGAGCCCACTCAGCCCATGGTCTACCCCGACAAGATCTCGGTGTACCACAAGCTGCGGGCGAAGCCCGAAGGGGACCCCGCCCCAAGCTCCTTCTTCCTCGACTGCATCGTCCTGTCACACCAGCACAGGAGGGTGTCCTGCCGGCTGGAGGAGGATATAGTCATCTACGATTACAAGGCTGGCGGCAAGACCAGCATGCCGAGCTTCATGGTAGAGCTGTTCGACCAGACGTGGAAGCTGCAAGAACAGGAGACGCTGAGGGCGAGGACGCGGATATGGGATTTGATCCGGGCTGTTGAGAGGCTGGAGAAGGAAACATGTGAGTAGACACCCTGGCTGTTGAAAACTTTCAAAAAACGCACTTGAATGTAGGGACAAGGACGAAACTCACATTGTCGGTAGGGGACCGTCCGGACGCCGTCGAGGATATGGGGGGCTCAAAGGACAGTAGCAACACATGATCTGTTCCTCACTAGAAGCTGGGGATGGGTTGATCTATTAGACGGGATATGGTAGAATAGAGACGGCATGCCATGAGTCACGCAGCATTGAGAGGGAGTCGTGGTCGGGAGGGAGGGGTCGTGCTTGTTCCCTTCCTCCGTGGTCCAACCGCGAAGACCCAAAAGCCGTCCTGGAGGTTAACAAGCGCCGGCAGGAAGTTGAATTCATCCGTGTCAGTGTCGGGCTTGTGTAACCTTGTCGAGAGACCTATATTTGATGAATGGACCACACCTGCTTTCCGGCGCACAGGAATCCAAAGTCTAGCGCAAGCCGGCTGTTACACAGCGGCAGATATGAAGTACTATGCCCCTCTCTTCTCGGGCCATGCCAGGAGGGTTTGTCCTAGTGCCCCGAAGCTATGGGTAGGGCTGATAGCGAAGAGTCGAAGACAGGCAGAGCGGATGAGGATACAAGTAGTTCTGACCGCAGAATTAGTCGTGGATCCACGCTCACAGGACGTTGTCGATACAGGAAGAGCCTCTACAGACTACGCCTCATACACCTTCCTAGCCGCACAACACGCCGTTGAATTCGTTGCATTGCGTTTTACGTTATGATGTAACAAGAGCCTGCCAAACTAACCGTGTCTCAGGAGACCCACGAGATACTGAGTCTGCGGTTGGGCCTTAGTCACGTCCATGTGAAATTGCTTACTTCAAAGGTTCTTTCGGCTAGGAGAGCATTGGGAAGGCCACTGAAACCTATCCAACAGGATCGACTTTAGGCAATTCAGACTGTAGATGTTGTCATACTCCATTACGTCTCGATGTTGGAGATCTTTCCGGCCCTCGATCTCTTTGAATAACTGGCAAGTCTGCCAGAGGTCCTTCACAACGAAGAGTGGTAACTTGCTCAGCACCCAGTCTTCACTGGACTTCTTGCAACCTGGGATGTTGTCGTCTGTGCCCCGGGGCTAGTTGTACTGGTCTTGCTAGCCATTGAAGTTAGATGGTACCATCATGGCTGGTAGACTCGAAACACTTACTCGGGGTGATCGAGATGCGATACCAGATTGCTTATCCTCTTTTGCTGTATCCTATCTGGTGTTAAAGCTAGCAACTATACGCACTGACATCCGGCGATCATTCAGATTGACTCCTAGAAGTTGAACTCAGGATGAGGGTTGAAATGTGTCTGACAGTTCCACGATTCGGTCGCTTCAACAAACTACAGAGTGTTCTCAAATGGACAGATAGTAAGAAAGTATAAGAATCCCAGGACAAGCCATGCTCAGGATGGTCTCAGCAGACACCGCTATCAGCAAATCCCCAGGGCTCCAAGCTTCCCAGGCACAATGACAAAACACTTACAGACCTGATCATCATCCCATTGTCCCCCGCCCGCCAGAATGAAGCTCGCTTACATCTTCGTCACCCTCGATGCCGCCGTCGCCATGGCCGCACCCGCCCCAGGTGCCGAGGCCGAGAAGGCTGCTCCTGTGGTTACACACCCCCCCCCCCCCCCCCCCCCCCCCCCCCCCACCCGCACAGGACTTGTCTTGCCTCCCCCTATCCTGCCGGAACTCAGGGGTAAGTGCTCCCCCTGGAACGAACTGGATACTATAAGCATTCTGAGCCTCGTTTATACCTACCTAACTAACCTGGTAAACACAACACAGTGCTACCTCCGGAAATTCCGATTATTGGTGTGTAAGTGATGGGTTTCCCAGAGACTTGACCAACTCCGCTCCAGTCGCACTTGCATTCAGCTGGCACCGCTAACTCTGCTACTCATCTTCCTTGGATTAAGGACGTCTGCAGAATCCCGTACTGAAATGGTGTTCATAATCTCCAAGAATTCTCGAGTCCAGTCTCGAGATGTCCATTCAACATGGCAGCGTGGATATCTGATGGTCGGCTCGGACCCATTATTTGGAATATCTGGCGGTAGTGACACACTCTTCCTTCCCGGGCTTTTGGAGACCTAGGGCTGTTTTTACATCCATCTCAATCTTTACTGACAGCGTTTGTGCTCCTTGACTTGCCCTTTCCCGGTTCTGCAGTGCAGGGAAAGCAATGGGCATGCGGAGATTGAGAACCGGTATTGTAGGCAAGGCATGGATGGGTGGGGACTAAACAGGATGCACCGCTTGACAACTCTGAATTCAAAACGCTAAGGCACTCTCTCGCTTGTCTTGCAGATTCATATCCATTGGCCCACGGTAGTTTGTTTGTCATGATGACGTTGGGTTGACACCCGTACCTCGTGCCGTGCTGTGATGACAAGCGGAGAGGCAGCCATCAACTTTCCCCAGCGTCGTTCTACTGACTTTTCCATCTTGGTCTAGTACAAGCCTCGGAGCCTTGATGGTGAGGGGCACCGATGTAAGTCTTTCTCGCCCATTTGAGCTGGGCTGCCTGCATTCACAAGCGCTGAGGTGAGCCCCTAGGTAACCACTAGTAAGGGAGAATGGATCAGATACTTGTACTTGTACCCGCTCTACGACTTTACCCTGACGTCCACACACGCCGCTGTGGATATGGATGAAGAGTTCCCGCTGACTTGGCATGCTACGAGGCATGGCTGCATTCAGGTTCCCACCGATGGGTCTGATGCCATGTGACAACCCTAAGTACCTGGCTGGCCCTCTACCGGTAGACTTGAGGTGTGATGGCATGCGGCGTGATTTTCTTATTCCCGCCGCCCCGCAAAACACCAAACTCTCTCTCTCCGCCGCCCAAATTTCTCTGCTGCTCGGCATGCGCTCGCCGGTTTGAGTTCTGTCCAAGGACCCGAGCCTCTCCCATGTGCCTTCATGCTTGCTGGATGCATCAAAAGAGATCTCCTCTGTTGCCCGCATTGATCGCGATTCCAGTACCGGACCCCAGGCGACGCTACGTGGTGATGGTCGCGTGCTTGGGGAATAGGACGGCTGTTGCCATTATATCCATGTCCTATAGTGACAACGACCTAAGAGATGAGGGATAAAAGGCGGCACCTGCTTCGCCCAGTATCAACCTATGGCCCATGGCCGAGAGACGCACGTGAAGTGGAATGATGCAAAGGCGGTGATGCAACTCGCATGGTTTTTCCTGCAGCTATCCCGCACTTGGGCGAAAGGGGAAGGTGACGGTGATCGCCACTACCGCAGCGGTGGAGCCCAGACATCAAACTGGCCAATCCGGATGCCCGGGGCTTGCGCAAATGCCGAACGGAGATCAACCTTCTGCCCGAGATGCTTAACTCGTGACATGAGGCTCGCCATGGAATGGGCTGTGGGGGAGGGGCCGATTGCTAAAGTATGTTTAGACTTTAGAGTATAGTTAGTACTGTGTGGGAATGCCGTTATCAGATGCAGCAGAGACGACATACAGTAGGTACACTACAACGCAACAGAGGTCCAGGGGTGTGGTGAAGGTCTGCAACGGGCTCCTGAGATAACCTACTGTGGGAATGTTTTGTGTGACCACCATCCTCCGAAGTACCTGTAGCAGATCCGGGTACGCATGTGTCTGTCTTTTGTTGTGGAGATGCGTTTGCTGGGCGCACAGGACTCAGCCGTGATCGACAGTAATCTTACACCACCCCGCAGTTGGTGCGATCAAAGCTGATTCGCTGACATTTCATCCTTCCAGTATCGTGGGTATCTCCCGTCCAGTCCCTTCAGTTGAATTGGAGTTTCAACCTTTAGAAAATCCGCAGTTAGACAGCATGGCCAGGTTCTAACATCGGCTGAGCTGCATTGCGTGATTAGTACTATCGTATTACGGTCTATGCTGCTCAGGAGCTGCGGGTTTCCGGGTTTGACGACTCGGCTGCGGAACGGAAAGGGTTACTGGTTGTTCGACAAATTCAAACAGCAGACTCATCCCGGCAGTTGAACTGGGGGAATGTGAATGCTCCATCGTTTTGCGATCACTCACACGCACTGTGGAGTGGCGCCCTGTTGTTGCGAGGCTCCCGCATTGATGGTTGTGGGCACGATTGTGTGGGATTGTCTGAAGTTGTGGCTTGAGGCACCACAGCGCTGGAGGAGGAGCCACTTTTCGCGGGACTATAATTTCATTGCTGGCCCACACTACAGCCGCGGGACTCGCGCTCAACACTGGCCGGCAACTGGTGCTCCCACCTAATATCTGCAGCCGCCAATCCGAAAAACCGCTTTTCTCCCTCTAAACTCAAAACTTATATTTTCCTATAAAGACGTTACCCACCCCTCTGTCGCAGCAACGGCCTCCCACAGACCCCGCTGCCTGGAAACTTGTTTCAACGTGATCCGGTTGCCGTGTGCGTACGTCGAACATTTTGCAACTGGGGACTGCCGTTCGAAAGAGGAGGAAGAAGGAACCTGGGCTGCCCCCAACACTAGCAGCCTCAGCGGATCGTGCCGCCGCCGCCACCATCAAACCCGTCTTGGGCTGGCTCAGAACAAGTTCTGGGTCAGCGGATGCGCATGCCTCGCGCTTCAAATTCGGGAAAGCGACACCAGGGAGCTAGCAACCACCGCGACACCCGACACGAGAATGGCCTGGTAGGCCCCGGTAAGCGCGTCATCAAGCAGAAGAGCCAATCTCAGCTTGATGGCGGCTCCAAGCCCGCCGTCGACAATGCCTCTGTCCCACCCGCACCCGCCGTGCCTGCTACCGCGAATGGTTCCGCGACGCATTCCGACGACATGGCGCCCGAGCATAAGGCGACCGAGTTGCTGCGGAGAGCATCGCTAGGCTCCCATTCCGAGTCCTCGTCCTCGTGGACCGATTCGCTCCCCGCCCCTGCCGCGCATTCCATCCCCGAAGAGGCCCACCGACGGATCGATGTCAACGATGCGAAGAATACCAATGTACACCGTGACCCCGGCCCGTTGGATTTTGTTGTCACGGTGCTTCGATCCTGCCCGCTCCAGGACACCATTGCAATTCTCATTATCCTCATGCAGGCGTCGCCGGCCGTGCTGACGGGCATCTATATGCTCTTCACCTGCCTCACTTTCGTCCCCCCGGTTACCACCAGTTCTGGCCTCAGCGTCGCCGAGATCTTCGACGGCAGTCAGGGCACACCCTCCCTGACGACCCTTATCTGCATGGATGTGATGATGTTGCTCATCTGGCTGTTCCTTTGGGCTCCAATGCAGCAGTTCATTTTGGACCTCGCCCAGGTCGTCATATCCTTGACGCTCGGAGGCGGAGGGTCTTCAAGACAAGGAACGACGAGCAACATCGCGCTCTGTGTCGCCATCGTCGGGGTGTCCCACTGGACGCAGGATTGGAAGTGGACCGGATTGTCTCGGCTAACTGCCATGTTCGGTCCAAACCGCTTCCTGTCCGAGGATGCGGAGCGCGGTGTGCGGGCGTTCGACAAGAAGGGCCCCTACGGCTGGGTTAGGAGCGTTTTGGCGATCCATATCCTCACTCAGGGGCTCGTCCGGTGCATCCGGGAATGGTACTTGCGCAGGGAACGCAGGGACTTGCAATCCCAGGGCCCGCTCGACCCAGAATCTGGCAAATCTGTGTCATTCCCTGCCGAAGGCTGCTCTGACGTTGCCCTCATGGCGGCCGACAGCGATCTTCACTTGCAGACAAGTACATCCCATCTTTCAAGCAAGAAGAGACGGAGACAGAGCGCTCAGGTCAGGATAAGGCAACCTCTATGGGCGGCGCTTGCGAGCACAAAGATTGTCATGATCAAGGAATATGAGCTGCAGCACGCAACAAACGAGTCAGCTGGCTCTAATGCCACAGACATCCACAATCTCGGTAATGCGCCTTTCAGCACCCAGCCCGAACAAATCTGGATCTGCTACGTCGGCTGCGATGAGGTTTGCTTCAACACCAGCCACTTTCCGGATGTCGGGGAGAATGAGCCTCCCCAAGAGGGCACCAAGCTGGGGATTGACGCTTCCAAACCATTCTATGTCAGAGTCAACAACGCTATATGGCAACCAACGCGCATCATCCCGATCGAAAACCCCGAGGAGGAAAACTATCAAGGCACACGGTGGACTGGCGACATATATGGGCTGACTCCTCTATCCAACTACGAGTGCGAGTTTGTCAGCACACGGACCGGGGAGGTGATCTTCTCCACAAGCGTCAGGACTCTTCCCGCGAAGAGCAAGGATCCTGAAATCGCCCCCAAGGCCGCGAGTAACCCCCGTTCGCACGCACGGCACGACTCACCGGCTACAACGCTGCGAGCATCCATTGCGGCGGCCGAAGTTAAGCTGGCCGAGGAGAAAGCACGTCTCAAGGCCGTCCGGAAGGACAACAACCGCAAACTGAACGCTGCCCGGAAAGAGATCGAGAGACTCTCGACCGCCGTCCAATCAGCCGGTGGGGATGACGAAAAGCTGAGGCAGAAGATTGCACAGAACAAGATTCAAGAGAAGCGAGCTGAGGAATCCATCCGCGAGCTTGAGACGCAGCTGAAGGAGCTTGAGACGGTACCCGAAGATCTGCTCAAGGAGCAGCGCACGACGCACGGGGCCTGGACTTCGGAGAAAGCCAAGTTTGACCAGGCCCGCGCCGATTTCAAGAACTTCAAGGCGTCGATCGACAAGCAAATCAAGTCTCTCGAGGAGGAAAACGCCAGTCTCCGGGCCAAGAGGAACAAGATCGCCGCTCGCATCGCCAAGGTCGACGACGAACACGCCCGGATCACGGATGCCAACGCGCGGGGTCTGAACGAGGCTGAACGCCGCCGTCAGGAGCGCGCAGAACTCCAGGCCGAGCTTGCCAGGGCTGAGCATAATATTGTGGATAGGATCCAGGCCCTGCGAGCTACTAACGCTGCGAAGCAGGCCCAGATCCACGACATGGCGGCTCAGCTGCAGACGTATCTGGCAAGCTTCCAGGACGACGTGCCGCCTCAGCCCAACCACTTCGCGCCGTCCGGGCACTGGGGGGCTCCAGCTGCTCCGTACGCTGCACAAGCCGTGTGGCAGCCAGTGTCGATGCCTGCGCAAGTCACTCCGGCTCAGGTCACTCCTCTTCTCGCCCCCTCCCAGCTCTCCGCCTTCTCCACTCCGCTGCAAGCCACCATGAGCACCCCGCCGCCTCACCGGACTAGAGGTCGCTCGTCCTCGATGCTTAGTGATGTCACAGGCTTTACGCAGTCCACCGACGATGATGAGCACGATAGTGGCAGCACTAACCATGCCAGTACGGTCATTAAGCCGCCGAACCACCAGCGTGGCGGCACGATCGGCGGCGCGAATGGGAACGGTCTGGCGACGCTGCGGAGCCCGTTGGGATTCCATCTCAAGAAGGGATCTGCATCCGGGTCTGGTTCGTCGGGATCGGCGTCGGGCTCCGGCTCCGGCTCCGGACGCAGTAGCGTGCGCTCTGGCAGCGGAAGCGGCGCCAGCCTCGGCGGGGCTGCAAGTCCCGCGTGAGGGGCGGTGGCCAACGGCCGTGGTACGCCTGATACGCCGTTCCTGCTGTGGATACAAGTTGACTTTCTTCTGTGCCTTTCGTCTGGCCAAGCCAGCATATGCATCCCGTCCGGCTGGTTGTCGCTCGTCGTGGTTGTGGCGAGTCAAGTCTTGATCTATGTTGCCTCCGTCTCGGGCTGAGGCAGCGTGTATCTATCTCTTTGCCGTGGTCCATAGATGCGTTTGAATGTAGCGCTGGTCAATGCTAAAAGTTGTTGGATTTGCCTTTGCCGATGACGTGAAGGCGGTGCAGTCATATCAGCCTGCCCTTGCCACAACGCGAGCTGTCTGTGCGGGTGTCTATCTCTGTATGTGTTCCCAGCATGACTAGAAGATCGCGATATCCTAAGTGACGAGACAAAGCTCAAGGTATATCATCAAGCGCACAGGATTTCCCCTTTCATGTATTCCACTCATGCTGCGATGCTGTCGTTGTTGCTGGCTGTTGCTGTTGGCTACCGATGTCCTAGTTAGGGCCCATCCGCGTATCAGTCCTGCTGTCTGCCTTCTGCCATGCGGGGGCTTGCTGAGCCGGGTCCTACTGGACATAGCATATGATAGGTACTGTGTATATGCAAAGAATCAGACACTTTGACATTGCGCCCTAAGGCATAGCAGTGATACCCCGGACCTGGGGTGTCCCTTCTTCTACATAAGGTACCTAGCTAACCACCACACCCAAGTCCCCTTTCCGAAAGCCCGCCGTTGCATCATTATGAGGCCTGCTTGCCACCTCACTCTCTCCTCCCCAACTTGACATCTCCCTGGCCCATAGAACCGTGAGCAAGCCTCAGTCCATGCTCCGGATATAATACGGTACGAGATCAGATCAAGCATGCAAGACGAGAACGCGGGTGCATGTCTGCATTGGTGGACCGCAGCTAATAGAATCTGTGAGGTCGTGTTTGTTTCACGTAGCATTTCGCGTGGCACGACATGGCCAGTACGATCGTAACGTTTCTGAGATCGTCCCTTAATCAACACCTTGCTGGATACCAGGTACACTGGTGTAGGTTCTCCATGTCCCCAACGGGGGTGCCTTGGCTTTTTTCTGTTTCACATATGTAGAACCACTTTCCATTTTCGCAACCCACGGGTCTCACACGAAGACGTGTGTAGCAGAGCCGGAGATTTTGACGTTTTTTTCTCCGTCACGGATGTTGCTGAGGGAGGTTGTACGGAGTTGAATCGTCAGGCAGGGCGGAGTGAGACAAACCGCCTTCTTTTCCCAGGTAAGGTACGTAGTACACATCCCACCCAAGTCGTACTACTTCAAAGTGAATGTAACTTATCCCGTGAGTCATGTGGAAACCAGAAACAGCCCTTGACAGGGTAACACAGGGACGCTGTGCTAGTGAGGATTTTCGCCGGGTCTTCGTTCAAGCCAGATGGAAGCCGGCCGGGTGCTGGTCTGCCCGGCTGGTAGCCGTGTTCAGCTCCTTCCTCCTTCTCCTCCAACCAGGACAGCATGCTACCCGACAGTTCCTGCCTTTCAAGCCCAACTCAGACAATATCACAGCAAGCTGGCACGGCAGATTCGCAACAGAAGTGGGTGCCAGTGGTCAAGCGGCAGTGTCTTGTCTCTCCCATCGTGAAACCGAGAAGCTGACCGTTCAATTCACAGAGAATCCCGGACCTTGACTTTTCGAGAGGGCGATGAGCCGGGATGAGATCGTCTCGTGCCTGGACTGCCCACAAAAATTCCAGAAAAACAATTGAAGAAAAACAAAAAAGACCGAAAAAAAAAGGCTAATCCATAGAACATAGAACTTCACAAAAGAATAGAGCACCTCCGCAGGCGGAGACAGCGACAACCAAAGCGGGAAGGGTTGCGGTAGGCACTCATCTCCGAGTAAGTGAAACTTCCCTTGCTAACTTGGCATTGGCACCTGGCTTCAGTTGGATTCTCTGTTTTCTCGCTTTCGGTGTTTTCATTCTCTTGTCCTTACATGCTCCGTAAACGAAGTTCCTGTCTATAGAGCAAGGCACCCTTCGTAAACCAGAGGAGCGGTCGTCGGTGTGTGGTGTAGAGTGCATGTTGTTCGCTTGGATACAAGAGAACACTCATTCATAAAAACTGGGGACACGGAAGGCACATTAAAGCCGAAGGCGATATCGTCAGTTCCAAGCTTCTGAAACATTTGCCTTGACAAGAGGCAGAAACTGTTCAACATCGGTACCTAGGTAAACTGAACTAATATTCGCCGCTATGCTAAAACTTCACTATCACTCAACAGAGCAACAAAAGCATCAATTGGAGACAGACAGACCCCGGCCCCTCTCTCCATCCCATGAAACAGTAAGGGAAACGGAGGGAAGATGCGAGGCGTAAGAGACAGTGGCGGGATCCATGATGGCAATCAGATGCTCACAGGACTCTTGGCACTTTCGCCGGCCTCGGCATCAAGGGAAACCGTTGGTCGGTTGGTGTGGCTGGGCTGCAGGAAGGGGGAGCATCCGCATCCGACAGCCACAACAAACATCTGGGGAAGGAAGGTGCCATTGCTGCTTCACGCTACCCCACAGAATGCGGTTGGTGGAGGCGGGGTTGCAGGGCGCTACGTCCAGGGGTCAGCGGTTTCCAGGTTTGGATGCAGGGGTTTGAGAGATGTTTCCAGGTTTTCTTCCAACCTGGAAGGAATACTACTGCAATAACTAGCGGCATTGCTGTGCTAGTAGGGTTGTTGGCGATAGTTTGAGGCGCAGGGGTTTGAACTCGGGATTGAGTGATTGAGCCGTGTGATGACTGTTGTTGACGGAACATGGAAGTACCTAGGTAAACGCACGTTGGCCATGGTCTTCAAATCGCACCCGCAGGGCAGTTCCTCGACGAGATGGGCCATGGACGCGAAATCGCCTAGACTCGGAACAATGCCGCTGGCCTGCTTGACCTTGTCCAAGCAGAAATCAAGCGGCCAATGCCCGGTCTACTAGGCGCAAACTTCCCGTCACCCCCCAGATTCTCTCCTCAGTTCGCTAAGCTGTCTACTTCACTGCTTGAGAACTCGATCCATCTCATTGACTACGGGTAAGGTTGAAGACAGCGTGCATTGCACCTTACGTGAGTCAATAGTTTGAATATGACTACTATTGCTCCAAAGTGTGGTTGATGGCCCGATGGATCGTCAGCTGTACCGTTCACTTGCGCGCAACGACAAGTCGGCCTGAACGACGGGAGGGCGCCGGGGCCGAGGTTTCTCCTTGTGAACCGTGACGATCATATGCATCGCCCCACTTCCCCGGATTTTTGATCTCTCACTTCCAAGAGATTCCTGGTCGCATTCGTATGCGGAAGTTGCATAGGTACAATACACTACAAAGAATTACACTACGGGAAGTTCCAAGTGCGCCAATGGCTGCAGTTCCTGCGTCCCTTCCCGGGCCCAACGCAACCTCTCGCATCCTTTGCGAGGAATAGGCAGTTATCCCCGCTCTCCCCCAGACTGAGAAGATGGCCCCGAGTCCGTGGCAAACACACACTGGTCTTCCGGACCCCCGAGACATTGTCGTATAAGGACCATCTTGCTTCATCCCCTGCCGTCTGCTGACTCTCCTCTGTCTCTTCCTCCTTCTCTGCGAACAGCCTACACTCGTTGAAAGTGAGACTAGACCGTCTAGACGCTCGTTGTCTTCAATTTCACTCTCCCAGAGAACAGATAGAGCAACACCAGCCTCCATAATGAAGTACAGCACTGCCCTCCTCACGCTGGCCGCGGCCGCCTCGGCCCAGGATATCAGCATCTTCCCGGAGTGCTCGCTCCAGTGCATCATCAGCGGCATCAGCAGCGGCAGTAGCTGTGAGGCCACCGATTTTGTCTGCGTCTGCAATAACATGGACGCCATCAAGAACGCCGCCACACCCTGCGTCGTCCAAAGCTGCGGCATCGACACGGCCTTGAGTATGTTCCTCTATTCCCTCCCCCCTTCTCACCCTGCCCCCTTCACCCATGCACACAAGACCGAATCACGCTAACACAACAACCACAGACGAAGTCCTCCCGGCAACAGAGAAATTCTGCGCCGACGTCGGCTCCGGCTCCTCCTCCTCCTCCTCCCCGCCCGCCCCTTCTTCCTCTTCAGCTGCTGCCACCACCACAGCTGAAGCAACCCAGACCACCACCGCCGCCGAGTCCTCCTCCTCCTCCTCCTCCTCCTCTTCTTCTGAAGAGCAACCGGAGCCGACCGAGACCACCACCGCCGCCGGCAGCGGCAGCGGCAGCGGCGGCGGTGATTGTCCCTGCGAGGAGACGTCAACCACCGGCGGCTCAGCGCCCCCGAGCGGCTCCTTCATCACCTCGGCGACCACGGCCACGGGCAGCGAGATCCCGGAGCCGAGCGCCGCGCCCACCACCACGGCGGCGGCAACGACGTCGGCGGCCACTGCGGGTGCCGCCGCTGTCGGGTACATCGGTGGCCTGGGCATGCTGGCCCTGGGCGCTGTTGCTGCTCTCTAGTAACAGAAAAAGGCTGAGGGTAAAGGGGGTTATGTTTATTATCGCTCGCTCGCTCTCTCTCTCTCTCTCTCTCTCTTTCTCTCGGTCTCTCTCTTGCAGATGTAGCATAGGCCCTAGGGAGGTCATTCCCGATTTGGAAGGGCAGAGTGAGTGGTTGTAGCGATGCGTGAGCTCGCTGCTTAGATTTTGGTCAAGGGGGTAGGGGAGAAGAGGGATTGGGGATGGGAAGGGGGAGATGTGAAAGAGAGGAGAGGAGGGGAAAGGAATGATAATATAAAGTGCGCTGCCCCTTATCACCGCATCAGGGTGGGTAATTAGCCTGAGTAGTACTTGATGAGATGGATGATATAATGGAATGCAACATGTGTCGCAGCTTTCTAACTGCACTCAATATTAGCGCGTTGTGCCTGGACACGGTATAGACACCATCCACTGTCTGTCTTGCTCGGGCATTTGGTAAGATTGGAAATCAGAGATGGGGTGGCTGGCCGTTTGGGACTCTGATCCCGGGTCCCACGGAACTATACCTGTGTCCCCCTATCAAGCTACTAGTACATAGTAGTCGCCCCATTATCAAAAACAAGCAAAAGAATGAACGTAGAAAAAGAAGGAACACAAAGAAGAAAAGGGGAAGAGAAGGGAAGAGGAAGGAAGGAAACTAAAGGGAGAATAAAAAAGAAAACAGGAAGAACAGGAAGAACAGGAAGAACAGGAAGAACAGGAAGAACAAGAAGAACAAGAAAAGAAAGAAGAGGGTTGAGAGCTAGAATATTAGAATGCTAGGATCTGGGTTATATGGGTGAAACCATGTTATGGTACTAGTAGTCCGGTGGGACTGAGCATCATGGTACTCAATTTCCATAACTTATCGCAAATGAGTATAATTCCACGATTCTCTTCTCGTTGTTCCGCTCTTGATTTTGCCAAGTCACAACCAGTAAGACGCGTAAACAGACGGGCCAAGCGGCTGTGACTCTATTTAATTACATAGGCAGCCAACCTGAAGCAATTCTCAATCTCCACGCACCGCACCCAGCACCCAATCCTCCGTGCCCACTGCCCACCTCATTCCTGAAGGACCCGGATGTCGAGGATCTTCCCGTTCGACATGTCTTTGATGTCATTGAATACATCCTCGATCGGGATGACCAGAGTGAAACCTGTCCCGGAATTGGCCTTGCGGTTCTAGTCCTCTAAACACCAACCCAACCAGCCCTCCGAACTTGTCAAAGACGGCAGCTCCGGAGTCACCACGACGTGCAAACGGAAAATCACGCGTGCCGACGAACATATACTCGGTAGACTTCATAGCCTCCGGGCTGCGGTTTGGCATGTACTTTTCCTCCGCGATGACGTAACTGTGTTTGATCGCATCGAATGTGCCGGCAGTGCAACGTGTCGACACTCCGTTTTTGAACACAAGTTCCTCTTTTGTAAAGTCATAAATCGAGCGGCTTTGCGGCTTAAGGTTACCATCACGGACCAGCGGCCAGATACTGCCGTCGTAGGAGAAGAGGTGAGCATTCTTTTCATCCCAGTCCTCGCCGCTAGGGAGCAGGTTCCCCCCATACAATCATCTGAGATCGGTTTGATCAACGCCCAATCCAGTCGACCATTGGTCCTGCTACGCCGCATGTAGCCGGAGGCGAGAAAGACTTCACCGAAATATTGTTTGCCACTGTCGAAGAACGCAACCAGATCGTTTAATAGTGCTTCGTCGTTAGCGGTAGGTAACCCGTAAGGTTGACGAGCAGAAATGTCCTTCTTCAGCTCGTCGACGTGGAAGTAATGCTTAGCCCGCGTGTGATGCCGAGCAAGGTATCTCGAACGTCGAAGTTACCTTGACGGCGCGTGGTATGTCCAGTTACGCTCGACTCAAATCGTTGATTCTCAAAGTCACCCTTTCCTTCCCTTATATTTGATTTCCATTAAGTTATCCTTTTTCCATTTCCCATTTTCTTTTTGTTCGATTATACGATTCTTTTTTTTTCCCCCTCCTCTTCCTCCTCTTTCGATATTTACTAGCTAACTCGGAATAGAACTCCGCGATGATCCGTCAGATTCAATGCCGACCATTCTGATCGTCGTCGAGGAATGGACTGAAGACTCCCGCAAGCGCTGGCAAACCGTTGTGGAGGATCTGAAGAGATTTATCGGTATGTTTGATCGCTGTTGTACCTCTCATAATCTTTGCTGATGAATTGTTGACTGATGTGGGCTTAGACATCCTGCAAAGCTTCGTCCCAACCGCTGGGCATATGACAGCGATCGCCCTCTTCAGTCTCGGGTTCGATAAATTTGGCGATAACCCCAACACAGTTTATATCGCACTGGACTACGAGTCCCCCGAGGTTTCATGGCCTCCTATTCTCGCCAAATTGCGAGAATACATCGACGGATACGGCTTAGGCCTTCACGTGCACCTCGAGCACAACGTTATACGACACTCCGCGTTCCAGTACGTCCCGCCGAAGCTGACGGAGGAAGAGACGCTGAGCAAAATTCGGGACTACAACTATCGCGTCAGGGAGTTATATACAACAAGAGTCCGTGCAGGAGCAGACATTGGCGCTGCCCGCTACATTGATACCGAGGGTGGAAGAAAATTCTGCCCCATCGTGGGTACAATGGGGTTCTGGGTTGGGGTCCAAATCGAAGGCCAAGGGTGGGTGAAAATGGCAGTTACAAACTACCACGTCACCAGACCATGTCTCGAGGGCTGCGCCGTTGCCGTCAAGGGCAGAAAGTCTATCCCGGCCCCCCCCCCCCCCCCCCCCCCCCCGCGGAAGATTCGGACCTCTGGAAAGCAGACTTGAACGGACTGAGCATAGGAGATACATCTGCGTGCGAAAAGATGGAACAGCAAGCTCTTTGGCCTTTTGTTCGAACCCATCGCCATGCTCCTTGCAGATGCGATTGCAGTCCGCGTCGCCACAGGAGTTGCTGATGAGTGGAAGCGGACGAGATGGGGTGACAACGCGTAACGCCGTATTCGAAATATCGAATTTGCCGATTGACCTTTCGGACTCTCCTGAGTCCTCCGCGCGTCGGGCTCTCTCTGCTCTCCATTTGTCGGAGCTTGCAAGGGAGGGTGCGGTGGTGGGCGGCGTGTCCGTGTCCCATTTTCCAACGGGGGATGAGTCGGGAGCAGACATTTTTGCTCTTATCTCGTAGAATTGAAAGAGAAGTGTGAAAAGGCCTGAGTTCAAATCGGGTCCACGATTTTGAGAGGAAGAGAGCGGGTGTCGGGTAGGAGGTTAAGGGAAGGAAGAGAAGGTAGGTACCTAACTTATATAGCCATACCAGAGGGACCGTGCACGCGTGGCAATTCTACTGATTCAAGTTGTTATTGTGCACTTTGACCAATACTTTTTCGAACAACTGCGAAGTTGGGATGAAAGTTGGAGTAAGGTCGGGATGAAGTGTACCTAATATCTGGACTCCACTCTAAGTGACTCTTCCAGACGCAGGACTAGAAATCAGTCTTGAAATCAGACGAAGCGAGTTTTAATACGGGAAATCACGAGTGGCGTGCTATTTACGAAAATATACGCAAAGTTGAAAGTTTGACCTTGAAACCGAAACCGTCATCTGTCAAACACTCAGCTCAATTTAAAACCTTCACCAAGGCACGTACTCTTGAACTTTTCTATGTCTTATGTTGCTGCCAAGGAGTTGACCGTGGAGATTTCCCTTGGTTCTCTCGATAAGGATGAAATATAAGGTATCCTCAGTTGGTTGGTAGAGGCCTGGCCATGTATCAAGGACGGGGTTGAGGAAGTCCTGGATATCCTTGACGCAGCTGCCGGCCACTTGTCTTCTATCTCACTCTTCAAGCTCGGTTTAGACAAACAGGGGAACAACCCCAACACAGTCTATATCTCTTATAGGAGGACCATGTCCGCCCTAACCGCATAGCGGCCAGCGCTGACCAGCACAGTATGTGCCGGGAGATCTCAAAGCCAGCGGCCAGTGTACTACTATATCAGATGCTCAAGTACGGGAGTTGGTGTATTAAGTTGTGCCATGTCCTCAAAGCGTACCATCACGTACTGGCATATATTCATGCTCATACGTTGTAGAGCGGTAACCGAACGACTTGGCAATCCAATCGGACCCGCTAGTCATTTATTTATGGCCATCTTACTGGCGGGGTTGTGAACCTCTTACCAGGCGGAATGATGAAAACGTTCGTTACCTGCGTCATGAACGACACCAATTGTACGATCTCCGATGCGTCAGTCGTGCAAAGCAGACTCGGTTATTTGGTTTCATGAAAACGGAGGAGAATTCCTTCTCTAGTGAGCTTCAAAGTCCTCTTTTTTGGAACGTAGCAGTCTTCGGGCGACATGCATCGCGGGGTATCAAAGTGGCATCCAAAATGTCCCACACATATTCCCAAAACAAAGCCAGCCTCTCTGATGGTACACGACAGCCACACTTCATGGCTCCTCCACGGGCTCCCCGAACGGGTAATTGAACTTCAACAACCCATTCAACCCGCCAACCCACGAGTCGTCGTCCTCAGGCCCGCCATCCGACGAAGCCCTGATCACGCAGGGCACTCCGCCTCGCCACCCCTCAGGCCCCTTCTCCAGCTTCTCCCCTTCCACGCGGACCTCCATCCCAATCGTCACGCCGACCCGCCTCTTCCCATCAATGCTCACCGGCAGCTCCCTCCCCCTGTTCCGCAGGCTCAGTTTGAGCACAACCTTTGATTGCAGCGGCAAGACCAGCGGCCTGAAGCTCAGGCTGCGCGGGCTGATGGGCGTGATGAGCAGAGACTTGACGAGCGGGTGGACGATGGACCCGCCTGCGCTAAGCGAGTAGGCGGTGGAGCCCGTGGGCGTGCTGATCAGGATGCCGTCGGCTACGGCCTCGGTGAGGAAGCGCGAGTTGACGTAGATGTCAATGATGGCGAGGTGCGGGTGCGAGCCGCGGTCGATAGAGACTTCGTTTATTGCATGGAGGTAAGGAGGACTCGCCAAGGTCGGGCGGGGGTGGTTGGTCTCGGCTGTGGGCGGCCCAAGGTCCGGTTCGGCGGTCGAGGTCGGAATGATCTGCGCATTGATGTTGCGGCCCGCGCTATCGTAGATGCCCACGCGCAGCCGGTTGCGCAGAAGGATCTTGGACGCACGGCTTGGGCCCATGCATTGCCCGTTGCCGCGGACGCTGTCCCATCCTGACAATGGAATGAAGTCTGGGTTGTCCTGGCCTGCTACGGCTGCACGAGTATGGGGATCGACCAGGTCCTCTACCGTCACGGAACACCCACTCATGTAGCACTCCCTCCATGCTCGCTTGTACTCGTTGAACTTCCACTCGCCCAGGAAGCCGAGGGTGCCCATGCTGAACGAGAGGATCGGGGGCACGCTGTTGTGCATGGAGAATAGGCTCGCTGCGCGCAGAATGGTGCCGTCGCCGCCCATAGTTGTGACCAGGTCGATCTTCTTCGCGAAGAGTGTGGGCGCACTGCTCGGGGCTGTCGTGTAGATTGGGAAGGGCAGCGTCTCGTGGATGTCCTTGGCAATGTGGCCCTCGAAGATAAGGTTCAGACCCGGATAGTTGCTATGGATGTACTTGGCAAACTCGACAGCATCGCGGGCGACTTGGGGCGCATGCAACTTGGGCATGAGCAGAATATTGCGCGGCGGTTGAGGCCAGTGCAACGAGAGCAGCGATGACGTTTTCGTCTGGTGGTAATGCGGGACGGTGCGATCCGGAAGTGCAGCGACGTCGAGGATTTGGCTTCGCGCGGCGGATACGGAGAAGAAGCGGTATGCTCTCCTTACAGCAAACCGTGGAGGGCTGCGCCCCGATGCCGGCATGGTGAAGCTTCTCAAGGCCATGACAGGAGGAGGGTGGTGTTGGCGGTATCGAGCCAGAACTGACGGCCCCGACATGCCGACATGGTTGGTGGTCGAAATCTGTCTCTAGGTCTGCAAGCTTGAGAGACTGTTGAAGCGCTGAACGTCGATTCCTGCAATGGCACGTCTGGATGTTTTAATAAGGCTTCATGGTTGCCGACTGCTCTTGACAAAAGCGAGGTGCGTTAGTGGATGCTTGTGAAAGCCGAACGTCAAGTACAAGGTACGTACCATCCATCGAGCTCGCTTGCGGCCGCCAATCAGAGAATCAGCCTAGCTGTGACCCCACCATTCCGGAAAGCTTGGGGTGGTGGGGCTCGTGGGGCCGTTGCATCCGAACAAGGCAATAGCTGCAAGGGCAGTCTACCTGCGCACGTGCCTGTGGTGGCGGAAGAGCATTGCGCTCACCTGTCTGTATTTCATCCATTTTGCTTCTGGGTCTCCCCTTCGGCCCAGGTTTTAACCGCGATGTCCTCAGCGTTGGCAGTGCCACACGGTTTCAACTAAGGACCGTTGAACAGTTCGCTGCGGCTGTTGCGGTGTTGGAAGCCTGCCCAAAGTTTTCGCCGTTCTGTTGCCGGAACTGGCGGAGGATCCGTCCAACCCGCAGCATCCAGCTCAGCGCTGCCTGCGGCTGATTGCCCTGCGGTCAACCTCGCGGACCTACATTACTTCGGTCCTCTTCACATCCCCTAGATTGTCCTCGATCGCAGTGTCCCGTTCCTCTATCGTGCCCTGCTTTGCGCAGACCTCCTTTCCCGCAATTCTAGCATCGCGACTTCCAACATACAGCATCGCATGTCGAGCCCGATGACGGCCCAAGTAAAGCCACCGATTGCTACGGAGGCGCGGGGCGCCGATTCCTCCGGTCGCGAGAAGCACAGCCGAGTAGTGCAGGTGCTGAGGGGCGTTTCCTGTGCGGTTTACTTCGCAGCAGGCGCCACTGTGTACGAACCAGAATCCATCATCTTTCAGGCCACAGGGACACAGCAGCTAACTCGTGATAATGTTTGCGACCGCAGGATCCACGCGACCCAACTCATCGGGGCACCCCTATACTGGATTAACCGCGAGCTCTACTATGCCTACATGTCCTATACAAAGGAGCTGTTCGGGATTCTCATCACGACAGTGACGAACTGGTGGGGCCCAACCACAATACGCATCAGCGGCGATTCCTCGGTGGCGGGCCAAATACGCAAGACGGAAGATGGCCTGGTGGAGTTTTCGTTCCCCGACCGCATGGTCATGATAGCGAACCATCAGGTATGGCGGCGATTTGGCGTTATCCAGGTTGTTGAGAGACTGATCTGTTGCGCAGATCTACACAGACTGGCTCTACCTCTGGTGGATCGGCTATGCCAATAAGCCGAAGAGGCATGGATCTCTCTTTATCATTCTGAAGGAATCACTCAGGTACATCCCGATATTGGGGCCCGGCATGATGCTCTACGGCTTCATTTTCATGTCCCGGAAGATGGCGGTCGACCAACCCCGGCTGGCCTATCGGCTGGGGAAGCTGAAGACGCACCATACGGCTCCGGATGGGAAGAAGTATCTTGATCCCATGTGGCTGCTGCTGTTTCCGGAGGGAACGAATGCTTCTCAGAATGGGAGGAACAAGTCTGCAAAGTGGGCCGAGAAGATCGGCGTCAAGGACCCAGAGCACATGTTGCTGCCGCGGAGCACTGGCACCTACTTCTGCCTTAATGAGTTGAAGGGCACGGTGGACTACGTCTACGACTGTACCGTGGCCTACGAAGGGGTTCCGTATGTGACACTTCCGGGCCCAACGGTAGCCGCTCACCAGCTGACAGTTCTTACAGTCGCGGCAAGTTCGGGGAGAAGATCTTCACCATCTCCCGCACCTACATTCGAGGACAACCGCCGAAGTCCGTCAACTTCTACTGGCGCCGGTTCCGTCTCGCGGACATCCCTCTGAACAACCAAGAGGAATTCGACCTGTGGCTACGGGAGCGGTGGTACGAGAAAGATGCGCTCATGGAACAATATGTCTCCACCGGACGTTTCCTTCCCAGTCCTGACAAAGCCGTTCCCGGCGCTCACGAGGGGTTTCTCGAGACTGAAGTTCGCACTCGATATCCTTGGGAATTCCTCCAGATCTTCAGCGCACTCGGTGCCTTTAGCTTGGGCATCAACATCCTCCTCAAGGTGCTGAACGGATTTCTTTAGGTGCTTTCCTGAGTTTTGGGCGTTTTGGAACGATGGAAATGAGATACCCCTCCACTCACACATGGATGATGATTGCATGAAGGGCCTGCAGCTTATGACAAGGGCGGAGGTATATACCAATTTTTGCTGCATTGGATCAGCAGGTTGGCGCCGGTGTGTTGAGAGTGGAACTTTTGGAATACTGTTGCTGCCGTGGCCTGTCAGATACCATCTGGAAGTGCGTTCTATTCATCGGTACGGCGTTGGGGTGCAGGAATTGATGGGAGGGCGGGTTAGGCAAGAGGCCGATGGCGGTGTCTATGATCTTCGTTATATATCCTTTCTCCGCATCCTGTTTCTTGACGTGATATCACCGTCTTATGCAAAGGTCAGGTTGGCGACGTTTATGACCAGGCAGGGGATGCAGGACGGACCTCGTGCCTTTCTGTGACTAACACGGCACAGTGTTGGCAACTTGGCAGTTGAGCTTGCCGAGCGGTCTAGAATCGCCGTCGGTAATGGTCCCTGGCCGGATCGATACCGGAGCTATGGGTTGAAAGCATAAGCCCGGTCTCCATTTGTGAGAGTCGCTCGGTGTGAAGGAGGCCGGACCTAAACAAACTTCCAGAGGGCATATGACCTCGTGCAGTCGCACTGGGACCAATCGGGTCCACTGCCTCCATGGGCCCTCCGGACCGGGGCCCGGCGCATGCACGCCCTTCCCAGCAGACCGGCAGGAGCCCTCCTCGGGGGGTATGTGAGCGAGCGGCTCTTGGTTCCCCCGGTTGTTGCGCCGGATTGCTCTTGACTGGTGCATTCGGTGTGCGATTCCATCTACGGAGTGGTTGGGTGAGTACCGCTCGCCTGGACAATCACAGCGGGAGTTCGCCGGAATTTCTTACACCGCTTCGCAACTTCCCAGCGCAGTCATATGTAACTCGGCCCAAGGGGAACGACGACGCGATGTCAAATCATTCGCCGATGTGTGAGATTGGGCCTACAGCTCCCAGTCTGGACGCCGTGGCACCCGTGTCAGGGCAAGGTGGCTGACGATGCAACACTCTGGGGGCTTGTTCCTGACCGCCAGGAAGGGTTTGAGAGCTAGAACGCCTTGGCTCGGTCCGGCCAACAATGGACCGGCGCCGGTGCCCTCTATTCCCGCGGCATGCCCACCATAGCAACAGGAGATGGATGGCATTGCGAGCAGTTTGACACTTGAGCAACTCTGCTAGATGTTGCTATTTCTTAACCACCGGGCAGCTATCTATCCCTCACCGGGTATGGTTCCCAGCTTCATCCTATGCTTTGACATCCGGACGGAACAATAAGTTGTGAACGCACATGGAGACCTTGACGCGGCGATCGCGCCCGAGCAGCAGCACTTAGATCCATGCTCTCCCCAGAATCCCAGATACCACCGGAGTACCATCGGACCCCTCCGGACCGCATCCCCTCGCCGCCATCGGACAGTGTCGATGCATAGAGGCTTCCGTATTGGGAAGGTATGTACATAGGAGAAGGTGAGTAGATAGAACAGCAAGCCGCGAGATCGGGCCACCGGTCATGGACAAACAAGCTTGGCGTCGAGATAGACTGTGCAGTTGCAGTTGTGTGCAGTGTTATGGGTTAGCACTGCCCGAGACAAGCGGTAAGTAAGTTGCCCCGGTGCGAACTAGGTGCGTAGCTAAGGCTGGACACAGCACGGGAAAGGATAGATAGAGGGGAAAAGAAAGAATCTGCAGGGCGGGTTGACGGAGCTTCTGGATTCATAAAAGCCGCAGAGCTCGCCGGTAGGCAAGCTGCAAAGTGGAACGAACCCCTGGATCTGGCGTAGACCGGACCTCTCTCATCGACACATGCACACGCTGCGTTGGCTAAGAGGTGCAGTGGAAGCGGAGCGGGAATGGCTACTCGTCTCGGAAAAAAATGGCCATAAAAGAGAGCTGCCGGGGCACAAGGTTGCCTTCCACAAGGCCCATCTCGCTTCATCGCGTCCCTAACTAAGACGGAGGCCACCTCTATCCTCACTTGATCTTGACATAGCAGACGTTCGTCGTCATTCCATCTAGAACCTCACCTCGAACCCCCCCCCCCCCCCCCCCCGCCGGGCCCCCTCCCCATTTCATTACACCATGAAGCAGGCTACCCGAACCGACATCCACGAGATACTCGCGCCGGTCTCGCCATCGAGCAACAGCAACAGCAACAGCAGCAGCGGCAGCGGCAGCGGCAAAAGCGAACACGGCTCACCCCCCAGGGACTATGACTGTTGTTGTCCGCCGTCGCCCGCATCCCCAGACGAGACGACGCTCACCATCGTTTCCTTCGAGCCCAACGACCCAGACAACCCCCATAACTGGTCAACCGTGAGTTGAGCAAATGCTTCACTTTATTCTTCTCTTCCTTTGCTTCAGCAGGCGCCCCCCAAAAAATGTTAATCAAATTAAATTAACGACCCTTCTTCTTAACCCCCGTTGGTATGGAATATAGAGAACCAAGTCCCTCATCTTCTTGGCCGCCTTCCTCACCACCACAACCACCTCGTACTTCTCCACGCTGTCGTCCAACTTCTCGCCGCCCCTGCCGGAGTCCTTTGCCGTGCTCGACCCTTCGGGGCCGCAGAAGGTTCTTCCCGCGTCGCTTTATCTGGCCGGGTTTGTTTTCGGGCCGCTTGTTTGGTTTGTGTTCCTTATCTTTCTTGTTCTAGGATATAGTGCCTTGGCGCCTTTCCGTCGTTGGTCTTCGATCTACGAGGGAGACTTGAATGTCTTACAACGGGTCCTTGGTGTTCAACCGGAATCCGAACGGACTTGATGAGCATGTAATATTGTTTTGCTAACCCCGGGATCTTGTGTTGATGTAGGGCGCCGCTCAGTGAATCCCCCCGTGTAGGGAGATGGCGGATCCTGGTGGTCGGCGCGGTGCTCTTCGTGCTCGTCTCTATCGGGCAGGCGGTTGTGGACAGCTGGGCCGGGCTTCTGATTCTGCGGTTCCTGGCCGGCGTATTCGGGTCGCCGCCGGTGAGTGTCTTTGGAGGCGTGATTGCGGACTTGTACAAGGGGGAGGTGATCAGGGGTAGGGTGATGATGTACTGGTGAGTCTTCTTTTCTTTTCCGTTTTGCATTAGTTTCGTCATTCCGGTTGCAACACCTGTGGGCACTCTTCGAAGGGAATAGGGCCAGGATGATGTTTGGATTTTGCCGGGGTGAAGGTGACGGCTTCATAGACGAATTTGCAAAAGAACATCGAAGAAGACGGGAAAAAAGGGAAGGATAAGAGTACGCTCAAAACCCGCTAACTAAATGCTTTCCCAGGTCAGCAACAACCTTCGTGGGACCGCTCGGAGCACCGATCATAGCCGGATTTGCTAGCGAGAAGCTCGGCTGGCGGGCCGTCTTCTGGTAAGTCTACCCCTTTCTTTCCTTGAACTTGGCCTTCTGTGCCAAGGGGGTGGCAGTTGCTGATTCGTGAGTCTGCAGGATCTCGCTATCTCTTCCGGTGGCGTCGCTGCTTTCCGTAGTCCTCATGCCCGAGACGCTTGCGTCGACGATCCTGAGGAAGAGGGCGGCGAGGTTGAATAAGGAGTACGCAAACACGGGCAGGCGGTTCGTGGCTCCGGCGGATCTCAAGCGGGAGAGCGCGTGGATTGCATATGTAAGTGCCACCTGCTGTCATTTTGCACGAAATATGTGGACGAAACTGACCAGAACAACCAGAGAACGACGCTCGCCAGACCGTGGCAGCTGCTCTTCGGGGAGATGGTGGTCTCTCTGTCCTGCATCTATCTGGGCTTCATATACGCCGTGTTCTACATGTAGGTCCATCATCCGCTGCTTCCTACCAACGGATGATCTCTGGCTTACAGACGGGGCAGGCTGGTCCAAATCTTCCCTGCCGTCTTCCAAGGCCTGTACGGCTTCTCCCCGGGCATGTCTGGCATTCTCTTCACGATAAGTGAGTTCCCCCCTCTCCCCCCCCCCCCCCCCGATATCATCCTCATCTCCCCCCGAAACTGAATTCTGACAATCAAAACACAGTGGGACTCGGCACCGCCATCGGCAGCATCATCCTGCTGTGGTACGACGGGGTGGCCGTGCGTCTCGGCGCCCGACATCCCAGCAAGAGAGAGGAGTATCTCCGTCTCCCGCTAGCCTGCGCCGGCGGACCAATCTTCGTCATGTCCATGCTGTGGCTCGGCTGGTCGGCACGGGCCGACATCCACTGGCTGGTACCGCTGGCATCCGTGGTGCCGTACGGGGTGGCATACCACTTGATCTACGTGGCCATTGTCAATGTACGGGATTCGGAGAGCCCGCCCACACCCCTGCTACCGTGAGAGAAGCAACATAAGCTGATCTTTTTCTTTTTCTTTTTCTGAGGAACAGTACGTCGCCGACGCATACGGCATCTACTCTGCCTCGGCGCTCGCGGCCATGAGCATGACGCGGAGCGTGGCGGGCACGCTGCTCCCGCTGGCAATCGAGGACATGCTCGCGGCGCTGGGGATCGGTTGGTCATGTACGCTGCTGGCCGGCACCAGCGCCCTGCTGGCGCTGGTGCCGTTTGGCTTCATCGCCTACGGGGAGAGGATCCGCGCCGCGAGCCGGTTCAGCACGACGCTCAAGCTCGAGGCAGGTCAGGACGGCAGCGACCTTGGCCGGGTGACAAGCTTGCCCGCGGTATAAAATAGAGCGCACCGTACACGCGGAATGGTGTGTATCTAACCTATTGTGACGGGAGGAGCTGGATTGGAGTGGCGGGAACGGAGGTGGGCGGTGACGCGGGATAGGACGGGATCGAGGGAGGTCTATCGGAAAGCGGATATGGAATGTGGCCGTTGCCCCCTTTTGACAGCTGCCCGAAACATATGAAGGAGCCTTGTAGATGGTGGGCCTGACCTTCGACCAGATACCCCTCGCTTTCCCTTATTATGGTTTCCTCGCTCGTGGCGCGCGAGCGTAGGGTGCGTGTGGATTCACTTTGAGGTTACCGCTGCATTGCCGCAGGGAATTTCACTTTGGCAATGGACGCCAGGCTGATACGAATTGTAATACCCCAGCCTCGAATGCTGGAATTCTGCAACGGCGTGTCCGATGATTATTCGTAATGCAGGTCGTTTGTTAGTGCCTTGCAAAGTTAGTACAAACTGGTACTGATCTTCGTCAGGCACCCGTGGACGTGTCAGGCTCAACTTTTCAAGACTCGTTCGAGTCACAGGCAGGCTCCTAAAGTTACTGTGAACTTCCCCAGGTGAACTTTCAAGTCACTGTTCCCATATAGCATGCTAGTAGAACAGCCGGACTCGGAACTCTAGGGCCTAGGCTCTTAAGTCTCTATCGGAAAGTTGAATCAGTACCCGGCAGCCTTAACGACCTACCTTTAGAGTGTAAAAGAATCAAAATGTTAGAGTTTAGATAGAATGACAGTATGAAATTCTCTCCCTCTCGGGCTTTCTCCGGCATTCTCCCCGCGCTACCATCCACCACCACTGCCAACAGCAACCTGGAGTCCTTGACCTTACCTAATACCTACTACCTTACCTACCATGGCCCCAAATGCGCGTTCTCTCTTCGGAAGCCTGCTGCGTCGACAACCGCGCACTCTCAACTGTGTGAAGTTGAGCAGGGCGCAGAACGAGAAGCTGGGCCGAGTGGTGGTGCGCGGGGGGTTCGGTACACGGGATGATAGGGAAGGAGGAGAAGCGTTGTTTGGAGTTTCTGGTTGCGTAGAAGTGGCCGAGCAAGATGGAGAATTTGGGGGATTATTTGTGATTGATTCGTGCTGATTGGGCGTCAATACATCAGGAGAGCAGAATCTTAGGTTGCATTGCGTCGCGATCTTCTTAGGACGTCGTTTGTATGTATTTAGGTATGTATGCACCCAAACATCATATAACCAGAGGCAGAATCCACTTCCCCTCCCCTCTCAACTTTTCACCCCGCTTATAGCCAGTTTCTTTTTTCTTTCCTTTTTTCTCTTTCTTTTTCTTCAAACCTTTAGGAATCTTGCATGAGCTCTCGCTATCATCTTATTTCTTACCAAAGCACGCAACGACTTGAAATGCCGAACTTCCAAGTCCAACCCTGCACCGAGGAGGATATCCCTCGCGTCTTCGAGATCCTCTCTGACACTTTCGCCCACGACCACGAGTATGTCGATGCCGTATTCCACAAGCACGACACCCCCGAAGGGCGCAAGAACGGGGCCGAGCAGTTGCTCAACACCTACCGCCAGGACCCCTACGGCCATTTCATCAAGGTCGTCGACACGGACACGGGCAAGACGGTCGGCGCGGCCAAGTGGAACATCTACAAGGCGGGCGAAGTGCCCCCGCAGCCTGTGTTGAGTGGTCCGTACTGGCCCAACGACGAAGAGGAGGAGTTTGCGAAGGCTATCTGCCAGGCCTTCTTCGCGCCGAGACAGAAGATCCTCAAGGAGAACGACGGTCGGCTAGTAGGTACGTTTCAGTGATCTCAACACTTTTTATCATTACAACCTACCTTACCTACCTACCGATGGTTTCTAATTTCTGACTGGATGTGTAACAGCGCTCGAAATGCTCATGGTCGACCCGGCGTACCATGGCCAGGGTGCAGGAAGACTCCTGGTGAGATGGGGCACGGCGCACGCAGATAGATTGGGCGTGGAGGTGAGTAGTATTTCCTACCTACTAATACCTACCTTACCTATGTATGCTCATTTACTGTGTGGAAGAATGTCTAAACTAACTGGATCATCTATCTACCTTACCCAGGCCTTTGTCGAGGCCTCTGAGCGAGGTCGGAGGCTCTATCAGTCGGAAGGGTTTGAGGGGCCGTACTACGAGGTCCCCGTACCCGAGAAGTTTGCCGATCGCCGCAAACAGGTGTACTACATGATGAGGCGCCCAGCAAAGGCTGTGGGCCCGGAATCTGCTCCTGTTGGTGAGTCGGCGTAATGGGATCGAATTCCCTGTTCGTATAGTATGTTAGACCTTGAGGATACATACCGTACCTTCGGCAATGAAGAGCATTGAATAGATTGTTACTGAAAATAGACGGTTATTGAAACGGTCCTGTACGTAAGGCGAGGTAGTCCTTCCCCATCATCCTCCCGGTTCCTCGCATCTTCTTAGTGCTAGTACCGTACATAGGTGGTAATACCGTAGTATTCTGGGACCCGAGGAAGGACTTGTCATGACGCCTCGCTTCAACTGGTAACGTACAGGTAGGTACCTTACCTCACCTCGTATTCCGAGCTCGATGAAACGAGCGTAATTTACCTAGCTTGGTGTCTCTCAACGTTCGTATCTAACCCAGACGATGCTTTACGGTTGTTACCGAATCCATATCAAGATCTAAGAACCTGAACGCCAAAGTGGACTCAATGCTCCGCATACTAGCACTGGTAGTAATGGTTCACCAGTTACCATACTTAGCCTCCATGGGATTCCTGGTTCTGACCTGAAAGCTGAGTTTGAGGAGTCACAGCACGTCTTTGCTTATTGCTACCTAGGTGCGTAGGCCGTACCTTTGCTGTGCTAAAGTGTGCTGAAACTGGGAGAATTACCTACATTAAGGGATCTATAGCGGTCGAAGTGACTTGTCAAAGCAACTGTTGTTTAGCACTGCTTATAGAGTGGTATAAACCAGCAGATCGGACTAAACAACAAAGATAGGTATGGACTTGCCACAATCAAAGTTAGAAATCCCCATCGAATTCCAACATGGCAGCATCCTCACCCAATCTCGTCAGCCCCTCCAGCACGAGCACACTCTCGTCCTCCTCTCCGAAGACTCCGTCAAAGCTGGTGCCGCCCACAGCCGTGGCCAGTATCTTGGCGGCTGGCCCGCTCACATGCCCCCCCAGATCACCAAGCAGACAGTTCAGTACAGTCCGCATGTCATGTTCGAAACTATCCGTATCATAAACTGCCAGCCCGTCCAGGACGCAGACTACCGTCTTCTGCGGCGCCACATGCCTGACCAGAAAACCGAACAGCCAACAGAGCTCGGCAAGCCCGCCTCTCGCGAGACGATCGAGGTCAATGTCTTCTGGCCGGAACGTGGCATCGGCGTAGTGCTGCAGTAGGAGCTGCGCGATCAGACTACGGAGCACGGCCGCGGGCCCCGATGGGCTGTCGTCAGACTCGACGTGCTGTCCGCAGAAGAAAACGAGCGAGATGATGCGCTCCTGTAGGTTTAGCGCGCGCGGTCCGCGCACCAGAGAGGCTGACATGAGTGACAGCGCGAGACTGGCCTGCGCGGCGTCCCGTTGCGGCTCACCTTGGATGAGCAGCTTGCTGGAGCCTGGGCTGGTAGCCCAGAGCTGGAACTGGGAAGCTGCGACGATCTGTCGCGCGTGGTTCCGGTAGCTGGGAGGGACCGACCCTTCTAACTCCAAGGCGACGTCGATGTCGGTTTGGTCAAGGCCGAGTATGTTGAGTACGGCTAGGAGCGTGGATGCGGGAATCACGGGCGCCTGCTGGGTTGTGGCGTATGGGTAGTATGGAAACGGGACCGGCGGCCAGGGTCGCGCAGACTGCGCCTGTGCTTGGTGGTAGTATTGGGGAGGACAAGGCGGAGACTGCCATGGGGGCTGTTGCGAAGCGTACTATAGTAGCTGTTGCGCTTGTGGTGCCGGCAGTTGTGCCGTAGCCTTCAGTGTCACACTCTCGCTCTCCTCGGAGGCCCGTATCATGCATTTCAAATGCTTAATCTCCTCCTTCATTTCCACGAACATCACTGTGCGCTTTGTTGTTAGAACGGACTGGAGCTGAGAAACGGTGGGGTGACATGTTTTGATACTGCTTTGCCTCCTCTTCATGCTTTCTCGCGCCGCCTACCAGCATAGACAGCATCTCATTCAGTTTGTCTGCCTGTTGGAAGCTGGAGTCCTTGAGTTCGCTAATACCGCCCAAAACTTGTTCAGTGCCTCTCTGAATGATGTACTCTATCCTGCCAGCAGTCTCGATTTCTACAAGCTCGATCTTGCTGATATCTGGGCAGAAGGTATGTCAGTTTAACGAGGTGAATTGACCCGCGTTGGGCCCCTATTTGTTGCAGGCTCACCCTCGAGGATCAGCTCCATAGCGGCTCGGGTCGCAGCAAAGTGCGACACAGTAGCTTCGTTTATGAGTTGCTGGCTCCTAGTCTGGATCTCCGCGAGGGTGTCGAGCAGGGGCTGTTGGCCGTTGCCAATCAGTGGCATGGATTGAGCGCCCCGTTTGACTGGCTTGGACCATCGATACGGCGAGATTAGCTATCGTTACTGGGAGAGAAGACCTGGACGGCTAACTTACAGGTGTTGGTGAGGAAGTACACAATGGTTCCTTCGACGGCCTTCAAAATACAAGCCACCAGCTCGATGGACCTGTCGATGATGTTCTGATCGTCAGGAAACGTGGCCAGGAAGACCTCAATTTTGGCGAAAGTCTGGTCGAGATCTTCTCCATCGACCATCCCCGTGATTGTATGCCTTGCCCTGGATGCTGTTTTGGCCGCCTGGTATTGATTGATTAGACTTGTGCGCTGCAATCTTGCTAACTTGCCCTTCGCCGGAGTGCTTACCTGGAGAAGCACCTCAACTACGGCCTTGACCGCGGACACGTGTCCCATGTCCGGGACCTTGCTGACGAGGTCACCCGCCTCGCCCCCTTTGTCAGCGAGCCAGCGGTATGTCTTCTTAACTTGTCCCATGAATTCCGATTTGCTGCTGTCAAACTGGACTCTGGCATTGTGAGGCCTTTGATGTATACCATCCCAACTTGTCGTCAGCCGGATGCTGTACTGGGGATATTTTTTCTGAGAGTAGCTTTGGCTCATCTGGCTTCTCTTGAGCAAACTGTTTCAGGGATCTGTCAAAAATGCTTTTGTCTTCCCAGAATTTCATTGCCACTACCGCAGCGGGACGCTTTCTGCCTGGTGGCAACTGCCCGCCGTGGGTTGCCAGCGTGCCATGGCTTGGTAGCAGACCTGGGTGCACCAGCCGAGAATGTATGGCCATCTTCGGGTCCATAGCTACATACTGCTTCACGGAATGGCCGTAGAAAATAAGCAAACCACCAAAGGCCTCACTGGCTTGAGGTGGGCTACTGTCGATGAAGTCTTTAGCAGGAGGCGGGAGAGACGGCTGGGGCACTGAAGAGCTTCAATCTGATATAGTATACTGTATTGTTATCCTTTGGGCAAAGAAATGGCCGGGGCAGAACTTATCTTAGGTCTCGGAGAGCCGACTTGCTGTTGCCTAGTCCCGATCTCTTTACTGACCGTGTACATGGAGTCCGGAACCGCTTGCTCGGCGGGACAACGCGCTTAACTGGCGGCATTTTCCCACAACCTGGAACCCCATTCAGAAGAGCATATGGCATCTCATATGCAGCGGCACATTCTGTGTGCAACTCAAGAGAGAAGAGATCCGCAAGTTGCACATAACTCGAGAGGTCACAGCAAAGGTGCCCCCGTAATGCAGCGCACAGGCACTTATCCAGCCGTAAAGCCCAGTATTAGGTGGGTCATTGATTGATCAGGACACACGAAATGATTCTTGTGTTCATTTTCACATCAGACTTCGCCTCACGCGTGGAACCTCGGGTACTATAGCTCTAGGCAAGCCGCAGAGTTATTGGTCCGTGGCGGTCTTTCGGTCACATTATCAGGTGAGCCTTCAACATGCAGGAGTCCCGCTCAGAGTCTTGCGGGTGGTTGCTCTTTCCAACTTGGTGCGCAAGCGACAAGATTAGTACTTGTACGGAGGCGGAAGGAAGGCGCTCTCGAGGGCTGGGTTCTCATCTATGATCTCCACCGTGCTTCTGGCATGAAGAAGTAGCAGACTGGACCCCGACACCCGGTTTCAGGTAGGTAAATCGCTATCAATCCAGCCTCGGCTTGCTTTTTGATACTAGTACACTTTAACTACAAAGTACCTCAGGTCTCTATAGCCGAATCCACCGTGAGCCAAGATGCGAGGCTCGGATGAGTCCACGACGCCGGTGTCGCCGACCTCTGTGGACAATGTCACCCGTCACAATGAGAATGTACTAGTATTCGCCTCGGGGGTTGAAGAACGGCACAGTGGACTTGAAGGGGCTGAGGCGGCCGAAAAGACGCCTGCCGAACCTGGGCAATTAGAGGGCCAGCTCCACGAATTGCGGGAGAGGCTCGCACGGCTCGAGATGCAAGCCTAGCGGGAGGTAGAGTTGACAGGAATGGAATACTCTATGAGCAGGGATCTTTCACTTGCATTGGCCAGCCAGCTGTCTGACGTCGAACGCTCTAGCCAGGAGCTTGATGACGACTCCTTCACAAGGAGAGACCCTTTGAACCCATGGTTGCTTCGCCAGGTGTATGCTGCAAACGACATGTCTGGAGCGGCTGATAGAGCCCGTACTGGGCTATCGACACCGCGGGGGTCGCCCCCAACAAGCATTGCTGCGAGGACGAGGATTCTGCTTCAACGGGAGCTGAATCGTGTGACCAGCGAGCAGAACCAGATTCACAATATGCACGTGGAATATTTACGACTACGGGCGATGCAGGAAACGTATGAGGCTCAACGCGAAGAATTACGCCAGACCAAGCTCGAGCTTGATCGTCTCCGGAAAAGATGCGAATTTGGATCGCCGTCGCCACAGACCGAACAGCAGACGACGCAGCCGCAGTCAGTATCCAAAGATGTGGTTCAGCGTCAGGTCATAAGGCCTCGGCTGAACAGGGCCACTTGGAGTTTGTTCAAGATGGAGATGATGGAAAAGAAAGAGATCTCGGTTATTGACGTGCTCGATGGTGAGCCAGCCGTGCCGCTGAACTTCCAAACTACTCTGCACCTTTCTACCGAGGGAGTCGACAGCAAGCACCCGGGTTACAGGTTAACGCTCGCGAGCCCGCCGCTAATAGTGCAGTTACAACAAAGCACGTCGTCCCCGGACAGGCCCCGCTTCCGGAACGAATCCGCATCAACCCGAAGCACATTGCAAGCATGCTGAGACAGATACTAGAAGACAAAGGCCCGCCTGATCAGATTGAAGCGTTTAAGGAGGCCCCATTTGTCATGATCAGACCGTACAAGGCGCTCGTCTCCTATTCCGACAGCATTCAGGCGAAGCCCCAGGCTCTCGAAGCAAGGTTCGAAAACGGAGCTGCTGGTCCCCGACATTTTGATGCTGAGACGTACGACGAAGACGAATGGGACGAACTGACATACTCTCAGACGGCCTACGAGCACCTAAGGTGCCTCGTGTGCTTCATGGATACAGAAATTGAGCAAAAGCTGGCATATCTCAACAGCCACCAGTGCCAAATGGTGACCTTCGCGGACACATGGCATCTCTTCAAACCGGGGGATCTGGTGCTTGATCAAGCCCGGCGACAGACCTACCGGATCTACAGCATCTACAGTACCTCCCACAAACATCCCTCGCCATATCGCAAGTCACGGCTTATTGGCGTGAATAGGGTTAAGAGGAGCTATTCGCCAGACTCCAGTGCATTTGGCTAGACTTTGACGGCAGGCGACTAGGGCCGAAGCGCCGTACGTTCAGGATTTCATAGTTCGAGGGAGCAAAGGCGGCCACTGCCCTTGAGGTCTTCCCACTTCGCTTCGCCGAGCTTGAATACCGCGGGGTAAGCGGCCGTAAGGATTAAAAGACAGGGGAGAATCTGACGCTACGACAGCGGCTCATCGCTCGGGGCAGACTATTCGTCGATATGACGACCTACAAGCACATGCACTACAGTGGCTTTACGCTGGACATGCGGGAAGACGTGGACATCGATGTCGTGGTCGACTTTGAAGAGGCATTCTCGCACTCTTACAAAGTCCATGCGCCCGAGGAGAACTGGAGGCCCCAATTGGAGATCCTGATTGAGGACCCTCCCGAGTTCACCTCAAACGATGACTCAATCGCTTGCGAGGCGGAGTGCTGAGCTGACGAGGTAGTTCACAATGATCTCTACTACGTCGACTAGAAGCGAAACCGGAACTTCACGGCTCTGTTGATGCCGGGAGACGAACGGCGCCAACCGGCTCTAATGATATACCCCCGCCCGGTAGAAGATATCAGAGAGGAAACAAACCTGGCGGATGAGGACCTCATAATCATGTCGTATCTCGTCTTCGGCTTCATTACACGAAATCGAAAGTGGGGTAAGTATTTGCCTAGTTCAGATGTCTTTTCTCCCAAGTCCCATCCATTTGTCATTGTCGTGAGATAGCAGGCCTGTTACCTGTCAGGGCTAACGGACGCAAACTCCACAACAGCCAAACTCGACCTCAAGTCTCTAGGTTATCCGCGAGGCTCCGCGAGAAAAGGAGATAGGACGCTGAGCCCTGTGCCTACAGAGTGTAAATCTCAGACTGCCTTCGATCAGTTGGTCCTTCCGAAAGGCCACAGAGAGATGGTTCAGTCACTTATTGCACAGCACTTTCGGGACAAGGAGCTCGCGAGCAAGGAGGATATGGCCATGCAGGACGTGGACATCGTGCGCGGTAAAGGTAGGATCGAGACCCAAGCCCAGCGGTCACCAGTCATGCTTATGGCTGTACAGGAAAAGGACTGATCCTTCTGCTGCACGGAGCGCCTGGGGTTGGTAAAACCACGACAGCTGGTCAGTCTTCGCCTGGCGTTTCCCCTCTATTTGTTGTCATCTTTCGGTGAGATACGAGCGTGTTTATGAGACACTGACGAGCAGTCATCTCCACAACAGAGGACATAGCCAAGATGTTCAGGAAACCATTGTTCCAAATCACTTGTGGTAGATACAGGGTCTCCTGGATCTCAAGCTCACAATGTTAACAATCCTATTTCCATCACAGGCGACTTGGGTACGACCGCATCAGAGGTCGAGAAGGCCTTGGAAACAAACTTTGCTCTGGCCAACAGATGGGAGTGCATCCTCTTGCTTGACGGGGCGGATGTGTTCCTTGTCGCCCGTTCCAAGGAGGATTTCAATCGCAACGAGTCTTGTATCAGGTACGGTTCCTTTATTTGTCCCTTCACTTTTCCCTCTAACGCTTCTCTTCCTTCAAGTCGTTTCTCTCTTTGGTTCTCTCCTGTTCGCCCCTTTCCATCCTCGGCAATGAAGCTCATTTACTCGTGACAGTGTTCCTTCGCGTGCTCGAATACTATGCGGGTGTTTTGTTCCTGACGACCAACCGAATTGGCGACTTCGATGAGGCGTTTACGTCCCGGATTCACATTAGCCTGTACTATCCTCACCTCGATCTCACGTCTACTGAGGCCATCTTCGGGCTGAACCTGCGTCTCATTCGCGACTGCTTCAGCAAGAGCGGGCGCCCGATCGAGATAGAAGAGGACAGGATTATCGACTTTGTCCGTCATTACTTCGAGACCCACAAAAATGAGAAATGGAATGGTCGACAGATCCGTAACGCCTGCCAGACGGCGCTAGCTCTGGCCGAATATCGCGCCCAGAGGTCGAACTACGAGCGCGTCACGGACACCACGGCCGTAGTCCGCTTGGAAGTGGATAACCTCAGAATGGTGTCTAATTCCTATCTCCAGTTTATGAAATATCTCAATGAAGTGCGCGGCAAGGGTGTCGAAAGGTGGGCCAAGCAGATGTCCATCCGCGCCCGCGAGATGGATGTAGTACTCAGTAACAATGATGAGGAGAGCGGCGAGAACAAGGGAAAGCCGGAAGCCGACAGCAAGGAAAAAGCTGCTGTGCCCGACCGGCAGCAAGCCACCCTTGCGGTGTCCGAGCAATACTCTAGGTTGCCGACACCACTCGGTGTGGTACAACAACATCTCGTCCCTCCAGGGAGCGCTGCTCAAGGTTCTGCACCGACATCACCGGGGTATGGCCCGACGTGGGCTCCGCCGCCGGTCCAGCCGGCATATTACCCCTATTACACGAACCAAAGCTACCAGCCGCCCGTCGGCAGCGGGAGTTTAGCGGCACAACATGATGCCTATGCCGCCTGGTCTAGAGCACAACAGGCTGTTCAACAGGCTCCGCCGGTAGGCCAAGGCCCGGCGTTGTACGGAGCACCGCCTCCCGCCTAGCGAAGGCACTTCGCAGTGAAAAAATGCATTGCTATACCAACCGGGTGCTCCGTGGGTTGAGTTGACCTTGGTCACTAAGTCTCGCGCTGGCGGAGGCAGGGGAGGATGTTCCACTTAGTCCGCGATAGGGAGTAGGTTTGCTGGTGTTTCTTACATTCGTTGGATGAGTCAATGGGCCAAGAATTGCGTCCTTGCTAAGCCTGAGGCGGCTTTGCACAGCGGATAGAAGTCGAAAGGCAGAGCCTTCCTTACACGGCCTCACACGGATGGGCTCCGTCATGACGGCCGCGTTTAGGCGGGCCGCCCCGAAGGGTCCCCCGACTTTGTGTCGAATCTCCACTAGCGTTGCGGTATCCAGTGGGTCTGCTTCAGGGGTAAATGGAGGACCCACTTTCAACGGTGTCTAACTTTCTGCCGGTCAAATCTTGGCGGTGAGCCTGTTCCAGCTGTCAGCTGTCCTTTTCCTGCCGCTCAATGAACCGAACCCCAGCACCTCAAAGCAACATCCACCAAGACCGCATAGAGTAATTGTTTCCTGCCGGCTGTCTTTCTGTCGTAACCTTCCGTGATACCAATCGCCAAGCGCAATCGAGTTCACCCCACATTAGTACACTGCAAGTTATAAGTAGTCTTCTAATCCGACGGGATACGGTGCCGCCTCGTTATCTAGGCGCTCTCACGACTTACACCCGCAACACACACCCATACACACAATACCCAGACCGCTGCCACCATGTCTACCGACTTAGAAACCTTCGACTTCATCCCGCTGCAGATCGACCCCAAATCCAAAGCCATCAGCGCGGCGCCACCACAACAGGCCAGCAGCAGCAAGGCGCTCGAGACGGAGCTGGCGGCGCTCAACGCGCTGCACAAGTCGCTGCACTCGCTCGAGGCGCCGCACCTCGTGCCGCCGCCGCCCGTGCCCGTCAACCCGAAGCGCAGCGCCAACCTGAACAAGCTGCGCGAGAGCGGCAACGCCGAGTACCGCAAGCAGCGCTACGCCGAGGCCGTCAAGTTCTACACGCTCGGCCTGCAGATGGCGCTGACCCGCCCGCACTGGGAGCCGAGCCAGCTCGTCCGCGAGGAGGTGCACGCGCTGTACAGCAACCGCGCCCAGGCGCACATGCAGCTGGGCAACTGGCCCGAGGCGGCGGTCGATGCCGAGGCGAGCGTCGAGGCTAAGAGGCAGGGCAACGCCAAGGCGTGGTTCCGCCGCGGGAGATGTCTCGTGGAGATGGGCCGGCTGGCCGAGGCCAGGGAGTGGGTGGCGCGCGGGTTGGAGTTTGAAGGGGAGGAGAAGGAGCTGATTGAGTTGCTGAAGGAGATTGATGGGAAGATGGAGGAGGAGAAGGGGAAGAGGGATGCTTGAAAGGGTCCGGGTTACTCATTAGGAGCGGGCGGGGTTAGTCCGCGGTGAGGACGGGGTTGTTAAGCCGGCGTGCTGTACATTTCTCTCTTCTAGACCTCTATGTGTAGGTCGTTCACACTTTAGGTTAGGCGTTCCGGAAATTCTTGCAGGGAAGGGTAAATCCAAGTGTCATGACGGTTTGTCTGAGACAGCTTTGGAATCGGAGTGTGCATATTGCGCCTTTCCCAACTCAGACCACAAGGCATTAGCGTTCGGTTATGGTACAATGACCAAAGGAAATGCCAATGCTGGAAAGCTGCCCTCCCAATCCCCCAGCTTCCTCATGCCCTAACCACCCTCCCTTCGAAAACATTGTAACATGCCCACTTTGGATCCTTGTAGTTGTGATCCGCCAAAATGGAAGTAATGCCAGTAGATGATGCCAGAAATACGGACAAACAAGACAGAGAATCCAGGCACCCCGATGACGAATCGTCCTCCCTTCCAACCCGTAGTCGATGGCTCGCAAATGCCCGGACGGCTCGTCGTCGCTCCCCAATAAGCGGGTGGTTGAGAGACATCCAGCACAGTTCGTCGTTCCAGAAGCCATCCCACACCCTCCCACGTTTATCGCTCCCCCATCTCATGCCGGTACGAGGCCCCTTCCCGTATTAGAACTGATCCCACCTCATCCCTCGGTAATCGACCGCTTTCACGCCTTCTTCTCGTTGGTGACCTCCACAACCGACGGCTTTCGCGGCCGCATAACCGCATCCTGGCCCGTCATCCGCCGGCCGAGCGCGCGGTCGAGTTTGGCGCCCAGCGCGAGCTTCTGCAGATTGGCCGTCTTCTCCTCGTTCAGGTACACGCGCTGGTCGGAGAGGCGCGGGTTCTTGAGGCGCTCGAGCCCGTCGACGATCGGGCGGATCTCGGCGGTCACACTGTCGGTGCTGAGGACCGTCGGGGTGATGGACGGCGCGGTCATGCTGAAGGTGCTGTACCGAACCGACGTGCGGGTCTAGACGAGAGTGGACAGCAGAGCGATTAATTCGGGTTAGTGGCGAGGGAAATGGGGATGTGCGAGTTTGTGGAATGGATTGGGGATTGAGGGTTGGGATGGGCCGCGTCTCTAATGGATTGGCGGTGGGAGGACAGACGTACCGATGGGGACATGATGGGGCGGGAGGAGTCCAAAGAGGCAGGCATCTTGCGGTGTACGGTACGAGCCTGGTTTTTGCTCTGTAACCTTCCTGGCTTTTATGAGTGGAAACTTGGTTTATGACGATGTTGCAATTTGAAACGCCGGGACGGCGAGACAAGGGCGATGAACGCAACGTTGTCCGGGGGTCACGTGGCAAATCCGCTTCGGCGTGGTTGGCACGCAGTCGCAGGGTCCGATAGCTGTGAGAATGACTGGGGAATGGTTGAGAGTCAATCGCTGTGAAAGAGTGTCCACGACGAATTAATGGGACGAGAAGCGATAAGTCGGAAAAGGAGATGAACGGGAAGGGGCAGTTGTTGGGCAAAGAGCCAGGGGCATCCTGCAGGGGCCAGATGCCATGTGGCATGGGCTGCAGCCGGCCATGCCGCTTTGACCACTGCATTCAAGCATGAGGGTGGGCCGATAGATGGGTGCCAAAACTAATAAAAATGGGCAAGACCATCATGCGTTGCCGGCATTCTTTTTCAACGGAACCTAGGAAAACACGGTCTTATCACCATCTATAATAACGCAGGCAATCTCCGACAGCTTTTCGTAGTTAACCAGTCAACCCAATGACTCAGTGAACCGTACCGCTTCACTTCATTGCCATAACCTTAACCGAACGGTATTGCTTGTTTGTTCCGCGTCTGGCCACCCGACGGAGAGACGGAGACCAGATGTGGCTGATTGAACATGCACCCGCCAAATCCTTGCGAGCCTTAAAACATCTGTCAGCTGTCTTGCGGGGCTCACATTGACAAGTCTGTCTTGGGTTGTCGCGCATGTCGTTTTTGCGGCGGGCAATTTCGGATTGGGCGAGCTGGATAAGACGACGGGAAGGCTGGACTGGGTCTCCAGAGTCCAACCTTACCCGACCTTCAAACGAGGCCACGAAGTCAACTACATGTATACACTTAGCCAAGCTCTCAACGCCCTGAGCCAGAGCCAGTTCCTTGAAGGCCTGTGAGCCGCTACAGATTCTCGCCGAGTCGCACGTGGCGTTGTCCAGGTCGATGCAGGTGTCAAATCTTCGAACCAGGGCCAACAGCCGGGGTGAGGTAAGGGGTTGTGCATGCCGTGATCCCGCAAGCCGGGAAAAGAGGATGGACAACCCATGATGCAATCTCGGAGCGCAGGCATCCTGTGCCGGGGGATAGGAGAGATTTCCACGCTGTGCAACTTTTTCAGGGTTACACTGGATGTCCCAGAGTCCAGGTTGCCCTGGGCCGTTGCTCGCTGACCGTTTGACATTTGTAGGGCCCACAAATCCTTCCGCAAGGAGCGGGCAAGTCGATGTTGGAACATCCGAAAGAGATGGGCGACACTATTTGTACACGCCCGAAGAAGGAATGCCGTTCCATAAGAAGCGTCATTGAGCTATCGCGGCTCCGGTAACGGCCTGCACAACATTTATCCGTACGAATAAGGGTCAGTCTAACGCCTGCTGCATCACCCGAAGCATGCGGGGAGTGCTCGGCGGGGCTCGCTGTCTAATCCCCCGAGGTGGTGAGGATACATACTATTTTGGGGGGCTCGATGAGGGTTAACGGAAGACATCGCTCATAGTTGGGCCAGTGGTTGAATTTCCTACCCATTGTTTTCTTCTGCTGCGACCGCGATTTTAGCCCCAAGAGCCCCGAGCCAACCCCCTCTACACCGCAGCAGGAATCAGGATAGGTAGATATCACCAGGGCGTAGACGAATATGTGGAAGCCCACATCGACTACCGGCGAGGGAAGCCAGCCTGTTCGCCGGTTTGCGCAGATTGTCAAGCTCAAGTCAGAGCATTTGAAGGAATACAAGGAGGTTCATGCGCGGGTTTGGCCCGAGGTGCTGAAGCAGATCAAGGACTGCCACATCGAGGATTGTAGGTGCAAGACAGCTGCGGCAGTCCGGCAAATGTGACACGAAGGAGGACGCTGACGATATCGTGTGCCCGTCCAGACAGCATCTACTATGACGACAACACACACATCCTCTTTGCGACGTTCAAATACACTGGCTCGGACTATGAGGGTGACATGAAGCGCATGGCCGAGAACGCTAAGGTCAGGGAGTGGTGGAAGATGACCGACAAGTGGCAGGAGAGCATGGTTCCCGGTGCGTTGAGCTCTGAGGCCGGCGAGCCGAGCTGGTGGAAGCCCATCGAGGAGGTGTTTTACTTGCCGTAAGGCGCAGGTGGACGAAGATGTGAAGATGGTGAGCTCAAGGGGTTACTGGAACTTAAAGTCAGTGTAGCCCGATCTTTCACGGCTTGCGAATGACAAGAAGCAATCGATGGATCATTTGTGGTGTCATTCCGGCAGACGTATGCGGTGTCTACCTAGGTGAGACCACTAAGGAGAAGCAAATCATAACAGTATACCGCAGGCCTTGCTTCGATGGCACTGTCAAGGAAGGGTTACAACTCACGTTCGACATCGTTCCATCGATTGTCTTGGTGCGCATATCCCTAGCAAACTTCCAATCTGGCCAGCTCCCGGTCATCCAAACAAATATTGCAATTGCATTCCGCGTTCTCCCAACCAGCAAGATGATTCTGCCTCCAGTCCATTCCCCGATTCTCGAATCGAGACCTTGCAAGATCTGCGTCCCAGAAGCCTCAATAGCGACGACCACTGCGGGATCAGCTTCAATCAACCGTCGGATCTGGTCGCGGTCTTCTCTAAGACTTTTTCCCGGAGCGGTGGATGACAAGATGGCATTCATTCCAATTAAGACAGGTAGGTTTTCCCTCTCTCGGCACCTACCAACCTTTATAGTGTTGGTCATTCCATGACCCGGGTCGATGGTGAGATATAACCGTAAGCGAAACCCCGGCGTCGCATGGTACCTATCTGAGCGTGTTATAATTTCCATTTGAGAAACAACTCTTTATGATATTTGATCTCATAATCTGGAATTGCACCCATTCGTTCTCTAACCCCGATCTAGGAAGCTTTAATATAAGATCTGGAACTTCGGTAGGCTCCTGGGGGTTACCGATGCAAGAACCTAAGCTAAGACAGTGAGCTACGGCAGCCCATCTTCCAAAGAATACAAGTCGATACAAACGAACTAAACCTCCGACATTCCGCTCCGAGAAACCAAGCGAACATAGACGTAGTTATACCTTAGTCCCCGTCTCGAATACAGCTCAGTTATAGGAAGGCTCAAGCTAAGGCCCGGTAGGACGTTGCATATCTTATAGGGTAGCTACGTATCTTCCATATAATATACTTCCAACACTACTAAGGACCCCCGGTCTGACAGTTGACTCCCCGCCCGGTTTACATGCACTAGCTGCGCCTGAGTGGGTAAGCCTGTAACTCCGGCTCCAGTTCCCCAGGTCTCATGGCCCGGAGACCTCGGGTCCATGATACGTAGGAAGTGTCGTATTTGGAAGCAATGCTGTGACACCATCAAGCTGGCAAGCTGCGGGAGCGAGGCACGACAACAGTCCTTGATTGGAAGGCCAAATGACTGATTGGGGACCTGGAAGCCAAGGCACCGATCCAGGAAGATGGCTGCGAAGGGATGGCTTGACCCAGATGCCTTCACGACCCACTTCAAGGTTCCGTCGTAGGAACCCATTCGCGCCTTCCCTTCTTATAGCACGACTGTATCCTGCTCACCGCCAGTCATTCGCGATTGAATGATCTCACCTTTCCGTGTCATTCAAATGCTGCTACCTTATATCTTTCCAAACCCCTTGCCTTTACCCTGTCAAGCTCTCTGACAGCCAGAAGTGCCAGAATAACTTCTGTTAGGGAAGCCCAGCGCAGCTCCCGGCCTTTCACTTGTTTCTAGATTCAAATCACCGAATCAATGGTACAACTAACATTGATATTCCTATTAACATTATGAAGAAAGTGCAACGCTAACGCATCAGGTGACATTCTACCACAGCATCCACTGGCCCAACGATGGAACCATTGCGAAAAAGATCACCTCCAATCCGAGCCCACCGACTCTTGCGAGCCTTCCCAACTCTTGTGGTCATACTCCTGAAGAGAAAAACAGCTGATCTCCAAGTTCTCTTAGTTTCAAGAGTGCTTTTGTTCTCCTTGGGTCTAGAGGGCAACTCCACTCTGGACCTCTTCTGTGCCTTTGGGTACCTTAGTGTACCCGGGGCGTAGCTCCCAGCCGCTTCCCCCATGTTTGCTGCCGGGACGATACCCTTCCGCTCTTCTTCATTTGTCGAAGTTAGAAACCACGATCCCCTCCTCCCTGTTGCTTTCCGCGATCTTGTACGCGGTCGAAGACTCGAAGGATCCTCTTCGGACGTCATCGACCCTGCGCTTCCACGCCGGCACCCACGGGTCATACCCCTTTCTTCCCTCTCTTGCGGCCGGAATTGCTAGCGCTAGTCGGAGCTTCAGCTCGGTCAGCAAGATGCTTCAGAGGCAAAGGGAGGAAGGGTCGACAAACATTCATGCGCCCTAGCGACCAGACTTACCGTCCTTGACACAATTTCGACAACACCCATGGTCGCATCTTGTAATCCATTCCCACTCGTTGGTGATTGCGTTCCTCTCCCACTTTGGGTTGGGCGACATGTTTCTGCACCAGCCGCTGCTATTGCGACCTCCGCATTTGCAACATGTCCACCCGCCGTCTCCCGCACTGCGAAAGTCGCAGTTGGCAAGGGGGCAGCTGGACGTCGACGGCTGGGACGCCGCAAAGGTGATGTTGGGACAAGGTGTCTCATAGCCCGTTGTCAGGTCTATAACGGCGGACGGGCAGTAGTGCCATGTCACAGATTGGTGACCGCAAGAATGGTAGTGTGGGTGTCCGTGGCACATGGTTGGCTTGGGAAGTAAGAAGGATGAGCGTTGGCAATGACGGAGATGGTTCAGCCAGGAGATCGTGCCTTAGGTGAGAATCCACGAAGTTTGGGCTGTGAGTCTGTGACGGGACTAACAGTGGGATTAAACTAACGGTTGTATAGTACGTCCACAGCAAAGAAACAGTTGCCGCCCTTGACTACTTATATGGCTTCGGTTCGTTAGCTACGTCCTCACCTTCTCTTCGGACCGGCCCCGCGCCCGTCACCAAGCCCGAGACTAGTTGAGCCACCGCTCGTCAGCTGCCGCTTCTGGAACCATTGGCGGAGACTGGATGAAGTGCGAGCATCAATGTGATGGTATGTACATCGGCATTCTCCGCCTAACAGTCGATCCCCAGCTCTTCGTGGATGATGTGCGGGGATGGCGCCTTTGTTGATAGGTTACCACATACCAGGTCCCGACAACCGACGGCCTCGTCGCCCATCTACATGAGATCGACGGGTATACGGTCATACGGCATGGGGGTCGGTTTAATGAACGAAGGTCACGGTAGGTCCTCGTGCACCCGAGCGTTCCTGATTCGCATTTTCACCTTCCGTCGTTGCATTTTGTCTTGGTCATATGCAGTGCTTTGTGTGGCACAGATCGGTCGATCGTGCTTATTGTCCAACAATGGCTTCTCAACAAACCTCACCTGCGACCTTCTTTGTTGATCTCTAAACTGTTCCGAGCTAACTACAATTCTAGGTCTTGAGTCCTTACACGTGTACACATACAGGGTAGGATTCCCGCATTTGGCAGTGCTCGCATTGTGGCGCTATTGGCAACAATTCATTGAACCAGCCATTTCTCGAATCACAATCGTCCTCCTATTCAAAAGCAACACACCTTTCCGACACCAAGATCTCGGAAACTGCACTAGTTAGAGATCGGCGCAAGGATAGCCGATCTTGGGTTCTCACACTCTCGTCACATCCCAATCGTGCGGACCAGCCAGTGTTCGGACTGCAGCAGGATCTCCTGTCGCAGGGATGCAACACAAGATCTGGCGAACCCAAAGCCACTATGATCGGCGGTTCACATCTTGCGTACCACGGAGCTGGGAACAAGGACAGGGGTCAGTACTATTTTGTGACCGATTTGATCACCTGCACTAACCCGGCAACCCGGTCTTCCCATTTCCACCTTTACTTCCCTATTGCCCAGCCTCCCATATCCGTTTCCAGCTGCGCCCCTGCTCCCAGATGCGTCCCCGCGTCCCTGGCCCATGGATCCGAGGCACTGTCGACGTTCCGTCCATAAGGCTGCAGACGGGCCATATTGATTTTGGGGCCAGTCGGAAAGGGGTGTAAAACCGTACACCGATAGGGGCTACCGGATTGTTCCGTCTACGATCGAGTGGCCAGTGCTCTATTGCGAAGGGATGAGACAACTCGACAAGGCTAACGTTGCATTTCGCGCAACTTGAGCCCATCTCACAAGTTGCACAACTTGGTGGGATCTCGTCCAATCCACGCCGATGAGTCTGACACTGACATCGAGAGATTGCCAAGGCCACGCCTGGGAAGCCAGCAGGGAATGGGATTCCCGTCCAACAGACGGGACCTCGTCGAGTTGTCTTACTGTTGGACCTCCTAGCAGCCAGCCACTGCGCCAAGTGCATGAACGTCGGCCAGTGATTGGCATGTCGGCGTGACCAGCGACTACACTATGTAAATTGGTCTCACCACAGGGGCCTAGGTGCTGGAGAATGCGTCTTCGGCACTCGAGCCGCGGCTTCGGGTTTAGCTTGAAAGCACTTCGACTAGTACGGAGTAATAAGTACACTACGTGATTGCACCCTTTGTTTTGGTTTCTAATTTTCCTCACAGACGGCTCCTCCCGTCCGGCTTTTAGCCGGCTATGTTGGAACCCACATGAATTTCATGATTCCAGGGTGCCGGCGCCAGCAGCACGCCATCACTTCCCTCATAGCGGCCAACATACGAAGGTGAGAAATCTATCACGACTTGGCATCTCTTGCCGCCCCAACATCCGTGGCAGAGATGTTTGGCTCCTATGATTTGCGGATGCTACGTGGGATGGCGTATGGCTTTAGAAGCCGTGAATGAGCCTGCCACGACACTGGACCTGTGACCTGTCCTGTCGAGGGCCGAGGCCCTCGAGGGTGTGGACCGAGCTAGTGATCAAGCCAGCAAACAGTGGCGTGAATCGAGAGCTTGTTTGGCTCGGAACACATTCCGTCTTCCATGAGCGGCAGGGAGAACCTCGTCACATCAATGAGTTGAGCGGGCAGCTGTTGGGGCGAACCAACTTGAAGTCGCTCGGATCTCCACGAGCCTGTGACTTCATACACCATCTAGCCTAAGGCCTCAATAACATCTCGACTTTGCCGCTTTCTGATCACCACTCAGACGCAAGACGGCAAGTACACCGGAAGGGTGTTGCTGAGTACGAGGTCAGAATACGGCGTTGGTGATGACAGCCAGCCCTCTCGATTCCTAATCTCCATGAAGCCAATGCCCAACCTCCCCATTCCACGTACGATGTGCAACCGTAGGGGAGGGGTCGGAAGGTATCTACGAAGAGAAGGCATCAGATACGCAGCCCTGCCGAGATTGGACGTGCTGTCTAAGACAATGGGATAACGCCTCCAATGACCAACGTGAGATCATCTGACCGCTACTCCGGCATTCTACGGAGGCGGAAGGCGGGTACTACACGGAAGGGAAGAAGGGGACCTCACAACAAATCAACAACGGGTATAGTGGGCTGCCAATGAGCATCAGTACCCCCATGTTCGAACCACCGCCTCCCGCGCCCTTGATCACACCCGAGGGTTCGATCCTACGCATTTTCTGGCAATTCCCCTTCCCAATCGAGCGCCTTGCATCCCATCGACACACCACCTCCTAGACACCATCCCCCCGCCCACCATCACAACAGCCGCCAACCGCCAACCGCCAACCGCCAAGCCTGGGGATCACCTCCCCTTCCTCCGACTCGAACCTGACCCCGATCCCGACGTTCCCGACGTTACCCCCGACGCCGAGGAGGATGACGAGCCTCCAGGATCGGGTCCGCACGTGTCACAGCAGACGTGGTAGCAGAACGTGTCGGGGCTGGTCCGCATCCGGTGCTGGCACCAGCGGTACTCGTTGCCGCGCCCGCCGCACTGGCAGCACACCCAGCGCCCGCCCAGCTGGGACAGCCGGCAGAGGCCCGACGAGCAGTCGGGCGATATCACGCAGCCTCCTGTTGCGCTGCAAAGCACCACCCCGCCCCCCCAAGGGTAGGTTAGGTAGTTAGTTAGCCAACCAGGTCAGAGAGAGCTTCGTACGGTAATTTTTGCTGCGTGCTCTATGGCTACCCTCTTTTTGCCTCAGGAGCGGGGGACGTGGAATTTTGAAAGAAAGGACGGGGGAAATCGGAGGGCAAAAAAATGCATTGCATTACGTACCACGGATCGTTGTAGTCGACCTGATTCATCAGGGCTGCACCCCCGTCGGCGAAGTATGTCTCGTTGCACGGCTGCGTCTCGCCTGTGGTCGGATCGGCCGTGGCCTTGAAGCAGTACTCGTAGTGCACCACCATGTCGATCGGGCGCGGACAGGAGGGCAGGTCTAGAACAGAGGAAAGAGCGGGGACACGGGGTTTTGGGTTAGTCTGGTTTCTTCTTCTTCTTCTTCTTCTTCTTTCGGCCTCTCGGGATGTTTTTCGAGTGTGGTGCCCAGACGCCCCGGTGGGAGGGGGGAGGAGGTGGGGGGGGGGGGGGGGGGGCCATGTTTGGGTGTTTCTTTCCTCCCTTCCTGGAGCAGCATGCCGCGAGAGAGAGAGAGAGACAGAGCGAGAGAACCTGATGGATACGTGACGTACGGTGATGGTGGAGGTAGTTCCACGTGCACATTGTGCTTGTCCTTTCTCTCTCTCTATGTCGACTCTGTTGTTCCTCTCTTTTTCTTGGTGTTTCTCTTCGAGATTAGGGGACCGGCCTGTCGAGGCCACTTCTGCACTTTTCGTCTTCTGGCTGGATCGAAACGTTCGCGGTTTGTATTCTCCTGCTGTTGTTTGGTCGCTGCCCCTTGACTCGGCCCCTTCGAGGTGTCCCGTTCACTGTCAACACCGGAGCTTCCCCGGCCTTTCTTTCTGTATACTGTACTGGTGACAAGTCCAGTATACGTGGAGGATATTGAGTGATGAGCTCTCACAACGTCGCGGTGCCTGGAGCCTGGATGATATTGGCCGCTCAAGGAGCTGTTGATGCGGACTGTAGATGGTTGCTTCGACCGGAGTACGCTCAAGTGAGCATGGTCTGATGAACTGTTCACAGTCTATGATTTCTTTGATCAAGCTTCAAGTTCACTCTCATTCCAAGTCAGTTGCTGGATACCGCTGTGCTTAGGTCACTGTCGCGGTCTCTGTGACCTGGGTGGAAGGGGGTCAGAGTCAAGTGACAGACCTTCTTGATCCTTGTATTTGTGCAAGTTGAGGTGGGCGTCCTTGGGCAGCGAACAAGGGGACACCAATGATGGCAAGCAGGTGCTGGACTGGTCCGGTGAGGACTATGGCTGTGTGCTTTTATGAGGTGTGGGAGGCCAAGGGTGAGTTCGAGGAATCCAGTCTCCGTTTTGATAATGGCAACGATTCTTCTCACTGACAAAGGAGGATAGGAAGCTTAAGGTGCCCGACGACTCAACACCGATACAAGCGCTCGTGGCTTATATAGTTGGAATCCGACCAGCGGATAATGAAGCGAACACAAGGTGGCTGAGATTGAAGTCTCCGAGAATAGCGCCACAACGCCATTGATGAATGAGATGAGGTGTTACCAGGGCCGTCATCGAGTCGGTGGGAACACACCGGTTCTATCTAAGCCCTCCTTCTCCCGCCGGGCCTCGAGGCGTCGTCATCGTGGACTCCGCTTCCTTGGACCAGCCCTCAGCCCATGCGCTTGGCAATCTGTTGCTTTACGAGCTGTGCACTTGGAGGGCGTTCGAAAGCCATCAGTCCGCAGGACAGATGAGGACATTCTAGACGCACTTGAGGACCAATCCGGTCTCGTCAACGGTCACCGAACCCATTATTGACAGCCATGTCCGACCCTAGCGGGGATAGCACGTGGCCACCGCGATTGTTGGTGCGCTTTTCCCTGCCTCCCGTGCGTGGTGGAAACGGTGGAAACACGGGCATCGCTGGATTGTGGGCTCGAGACAGGAGTGACACAAAGCTGAGACAGGACGGCCTCTTGCCCCCCACCGGTGCAGATAAGGACCTTTTCAGCAAAAAGTTTCATTCTCCACGGAGGGCTGACAGGGCTTGGCACGGGACGGCTGCTGAACCCTAAATGCAGGGTCCGGCTTGTTTAACGCACCTTATTCTGTGACTCGTGAGTCTAGTATCACCCGCCTCGGCTCAGCCCAGCGCCCACCGCCGGGGAACCGGGTCTGTCACATGCCCCGGGACATTCTTGCCGGAGGACAACGTCTGGAACATGCCAGACGAGTATTTCTATTAATATTTCCCAGGGCTGATTCTGTCCCAGCTGAAAGAGCCTGCCGTATCTTGTCGAATCCCCGGTTGCGGCTTACGCCCGCAACACCACGCATCGAGACATTTTGGGAGGAAGCCCAAGTGGGCAACGGATGCAGATTCAAGCCAGATATGAGGCAGCAACCTTTCACCGCTGCTGATGGCGCTACATGTGTGAATGGCGAATACGACGCATTCCCTGGAGTCTGATAGGAAGATGAAGATGACGCAGACAGTACACTCCTATTGGGCGGATCTCTCTCAGTAGTCCAACTGCTACAAGTCGGGAGTCTGATACGCTCCAGAGGCTGCGAATTGCTCAACGTCTCATATCCCGGCAAGAGTCAAGCTAAGTGGCAGTTCAACAACAAAATTCCCGCAAATATTGATGTGGCCTTCCTTTCTAGCACAAGGCCGAGCCTCGAGACCCGGGATGGGAGAGCGGAGTGAGGCGGCTCTTACACGGGCCCGCGGCATAGCCACCTCCCTTGACCTTGACACCTGTTCCGTCTTGAACAAGGCAGGGGTTCAATTGAACATCAAAACGATCTGCGCCGGCGTCGATCGCCCAGACCGCATCTACCTCCGTGCCGTGCATGACAACCCGGCAGTTGATTGCGTCGTTTCTACTCGTTTCTACTTTGTCTGGCTTTATCGGTGTCAAGCAATCACGATGGCACGTCAGGTGTGGTTTGCCGTCGATCAAGGAATCCATGGAAACTTCTATGAAAAAAAGAAGAGCCAGTGCGCCGTCTGGGATGCTCTTTCAAGCAGCGTTGTCTTGCAGGGGCCATGCCCAAGTGAGACAGGACCTTCCTCGAGTCTGGAACTGGCTTGTTCGCGAGGACCTCATACCTTGACATCTCATCGTAACACAAATTTAAGTCGAGACTGCAGGCGTCGAAGTTAAGCTAAATACTCATTTTTCAAAGGACGATACCCCCAACCAATGGCGATGCTTGCGTTGCCTCTGACTCACCTTCTCTGCCGGCCAGGAAGGATGCGTCGTACATCCAACATAGTGTGTGAGCCTGCCTTGCCAAGAGAACCTGATACTATCCCCTCGTCTCAAGGTCGAGGGCTGGTCCTAGCTCTCAACTCTCTAACATCGAAACAAAACATCGGCCGTTTGGCCAAACACCATGTTTTTTCCCTGCTCCTGTTTGGAGCGGCAGCTGGCGTTTCCCGCTTATTAAGGTTTTGAACCGTTGTGACCGACTCGTCTGAGACTGAGAGCCGCACGAATCAAAAACTCGAGTGAGGTTACCGGGTTACTATGTGTAAGGTCGCCACTGCCCTTCGGTGCCTACCGTCGTGGCCAGAGGCCTCCCCTCCCGTCTTCGAGAAGGGTGCTACAGAAAAGACTGATACCGGCCATGTCCTCACGGTGACTCCTCGTAACCATGCGGTGCTTTGAATCTTCTGAGGAACGTGACACGGTGGCACAGAGAAGCTAAGTAGTACCGTACATACGAGCAACCTCGGAGAATTCGTTGCTTACAAATGTTCTGAGCTCGACCGCATTCATGTGAAACCCGAGTATGCCCCTGCCTCCTCTCACCGACGCCTATTCCTGATTCCTCGCGGGGAGGGAGTTCAGAAAGGAAGCCCGGGTTCTCGCCACAGAATCTATCGGTAGCATGGGATTTGTGCGTGATTTTGAAACTTAGATGGGCCAACTTAGTCCTTTTCAGCCACCGATTTTAACACAGTGCTTGAGGTTCAAGTAGTTTGAAAAAGTCGAAGATTCAGTTACCAGCCCAAGCTGTGAGTCCCAGGGCTGAGGCTGGGATGCCCGGCGTTCAGCCAAACGCCTCAAACATCAGGCCACTTTTTGATGCTGTGGACGAGTGATTTTTTTTTTTCTTTTTGCACAGCAATGCAGCTCCCCTCGTTGCTTGGATGGTTCATTCCTAGATATGGTTCGACGTTGGACTTGTCTCGGAGCGAACCGATATCCTCCGGCATCAGCACGGCGCAGGTTGGGTGACGCTGTCAGCCCGCAGCGCGGAACCCTGACTAAAAGAGGAAGGCGTGACATGACCGTAAGAGGTGTGAGGTAATTCTCAACTCTGGCCGAGTGGCTTGCTACCTGGATTGTCACATGCTCAGGCTCATGCTTTCCTACTAGTGAATGCACTGCCTGTTAAGGGGGGACCGGGAAGCCCGAATACCCCCCGAGTGCCCTCGTCAATTTTGAATGAATTCTTAGTTGCGCTTAGCTCGGTTCATGATCCGAACCCTAACGGTTGTATGTAGGTTATTTAGAGACTCAGGGGCTCACAATGTGGATGGATAAAGCGACCCGAAGAGTACCTACCTTAGCAACCCCGAGGATGAGTCGAATCATTGAGCCTCTACATCTGGACAAGAGTGTGTAAGTCTACAAAGGCAGCAAGAAATTTCAATGCCTTCAGTTGCAAACCAAGAACGGCGATGTACCATCACTCACGACGTCAGCTCAGAGCTCTCAAGCTTCTAGATTTATCATATTTAAGACCTTCGCCGACCACCTTCGACTCTATCGTAACACAGGGCCCAACTCATTTCATCCTAGGTACATGAGTCGATCACAAAACTGGCATCTACGTCGACGTCACAGTTCTCAACTTCGTCAACAAGCTTGCGCTGCCACAAACTAGTATCGCGAGGGTCAAAAGCTCCCAAGTGCGGTTGGCCATCGCCTCACGTCAATAACGCCTCCCCTGTTACCTATTCATCGACGGTAATAGACCAAAAGATGAAAGGGAAGTACCCATCCCAACGAGCATCCCAGAGGGCAAAACCGAGCCAGCAGGGCTAGAGCACACGGGGAAGAGAATGTGCCTCTTGTCTATTCTGTGTATTGAAAGACAACTTCTAGCCAAGCTCGACTCCTTCCTCGTCTAGCACAACAGCTCCCCGCTGGAGGATGCACACAACAGGCGCATCAACTTCCCTTGGAGAAGGACACCACAGCCCACTTCCCGCTCCAGGCCCATTTCCGCGCCCCTGAATCGTCACCACCGCCCTCCGTCTGCCTCAGCCTCTCGTCCTCGCCAGGCTTCAAGCCCACCACGACGTCGGCCTTGCAGGTCCGCAAGGCCAGCACATTCAGCCCCGATCCCGGACCAAGCGGCCCAATGGCCTCGGTAAACGGCGTTGTCGGGTCCCACGTCACCTGTCTCGCGTTAGTGCACGTCCCAAGTCTTGAAAGATTCAAAAAGACAAAATGGTCGGCTGGTAAAGGGAGAAAAGAGAGAAAAAGATACTCACATCGCCAACCAACTTCCTATAATTCAGATCCCCCTTGAACACCACCAGCTCCCCCGTCTTGAGATCTTCCACCACATCCTTCGCCTCAGCAGGCAACCTCCAGTAACTCCCGGGGCCCGTCCACACCCGGTTCGGCCGCAGCACCAGCTGGCCCTCGGCATGGAACCGGCTCCACTCCTGGAATAAGAACCCCAACTCCGCCACCTCCTTATCGCTCAGCTTCTCGGGCGTCCGGCCCTGCAACACATCCTCCTCGGTCGCCTGCTCGTAGAACCCCCTGGGGTTAGCTAGCGCGTTGAGCAGCGCGGCAAAGTCGGCCGGCAGCACGTCCGACACGAACCAGGGGATGGACTTCGGGTGCAGCACCACCGTGGTGGCCAGCCCGGCCGAGAGCAAGTACCCGGCCAGGATGAGGTCGACGTAGAGCTCGAAGCCGGCGTTGTCCAGCACGATGTCGACGCGGCGCTCTTTGCCGCCCTTGGCGGGATCGTTCTTGGCGGCGAGCAGGTGGGCGTAGACCTGCGGCAGGTCGTTGACGAGAATGTTGTTCTCTGCCTTCCGCCGCGCTTCGGACCCTTGGAGCCGTTGGATGTCCTCGTAGGTCAGGCTCGTGAGCAGGGAGAGGTCGGTCGCGTTGCCCCAGAGGCAGACCTCGCACATCTCGGTGAAGAGGAGCCGGTCGGCTTCCGGGTCGGGTGCGTTGGTGGAGGAGCGGACCTGGCTGATTAGGTCTTTGTACCGCGCTGCGAGCTCGAGGACGGCGGGGCGCGACGAGCGGAAGGTCTTGATCTTCTGGCGGGCGAATACGTCGTAGGACTTCCAGTGGGTGGAGAGGGTGAAGGACGTCGACATACGGCTGGGGGGCGGTAATTATATTAGGGGTTGTTGTTTTCATGCTGGGTTCGTGGGAAGCTCACCGAAAGAGATAGCACTCGGTGAACAGCCAGGGCGCCTTCAACCAGGTGATGCTTCCCAGCTGCTCGAGCTCCTTGTTGTATCCTGCGACGTCTGGGTATCCATCGTCTCGAAGGGGCCTGTCTCGTCTTTCCTCAGTATGTTTATCACATGGCGTGGGCATCGCGATGGAGCGTACGTCAAGGCTCGGTCATGCTGCACCTCGTACTTGAGCTGCACCAACTCGGCGACAATCTTCTTGCCCTCCTCTTGCTTTTCGGCATCGTCGCAGGCTGCCACCGTGCGGTAAGCATCATCGATCGCTTGAGTCTAGAGGGAGAGCTTTTAGTCGACCGTGGACAGTAAGGTAGGTACGGGATCCGAATCCTTACGATGATGATGGGCCATCGTTCGCGGGCAGTGGGGTAAGCGAACGAGGTCGGGTCGGCCGTGGAGTATGGGGCTACAGTAGATGCGTTAGCTTTGGACGGGGAAGATAAGGACAAAGCCCCATACGAGGTTTTGGGTCGAATTGCATCTTCTATAAACTCAAATCTGTCACTTGCAGGATCTTAGACTGGCGGACGATCGTGATCGTGGCATCGCGAATCTCGAAGTCGAGATTGTTGGCGGGGTAGCTCTGAGCTTGGAGGGGCCGCCCGCGACGCGATAGCAATATCGGGGCTCGGCGTTAAGTGCCCCGATGTTTCTCATGGTGGGTTCCGTGACCCCGGTGCCATTAGAATACATCAAGGTACGTTTTTCGCAATCCACCCATAATGTAATGCTGTGAGAGTCATCAAAGCCTTTATCAAGCCTACAATACTTCTCGAAGCGACTGTTGTTTCTAAGTTCTAACGATTGGGAAGCATCACTCAGCTCTGATACAAGCGTTGCCAAAGACTCATTCCCGGCTCAGGTTTCTGGCGGGAACGAATGACCGAATCCCGGCACCCCCCATACCGCCGACAGAAGCTCTGCTCCAGGGCCTGCTTCTGCGCAACCAGCCACTCATAGCCATGCTGTCGAATCTGGCGCTTTGTTTCCGCGGTCCATCGCCAGGGGTATGCGAGCTCAACATAAAATCCAGCTAAACCGTCCTCCCGTGCCAGCTGTCCCAGAGGACCCATAAGCCGTGCGTAGGCATCCAGGATACCAGCCCCCTGGCTCTCGGTCAAGGCGTGACGGTGTCCACCGTAGTGATTGTTTTGTCCAAAATCAGCCATGACGAAACGGATGGCAAGCGCGGGGGCGTTGACCCGGCCACGGATCCAGTCGGCCGTAGCCCGCCAGTCCAGCACGGGCGCGTCGTCGTCCCGCGGCCAGCCGTGCGGCGCGTAGGGCGGGAACACCAGCTCGAGGAAGCGGAGGTCGGCGAGGCAGCGGGTGGGCACAACGTCCCGGAGGAATTCGGAAGCGGCGAACCGTCTGTATTCGTAGTACTCCTTCTCGGTGACATCGCGTTCGCACTGTACCCCGGGCAGCTCCCACGGAACCTCAGCGCGGAAGTCGAAGACAACGAACCGGTTGCCCGAGAAGAAGACGAACTGAGCGTCCCGGCACAAGGCGCGGCTGATGAGGAACAAGTCCGTGGGCGGAGCCCAGCACCTGCAGCTGGAGGAGGCGGCGGCATGCCGGCGTCGGCAGAAGCATCCAGGAGAGGGTGGAGCGTTGGGATCGGGGTCGTAATCGAACGAGCATTGGGTTAGCCGACAGCCGTTGTGGACAGGGCATTTCCTTTCGTGCTCCAGCCGGCAGCAAGGCCGCATGATGAGGTAGCCGCGGTCCTGTCTGCTCCATGCAACCTCCTTCCAGGGGGTTATCAGGTCGGTGTATTCCAAGATACGGAGACGTAGCTCGGTTGGGAGGGTTGTGAGCAGCTCAACCGACTGGTTCTTGGCCGGGCCAGGGCAGAGGGGGAACGCAGTGCGACGGGCTTGTGACACCGCTTCCTCGGCCAGCCGCTGCAGCGGACGGTTCCGCGTCTCGCAAAGCCGTACATGACAGTCTTTGAGCGGTGGCAGAAGAGTGAGAGGGTCGATGGCGAGCCGGGCCGCCTCGAGTGCAAACTCATGCTCCGGGTCGATATCGCACACCAACGAAAGCTCAAGGCGTCCGGCGCGAACATGCGCTGATAGGCAAGCCGCCGTCTCGCGCCACTCCCTCAGGATTGCCTGGGCTGACAGCTTGTACGACGTCGAGTCCAAGGAAGAATCGAGTAGCGGACGGCCGTGCAGGCCCCTATGGAGCTCAGTGCAGTCGATGGTTACGTACTCTCCATACAGCACGCGGCTGTCGTGATGGCAGCACGGGGGCGGGTACTGGACCGAGTTGGTGTGGTGGTGGCAAGAAGATTCGCTCAGAACGACCTTCAGACTGGTCAGAGCGGCGAGAGAGGCTGGCGTCAGAGCGCGGAGAGGCTTGAGGCCTTGCTGCTGAGAGTAGAAGATGACGAATCGGTTGGCGGAGTAGAGCAGAGTGGCGACTTCGGCGTGCAGGGTGCGGCAGGACAGCAACAAGCCGGCGAAGTTGCTTGCAGGCGGCGGGTCCCATTCGGACTTCCATCGCCGCGTCTCCTTGCGGCCGTCCAGGTAGTACGTGAACGGGCGCCCGCCAAACAGCGCTACCTCTAGGTAATGGTATATGCGTTGACGCAGCTGAGAAGGCAGGCGGAGGAAGCCGGGCAGCTGCTTTTCGATATCTGGCGGAATGGTTGGTGACATTTCGTTATTGGTCGGGCGCCGTGGAGGAGGCGGCAGAACGGGTAGCCGTCTCCCATGCTCTTGCTGAGCCATCGTTGAGCCTTTAGATTTTCGTGATCTTGGTCAACTATATCGGCCGCTGTCGTGAGGGGCAAGTGTGGTAATATATATATTGGTACGTGTGGTGCGTGGCGGGGGACCACAAGATGTGCGGGGTGTACAGTACATGAAGTTGGTTGGCGGACGGCGTGCCAACGGACTGTTCCTTTTGGCTCGTGTAACACAACCTGCTGTGGGCAGTCGCCTGCGGACTGCAGCTCTGGACCGTGAGAGAGGACGGGAATGGTTGTAGCGCAACGCCACACTGCGTGGCCACCTGGGCACTCCTCCTCATTACAAAGCAGTCGAATGCAGCTGGTACATACCGCAGTTCTAGTGTAGGCGGTCTTGACGTTGAGGGGTGCTGATCGCTTTCAGGCAGCCAGTCTGCATAATGGATCATGCAGACTGATTCGAGAGTCCGAACCAACCAAGCATTGCACTGTCGGGATCCAACCGGGGATCCAACCGCCCGGCAGCCGGAAAACATGCATCTCCTTACATCTGAACTCAGCATACCTAACCATGGTATTAACCAAGTAACAAACCGACATCCCAAGCGCCAACCCAAAAGGATACTACCTACCATGACCCAACTTACAACCTTCAGACGTCAGCCAAGAAAAGAATACCTACCTCAATACCCCTGTCCCGTAACAGCCCCAACAGCAAGCACCTCGATCCTCCCCACGTACAGTCTCATCATATGCGCCACCGGATCGCCCCAGATCACCCCCCTTAGCTGCTCGTCCGTGGCAATCTGTGCCACGACGCCCTCGTGGAGCCGCTCCTCGACCGTCGTCTTCTTTTTGCTCCTGAACCTGGCCTTCGGATCGCCCGACCGCAGCACCACGATGCGGCCTGCGCAGCTGAGGGTGCACGGCGGGACGTTCCATATGGGACCTGCTGGGGGCTGCTTCGTTTGCAGGGAAGAGGACGAGGTGTCCGGCGTCGCGGTGGTGGATTTCTTGGTGGACGTGTTTGAGGACTTATCGCTTCGTTGCTGCTTTTTACGGTTGTTGTTGTTGTTGTTGTTGTTGTTGTTGTTGTTCTTGTTGTAGTCCACCCGGGAAAGAGCTGGCTCGCGCGATTCGGCGGCCATCCCTGGGGCTGGCGTCGCGTAGAGCTGTAGCAGGCTCTTCACGTACGCCGTGTCGGCTCGGGTCACCGGGTCGCCTTCGTTGACGAAGCTCAGGAAAAGGCTCTTCTTCAGTTGCGGACGGAGCACGTAATCGTTGGGCTTGGTCAGGGGGAGCAGGCTGACAGGTGGTGTACCGAATGTGATACAGTGGATCCGCTTGAAGCACCCAACCACCGTGTTCAGCTCGCTCTCGGCCGCTTTGGACGTGGCGATCATATGGTTGTATAGAAGCGCGGCAACTGCACCGCCGGCACTATGGCCTGTGATGAGCAGCGAGTATGAGGCCCGTCCTGGGTCTTCCTCGAGCAGCTGGCGTAGTCGACGGGCTACTGGGGCCACCATGTTCCGCGCGACGGAGAGGAAGCCGGCGTGGCAGAGGTTTCCGGGGTCATCCTGATGCGAATCAGTATCGCCTGGCGCTAGAAGGGTGAGGGGTTGGCCATACTAAGAAGCCTACAGGGGACGTTGGGGCCATTTTGAGATTGACGGACCAATCCATGAAGGTGGCCGTTCCGCGAATGGCAAAGACGATGGTGTTCATGTGGTCCATCGGCACTGACTTGATCACCATGGCCTTAGTACCCGTCCGCCAGTCGGCCCCGACGTGTGCATCCCGTTCAGCACACCCAGTCGGCGGCTCATACACACGTTCCGAGTACTGAGCCGCCAGGCAGAGCAGGGGATACGTGGGGATGTACCTGATCGCCCTGTCAGCAACAGCTACGCACATGAGGTTGACAGCTGCGTACAATCTGAGCGGCGGCAAGTTCATGGGCAACCTTGAGTTTGCGTAGCAGTCCACTCTTGCAAAAAAGCTCCCGGAAAGCTCTGTTGGCGCCGCGGTGGTCTGGCCCTTACGACGGTCTTTCCCTTGGCTCTTTCTGCTAGTCATGGAAAGGCTCTTCTCCCCTTGGCGCACCCCCGGCAGCGGTGAAGGTGTCGACATCTCTGTCGGCTGCCATGCGTAAATATCTTGCTCCTTTCCATCGTAACCGCCTTGGTCGATCATGGTCAAGACACCGTCGAATCGGTTCGATATCTCATCGACCAAGGCATTGCCTTGGCTGATCAGTTGGCCACCGCAGCTTTGCCATGTCGGCGGCAGCGCGTCGCCTACCAGCCGTGGAATACCGCTTCCTTGCCATACCTCCTTGGCCAGATCCGCGACTGACCCGAGATTCAGTGTGCTTACGGGGCTGTTCGTGGCATGAGGCCTAGCCGGGGTTTGCGCAGAGGGTTGAGGTCCCAGATAATAATGGTGCTGGTTCACGATGATGGGTGGATACGCTCCGGGCTGCTGGTACGATAGGGGAGGCTGCACCCCACCATGCCACCCTGGAGGTGGAGGCAGAAGGCCGGCCGGCTGGAAGGGTGGAGGTTGCGGAAGGGGATTGATGCTCAGATGCCGGCCTTGCGAGACATGACTGGGTGGGCGAGGCGCGCATCGGCTTTGGTCTTTGGTTCCGCTCGCCGGTGAATGCTTCTTCGCCTTCTTAGACCTGGTGAAGAACCCCATGCCAGAGCTGAGTCTTGACGAAGTATCAACATGGAACTGTCACCGTTTCCTCGCGCAATCTCCCCAGCTTGGAGGACTTCAGATGCTGGAGCTCACGGTGGCGATGAACAGAAGCCACTGGACCTCTACTGGAGCGATGATGTAGGAAGCTGAATGCCACCAAGAAAGCTATGTAATGACGAATTGGGAAGACTACCAGGCCGGTCTAGATGAGTTTGCAGACACAAGCTTATCAATGCTCGAACCTGGCACATATGGCTTGCAGAATGGCTTGCGGGGCAGGTCGCGGCCGGAGTGCCTTGCTGCTCTCCCCTGCGTGTAACATCCTGGTCGACAGGTGTCTATGTGCTCCCATTCGCTGTCGTTGAACTGCTTCGCCTCGAATCGCAATCCACAGTGGCGGGTTTGCGGGCCTCGGCACTGGCCGAGGACTTCAGTGAACGGGAAGAAAGCCTGCATGCAAACTGCCCCAGAAAGGTACTATCGTCTCCTGATAGCCGCCCTGGCCTGTCGGTGAAGCGAGCGGGGGGCTGCTGCTGTGGGATTTGACGTCGATGCTTGACTGTCGTTGCCAAGCCTCGTTTCCGAGTCTAGAGCTCATGTCCTCCAGATTGCCCTGCAATGAGTTTGCTAGCGAGTGAGGGCGCGCCGGGGAGTAGATACTCGGCCATTTGAGACCGGAATTGACCAGTGTGTTGAGAACTCGAGTTGGCATTGGCTTTCCGGCTCCGATAACCTTGTGGGACAACCTCGACTTGTGATGAACCGCATAGACTTGCATAGGCTTCTCCAGTAGCTTGAAGGGACGCATGCAACCCAAGGGTTCATCACTCCCGTCCAGATCGCTCGCCAGTGAGCTCGCTGGAAGATAAAAGCTCGAGAAACTGCAATTGGACGAAAGGGATGCTACCCTTCAGCATCGTAGAAACACAATCACTGACAATGATGCCGGGTAACTTGCTCCGTGGATGATGAGTTGAATGAGATTGAGGACACAAAAGACAAACAGCAATGAAGCCTTGGCACGTGATGCTGGTGGATCATGGATCATTGATCATGAATGACATGAATGGACCCTAGACAGCGTCCGTGCTTCCACGCGGATGCCCCTGGTCGGCAGTCGGAACACGAAAGAGGGGCGTGCGGACCTGAGTGGCCTGTCAACGCCAACGGCTAAACAATTTCGCGACATCTGGAACACGACATTTCATGCAACTGAGCAGGACTTGGGCAGTGAAGTTGTTGTCTGCACTGCCCAGCTTGCACGCGTCCTCGAGATGCAGCTAAAGACGCTATGGATTTTGTGAGGAACCCCAACCCAACAACAGACTGTCGCCCACTCTATGCGTCCGCTAACACCTTTCCCTTTAGTGGTCGCGCCTCCTAGCACACACGCCGCTGGCGTCGGCAAGCTCCCGCAGGGACTTTGCGAAGGACCCCGCCCGTCGCCTGCACCGGTTCGAGAAGGAATACAGCCAGCTTCTGGTGAGCATTCCACCATGAGAAGGGCGGGATTGGCGCGCTGACTCGGCCCAGCACATCTGGCGCAACTCCTCCAGCCTCGCGCACGACGACGAGGCCGCCGAGCAGATCGAGATCCGCCTCCAGGAGCTGACAAACCTATTGAGCGACGAGTCCCGCCGGCCGTTACCCCATCCCTGCATCGCGTTCGCTGCCGCCAAACAGGTCTATATTCCCGTGGCCAAGATCGCGACAAGCTCCTTCAACGAGTGGATTGTCAAGGAGGCCGTCCTCTTCTTTGCGAGCTTGATCGAGAGCGAGGAGGAGGCCTTTGTCGAGAACGACGCGTTCGCCGTCAGCCTGACCAACCTGCTGGTTCGCATAACGGGCACCAATAGCATCCGTCTGAGCGCCGACACCGAATCCCGCGTTGTCGAGCTCGCCTTCAACATCACGACCAAGATCCGGCTGAATCCTCAGATTCTCAATGCTTGGTTCAAGTCGCAACAAAATGGCCCGCCAACGGCAAAGCAACTGGACGATCGTGAGAAGTTTGCGGGTAGGACCCAAAAGCAGGACTTCCCCTTGTTCTACCTGCTGGTGGACTACATCCACCACGAGGGCAAGGTCGGTGATTTTGCCCGGACCGGCCTGCTCTACATCATCGAGGCAGCATCAAGTTCGGTCATGTTGGAGCAATGGATTGTCGAAAGCGACCTGTCGACGCTAATGGCCACGGGATTGGGAGCTCTGTATAGCCAACTGAGCCGCAAACTTGTGATCGACCACCCGCCCAACGAACTCCCACCGATTCTTGCATTCTCCGACTACCAGCATCCCAAGTCCAACTACGAGATTGTCAGTTCCTGCTCCTTCGAGTTCCAGTCGCACCTCGACACCTTTCTCTCCAACCTCCTCTTTTGGCAGGATGTCTTGAACCACTGCCGGTCTGTTGAGGTCAAGTCCACTCTGCTCGAGCACTTCCAAGTTATTTTCCTGCAGCAATTATTGTAGGTCCCAACAGCCCAACACAAAACACGTTCTGGTTTTGCTCACTGCGGCGCAGATACCCCTCGCTTCTCGAGTCTTCTGACGTCGACGGCGGCTCATCGGTCGCCGTCCTGACCTATCTTCGCCGCATTCTGGAATCGCTGGACCATCCCGACATGGTCAATCTCATCCTCCACTACCTCCTCGGCTTGCCTGATATTGCTGGGCCTGTCAGTGCTAAGTCTGGGGACAAGGTGAGCGCCGCGCGCAAGCGCAAGTCGCTCGATCTTGCCACCATGATGGCGTCCAAGGGCGAGGCTGCCGCAGACCCATTGCTTTTCAACCTCGTCGATCTGATCTTGGCCTGCCTCCGTTCACAGAACAGCCAGACAGTCTACGTCACCCTTCAGTTGGTTTCGGTGATCCTTAAGAGGCATCACCGGTATGCTGTTATCACCCTGCTCTACACGGAAGGCGTGCTCGGGGAGTCGCAACATCGCACATCAGGCGCCCACCAGCAAGAGGTCGAGTACCTCATGTCGCTGGCTGGAAGTGTGGGAGGACAGGACAACTTCGACGAGATCTATGACAATATCCTCAAGGACACCCTGGTACGACTAGAAAACCACCCGTGCTCCATAAGGCTGGTCACACCAAGGACGTCCACCCACAACCACAAACTCCCGGAGGTTCCAGACGGCCTTCCAGGAGCACCAAGGGATGTTCGGTCCCACACTCTTCACCCGAGCGATCCCCTGCTCAACATTGTGCTTGACCGGCTCGAGACCTTCTTTCTCAACCCGGTCGATATTAACCTTGCCCTTACCGAGACTATCTTTGACCTCGCCGTCTGTGGCTTCATGCACCTCGAAGGGTGGTTCATGCGGAGTCCACAGACCTATGAATACGACGAGGAGGACGATAGTCCCCCGTTACCTGACCCACCATTGGACCCCGACTCCCAGGAATACATTGAGTACAAACAGATGCAGTCCATGCGGGAATCCCGGCGGCGTCCTAGATGGACCCAATCGAGTCTGCCTCGCCTGTTGAAGACCCTTCAGACCCTCTGCGACCAGGTGGTGGCGTACCGGGAGACCGTTCCGCGCTTCGACGATCTACTACAGCAGCGACGGGAGGCGTTCCAAATCGCAGACAGTGCGAGCCAACCCCTACCTCTGCGGACCAGAACGCCAGTGTCGCAAGCATCAACCGCCGTGGCGAGCACCTCCACGATAGATCGGCCGGCGGCCTTCGACGACAGCCGTAACACGTCCCGAGAAAGGCCGTCTGGACTCGAGGGCTTCGCCCAGCGTATCCTCTCAGAGCTGGGCACGCCCACGCGCTCCGGCAGTCCCCGGGCCCACACCAAAGACCCCAAGCGAACCATCCCTGACCGCGCGACGTCTGGCCCTCCCGCGCCCACTGACACGCCGTTGCGACCACCCACACAGGCCGGCCGGTCTTTCTCCCCAGGTCGGCCCATCACTCCGAGCGCGCCCGACGCCTTCGCAAGCCAGACCAAGGCCTTCCAGGCCATCGACCAAAGCATTCTCGCCAGACGAGTGGGGCTCCCAGAGTTCAAGAATGCCAAGGACAGCCAGCTGGAGCCGATCTCGCTGAGCTTTGACAGGCAACGGACAGCAGGCGGGGTCTCGGCGTCGGATGAGAAGCTGGCGGCGGACGAGGAGGCCAAGGCCGAGGAGGGCGGGGGCGAAGATGCGCTGCTGGCGCCGTCGGAGGATGAACAGGCTGACGACGACAACAACGAAGGAGACGACGCGCATGCGGACGGTGGCACGCCGACGGAGGACAAGACGGTGTCGGTGTCGCATGTCTTGACCAATGTCATTGTGCTGCAGTCGTTCCTGTTTGAGCTGGCCAGCTTGGTGCAGGTCAGGGCCGGGCTGTTCGACGAGGTGCGGTTTGCTTAGGAGGCGGATAGTACGAATGACGTTCCGTGGCGACGAGGGGTTGTGCGCGGGGAGTGGTTGGGTCGTCCGTTTGATGCGGCGGAAGTCCTTGGGGAGCTGTTTGGCTTGGCCCTGAAGGGCTGCTATGATCGGGATGTGTGGACTTGATTACTACTAGTAGTAGGTACCTTAGTTGTGGTTGTGTTTGCGGGTTCCGTTGTGTAAGGTTGGTAGAGTCTTTTTGTTGTTTGGGCAGGCATGCATGCATTGCTCGGCGTTGATATGGTTCCGCTGGCTTTTTTTTCCCCAGCAGTTTTAGATTTCTAGTGTTTGTTGTTGTTTGTCAGTCAGTATCCATTGGGGAGAACGCATAGGTAGGGCACCTCATACAAACTGAGATTGTTTGGTCCTGAGATGTGAAGGCGGATTTCCTGTTGACAAGGGGAAGGAGATCCCACCTCCATACGCTAGGTCATTGTCCGCCACCCTGGGAACGAACCACACATTACATACAACCTTCCACGGCTCGCTCGGTCAACGTTTTTATGTAGAGGACTCTGGTATGCCAGCACTTGACGAAACCCTTGCTCCTTGTCTTTTTTATGAAGCGGAAGTAGACATGTGATAGCAGGCATCCTGACAACTTTTCAGGCTGTGTGGTGGTGTGGTTCAGGGGCATGGATTGTCAGTGAGTGTCCTCATCAGAAACATAACATATGCAGATTGGTGTTCAACAGAAGGACATCGATGCTTTATAGCCTCTCTACTCTACGACAGGCAGCCTTAGTGAGAAAGTCAGATGAACTACTAGTTGATGACTTGTATGTGCATTTCCATCCAGATACTACTCGACAAAGTCGCCCCTACATGGTAACAACTTTGTCCCAGTGCGCTTTCTTTTTGTCTTCCCGTTTTATGAAAGCATGTTCTCGAGTTCTAACAGGAGTGTATAGGTACCTTATGTATGCATGTATATGTACCAGACGTTGTACAATACATACATACTCATGCCTTTCCCTTCCCCCCTGCCTTAGGCAGGCAGGATGCCCTGCGGGTAGTGGAACACATCCTCCGGATCAACCGCCCTCTTAATCGCCTGCAACCTTGCCAAGTGAGCCCCGCCGCCGCTCCCCCAGTAATTGACCTGCGCCTCGCGCTGGTCCAGCCCAGAGTCTGGATAGTTGACGTACATGCCCCAGCCGGCGCGGTCCATGTCCATGGTGATGTTGCCGACGAAGCGCTGCGTGAAGGCGTGGCCGTCGGCCGGGTAGGGCACGCCCTTGTCGACGCGGTCGTAGAAGAGGTACAGGAGCAGGTACTCGCGGTGGGCGTATGCGGTGTAGTTGGCGGGCTGGAGAGAGACGGCCGAGTGCGGCCCGCCGTGTAGGTCGATCTGTACGTACCAGTCTCGTTTGATGGTGGTGTTGTTGTTGTTGTTGGTAGCTTTGCCTTGGCTGAACCAGTAGTTAACGAAGCGCTGGAGCTGGGCGTCGTTTAGGGCGTTGGTGTAGAGGCTTGTTGAGTAGAAATTCTCGTGCTAAACAATATGGGTTGGGTTAGTGGTATAGCTCTGTTTTCTTTCTTTCCTTTTTCTATTCCTTTTCAGGGGCTGATTGATTCAGGGGCCTCGGTTCGATCGGGACTCACCTCCTCGTGGCCATGTCCCTGGTCGATGTTCCCGCCACCACCAAAATGCTTAATCTGGTCCAGCCAACCTCCTTCCTGAGCCAATGCCAGCGTCGCGTTCGTCTTTTCGATCAGCGGCGCGAGGGCCGCCTGCAGCCCGGCTTTGCCGCCATAGTACAGCCCCTCAAGATTAACAAAACGGCTGGCGATGAACAGACGCATGTTGAGCTCGGCGGGCATGGTCCCGGCAAACTCCTGGACCGCCTTCAGGCCGGCCAGCGCCCTCGCCTCGGTGGGCCAGCGCACCGACGCCACGAAGTATGTCAGCTTCGGCGGCGGCTGGAAGGTCTTGAAGCGGAACTCGGTCACGACGCCCATCGACCCGCCCGCGCCGCGCAGCGCCCAGAAGAGGTCCGGGTTCTCGGTCTCCGAGCAGTGGACCACGCTCGAGTTCGCCAGCACCACGGTCGCGCCGACCAGCCAGTCCAGTGCGAGCCCGTGCGTGTGAGAGCTGACGCCGTAGCCGCCGTGCAGTACATGGCCCCCGGCGCCCACGCTGTATGTATTGTAAGTAAGGTATGTCAGTAACAGTCCGGGGAAACCAGCCATAAAAAAAGAAATAAAAAACAAGAAAAAGAGACATAAAGAAAAAGGGCAAGAGTAACTGACCCGGGGCATGTGCCATGGCTGATAGCCCTGCCCCCCTGGTTCCAGAGCTCCCACGCCAAATGGCCAAGCCGCGTGCCGCCCTCCGCCGTGGCAATGCCGGTAGCGTTGTCCAAGACCACCCTATTCATCCGGCTCATTTCGATAACCAGGTGTCCGTCCTCGCCGCCCAGACCGAACGAGGCGTAGCTGTGGCCGCCGCACTTGGCGTTGGCCTTGACGCCGACTTGTCTGGCGCAGGCCACGGCGTCTCGCACGTGTTGCGCCGTCGTGACGGCGGCAACGGCCACGGGCGTGTAGTTGAGCCGCAGGTTGAACGAGGAGATGTCGAGCTGGTAGTCGGCCGACCCGGAAGCGTCCACGGGCACGCCGGCCTTGGCCAGGCAGTCTGACAGGGAGCCGGCTTTGTTGTTGTTGTTGTCGAAGGGCGATGGCGATGGCGATGTATGCGAGCTGCTGCTGCTGCTGCTGCTGCTGATGCCTGCCCACAAGCCCAGCAGGGCGGTAAGGGGGGCGAGGTGATGCATGGGAGCGAGTGCCCTTCTCAGAACTCGTAAAAACTTGACAGGGATACCTAAGGCGTGGTAGGGCTCTCGTGTGTCGTTTGAGTTTCTTTGCGGAAGTGACAGATCTTACCCCGTGGGGGATATCCGCAAACTCGGTTCTCGTCTGGGGTCAGATCGCGGGAAAAGAATCTGGGGAACTGTGGGTTGAGATATGTGTGTGGAATCGGCCAGTGTCTCAAGTTCGGGCGACTCCTCCGGCCCTCGTCGACAATGAGCAGTAACGACAGACGATGCCAATGGCGCCATTTTCAGTGCTTCATCGTATGGTGCTCTTCCATCTTTATATCGCGCAGCCTCGCCGTCCCCTGTTCAAGGGGCAGCGGAACAACGTTATCGGGTCACGCTGCCTTTTACCGGCTCTAGCTTAATTTAATCTTAACGAGCCCCAGGCGTGCGGTCGCGTGTTGAAAGCGCGGCTGGTTCCGGGAATCGTCTTCCTGGAGCCAGTTCCTCGGAGTCTGGAGGATGAAGGGAGCTTGGAGCCAATGGACGGGTCAATCTTGACTTGCAAGGGGGCGACCAACGGCGGTGATAGTCACCGAAGATCGTTGAGAAGCGTTATTTAGAGTATGTACCGTATGGTCCGGCGGCTTTAATCGTGCTTTGGCGATCTCTACATTCTCCATAGCGGCAAGAGCGCCACAAGCGAGAATCCCTTGCTGGCGGCTTATCGGCGGAAGTGATATTGCAGAGGCATGATGTGATCCATTGATCTGCGCCGGCGTTTACGGCTTGCGGTCCCGTGCTCCCGGGCGAGCACCGCGGCGACACTGTCAGTCTGTCACTACCTTGGTAAGTTAATACAGACCGTTACAGTCTCCCGGAGACCCGGATTCAGAATGTCAGATCTGAAGAGGAGATCACAGGCTCTCCTTGGCGATCTTTGAGATGCCGCCTTGAAACACGACATCCCACGCAATCGAATGTTCCACCGTTCTTCCCTGCGTGAACGTGACTTGTGGGTAGTATCGCTACTGTAGCCTTGAGAAAAGGACGTCCAAGATCCGTTTCCGAATACCGTACGATTTCGAGATTTGGGCCCAGATAGGTTATATTGCTTGACCTGATTTTATCCGGCATGGTAAGCATCAGCGTATCTTGACCACGCAGTTCGAGTCCGGCCTAATCAGGCTGTCGGCTCAAAGGGGTTCAGACGGGGATTTATCCAGGTGGCATGCGGGTTCTTGCTTTCTTTCCGGCATTCCACTTTTTAGCCCTTGAAATGGGATCTCCTATGTTGGACTACTTGACGTGTGTAAGCTTTACACCATGCAATGTACATTGTATCCTCAGCTCGTTAGGATACGTGCTTTCAGAACTGTCATGGTAGTAAGTCAGCTTGCAGAGGTCCTCCAGGGAGAGCTCATCACGCCGGTGTTCCCACTATCCTTCTTCATCTTCATTCCACTCCACTTCCGTTAGTTGGTCCCTTGGCTCGTGTAAAAGCCACAGGCAGATGGCGGATAGCTAGACATCTAGAGCTCGTCGCCATGATTATAGAGACTGCGAGAAAGTGTTTAACCAATTGAGAAGCCCGATTAGCTCAGCTGGTTAGAGCGTCGTACTAATACCGGTTCCACCTGTATATGGTATGCGAAGGTCAACAGTTCAATCCTGTTATTGGGCATTATCCGGTCAACATAACCTTTTGCCCCCTAAGACTAGACCTTTTTCCTGCTTTGGTGGTGTAGAGTGCGAAAGCCGGGAATCCAGGCAGAGGCGGGCTTCATCCTCGTTAGCATGAGGTGAGGACTCTGAGGAGTGCTTGTATGACAGTGTGTCGAGAAAGTTAGACAGCATAAGAAAAATGAGGTGTCAACTGGTGTCAACACCCTAGAAGAAAACTACCTAAGTCTTGGGTCACTATACTACTCTAGCTAGGATGGCATGTGTTATGTATGGAAAAGTGTTACTGACTTCCAGGTTGTCACACTAGGTCATACCCGCCCCGGAACCGTGCTCCGGTCTAGATTTGGAGGTATGGACTGCATCACAACTCAGACTGTCCCGCATGGTCAATATATAGGTAGACGCAGAAACGGAGTCCTCCGGGTTCGTTAGCAGCTTGGTTGAGGGGCTGAGTGGTTTATAGGTAGTATTTCCTCGAGTTTAATACTACCTGCTACTATGTGACTCTGGTACCCTGTGTTATTTACTTCCGCATCAACAGCGGGCTCGAGGCAATTCTCGACAGAACACCTAGGCTTTAGCACACTCTCTAAAGTCTACTTTCTGTTTGCTTCCCGTAGCTTCATGAAGAGCAGTTGGCTATTCCCCATCTCGCCGGATTCACTCCCTCGTTGCTGATAGAGGTCGATGCATGCGAAAATCTACAGTTCTGTCACTTTGGCGGAGTGGTTAACGCGCTGCCCTGCTAGTGTACAGTTAGCATGTTAGGCAGTTCCCTCGGGAGCGTAGGTTCGAATCCTACAGGTGACGTCTACTTTTGCCTCGAACTCCTAGAGATTGTCTCAATACCAGAGTATGTCAACGTCTTGGTTTTTTTCTTCTTCATTTTAGACTCTCGCGGAATACAAGGCCGGCAGCATCATCGGTTGGATCTACTCCTGTCCCGCCTGCCCGGCCTAGTCCTTCCTGAGCCAGCACTTCGGGTAACCCCTGTCAATCCTGAACTGCTCGGACTCCTTCCTGACTGCGTGCAACATGCGCTCTCTCCACGTGCCGACCATGTCCTTCTCCCAGGAGAACTGTCCGCCCCACCCCCACGAGGTGACGCTCTCGGCTCTGGCGCCATCGGGCGAGGCTAGCAGGCCCATAGCGATGTCCACGATGTCGGGCCGGTCATCGACGGCATAGAAGACCGCGGCGGAGCATCGCCCGCAGAAGTACCGCTGGACATCCGGCGAGCTGGCGTAGTACTTGAGCGTGCCGAGCCTGGGATCGCGGGCGTCGACCGCCGCCCTCAGCTCGGTGGTGTTGCTGGGAAACCCCCCCGCCTCGGCGGCGGCGGCGGCGGCAGAGGAGATGTGCTTGAGCAGGGTAAACGTCCAGCTCATCATCTCGGACCCGGCCCAGATCCGGCACGAGTCGCAGCAGTCCAGCCCGGCGAGGAACTTGTGCGTGACCGGGTCCACGAAGAACGGCAGCGCCTCGCCGCTCTTGTGCCGCGCCTCCCACTCCCTCTGCGCCTCGCCCGCGCGCAGCACCAAGTCGACCCCGCCGCATTTGCACCGGATCGGCACGTTGCCTTCCTTCTCCCCTGCTGCTTTGAGACCCTCCCCATACGCAGGCAGGTCCTTGACGGCAGGCCACGGCTGCTCGCCGCCGGCGGGGACCTCCTCGCTCCGCCCGCGCCCGCCCAACCACACCTTCACCGGCTCTGCATCATCCTCATCCTCCTCCCCGTTGTCGCCATTCAGCCGCCGCAGCCAACACACCGCCCCGCCGTCCCGCGTGTCACCCACAAACATGTGGTCCACGCACCGCACCACGCGCACCCCGGCCCCAACATCCTTCCCGTCGCTGTCGGCGGCGCCTAGCGCGCCGGTGAAGACACAGTAGTTTGCTTCCTCACCCTCCCCAGACTGGGACTGGGCTTGATAAGCCTGGGGCGGGCCGACCTCCTCCCAGAATAGCTTGCTGCCGCACTTGTCGCAGAAGAGGACATTGGTTCGGGGAGAGAACGGATACCGTTTCAGCGTGCCGCCGTTGGCACTATCATTATTAGCGGCAGCGGCGACGATGTCGGCGGCCGGGCCGGGCCAGGTGGCGTCGGCGGAGCGGAGGGCGCCGGTGACGTCTATTATTTTGGTACAAGGTATGGTTTAGTAACTCGACTATAGGTAGTATGTCTTAGAAAGGAGGCAAGCGTAGAGATAGATACTAGGACTTACGCCTGCAGGAGTCGCAGTGGCAGGAAGAACCCTTCAGCGGGAGGGAGGTGCGTGGGACGGTGGTGGTGAAGGTCTGGGTCTTGCAGAGACACTGCGCTTGGAGGGTTACAGCTGTGTCTGTGTCTGCTGCCATCTTCTTCTTTGCGGGGTCAGGAGCTTCAAGCTTGGTGAGTGAGGTACGGTGAAGTTGGCTAATAAATTCCTGGTTTGGCTGGGCCTGTTGGATGGAGATTCATGACAAGGTTGGGACCGGTCGAGCAGAGGGGACTGTGACTCGATATATCTTCCCGCCTCCCACGCCCTTTGGACGACACGTTTGGCTGAATCCGGCAGGTGGTTCATGATCGATGTGCGCGTTATGCTGCTGTTTCCACCACGAACTGCACGCCCCGCGTTACTGAGAGAAGCTAAGATGCTTGGCGTCGCCTCAATGACGTTGTAATCACTCGAAATCCTTGTTCTGGAGCTGTAGACACTGGTCAGATCGGGGTGACTCTCAACCGGTCCTGGCTTGCTTCACGAGCCATGTGACCACGCGTATCATTTTTTCTTTTTTACCCGTCCCACACAGAGACACCTGGCGTTGAAAGCAACATGGCACAAACATACCCCTCTTATTCATGCAACAACACCCAACTCCAGAGATGATCCCAGTGCCGATAGTAAAGATGCTTGGTTCCTCCTCTTACATACACACCCCCTTATTATCTACGCAACCCGGATACTGTTGCCCCCCACAGTGCTGGGAGTCGGGAGCGGGCCGTCGTCCTCTTCACTCACCCTTAGGAGCTTCCGCCTCGCTGCGCTCTCCTCGTCCTCCTCGTCACTGACCAGCCCGTCAAGCTCATACTCGTTCGCGTCGCGTAGCCGCGCCTCGTCCACCCCGCGCACCGGATGGCCGTTGGCGACGGGCTTCTTCGTGAGCGGGTTCGCGGCGCGGTCATAGACGTGGATGAGGGCCATGACAAAGAGGAAGAGCAGCGAGGCGATGCTGTACAGGATGAGGATGTAGGCGACTGCGTCCATGCCGGACCCTGCGACAAGGGCCATCTGCTCCTCGGTGGCGCCCATGAAGAGGAAGCCGGCGGCATACATGAGCTGCGGTGCGAATTAGCAAACAGGGGGTTCTGGATAAATGATGATACCCGATAGCCAACTTACAAATACCGGGATGTATTGGAAGCTGTTGATCTCAGTGCCGTCCTCGGACAGGCCAGGCTTGTCCTTGAGGACGAAAGCAATTTCGATGATGCGCGTCACCCCGACGGCCATGAGCGTGTAGCCAAACATCCTGTGGGTCATGGCGCTGATCATCAGCTCCTGCGGATGCGCCGACATGGCCCAGCCGGTGATGAAGATGACAAAAGCAGGGATGGGATTCCGCCTCGGGCTGCCGTCCCTTCCCCTGCTGAGCCACACGCCGACCAAACCTGCGCTCCACCAGATGATGCCCATGGTCGTGTGCTGCCAGTCGTTCTTGACCCACGCGGTGCCCCAGCGGTGCTCGGTAAACGTGTTGACGCACCCCCAGGCGGCAATGACGGCGCTGTCGAAGAACTCCTGGCTGCGGCCGGTCCGGCGGAGCCACAGCTGGCCGACCAGCAGAAGAATAGTCAAGAGGACGCCGTAGGCGATGAACGCGCCGCCCATGATGAAGTGTGCCAGGCATTGCCCGAGATGGTCGCCCTGGCAGAACCCGAGCGCCGTGATACCGCCGAACACCATCTGCACCCACGCGTACACCGGGAACGCCTTGCCATTGATGCTATGCACAAGTCGGAAGAAGGGCCGGATGCGGCCGTGGAAGCCCTTTTCGAGGTGGAGTTTTAGATAGGTTCCCACGACGACCTGGCCGATCATGAGGAAGAAGAGAGGGTTGGCGGCGATCGCGTGGACGTTTTTCGGGTTGAACTGCCTGCCGCGGTGCAGGTGGCCCAGGGCGTAACCGAGGAGGGCTAGCAGCGTGCTAAGGACCTGTAATGGAACGTGCCACCGGCTCTTGACGATCTGTGGACCGGGAGTATCTGTCAGCCCGTGATACTTTCTTGCCGACGGCGTCGTGTAGTATGGACGTACCCCGAGAACCATCCCCAGAGGGAAGAGAACGCCAAAGGCGAGCATCTGAACAAAGATGTGTATCCATAGCGTCGCGTCCTGCGGACTCGTCAGCCAGCTGCCGCCAACCTTATTTTCCACCCCCATCACCGTCCCGTCCAACGTACAAGAGGTTCCGGCGAGACGGTCGCCCCTTCCGGAATCTGGTTCTCGTGGTGTCCTCCGTGTCCCGACGCCATCGGTAGGAATGTCGCTGCCAAAGCGATTGTTGCGGTTACAGGAGCTATCCGAAGTCGTAGGTTCGATGTTGGCCAGGCGCCGTTGCGCCGGCTCGCCGGGAGGGTCATGTCGAGGTTTCAGGCGTACGGGCGCCCCTTGAAACGCAGCGTCGGGGGGAGGGGGAACGATGCCCTCGGGGACGAATCAAGAGAGCGAGTTGCACAGGGTGTCGCGCAATATCGTACGACGATGCAAGCGACAGGTGCCCGGTGGGAAACAACAGCGCAATCGAATGCCTGCTATAGACGGACCGGCTGTTGGATCACACCCGTTATTAGCGAGCGCAGGTGGCGGCGAGGCAAGATCAAAGCCAGGCTCATTTCTTGCTGACAGACGACCAAATCTGCTGCCTCCCGAGCGGTCCGCTCGGCAGACGAGGTACGTACCGCCTGCGGCGCGTATAACGTCAATTCAGGGCGCTTGGACGTGATTGGCTCAATGGAATTGTGGGAGCGGGGCTTAATGCAAGGTCAATTTCCTTGGCGGACTTCATCTTAAGCTTCAACAACGGCTTTTATTATGGATCAGTACAGAGGTATTTCAGAACGTCCCGTACGCATTTCACTCTTGGTAAATCCACACTGCCATGCTAATCTATGCCGTTGGGCCCACTTCGAACGTCTCCTGCAACCCGTGATCATGGTATTGGATCGCTGACCTTACCAGGCCAAGTCATTGAAGACAATGAATGACCTTCTGCTCGGGCTACGTATCTTCGGCCGGTCGATGTAGTAGGGCTTTGAGGATGTCGTGCCGATTCGTTGGCCGCCCTCTGGAATTCTTGAGGCAAGATTTCAGTCTGACTTTCGCAGCTGAGAGCATCGCACAGGAACCAGAGGGCAGTGCATCATGTGCATGATGCGCGAACACTAACGGTAAGGAAAACTGTGAGACCAGTCCAGACGGAGGTCCGTGATCCCATCAGCAGAAGAGCACATCGGGTCAGGGCATCTAGGTATCTCGCCCAACTATTGGTTTGTATGGACCGGCCTGGGACAAGGCAGATTCGGGCTGCAGCAGCAGCACTAGTACCCAATAGTCTGCTGAAGAGCACCCGACGTAGTACAGCATGCAGTGAAGGGCTTTGAAGCTGCGCGTCAACTCCAACGAGGGCAATTATGGCTGGATTTAAGGAACACCTCACTTGGTACAATACTCTCGCACCCCCGAATCGCAGCCTGGCACTCAAATCTTCCAAGGCACCGGCAGTAGGAGGTTGATCGTTGAAGTTTGGATCTTCCGAAAGACTCCGCATCCCCATTACTCTTCCTGGTGCAACTTGCCCAGGATGTCATTCGGCTGGTCGGCCGGCGATATTGCCGCTGCCATCAAGCTTGCACACGGCATCTACGAAGCTTTGGACAGTTGCCATGGAGCCGCCAGGGAGTACCGGGAAGCGGTCTCCTTCCTGAAAGAGCTGACCCAGACACTGAAGCCGCTCGAGGCCTTCGCAACATGGGGTGCCTACCCCGCGTACGGGAAAGAGATCACCGTCAGGGTCGACTTTATCAAGGGCCCAGTCGAGAACTTCCTCCAAGAGATCGGCGATTTGGAGCCGAGCCTCGGCCGGGGGGCCATGAGCGGCCGTCTCCGACACATTGTCCCGAAGCTGACCTGGCATATTCCGCATCTCGAAGCGGGTTTTAGATCTGCGGAATCAGATCGAATCGCATCTGCGGATACTTGATACTCTCTTGCAAAGATTGACACTGTAAGACCAGGTCTCGTCAAGCGCGATCCGCGACAGTTCAGCCTTGATGACCAGATGCTGATCGTTCTGTTCTAGGGATGTTGTCCTCACAACACAGCGTAGCCTGCCCGATGTTTTCGTATCGGCCTTCCAAGACAGAATCCGCCCTGAACTTATCGACACTCTACAAAACATGCTGGTCGCCCGGGGGTATTATCAGGATTCTTGTCCCAGGATATCGCCAGAGCTTCTTCAGAAGCTGCTATTGGAGATTCGCGACTTGAAGGAGATGGTAGCTGACCCCAGAGCCATGCAACGGCGGCTTGAGGCCTGTTTTACCCCTTCGGGACGTATCACTGGACCTCCTAGTTCAGGTCATCGGTATCTAACCTCCATCGGGGAGCTTGAGCATCCTTCCATTGTGGGCGCGACGAGAACAAGGGTTGGTGTGTCTCAACACACTGCCGCAGTCCATGGAGCTGTGCCCAGAGAATCATTGCAAGAAGTCTACGATCATGTGCTCCTTTATCTTGGCCAGTTTCTCAAAAACATTTTGTAAGCATACTCATTCACCTCTTGAGACACGCTCGGGACGTTGGTTAACAGAGAATTCTAGTTCACTGCTATTACGATACGTACAGCCTTCTAGAGACCTGGGCCAGCAGCTACTAGCAAAGTTCAATCTCACGTTTCTTGATGCCGTGGGAAGCCCTCCTCGAATCCTTCCGTCCGAGATCTTTCAGAGTTTCAAGGCAAGTATTAGTTTGTATAGCGCAAAGTTATTTCTGATACGGATGGACTGACGCGAGGCACGTACAATACATAGGTTTTCCGAGTATTCGTTCAGGAGCAATTTAAGGGAATCCCTTTGATTGACCGTGGCCGATTCCTGCTCCTTAGCTGAGGTAGGCAACATCACCCTAGACGAGGGGAATTGGAGCCGCCATGCTACTCAGGGGAGCACGGTCACCATGGCTGCGCTTCTGCTCGGGAGGATGTCGAACAGGTGCCCGGGATGGACTTGCAGTGGCACATGGACGAGGTCTAGCTCTCAAGTCTGGCGAAATGGTACGGTATACGAAGACCTGTTACTAGTGAATATCCAGATGTCCCGGCTGATCATTTCTACCAGCACTGACTGTCAAAGAGAGGTCTTTACCGCGGGACCCGAGACTGCCACCGAGACTTCAGACGGCCTGTCACTGCGCCTTTCACTCCCGTCTGACAGCCGCGAGACTCTCTGTCTGAAAGACCCCGAGAACAATTACACGACTCAATCAAGAAGACCTGCGGGAGCTGAGCAAAGTCTACTGCGTCATCCCAAAGGAAATCTGACAGACGATGTAGAAACGGGTCCATCTTCAAGCGAATCGTGCGTCGGGTTGGCGTCTCCGATAGCAACACCGATACGTTCTTTGACTGGGAAGAAGGGAAGATCAAGGGTTTCTGGAAACTATCCAACCACGCCATAATCAGGAATAAGAGCCACATCCCTCGCATGGCTGATGAGTACTGCAAACTTATCGAGGCTGTCAGCAGAATCCACGACGATCGCCCGTCAATACACATCAGGCCTCATGATGATACTACTACATGTGGGACCAAGAGCAACGTCCTCCTCTACGGCCGCCACGGTGACATCAAACCCTCGAACGTGTTATGGGCAGAGTCCACCCAACGCCTAGTGCTTCCTGATTTTGGGCTCTCCGCACTTCAGAGCACGCTATCCAAAGAAGAGCAATCGGGGCTACAAAAGGTCGGTTAGTATTTGTTTGTCGCTTTTCAATCTACCGAGTGGCGAGCATTTCGTTAACTTCGGGTCAGTTTCAAATGATGACCTACCGGGCGCCCGAGTTCGACGTCAAGGAGGGCATTGCCTCACGTTGTTCCGACGTCTATGGCATGGCCTGCCTGTTCCTGGAGCACATTACCTTGTTCCTCATGGGCGAGGACGGAGTTAGGGAGTTTACATCGGCAAGACTTGCCGAAGACCAAAAGCTTGGCTGGAAGAAGGCCGATGTCTTTTATACGGTCTCCGAGGACCTGCAGACCGCGACACTAAAGAAAGAGGTGAAGGACTGGATCGAACAGCTTCGACGGCAACCAGACTGCAGCAGGTATATTTGGCGTCTCCTTCGCCTCATCGAGACCAGGATGCTCGAACCCGATCCCGCAAATCGGATAACGGCGAAGGAGCTGGTGGCAGAGCAACAGACACTCCAGCATCTTACTGCGCTGTCGGATTCCTTCTATCAGAAACACTGGACGGAAACTGAGCATCACAGGGACTAAGATTGACTACCCGACACATCCTGGTTTTGTGGTCATTCTGTCATATGACACTCCCGGGCGAGACCTAGCTTTACGTATGGGCGCTACAATTGGTCTTGAAATATCAGGTTGGGGGAAGTGCCAGGAAGTGCATCTCTCTTCTCTCTTCCCTCCTTTTTCTTCTGGGCTCTGTCATACGTGGCCCTGTGGTAACCTACTGGTCACATCCAATTACCAACAAAATTCCGTCGATGGAGCCCGGGTCTCCGTGATAAACTGGATCGGCCTAAGGTCAGCTACGGTCAGTTTGTAACCCTCTGGTTTTCTTTCTGTCCCTGTAAGCCAAAGAAAAGCACAACCCCCATTGCAGCTCACTTGCCCTCCGCGGCCAGCTTCATATCTTCCTCCCACTCCTTCCGCACCTTCTCGGCAAACCCATCGTCAGACAATACCTTCCACCCGACCAACGCCATGCCCCTCCCGCACTCCAACGCCCTCTGGAACGCATCATCCGTCCCAGCCGCGGCAGCGAACCCTTTTGTGTGATTTGCCTCCCCTTCCTTCGTGCCGATGCCAAACACACCGTGGAACCCGGGGCACTCATAGCACACATCTCCCATATCCGTACTTCCCGCCAGGATATCCGCCGGCTGATCAAACGCCACGGTCCCCCGCGGCATGGCCTCGACATAGGCCTCACACAGCGCCCTGCTTGGGCGCACGTCGGCATACGAATTGAGCGACTCAAACTCCACTCCGCAGCCCGTCGCCATCGCCGCGCCCTCGAAGCACTTGCGCACCCGGCCCCACAGCGCCGCTGCCTCGGCCCTGGTCGCGCTGCGCACGTAGTACTCGACGCTGCAGTCGGCGGGCGTGACGTTGGGGCGCTTCCCCGCCGAGACAAACACGCCGTGAATGCGCTCGTACGGCCGCGTCTGCTGCCGCAGCATGCTGATGGCGTTGTACGACAGGCACACGGCGTCGAGTGCGTTGATGCCGTCCCAGGGCGCGATGGCGGCGTGCGCCTCGCGGCCCGTGAAGTGGGCGCGCATCTTGACGTTGGCGAGCATGCGTACGAAGGAGACGCCACGGATGGAATTGGAGGTGGGTAGCTTGTGTCCCGGCCCCGGGTGGACCATCAAGCTGGCGGCGGCATCCTGGTAAGCGCCCGCCTGGATGAGCTTGAGCTTGCCGCCGCCGCCTTCCTCGGCGGGCGTGCCCAGCAGGCGCACGCGGCCCGGCTGGTTCGAGGCGCGCAGTGCGGCGGCCAGGCCGAGGAAGGCGGCGAAGGACGCGGAGGCAATGAGGTTGTGCCCGCACGCGTGGCCGATGTCCGGCAGCGCGTCGTACTCGGCATTGAAGACAATGAGGCGGCCGCCGTGGCCGAAGTCGGCGGAGAAGGCCGTCTCGAGGCCGTATGCGTGAGGGGTCACGTCGAAGCCGAGGGTGCTAAGAATGCGGACGAAAGTGTCGTGAGCGTGGATCTCTTCATAGGCCAACTCGGGATGGGAGTGGATCTGGTGGTTGATGGTTGAGATCTCGGCATTGCGGGCGTGGAGCTCGCTGTCGATGATGGCGGATATGTCTAGTGGCATGGTAATGGCGGACAAAGGGGAGAGGGAAGGCGGGGCAACGGGGGGCTTTTTTCCGGACTGAAAGGGAAGGAATAATTAACGTTATGCATAAGTCCCGATTTTTGAGAAATGATACTCGCCTCGTTTGTGAAGCTCAGCCAAGTTTGTGAGTTGAAGACTTGAAGTCTTGAAGTCTTGAAGTCGCTTGTCCCTCATTCGCTGTTGCCCCGCTCTCCGCCCGACGACGATGCCCATAGGCGGCTTGAGAAAATGCCGTACCTACATGATGTCCCTCACCCCGATAATCAGATGGAGCTAAGGAAAGAGGATAAAAATAAATGAAAAAGATAGCGAAAGATAGAAAATATTGGAGGAAAGACGAAGATGATTACAAAAGTGAAGGGAACGAAGAAGACAAAGAAGACGAACAAGACGAAACGAACGGAGAAGACAGAGAAGAAGAGGATGATGAATATAAAAACGACGATAAAGAAGAGATTAAAAGCTAAAGAACAAGTAGATATACTTAATTAGTAGTACCTGGTAGGTATCAATTGCCTCTCTAACTCTGACATCGAAGTTCGTCGCCAGCCTTCTGGTCTTGTCGGTCAAACAGAGCCGGCAACTCAACCATTTGTCGCTGCGACAGAGCCTCTGAAAAAGCGAACCAAGACCGCCACTTACACTGCGCAGGTCTGATTGATTGTTGTGATGCCGAATTCCTTGTCACCGAGGCGCTTTTATAGGGCGAACTTGCCAAAGAACTTGGCGGAGACCTCAGTGGTACTAATTACGTTCTTGGGTTTGGTGTCAAGAGCACGCTCAACGTCAAGCCGCTCCCGTCCTCGCTGTCCGATTCCTCAGTGTCCAGTTATATCATGAAAAATAAATATAAAAATCTCCTTTGAAGGAAATGTGAGGTGTCTGGGAATTGTGAGGTATGAAGTTTTGAAGCCTCTCTCTGATTTCGAACTCAATGCATGGATCAGTAGTTATCTCAATTCAGCCAGGATTTGAATTCCGAATATCAAACTCTTTTAAAACATTAGTAAACACACCCATCTTTCCAGGTACGAGGTACGTTCGTATCTCCTGTGCCCGCAGGTCCCCCAGATAGCCATCCGCCACGGGTCGGCCGGAGAAATCGGTATCTAACTCCATATCCCCAGAGTCAACGTACGATCGGAGGGCGTACGCTAAATCCTGCGCCCTTGCGTCCGCTAGAGTCTGGGACAGTTTCGAGTCGGCGCCCTCGTCCATCTCCGCTCGCGCTACCATCTCCACGTAAGCCCTCCTCTCTTCCCAGCATTCTCTCGTTTCTGCATCCAACGGCTGGCCGTTGTTGTCGAAATTGAGAGGAGAATCCATGACGGCGGGCACTGTGGCAAGGAAGTGTGGTACTTGGACCAATTCCCAGGCAGAGTGCATGCTCCTTTCCAGTCGATGACACCCATCACATTGTACTCCTTGTCGACAAGGATATGTGTGTGGAGCAGGTCTGGGTGCGTGAGGGGGAAAGGCCCGGAGTTTGATGACGACAATCGGGCTGCCAAACGTCCCACGGCGGATGGGAAGTCCTGTATTGGCTTCAGGACCTCCTCGACCGGCCCTCGGCCCACCACCTTCCTGACGACCTCCTCGGGAAACGTATACTTGGCGTGCCGCGCCCACGCTTCGAAGTACTGTGAGGCTGTGTCGAATGGGCCGCCAATGTCTGGGAATGGCCCGATGCCGTACGTCCCATCCGAAGCGTTTCGTACAATGACGCCGATCTTGGGGAAACGCAGCGACGTCAGCTGCACCTGAATTTCGGCCACTTGACTGAGGAAGTGGCGTCGTCGCTCGGGTGGGATGCACCCGCGGTGAGACCGTGAGCATCCCGGCCGCCGTCGAGGGTCCATAGCCACAATCGCATTGTATGGCAAGAACTCGGTCAACATGAAGGCGGCGCCCAAGGGATTGTCGACGCCGTCGCCGTCGCCGTCGCCGTCGGCGCGGTACCCGAACACCCTCGGCACTGGTACGCGCGTCCGCTCGCGCACCAGCATCATCGCTGCGACTTTGCTGTGCAGCCATTCCGCCGCAGTCCGCCTGGGCTTCTGCACCGGAACTCGAACTGCCCATTGCGTCTTGCAATCACTGAACCGCAATACGCGCACGACGTATTTCCACCCGTGTGTCACGTAATTTTTGGACATGTGTGCAGTCCATGCCGCGCTGGGAGTTTGGATGCATACGAACGGAGTGCGCCAAAGTCGAATCGCCCCAAGCACTCCTTCACTTGGGCCGATTTATCCGACGAATGCGGGAAGTAAGCCTTGAGGTCCCAGTTATCCATACTATGGTGTACGGTGTCGTTGAAGGCTTTATTAAGCAGATATGTAAGATCGAGATTGTGGAGATGAGTAAGGTAGGCGAGCTGCGGATGCCACTGTTGTCACGGTCAGACGGATGAGAATGGCACGGATTTCTTCCCGGACACAGTGCAAATATAGTGGGAAGGTGACGAGTCGGATGCCCAAGCTCCGAAGTGATGCACCGTGGGCGTCAGAGCGTCAGACTCTGGGCCAGAAGGACTCGGAGAGCAAAGGGACTTCCACTCCGAGAAGCTTTGATGTAGATGGAAAAACAGCCCATCATTGTATCGAGTTCATGTTTCACGCGTCTTCATGATCCGTCTGTCGCCAGTATATACCCTCTTACATGTTTCAATATAGTAGTTTCGTAAAAGTTGACATCCGGTGGTTCCCCAACTGTCCGTGTACTGTTATTATTATTGCGGCTCACATGATCAAATTGCTCTACCGTCAGCCGGGTCACAGACCGTCGCAGTAGAGTTGCTACAGACAATAGTACTAGTAGGAGTGAGTACCTGTGGGTAGTAGGTATGTACCCTACGATACCGAAGGCCCGACAGTTTGTTAATTAAGCGACCCTTCGGCGGTATAGATGGATGGCAACAACACCCTTTACCGTCAATTACGAATCGACGACACTAGCCAACGCCGGGTCCGAGACGGGGATTACCTTAGGCATGGCTGCTTGGCACGGCACCGGAAAGTCCCACCATGGTGGTGGTGGTGGCAATATCAGGGGCTGCCGCCACGTCTCATGCTGGTTACCGAGATAGTAAAGGCCAGTGGATTATAAATTGGTCAAGCGCTCAGGGCTTCATTATGGAAATCCTACTTCGAGCGCAGACTAGCCTGCGCGGAGACAAGTACGGTGAGGATGTGTGGGCCCGGGCGAGGGCGGTTGTGGAGGTTGCCCGACCTGTTAGGGAGGCGACCAGGGAGTATAAGGGGTTCCGTGTCGGGGTTGATGTAAATAATGATGTCCGTCAGAGCGAGTGGGAGATGGTGGAATGTGTGGAGCAGGTAAAGGCGATGGTTGAGGCTGGGGAGGATTTTGTGATGGTTAGTATACGTTTCCTCGTCTTGTTTCGGTTCTTCTTCTAGTCTTCATCCCCTTTGTGCACTTCGTTCTCTTCATCCTATTCGTCGTCTTGGTCAGGTAGGCTCCCCACTCTCTATATGAAGCCGGGGTGAAACGCGTAGCTGACGACTTATTGTAGATGATGTGGGGCAACAAAGGAGAGACGTACATCGATAAAAGTCGGATCGTACCAAGGCCCGCTAGGACCTCTTCCTCGAGCCTACGAGACCACAGCGGAAGGAGTTCCCCGAAGTGCCCCGCCATAGTCAACGGCAGTTTCAACAGCCGGGCCGGCATGGGGGAAGGCCGTTTCCGACGGTGGCTGCGACATGGTCGGTCTTGGGAGGCCGGGTGGTGCTTAACTAAACGCTCCCAGATAGCGTCGTGCTCAATCTAGAAGTAACAAGCAGGATGCCGTGCTGTATAGGAAGCATAACGGGACGGCTTGGTTTCTTTAAACGTTAGGTGCCACGGCTGTCCGGGGGGGAATGGATAAGGTACGGTTGCTACACCTCCGATGAAGGAGCATCACTGACATGCGTTGACAGATCTGGTACACGGAGCAGATTCACAACCTGGCAAAGCAGTAGAGTTGAAAAGCGGAAATGAGAGGAACCATGGGGTCGATGCCGGCTGCTATGTGAAGAGGGTGCTAATAGGCATAATGCGCTGCTTGTGTCACACTATAAATCCACCTTGACAGCAATCATGCTCTTCGACATGAATCCGGTGGTAAAGAGCCATGCTTTCCTCCCCCCTGCCTGCGCGTCTTGGGCCGGGTCCAGAGCCACCAGAACCGCTGCACTAGCACTCCTAATCGTGGTGCCGTCGTCTTCCAGCAGGATCCGTTTCTCCCAGAGCCCCCCAGCGACGGGCTTGACGTAGGTGACCATCACCGGGTCATTACCGTTCGGGTCTCGGTGGGTGCTGGCCAAATCGATGGCGCGGCTTAAGCCAGCTTCGAGGTAGCCGCTACGGTCGTCATCGGGTGTGGCGTAGGGGTCGGAAAAATAGCTAGGGTTGTCGGCGATGTGGTCGAGCTCAACAGAGTGGATGATCGTGATATTCCCCGACCCATCAGCCTCGACCCGACCGATGTGCAGAATTCCGCTGACGCAGCTAGAGATGAGGACCTCGTCTTTCGACCGGCCGTGTCCAAGACCATTACTGTTGTGCAGTTTGGGTGAGGCAATCTTGGCCTCTACGCCGGAAGTCGGTTCTGCTGCCACAAGAGAGTCGAGCTGGATATGCACGACCTCTGTCCACCTCGCGGGGAAATACATGTCCTCGAGGGTCCGCATCATGCCATGGAAGCGGTAGTGGTGGTCGTTTGTCACGTATATCGAGGTTGGGTTCTGGACGAAGATATCATTCGGCGTTCTGATCAAGGGATGCCAAATGGACCGGAGATGTTTGATGGAGGACGATCCGATAACATGGTGGAATACCTCCAGCCGTGAACGGGCATGCGGGCCCTTCTGTCCAGACGCTTGGACTTCAGGGACGTGGTTAACGGCGAAGACGTACACGGCCTCGCCTGCTCTCCGTTCGTCATCGGAAATCACATCGATGCCGTGGGTGATAAATGGGCCATCAAAGTTCTCAAACGTCAGCCTCTGCGACTTCATTGTCTGCAACATGGTCAGCATCTATGCTGCAAACACTTCACTCGGCAAGAGGTTACAACCTTGGGATCGACCACATGTATGGAGCCCTGGCTCCTGCTACCGAGCTCAGGATCGTCAAAGTTGGCTAGGGGAGGAAACCACTTGAATCTGGTCTCGGCGTTGTCCTCACAAGCAGTGAAAAGCGTTTCGCTAGGGCCGTGGTAATGGACATCCTCGCAGTGGATGGTGTCCGCGATCAAAACCACCTCGCCCTTGATAGACGCGCCATCTGGATAGCTGCGGAACGCCCCAAGCACTCTTAGTGTGCGCTGGACGAATGGGCCCGCGGTGTAGAAGACGTAGGCAAGAAGTGCTCCAAGGAGCGAGAACGACAACAGCCTCATGGCCGTTCAAGTTTTCATGGGGATGTTACCTAGAGTTTTGGAGCTGGTCCTTCCGATGTTTGCTGCCATCATCGGGGACCGAAGGATTTATACCGTGGCAGTGGGCGGCTAGGCCTAACCGCCCTGCCGCCTTGGCCGCTCCTTCCAATCGACCTCGGTCGAACAGCGCAGTCTGGGCGGGGTAGAGACAGTACTAGGTCTCGGATTGTGGACATCACGGTGTGGACGACACGGAGACAGCCTGGAGACAAGCGGGTTGATCGTCGGTACACGCATGGATCTGCTACCACTGGCCATCAACTCATAAATAGGACCGTGGATCCCGACGGGTACTTGCGCATCACAACATTCTCAGACACTGTGTTGGCTGCCGTTTCCGTGCTTGGAGAACGGTGATAGTGGCGTTTCTTCTGGCCAGGTGGACTCCCTTGCAGATAACTACCTTACTTAGCCGCTGAGGCAATACAGACAGGCAGCCGGCCCGAGGACGACAATGAAAAGTCAGATTAGGGACGGTAGTATTACATTCGGATATCGATCTCTGTGCGACACAAAGTGATATCGGTAGATCACCAGAGCAATGACGGGAGATCGAGATGAGCCGCAGGAGAGACTGCCGCCCCGCCATCACCGAAAGAAAGTGGGCATGCGGGGGCGTACCCCACAACAGGTCCCCCACAGCGCTGAGTGGAGCCTGAATCGCTCCACTTCGCGCTCCTCACTGATCATGATCAGAGCATGGCATATCAATCAATCTTCATCCACATGGGATCTGAGCAGCGAAATGCCGGTTAGCATTTTCTGCTGTACACGTGTAATTGCAATCGGTCCGTCATCAGTGTGACAACATCTCCAGCGTCTTCCTAAAATTGTACGCTGAGCAACGCACCCGTCGTGGCATAACATGCTTCATCCAATGGATGTGGCCAATAGCGCCAACTTCCCGGTTGACGACCCGGCATCATGTTCGGCCGAGCCACGGCGCAAGCAACGGGCATCTCCAATCTTTGGCAAGCTACCTCCAGAGCTACGTGCCCTGATATTCACTGAGCTCTTCGGCAGACGACGAGTTCATCTCGAGTTTATGCCTCATCCCACGCGTGCCGACAAGGTGGGCAACAGGCGGCGATGGCGCCACGGGATTTGCGAGGATGAGTGGGACGTCCCCTTTGGCCGTGTAATCGGCCGCTCACACTACTGCCTCACCTCTGCCCGTCGGCGGGTTCTCGACATCTCCATGCTCTTCACGTGCTGGCAAGCGTAAGCTCATCGTCTTGCTTCTACCTGACTTGCAGCAGAGTGGCGCTAAACGCAGTCCAGGCTTGCGGAAGGGATTCCTGTCTTGTACCAGAGCAACGTCTTCCTCATCATCAACACGTCAAGTCGAAGGAGGCCCGTTGATGACATACGCAGCCTGCAGGCCAAAATCCCCAAGCACTGGCCTCTCATTCGATCGCTCGAGATCAAATGGGAGGTCGCCGCTTTTGACCGGAACCAGGCCAGCATGGTGCCGCACCTCTGGGGTCGTGAGGCATACGAATCCTTATGGGACGCTCTCGCGGAGATGCCTGCCCTTGCTCACCTTCGAATCGCCGTCCTGATGCCTCGGTTCTGTTCCCGGTCCGAACCCAACATATCGTTCGACGAGCTGCGAGATGTCTACTTAACACCGATCCTGCGCCTCAAAGGCTTAAGGACATGTGAGCTTACGATGCCAAAGTCGTATCGTCCTGTCTCGGACGGCGAGGAATGGGAGTCGTTTATGGCCCGTAGTGGGAGGGGGCAGTATCACATCTCGTGGAGTGACGACTCCGGGCTTGTGCCGTCGGAGCCAGCCCTTGCCGGAATGTCGCGTGCACTTATCGCGCTGACCTAGGTCACTTTGGCGCGTAACGTCTCACTAATAAGCTGGCTCTCTAAATCAAGACTCGGAAGTCAAGGCTCGGGGATCACGTCGAGATTGTGCAGAAGGTGGCAAGTAGAAAACGGGTTTCCTTGCACCCTCGTCCGAAAAGAGGCACACACTGAGCAGTGCTTGTACTGGAATTGGAACCAGGAGCACGCAGCCCGTTTGGAAAACCGGCGATTGGCCATACTGGTCGGAGTGTCGGGGGCGGCGGCTATGCGTGCGCCGAAGCTCTCGAATTATCCCCCGTGGGGTGGCATTGGGATTGGAGTTGGCCTGACCAGGCGCAGCTGTGCTCGAGGTCGTGGCGTGGGGCCCGCGAATGGCCGTGCTGTCCTGGGGTCCTCCCAACCTTAAACGACGCTTTCGGGTGGCGAGAAGCCGATTTGGTCCGTTTGTCTGCTACTGGCCATTGGGAGGTCATGTGTTCACTACTGCAATGTCCGGATGAGTTCGATGTCTTCCTGGACAATGCCGTCCGAGACTCATAGTGGTCGCAAGGAGAATGTTTATCTGCCAACTCGAGCGAGCGCGCTTTGGTGTTGTTGAACCATCAACGCCAGGAACACGCATCTGGGCTCGCCGGCTGTTGATCGCCCGGGACCGATGGCAAATATGAATGGCTGCATTAGGCAATCTACCTCTCGCCGGCAGGCTTCCAATGGATTGGCTGCAAGACGAGGATCGTTCGCTACTGGAGGCAGGCAGACCTCTTCACTGGAGGTCAACGCGTGAGAAGAGACTGCCAATACCAACAGCATGAGGTAGGGCAGAGGTTGTGTGACCGATAGAGTTGGAGTGCAGGCTTTCTGTCATCGGCCAACACACCGGATGGTTGTCTTGATACGCTCTTGGTCTTCTCTTTCCTCATGACCTTCTCGGTATTGAGGAATTAGCATACCGACGATACGGTCTTTGCTCGTATCGCCAAACAAGTGCTTCGGATGTCCGGAGAACAGTGTAGATTCTCCGAAGCTGGCTGCTACGCGTCCTGAGGCACCCTCAGAAAGCAAATATCCGGCCCACAACAACCCCTGATCCATCGGGGATACCACCTCGTCGTGGTTTGACCCTGTGATCCCTGACAAGGACTGGTGAAAGATGAAGTTGTACGCCACCATCGATTACGACGGTTCGTCTTCTTGTGAGAGAGCTTGTAGACGCCGTCGTGGGGGACGCCTACACAGGCGTCCAGCTTACACGTGTGCCAGGACAATCCTGTCGCCATCCCAACAACCGAATGTCATCAATGGCCATGTGCGAGTCAGGTTTTATGTAGAGCTGCACCAGCTGTAGAGGACGGTCTTAAGGAACAGTGTAGCATGGATAAGGCGAACATCTCGTACGTGGTGCTGGATCCAGGGTCGATTGTGTATTTCGGTTCTGATATAGGAGTCAACTGGGTTGGTCTCGGTCCGCGTTGTCGAAAGAGCCGGCGAATGCCGTACGTGCTGGCTGAAGGACCGTTCGTGTACCAAACAACAGCAGACTTGTCGAGCTGATGAACATATTCAGGCGTAAGTAGACGAGGCTCTCGAGAAGTCGAAGGGCCTAATGCACAGCTGGCGGGCAGCTGCGAGAGCTTATCCGCATCCCGATAACGAGCCCCACTAAACTTTCCCATCGTTCAACGGAGATCCTCCAGCAATGATCAATTGAGCATTCCCATCCACACGAAGAAGCATCCCCAACCCGCCGAAACCGACACAATCCTGTCCAAACTGGAAATAACCACAAGGGAAACCCATAACAGGACGAGACGGCCAAAGTAAAATAACAGCCAAAAAAAGAAAAAAAGCAAAATGCCCTCCGTCAAGAACCCAAACGCGCCTTCCAAGAACCGCCTCGCCGCCCGCGCAGCCAAGCAGAGGAAACAGCGCCAGCAGGCCGCCGCAGCCGGGCAGCTCGCGAAGCGGGGCGGCGCCATCGCGAAAGCAGACTTCCGGCGCGGCGCCCGGCCGGGCCTCCTGCCGACCAGCGGGCCGCGGAAGCCGGTGAGCAAGAAGCGGCAGCGCAAGATGGAGCGGAAGCTGGGGTACGCGCTGAAACGGAAGATGGAGCGGGAGGGCGAGGTCGTCATGACTGGTACGTTTGTTTTTTCTTTTTACCCCGCCTACGCACACAACCCACACAAGGGAGAGGGAAGAGAGGGCCATTGTCGTTGTTGGGTGAGAGAGGGGATGAGAGGATGAGAAAGAAGAACACAGAAGCTAATGGGTTTGGGGTAACTAGATGCGCCTGCGGATCACCAGAAGAAGGAGGCACAACAACAGCAAAAGAGAGAGGGCGGTGGGGACCAGGCGGAGATGGAGATGGATGTGGAGTGAAACGTCACAAGACGGCTTCAAGAGAAAGGACGGGTTTCGACGGGTGCGTTCCCACGGTTCAACCATGAGTGAGGGAATACGGGCATACCTTCGATGGCCAGGGAATGCGAATGAGTATGCGGCCTTGACCGGAGGGAACAATGGGTCCGAACACCGAGATACGATACAATACTGTATCCGGCACGAGCTGCTAGGCTGAATTGGCTACAGCAGCGCCGTACCATGTGATCGGGTCCATCTCCAGTATCGACCCACGAATATCGCCAGTTGAAGACCGGAATGGGGAGGCGTGGATGGTGATGCGAGAGGCGGGTTGTGCAGAAGCTGCGATGCCAGAGGGTGGGCTGGCTTTGTGTGGCGGAATGAAGAGCAGTTGTGAGAACAGCTCTTACTCCATGAATACGAACTTTACAACCCACAAACCATCAGTTGCTGAAGTGATGCCCTCCGGTTCGACATTTCAGCGTGGTCAATTCGAGAGGCGGTTGACCTGCTCCTGCACCGAATATACACAGGCTGGAACACGGGGATGGACCATAGTCCCTGATTTTAAAGCAATTAACAATGGAAGGTTTGAACCATACCCTCTACCACACCAGCCAACATCGGCGGTCATGTAGCCAGAAGTATCATACAGAAGTGACATTACGCAAGTACAACGGAAATGAAACCCAACAATGGAACCCGTGAAGCCACGATCTAGGTGCATGGAATTCTAGTACAGACGCTCTCCAACAAAGTCCCCATCACTCTTGCCTTTGCCTGCCTTTACAAGAGCACCATACCAGCACCGACACCCATGGCCACAACAACATACAACCCCACCGCGAGATCGCCCAGGGCGAAGAAGGCTCTTGCGGGACCCCGCGGGGCAGCAAAGTTGCTGCTCTCAGCGGCGTCTGAGCCGCCGACGGTGGTGGCCGTCGCGGCAAGGCTGTTGGCGGAGCTCGCGCTGGCAAGCTTAGCGCTGCAGGCGGCAGCAGTGGAGCCGCTCTTGAGGGTCGCCTTCGAATCGAAATCGCAGGCGTCCTTGGCCTTGTTCTGAGCCTTGTAGTACTGATCCAAGACATAGCCCAGCTGCTGCTTCGGGTTGCACATCGCGTAAGCACCGTACACGCCGCTGGTGGTGTTGCCGTTGATACCGGCGCACGATTTCTTGGAGCTGCCGCAGATGTAGTCGAATATTTCGCCGTAATTCTCGGGGTCGAGATCATCGGCCGGAACACACGACAGAGAGTTGAACATGCAGTCGCAAAGGGAGGAGTCTGGGGTCGGGGGAAGCGCCCCGCCCTTGACCTGCCAGGTGGAAGCAAGCTCGGGGCAGGCGGCCGGCGAGTTAGTTGGGGAGTAGGCGCTCATTGAGGTGCCGGTGGGGTTGACGGAGGCCATCTTAGTCTTCAGGGTGTCAAAGTCCTTCAACTTCGATGCGGAAGAACCGGAGATGCTGACGAGGCCTGCGGAATGTTAGTTGGTAAGATGGATAAAACAAAAACGGACCCATCACTGACCGTAGTCGTTTTCTTCCTGGTGGTACATGTAGACAATGCCACCGGAAATCACATCGGTCATTTCGTCAGAGTAGAGGGCAGTAGTCTCCTCCCAAATACGGCCCTTGGCGCCATTGGGAAGGTTGCAGCCATACTCGGCGAAGAAGACGGGCACAGAGTAATTCTTGAAGAATTCGACCTGCTTGGTGTAGCCGGAGTCCTCCATGTTGCTTTCGCCGCACCACGAGTAGATGTTGTAGCCCCAGAAGTCGATGGCCTCGGTCTCGTTGCCGCAGTTGAAGTAGTGGGCGATGTCGCCGCGGATATCTGGATCATCGTTGGCAGCATAGCCGACACCCAACCAGCGGTTTGTGTTGGCCTTGATGTAGGCCTTGGTATCGCGCACGGCGGCCTTGACATAGGCAGAGGCTTCAGTGTTTGTCCTGTTATTGGTGACCTCGTTGCCCGCGAAGAAGCCAATCACGTTGGTGTAGTTGCTGAGAGCGTCCACCACAGACGTGTAGCGCTCGTACAGCTCCACGTTCCACTTGGGATCATCGCGGTTGATGCTGAGCGACGGTTCGCTCAAGTCGCTGACGACGTAGATGCCAGCATCATCAAGCAGCTTCATGCAGGCGTCGTGGTTGGCAGTGGGGTCGATGGCGTATGTGCGGATCGTGTTGGTCCTCAGCTCCTTCAGAAGGGGAACATCGCGCTTGCAAGCGGCCTCGTTGGCAAGAGGGTCGCTATACTTGGTGCTGCCAGTCGAGGCGCCCGCAGCAGCGCTGTCCTGTTGGTAAGCGACACCCCGCATGAAGAACTGCGTCCCGTTTTCGAAGAAGAACTTAGAGCCCTAGAAACGCATGTTAGCGCCCTGCTTAGAAGGGTAGCCACTTGGCGATGGCTATCGCACCTTCATTACGATGGGCGGAAGAGATGCCGACGCCTGCCCCAAAAGGAGCGAGGCTGAGGCGAGAGTCACCGGCGTGACGCGCATTTTGGCGGCGTCCTAAGATTTTGTCGCTGTCGATACTTCGAGACACGCTTGGATGTGCGGTGAATGCGCTGAAAAGTGAAGGGGGGAAAAATAAATCTTAAAAGATCCTGGTCAAAGAGTGTCAGAAAATGGAAAGATGCACAGCGAGCGGCTAGAAATCGAGCACCCTCGATCGAGAAGTATAAGAAAGGACGAGGACGGCGTTTGGGAGGTGATCGAAAGAAAAGGGAAGGAACCTCTCGTATCAGGGGAGAGCTGGTTGCGACTAAAAAGCAGGAGCGGCGCATCAACTCCACTTGGCACCGGACACGCGAAACCGGTTGTGGAAACTGAAGCAGGGTCCCGAGAGTTGGTTCGCTGCGTCGGACAAGCTCAGTGGTCGGAAATTAGAGCGTGGTGACGCAGGCCCTACGTTCGATACTCAGGTACCTCCACGGCCCGGATACCCCACACAAATGCGAGCCAAATGTGGTAGAGGCCGGAGTAGCCTGCTATCTGGCAGTCCATTCCATCTTCATCTCGTTTGCCCAGGTGGCTCAGGGGCTTGATTCTCATCCCCTCAGCAAAAGTGCTCCCAATGAACTGTTATTAAAGCGACACAGTAAGACGAATACTCTCCCTTCGCAATGGGCTTCGCGCCAATGACTGTGCGTTCGTGGTGCTACGGAGTCACACAATACACATGAAGTGGCGGAACGGCAGGTAGCCTCTCACAGGTCAATGTTGCTGGCTGCAGGTTTCTTGATGTTTGACGTTTGGCAACGCATTGGCTTCCCTCCCATGGTTCATCAAATGTTTTATGAGACTTATTAACGAGGCTCCCAGACCTGATCCAGCAGAAACCCGGCAAGCTGCCAGCGGGCGCCGTTAGCACACCGTCGCTGTCTCTCCTTGACGGTATCTCCAGTGTTGTAAGTACCCGACAGTAGTGTGTAGTTCCAAGCATACTTGTAGATGTCGTTGGACCCCTGGTTGGAGATGATTCTCGGCAGCGGCAACGGCGCATGCTTGGGTGGTCTTGGACGATGCTTGTTCTGAGAACCAAGACTGGCCAAGTCTCTCAGCGCTGATCTTCGAAGGGTTCGACCTGAGTGGACTGCACAGCCCCCAGAGACCCCACCGGTGATTGCGCATCAAACGCAACACGCACCACATCTTCATTTTCCGGCTACAGATCCAGTAGGTATCTCTCAGGGGAATGAATTGATTCCATGGTAATGTGATTGTTATCTCCCTGCGTATTTCTCGTCGGAAGCCGCTCTCAATTGCTCGAATTATTTTTTTTCCAAGTTGTCTTGTCAGATGCGGCCCAACCGGCGGATGCGCGGGTTACACCGCGGCATCCGTTGCGTCAACGGCCGTCGAGTTTGCTCTTGGCGCCAAAGCTGACTCCGTCTTGGCGATACGCAACCATCCGATCTGCAGGGGCTTCTCCACCATCAGACTTTCAAGTGGTCAGCATATGAAGTACTGTATGGATGGCCACTTATACGGAGTATAAACACATGTTCGTCGTGATGTTGCATCCCTAAACTGTCACTTCGAGCTGTATCATACATAGAAAATAATGGTGGTCTTTGTATAGTGCCAATACGTCTGATCCGTAGTTCCCGTATTGCGAGTGGCAAAGTCATTGCTGCCCACGCGCTGCCTACTGTTGTAAGGTACTTACTAGTAATTATGGTAGTTTGCTGATCACCAGCTGTCAGTCAGGACACAAAACTTCACAGAATTTACCACCCTGTCCTTCCTTTGTCTTCAACCAAGTCCCTGTCCGCCGGGGCTTTATAAGCGATAGTTATCTCCGGGCGTGGCAGCCTGACGACATAGTAGTCTGTAGTCAAAGTCGTCGTCCATCCAGAGAAGGCGAGCAAACAAGACGAAATTCAGGTAACTAGGTAGACGACACAGCATCCACCCAAGGGGCCGAAGGCTCCATCTCTTGGACCAGTTCCATATGACTTCTCCCCTCATCCAGCCGTTGTGTGTGTGTGTGATCCGCTGGCTGAAACGGATCCAGCAACTCAGTCGTTGATAGCGTGCATTCCCCCTAGGAGAGAGACCCTTTCGTTAGCAGCGTATGACAAGCGGTAAACAGCGAGATGGATACAAATCAAGGGGAAATAAGCAGGCTGCGGGTCAGATTCAACAAAGGTGCAGCATCATTTTTGCGGTCAGCTGGAATGAGTGTACAGTAAGAGCAGGACAACAAGAGTGTCCCTCATCATGGTGCTGCTTGTCGGATGCCGTTGACCAGAACGAGGGGGTGGCTTGCCTTTTTGAAGTCATTAGGTCATACAGATGTGTATGGGCTCTCTTAGTTCGGCAGGGTTTGGTCATCATTACCATGCGCTGCGTACCCTCCTGGTAAAGGTAAGGTAAGGTAGGTAGGAGTGATGGTTTTGTCAAGATGGCTCGATAAGTGTGCCGGATCTGTGTGTTGTTCCTTCCTCTTGTGCCTAGCGAGTTGACGAGCACAGACAGACGTCACCTCCCCGGCTGCTACCATTTTCGCTTCTCTTTGCAGCCATCTGGATGCGATGGGTCTATAGTAATACTTACGTTGGCTAGGTCGTTGACCTATATTGCTATAAGGTTAGTATTTATCCCTAATCTCGAAACCAGGAATCGAATCTCAAGTAGAATCGGAATTTGCTATGCCAATAGCGCCCCGGGAATTAGGCCAAACCGAAGCAGATGCGCGGACAAAGTGTGCTTGCCAACCCACCTTGTCAAAACCAGATAAGAGCTGCTTGATCCGCTCGTAGACCTCTTGCCTCTCCAGACTGCCTCCGGACGAGTAGCACTTCACCGGTGTCGACATGCTCATGCTCGGGAGGTTGAGGAGCCGCGTGACTCCCCTGCCCGCCTTGTTGTGCTTGGATCCGGCGGGATTGGAGCGGCGGCATTGGTCTAGGGAGCCCGGCCAGCTGGACAATGTGCATCGCGTCTTGAAAGCTCTGTTTCGTTGGTGGTTAGCACGCCATTATTAAATACTATGGAATGACATAGACTTGCAAATTGGATCCACAGCTCGCGCTGGATCCATTCGCTGCTACTCGATTCAGAGGAGCCCGAGCTGTCCCCTCCTCCACCTGCGATGTCGACTTTCACGACAAAGTATTGCCGCCGATAAGAAGTCCTCCGGTTCTTGCTGAAGAACAGCGTAGCCGGTCACCGCCTTGTAGACTTCTTTCCAGTTGAGGGCATCATCATCGTCGGTAGTGGCTGACTTGAGGAGAGGTTTGATGCGGTCGAGGTCGAAGTCGTCGGAGGAGGCAGCAGAAATGAGTCTGAGGAGATCATTTCGGAGGGTGCCATCTCAATGGCCGCCGTCCCCTCTGTATAGGAAGACGCCATGCTCTCTTCGTCATCCCCTTGAAAGACGCTGTCGCCCATACTAACGGAGTCGCCAAAGTCAGCAAAAGCCCCCGCATAGTCTTCTGTCGTAATGGTGCTGTCACTCTCAATCTCAATGCTCGATCGGCGTTCGCGTTTGGCTTTCAAGCTCTGTTTAGACTTCTTTATCATGGCTATTGCGCCTACCGTCGGAGACGACCGGAGTCCTGCTATATCGCTCCCGCTCCCGTGCTTCGGGGATCTAGGTCTCCGAATGGCCGACTTCGTCCGCTCCGGCGACGACTTCCCCCAGCCCTATCTCACCAGATCGGGCCAGTTCTTCTCCGAGTTCATCGCCAGCGCGATATAAGCCTTGTAGTTTCCGCTAAGATAGAGGACTACAGCGTCTGTTACTATAGTTCGTCAGCAAATAGCCAGGTCAAGAAGTGAAAGAGTGAAGGAGTGTGCAAAAATGTCTGCGGCTCAGAACAACAACTACAACATTTATATATCCCATCGTAGGCAGGAATCAGAGCGAATGGTTTCTCATCATGCGGACACAGATTGATCGGGGACTTCACGCTTGTCTTAGTCTAAGCGATGGCGGCGGAACAGAGGCTATGTGGGTGGAGTGTATATTGTTGCTTCTTGAGAGCCAACAACTTCAACAAGGCAGTCTCGGTCTCGGCCTTGTCGAGGATGTTGGGGATAAGGTATACCTAGCTTGGAGCTAGCGGGAGCACTTAGACCTGACTGTAAGAAACAGCGGGTCAGCAGATCGACATGCCATAGATGCGCTAGGATGGACATGATGGTAGTCGGTTGCTCAGAGGAAAACGACCATATCTCATCATAGGTAGGAGATCAAAAGTACTTAGTTGTCATCATTGCAAAAGGAATCGTCGTATGCGGGAAATGCACACCTGCCTGTGGTCTGGGTGGTACTGACGAGACAGAGCTAGCTGGAGCATAATATAAGCATCTGCCTTTGCAAGGCTCGAACCGGCATCTTGGCCGTTTGTAGAGAATGGTCATCAAGTAACGACCGCTCAGCAGCTGCTTTGTGGACCTTTCTTGTACTAGTCTTCGAAGCTCCGGGTCTGCACTGTGTCACACTAATGTGAGAGTCAGCAAACCGACAAAATCAGAGATATATTTCGCAAAGCGTGATGGTGTTGGCGACGCTCAGAACGTGACGGTTCGTTGTAGGATCGTTTCATATCGGTTCAGAAGGATGCAGATGGTCATCAGGGAAGGGGAGGGATGGAATGGATAATGGATCATGAAAGGGGATTCCACACTTGCCTCGGACTGGATGGTACCGGCGGAGTGAGAAGTACTCGAGCTGAGCGTAGGCGTCGGTTCTTGAGAGCTAGATATATTAGGGTAGTCTCGCGTCACAGAATACATGACCACTCAGCCACGGTTTGTGGACCCTTCTGGGTATCGAGTGTAAACTCAGGTCAGACTGTGTCAAACAGGGGGTTCAGCAAACTGGAGTGCGAGAATGATATGCAGGAGATCTGTCAATGTTGGCGGCTCAGAGCATGAATGGAATTATTGAGCAGATCATATCAGAAAAGATCAGCAGGATGCAGATGGTCATCATGCCAGAAGATAGATGTATCGGGGAAGGGGATGCCCACTTGCCTCACTCTTAGTGACTCGAAGTCTCGAACGGTGTAGACAGACTATTTTCATCGCCATGGTTGAGGCTCTTGATGGCTTGACCACTCCTCTTGCGGTCCGTATTCTTCCGAGTCCTTTGGCTGAGCGACGGCCGCGGCGGGTAGGTTGGCACCAGCGATTCCGACCGTAGTCTAGAGCGTCGACTGCCATGTCCGATGGACGAAGTCAGGTGTCAACTTGGAGCTCGGTGTTCCTGAAACAGAGTTGGGGATCGTCAGCAACCCATCAAACTCACGAAACAATGTTTTGATTAATGGCTGGGTCATCATGACGGCTCAGAACAAGAAGCAAGGTCTTCATGGGAAATCGGAAGAAAGAACAAAAAGCATATTTGTGCGTCATCATTGCCGAGGGAGGACTGCGGAACGGGAGAACTTGCCTGGCATCAACAAGAATGATCTCTCGGATCCAATCCCGCTTGTCAGGACAAGGCGATGTGCGTGAGACTATTAAACAAGGCATTGTCAGTCAACTGTCGCTTCCAGATGGGGGGAGAGAAGGATTGCGGTGATTTGCCATGGGGCCGGTTCAGAGATCGAAAGACGAAAGATTGCCCTCATTGTCCTAACGCTCGGTTAAGGACTCGGATGATGAGGATTGTGCATGATGGTCATCACGACCGAAGGTGTGTTGCTTGGGAAGTGGCAGGGGAAGACTTGCCTAGGTGTAGTATGAACTGGAATGTGGAAATACAGAAGATGACTTCTGCCTGTCAACCTAGAATGTTAGCCAATTGCGATGGAGTAGGCTATGGAAGAAGCGATGTGTTGATTCCAGCGTCTCAGAGGGATAGTCTTTTCCTCATGCCTTGGACTAACAAGGTGCAAGGGCTCGGAACTTCAATGGATTCATTATAGACGAGCGGTGAAGTAATAGAATGACGAGGGAAGACTTGCCTGGGTGTAGTATGAGCTGGGTATGGAATACAGAAGATGACCTCTGCCTGTCAACCCCAAAGTGTCAGCCAACTTGCAATGGAGTACGTAAATTGAAATAATCTGTGTTGATTCTACTGTCTCAGAGGGACAACTCTTTCCTCATGCCTTGGACTAACGAGGTCCAGAAAGGGCTCGGAAGGACAACGTAAGTTATCATGGATGGAAAAAAAAGGAAGGAATAGAGGACGAGGAAAGACTTGCCTGTGATGAAGGAGAAAGAAAGATTCTGCCTGTTGACTGCAATACAATGTTAGCATCTCGAAATCCGGACTAGAATAGTGAGGAGATGTATATATATCATGGCCTCAGAGCAAGAACGTATTCGTCAGCGCCTTGACCTCTGCTGGGGCAAGGCTCGGAACTAGGATATTCTCATCATCGGCCGTGAAACATGTCGCGATGCGGAGAAGGGCAAAGCTTGCCTGCAGTTCCGGAGATATAATCCTTGTGTTCCTATTGAGCGTACCTAGATGGCACTGTGTTAGCGTATCCTCACCCCCGGAATGGAACAGAGAGGTCATGTGTATATATATCTCGGGGCGTCAGGGCAAGAATGGTTTCGTCATTGTCCTCGTGAACGCGTAAGGACTCTAGATCGCCGGTGTGTTCATCATGGTGAGGGAAGTGTGTTTCATCGACGAGAGGGGACACTTGCCTGAGCTTCAGTATGGTTGATTGTCTTTGCCTGCCAGTATGAAGAGGAGAACGGTCAGCCAAAACATCGCTCAGTCTGGAAGACCAAGGATTATGCGCTGTTCTTTTCGCGTCTCAGAGCGAGCAGTCTTTTTCATCAGGCCTCAGAAAGAAGACATGGAGTTTATAGGTAATCATCATGACGGAGGATCGTGGGTGGGAGTGTTGGAGGGAATACCTGCCTGGGGTAGAGACTGCAAGTGACTATCGGCGCGCTGATCTGATAGCATACTTCAAAGCTATGCCTGACGCAACAGATATACGTCAGGAACTGAGTTTGAAAGCCTTCAGAGGGGAGGAAGAATACTCACCATGCTATCATGCCGATGCCGTCTCTGCTGCTCGGCCTAGACAATATCAGCACTGAATCCACCCCAGGAAAGTTCAGATAGTCGAAAGGCCCATTGCCCCGAGTATAATCAGATGATTTGTCTGTATCAGTCATCGCCGGTCCCGGTCTCCATGGCACTGTCACAGTTTAGAACACCTAGGGTCAGGACAAAACATGGATCATAGATGTGCGACATCCATCCACCGAGAGATCCTGACCCAAGTGCTTCGCGCCGTGACACTCGATGGGCAACCGAGCGACCTTAGCTCGTATCCTCCACGTTTTTCTCTCATCATGTCAATGGGCAAAATTGCCAAGGTTGGGTTGGACGGAAAGGGGGAGGGTCATGACTCGCCTTTTGTTAAGTTCAGCTGCGGTGGTAATCTGTGTCGGCCGACGTGTCTGTACTGATGCTATTCCTCGAAGCCAGAGATGGAGAAAACTAGGTTGGTTAGCAGGCTTGATTCTCAGTTGATGGATGAAAGGAAGGGAGAAATGTTTGAAACAGCGCTCTCAGACTACATCCAAGATGATGGTCATTGCCGGCTCAAGGTCCGACTCGGCCCATTTGGGGAAGGCTTTATCATCATGCGCGTTAGGTTGTAGGTGGAGGAAAAGGTAGGTGGATGACTTGCCTTCTTCCGGGGACAGCATTCCTTCTTCTGTCAGTTTAACTTGTTGATCTGTACCACAGATTGTCTGCCGTCTGCCCGGGGGGGAGAAGATCGCAACAGTAGTTAGCGAACCGCCACCTCAAGAATATGTGATGCGAAGGGAATGTGACGAAACAACGCTTTCAGATTAACTCACATCGTTCGTTTCATCGCCACCGACCGGCTCATTCCGTTTAAGGAAGTCTTCTCATCATGTGCGCTAGGCTGGGGTTTAGAGGGGGAAGGTGGATGACTTGCCTGTTTCTCCTTGACACTTGTTCCTCGCCATATAGGAAATTGTGGCTTACAGACCGGGTTGATCTGTACGCTCTGGGAGCCTGAGAGCAAAGAAGGAGAGTGAGTGTCTAACTGGTTAGCAGACTAGAACCGGTTCATTCAAGAGGTGGTACGAAGCGGGTGTGATGGAACTGCGCTTTCAGACCCAGACAGAGCAATGTTGGTTCATCGCTGGCGTCAGGCTCAACCCGTTTGGGGAAAAAAGATTGTCACCATGGCATGTGCTAGGGACTGTGCTCGGGGTATAGGCGGAAAGACTTGCCTGATTCTTCTAGCCTCTATTCTCTCCGTCGCTTAGGCTTAGTTTAGACTGGCTCCGTAAATGATCTGCAAATTGCTTTGGAGACCCGTCAGCAGTGACCTCTCCTCTTGAGATAATGAGCAGAGGAGAGGAACAAGAGAGCGACGACGGCTCAATGTTCGGATCCCTAGAAGCGTCGATGCCCATCAGATAGTTGAGTGGCCATGGCCAAGGTAGAATAGATCTCGAAGTCGGCTATCGCCGTCGGGTGGCTTTTGAACAAGATTGAAGACGATGTAGAAGGGGGAAACGTTGAATCAGTACTTACTGTGGCCATCAGAGACCAAGCTCGAGTCGTCCCTCGAGAATGCCAGTGGAGGGAGGGACTTGAGGTGGAGAAGTCAGCCAATCGGTCGGTCGGTCGGCCAAACTAATGACCTCACGAAGAACTGCTGAAACAAGTAGAGTACTGAGATGGTGATGGTGATGAAATACAGGCTGGTGTTCGAAGACAATGATGTGTAGAAGAAGGATGGGAAGGAGGACAAGATGTGGAAGAACAGGCTTGAGAATGGAGGAGAAAAGAAGATGCGGAAGAAGGAAAAGTGGGATGAATCCTGAAGAGGATGCGGATTTGAAGAAGGGAACAGAAAACCAAAACAGAGAGAGTACTCCGGAGGGGGAAGACCTCTCTTACCCCGGTCACGTAGACCTGCCTCTGGCCTGGCGGCGAATAGCACGCTCCGGATGTGAAAATTCGCACAGTCTATGATGTCTCCATGCCGACGAAAGCGTGCGAAAGTGTGAGAAATCAAAATGAAGGGCGAGGGAGGGTGGTCCGTGGGAAACGGGGTGAGAGACAGGTCTTCCGGAGGCGTTAGAGAGCCATACATACCGTTGAATTCCATGATATCAGCCGCCTTGTCGGTCAGTGATGGTGATCATGATGATCCGGAGGTGAAACAACATGTTCGGAGTGCGGAGGGAGAAAGGATAGTGGAGATGTAGGCTTTGTGGGGAGGAAGACAACAGAGTTATGGATAAGGACCGACTTTCTGGGCCTGCGGAATAAAGGGAAAGCAAGGCAAAGGCAGTTCAAGCTCGCTGGAGCCCATTTCGCGGCTACACTTTCCTCGACAGAGATGTGCTAAACCATGAGAAGAGGAAGATGGGGCTGCGGATGATATATGCGTTGCCTGCGTCGTGCGGAATATGCGGATGCGGAGAGTTGTGTGTGAAGGCGCCGACTGGGTGATATTGCAAGAATGATGGTTGTGGGAGTTAGAGGGAAGAGGAACCTTGACGGTCAGGATGGTTCAAAGAGCAAGAGATGATAAGTGTTGCGGCCTAGATAGGTGCGGCTGACGGCAACTGACGGCGACTGACAGGCACGAGAATACCCGCCAGATGCGGGTCGGAGTTCCTCACAGCTGGGCACAAGCACCGTGTCCAGATCAATGGCATGGAGCAGGATATGGTAGATACCAGCGCAATCATGTTGGGGATGAAGCGAATCTCAGGGGTGATCGTCTGCGTCAAGATGTACGAGATGTTATAAGTGAGTACTCTACATGTAGTCTGACATCCTACTGACACAGCAAACGGGTCGCTGAGGTTCGTAAACAGACCACCCCTATCTAGTTGTTCAGGGGAAGTTAATGGGCAGCAGGCATTGGGACAGAGAGCATCCACCATCACACTATACAAGATATCCAACGTGGTAACTACTGTACTCTAAGTTTCTCTCACGTATTAGTATTGACATGAGAGAGTAGATTGTCATGTGTTATTATTTTTCAGACAACACTGCCAAACCTGCGGGGCCCAAAGGAATAACATGAGCAAAGGCTGGGGGTCAAAGGATCTTCCCCTTGATCCGTTGTATTCCATGGCACAATCAGCACTTCAATGCAGAGGCAGATCTGGTAGTCGGAAATCGGAACGTGCAGACATTCTCAAGGCGAATAACAAAACAAGATTTCACACACTTAGTTCAGGGCTATGGCTTGATGGAAGCAATGGAGTTGTTGGCTTAGTAGCATCTGGACGTAATGTTGGGGCTGTGAGGAAAAGTCGGAAGCAAGGATGAGTGACAAGATGGATCGGCTTGTGAAAAAGTTATATCAGGCATTTGCGAAGAGCATGAGCACAGGTGTTGGCTGGCAGTATGGGCCGTATGGCTGGGGAGAAGTTACGTGATGGTTGTCCGTTTGGCGGGTAACTAATCACAGGTTCACATTACACTGCCTTAGCCAACTAAACAGAATTATAACAACAACAACTCTGACTCTGGAGCTTCCAGTGCCTGGAGGGGTTGGGTCTGATGGAGAGGTCGGCGAAAGGTGACAGGAAAGTGAGTGAATCGCGAACCTCTCATCGTCAGATCGAACATTCGGGTTTTGCTTCGGTTGATTCCGTCTGCTCTATCAATCCGGCTCGGAAATTTTGTTAGATGCATGGATGCAGGTCAGAAAGCCAGAGTTGGCCCGTCTTACAGCAAAGTATTGCTATGCTTGTAGCAGATCCACTTCTATTTAAAGGGACAATCAGGGGTTCGCCGCGGTGGCTGTGTGACCCAATCTGGAGATCAAGCATCTGCCAAGCGGGAAACTGTGGGGCATGTGTACATCGTCTGCCCAAGAGATTGACCGACGGGATGGCGACGTTGGGATTCTAGACTTCAGAGGCAACAAACCTGGAAGACACAAAGTAAGCGGGCGAACCCAAGGCTGCGCTGCAGTAGCAGTTTCTGGCGACAATGGCCTTGAGGAAAGTAAGGCGTCCAATTTTAGGTCGTGGATGCTCTCAGCTCTCCTCCACGGTGCTCCACCTCGGCTCATCATCCAGCAGCTAAGCAGTGATCACCATGAGTCCATGGCCGCGTGTGGTGCATGGGCGGGATTTGCGTTGTTGTAAGGCAAACAGGACGGAGTAAGCATCAAATTTAGCCTCGGTCTTCATATGCCGTCGGCCACAACTATAAGACGACGCGGACGGCCTTCACAACTGCTGCTCCTGACTCTGCCACTCAACAGCACGATTACAAGCTCACCATCCGGCCCAACATCTTCCCAGTCCAACCAGCGGTTCTCAAAAAAAAAACACACTTTTATTTTTTCGCCACCATGCTTCTCTCCAGCCTCGCCTTGACCCTGGCCGCCGCCGTCTCCGCAGTCGCCGCCTACCCGATCTCGGGCGACGACGTCAACTGCCGGTCGGGCCCGGGCACCAGCTACAAGGTCATCAAGACGTACAAGAAGGGCACCGACGTCAAGCTCAGCTGCCAGGCCTACGGCGAGAGCATCAACGGCAACACGCTGTGGGACAAGACGCAGGACAACTGCTACGTGGCCGACTACTACGTCAAGACAGGCTCCAACGGGCTGGTCACCAAGGAGTGCGCCGTCAAGATCGGCGACGGCTCGGCCTACCAGGGCAAGATCAACCGCACTGAGATCCTGGCGCGCGCCAACTACTGGATCGCCCGCAAAGTGCCCTACTCGATGAGCGCTTACTACCCGGACCCGCAGGGCCGCAAGTACCGCACCGACTGCTCGGGTTTTGTGTCCATGGCGCTGCACGCCTACGCGCCCGGGTACAACACCGTGTCGCTGCCCGAGGTGGCCAAGTCGATCAAGTGGAGCGAGCTCAAGCCCGGCGACTTTGTCGGCACCCTGGGCGCCGGCACGGGCGGCGCCGCGGGGCATGTCACGCTCTTCAAGTCGTGGGCCGACAAGGACAAGAAGAACTACAACACGCTCGAGTGCATGGGCAGCCGCGGCTGTGTGGCCAACAAGCGCCCGGTTGGATGGAAGGTTGGCAGCTTCACGGCCAAGCCGTACCGCTATGAGAAGGTCATCGACTGAGGGGGCCGGAAGAAGTCGAGGTTGCGGGCGGATCTTTGTATATAATGGGGACTCGGGGTTGGCGAGATGGTAGAGTTTGGTTTGGGTTCGATGGACTTCATTTCTGATGCTTTTCTCTAAAAAGAGGTTGTGGTTATTTCTTTCGCCCGAAAGGACTCGCGGTCCAGTACATTCACTTCAAATAGCTCGTACATACAGTTTCATTGATAAACTCTTCACTGCCTTTCCGCTCGCATGTTGCCTGGCTTTCAAGTCTGCTCCCTTGCCTGCCCATTGTGGGACGATGGCGGCATCGAACACTGCTGGCGGTGATGTGGTGGGGTAAAAGGTTAGGTAGGTACGTTCACGGGTCATCATCAAGCCGAGCATATCCCGCTTATCTCTCACCCATCAACCTGCCCCAGAAAAACGCCGGTCGACAATGGCCGAGTCCCTGCCTACCTAACAACTGACACAATACCCCACAGCGATCCAAAACAACAACGAACAGCAACAGATGAAATAAGTAAGTAATCTCCTCCAAGGGGTCCTGATCGCGCCCGTATTCTCTCTCATCCAGATCCAACCAGATGAGACCATGAAGAAAGACAGACGTCTTCCAGCAGTTTCCCCTTAGCAACCATGCACCCCAAAACCACCATACGCCCCTACTGCCACGCCGACGCCGACGCCATCACAGCCATCTACGCCGACGCCGTCCTGCACACCACAGCCACCTACGAGGAAACACCCCCTACCAGCGCCGAGATGCACCGACGTCTCTCCGCCCTCATCGACGCCGGTTTTCCCTGTTTCGTAGCTGAGACAGAGATAGAAACGGCAACAGAAACAGAGTCGGAGACCGAACAATCACATAATACGGAAGTACTACCAGTAGTCGCAGGCTACACCTACGCCGGCCCCTTCCGCCCGCGGCCCGCCTACCGTTTCACTGTCGAGCACTCGGTGTATGTGGCTCACCACCAAAGGGGGCGCGGCGTCGGCCGGCTGCTGTTGGAGGCGCTTGTCGCGCAGTGTGGGAGGAGTGGTGGTGGCGGTGGCTTCCGGCAGATGGTGGGCGTCATTGGGGAGCCGCAGGCGAATCGGGCTTCGGTGGCGTTGCATGAGCGCATGGGGTTCAGAGAGGTTGGGAGGATTGAAGGGTCTGGGTACAAGTTTGGGCGGTGGTTGGATACGCTGTTGGTGCAGCGTGCTGTTGGGGATGGGGTGGCACGGCCGCCTGAGACCTGATGGGGAAGGACGCCATGATATGCAGTGGTTGAAACAGTTACGGTTGGGGGTCCTATGTTGGGAAGATAGGCATGGGATTGATGGGAATGTGGTCTCATACTATACACACACGGTTTCGTCCCGATTATCCGACAGCTGCTCCGACCTTCAGAGCGAGACCTCCCTCCCCGTCTTCGCGCTCTCCCTCACAGCCTCAATAATCCGCAGCACCTGAGCCGCCTGGGTCGCCGGAACAGGAACATCCTCCTCCTTGCCGCTCTCCACCGCCTTGGCAAACAGCTCGTAGAACTTGACATATGTCTCGGGCTCGACGGTGGGGCACACCTTCCTCTCCACCGTCCCGTCGTCGCGCAGCAGACACACGAACCCATACTTCTCCTCATCCTCCCGCCCAAACCGAGCATCTGTCGCCTTCCCACCCGCCCGGAGCTGATCCTCCTGCGGATCCAGCCCCGTCTTGTGATAGCTCCCCTTACTGCCCCGAACCCAGAACCGCATCTGCCGCGTCTCAACGCTCACGACACCAATCCGGACCTGCACCACCAACCCGGTATCCGCATAGCTGAGCACCGCGGTAACACTATCCGGCTCATCGTCCGACGACCCCTTCACCAGCCTGCCCTCCCTCTGCCTGACAAACTTCCCATACACGGCACTGGGCATCCCGAACAGCACAAACACCTGATCAAGCAGGTGCGTGCCCAAGTCATACAGCGGCCCACCCCCCTGGTCCATGCCCATCGACGCCTTCCACGTCAGCGACGCCGCAGCAGGGGGGTTCGGACGCAGCCGATCAAAGTGCGTCTCGAACTCCACCACCCGTCCCAAGACCCCCTCCTCCATCAGGCGGCGCACCGTCAGGAAATCCGAATCCCACCGCCGGTTCTGGTACACGCACAGCACGCGCCCCCGCTCGCGCGCCAGGGCCGCCAGCGCGTCGGCCTCGGCCGAGGTCGGCACGAACGGCTTCTCGACCAGCACGTGCTTGCCCGCCTCGAGCGCGGCGCGCGCGAAGCCGTAGTGCGTGTTGGGCGGCGTGCAGAGCACCACGACGTGCACGTCCGCGTCGGCGAGCAAGGGTTCGAGGGAGGTGTGGTGCTTGACGGCCGGGCTTGGGTGGTCCTCGGGCGCGGAGTTGCTGCCCGGGGAAGGGCTGCGCTGGACGATGGAGTGGAGTTTGAGAGACGGGGTGAGGGCGATGAAGGGGATGTGGAAGACTTTGGCGGAGAGGCTGGTTTATTTTTTCGAGGCGGTTGTTAGGATGTGAGATGGTGAAGGTGGACGGGAGCGGTGCTTACCCGTAGCCTACGATGCCGACGTTGAACTGCTTTTGGGTGGCCATCTTGGATTTTTTCTTTGGGTGGTTTGGGTGAGATTGTGTAGTTTATTGACAATTCGACAGTGAGATTTGAGGGATGGATGGATTCTTTATAAAGCTTTAGCCATGAGAAGATATATATATCTTGCCTAAGGTATCTCGCTTCCAACTTCCAAGTCGTCCTGCATCTGCGGGGTCTGAGGGGGTAAAACTCCACGCTCTCGTGTTGAGGTGGGCCGGTCGTAGAGCAATGCCCCGCTTGTTGTTGAAAGATTCTCAAGGTCAGGGGCTTAGGATTGAGCGAATTCGGATACTATTAGTAAGACGCTCAGTGGCCTCATCGGGCCATTTTGTTATTCAATACCAGCCCTCACAATAAACCAAACACCAAACCTGACCGTCGGTTTGGTTTGGATTTGAATGCCCGGGCCAGGCAGGTTTGGTTTAGATTCGGTTTGCCTTTGTATGGTTTGTTTGCATATCGGAGGGATTGAACGGTTTGAGAACATATGAATTAAATGGGGAACTAGCATTGTAAGCAGTATTCAGTGCGCTGCTCTGCTCTAGGTGTGTTTGTAATGGTGCATTAGCGCTGTTTTGAGCAAAGGTTCATTAGGTACTCGCCTCTCGGCTTCAGTAGTCTGACTAGGTACCTCCCAGTCAGACCGAAGGTATAGGCGAAAAAGTTGGCACAGTTACCTAGAAAAGTGGCTTCAGTATTGCCTAAAATAGAAGTATGAAGTGCGTAGCACGGGAAACGCAAAAGGGCGCATAACCTGTTACAGTTTAGAGAAAGGTCAGAGGCATAAAAGTAGTCTGAACTCTATGGTGTTGAGAAGAAGACCCAGATGTGCCAAGCCAAGCCACAGTAGGCACAAAGGTTTCTCGCGCAAAGGGCGTTGCGAGGGAGCCATGGGCGCTATGAGACAGGAAAAGAGCTAACAGCCAGGTCGAGGTAGGAAAGATGGGCCCATCCATTCCTGCACCTGCTCCACCGCCACACGAGCCAAGCCTCTGTGATCTACCAGATGAGATTGTATTTCGGCTGGCAAGAACTCCCGTTCAGCCGTGTCGGGAATCAGGTCCTCGCCCCGGCCGCGCGAGTAGATGACGACGGGATGGGCCTCGCCGCGGTCGTCGGCGGGGGCCAGTATGATGGCGAACAGCCGCTGCTCGTCGCGGCCCGGCCAGACGGCGAGCCGCCAGCCCAGCAGGTTCATCGGGTTGGCGCACAGCGTCCGTGCGTACGAGGTTAATAAATCTCGCTGCTGCTGCTGCTGCTGCGTCGGCATGCGGAAGAGACTTGTCCCCTCGCGGCGCAGCCAAGGATCGCGTTGGCTCGGATCTGGAAGACTTTGAAGCGCTGCTGGCCGGCCGCATAGATCACGCATCATATTCGACCTCCATAGTAAGTTGGGAAACCAGGGCTCGGGATTTTCGCTGCGTGTTGTTGGTAGAGATCACACCGGAAGAGCTCGCCCCCCTCTTGAGAGGTGTCTCCGCCTCGACTCGCGATCTCAAGTTCGCGGCTTGCGATTTCAACCTGGCGGCCTGCGATATCAGCTTGTCGGCTTGCGGTCTGGTCTTGCTGGCTCGCAATATCGACTTGGCGTCCTGCGATCTCAACCTCGCGCCGGCCGATTCCTCCGCAGCGAGCTGCCGTTTTGCATCGGCAAGCTTGAGTTTCGTGTCGGCAAGCTCTAGCCTTGCTTTAGCATGCTCCAACTTGGCTTCAGCAAGCTGTAACTTTATCTCGATGAGCTCGTCGGCCTTTTGAGGGCGGGGAGGTGACCTGAGCGGACCTATTGGGAGCCATCGAACTCGGCTATTGCGTGAAGCTAAGTCAGCAAACACTAAAATTAACGACTTAGATCGAGGAAGACATCGAGAAAAGTAAGTAGTGACTCTTATGATACGACCAGGTGTTGATCGCTGGGCAGACTCAATCGCTTGTTCTAGTTTGTTGTGCAAAGGAAGGAAATGAAGGTATGGTATGGATTTGGAGCACTTCCCAAAGTCACATCAGAATGGGTGGTGCGGTGGTAAGGCCCTCGTAGGTCAAACTTAAACGGTCCTGGCCAGGTTGTGGCTTCGTGTCAAGATCCGAACTTGTCCAGCTCAACGGGTTCCGAGCAACAAGTAGCCTCTGCCAAGATAATCACCGTACCCACTATACTTAACATGAATATAAATGACCAGCTATTACCTTACCCTTATCGATTCTATGAGGAGATACAGCCGTCGTAACTACATGACCTTGAGCGCTGAAATCTCAACCATGTCTGCTTTGGCTTTCTCTGGCTCAGCTCGAGCTGTTTGCCGAGCTTGTCCGGCATTATCTCATTCTGGTTGGCAAGCAGCAGCTGCTTCTCACAGGAAAGCCGATCCCGCTTAGTGATCTCCGCGGCAACCTGTTGCCGGCATAGCGAGATCTCCTTACTCCAATCGCTTTATGTTCGCGGTTGCCTCTTTAGGAGAACTGCGGAAGGCGTTCTCGGCACGTCGCTGCTCCTGAATGAGCCGTCCGTGGTCAATGCTGGCCGCATCCAACGGGAACCCCAGCTGGGGCCGCCGCGGTGCCCGTGGTATCATTTTCGGGACAGCTACAAGGGCGCTTAGGAAATGTAAAAGAGAACGGAAATGCGACAGTTAATCCTACAATCCGGCAGTGGAAAGGAAGTATTCTAATTCCGCCCTCTCCTGAGCATCTCGGCAGAAGACTCGATATACACCCATTCGTCTGCTTGTGGCCCAAGGTATCTGGCAGGTAGCTCATTACATCATCCGAATCGGAGTGGGCTCTCGTTTGGGGCATGGGTTTCGCTGACTACCGGGTACTGTACCTAGCTTCTCAAGAATCTCAACGGCAAGGTCACTCATCGGTCAAACAAGGTCAAGCTCTGATTCGAAAATCAGTGATTATGTCAAGGAGCACTCAAATTCGGGAGCACCAGGCTCTCTGCTGAGGTATCGCCCCAAGGTCTATCCCGGCCCCAATATTCCCACCGCTCTATTATCCAGGAAGTACCCGCTCCCTAGGACGCTGACACTGACAGGACGAAACCCATATCCGGACCCACTGACTGCGATCACCACCCCCCTGACGTTCTCTCTGAGAGGTGCGAAGGCGAAACGAACGAGCGGCACTCACAAGTTGATGTACACCGTGTCGCCCTTCTTGTTCTTGCATTTGTACTGGGCAGTCTTGCCGCTTGCGTGATAGAACGGCTCCCCGTCGCTGCACCCGCTGATGACGCCAACGCCGTTCCGACCAAGATAGCCGGCTGGCTGCTTAGAAGAGGTCCAGCTGTCGGTGGCGGCGGTGGTGCTGGCGCCACCTCTGGACTTCTGCGCGTCTTTGCTGCCGCTGCTTCGCTGGCTCTGCTGGCTCAGCTGGGCCACGGACTGTCGAGACACAGGGTGGTTCGAGGAGCCGGAACGCGACGGAGCCGGTTGCGTTCGGGATCCTTGGGTCCGGGCTCGGCGCTCCTCCTCGTCGCTGGCATTGTAGATATCCTCACCCCACTCATTCAAATACGAGTTCGCATACAGGTTCGAGTCGGGTTCAGACGGAGGGAACAGACCGCTTCCGACGCTATAATGGCTGCTCGCCGGCGTCCTAGGGCGTTCTCGTTCTCTGGTGGCGGTGTAGGCTGGTGGGTTGGCTATTGTCTCGGCCGCTGAAGAGAGGAAGCACACAGAAATGGTTAGAAAAGATCAAAGGCGAGCGTGTCAGGGCCTTGATTCTGGGAGGGCTTACCCTGTATGTGGTGACTCACCTCCTTCTTTGCGCTTTCGGCGGACCATCCAGCGGTCACGATCTGGTCTCAGTGCCCCTTATCGTTTGGTAGACGATAAGCGTTGGGGTAGTCGTTGAAGAAGTGGTTCCGTGCAGTCGCAGCACTACGTTGAGGGGAGATAAAAGTAATTAGTACAAGATATGAAAATAAGGGGAGGACACCAGGAACGGGGGTGTAAACGACATTAGTAGCTGGAAGCCACGTACGTCACAGCACCAAGTTCCCAGGCGTTGGCCAGTAGGGCGGCTTCCATATGGTCGTCATAGGTCATAGACCTTCCCTTGTGGTCAAATCTCCTTCGGAAATCCTTGTAGGCCTTCCGGGCTGCGGATAGCTCACGGCATTTGTCATAGTAGTCGTCGTACAGGACCATCATCGAAACGGACCATTCTCGCCTCTCGTAGCCTGCTGCTTTGGCCTCCATCTCCTCCCTTTTCTTTTTTTCTCTCTTTGCGGCGTTCTTGGCAGGCTTCTCGGCCCTAGCTTGCTGAATCACCGGCGAAGCCTCCAGCCGGGCCAGTTCGGCTTGAAGCGCTTGTGTCTGGTTGTCCAGTTCAGGTCAGAAACGATTGGTGCGACGTGCCACTACTATGTGCGCTCGCGGCTGGCCCACTCATGGCCGATCCCGAACGGCGGCCATCGGTACCGCTGGACCTGGTGCGAATGCTGAGAGGCACTGAACTGGTCGGTCCACCGCCACCCACTGCCGTCATCTCATACGCGGAGCCTTGCCGGCTACCCGTCTGCTCAGATGCCGCGTCAGCCTGGCTTCATGAGCGCTTTACTCTTTTGTGGGACTTACCACAGGACGTGGGGGTGAGCCGTCCGAGGAGCTCTGGCGGCAGCATGATCCAGTGCACTTGCTACTGTGGCGTTTCTTCGACTCGCAGATCGCGCAACACCATTTCGGCTTCAAAGACTTGGAAGGCATTGGGGAATTGACGGAAGTATATGCGGAGAAGACTAGCAGAATGGTAAGGGGAACGAGACCAGAGCAACCGGCCAGCGGTACCGTTTGACAGGCGCAGATTACAGGTTGCGGGAGAGGTTAGAGGAGATGAGATAGTGCCGGTGGCGTTGAGCCGAACCGTGATGGGATGAGGTAAAAGATGAGGTCGAATGAATGAGGAGCTGAATCCGGCCGGCGGACTAGTATAATATACCACGACGAGGAGGGGAAGGGAAATGATGATGATGACGATGATGTGATAATGGCGAAGAGGGAGATGTAGGTAACGCTTTGCGCGACCAAAGCTCGCATTATGTACTGGAACTCCTAGCCGCCGTGTGGAAGCTGGAACCACGACTTCGGCACCTCGAGTCCCGGCCACGCAGAGTGACCATGCCAACGAGTTCAACGACAGGTTCGGCGGCAGCTCTGCGAGCGTCAGGTTGGAAGGGCGAGACCTGAAACGGTGCGGCGAGTCCAGAATCCAGGACCGTGTTGGCCATGGGTTGATACAGCCCATTTCAAGGTTGACTGTCGAGTCTAGGTATGTTCAAACGCCAACCTGCGGCTGGCCCAGCGCCGCGGATCGGCAGGGCAATGCACCATGCCGCAGTGGTGACGAAGAATACCAGCTCATCAATGCCTCTGGGGAGTGGCACCCATGATCCAAGGACCAGGCCATCATGTCGGGACCGGGTTAGTCGCCTGTCCCAACTTCGAAGTTCGAACCGTGCCCTCGGTCCAGATTACCGACGATCCGGACCATCTGATGGCAGTGCATCATCGGTCGTCCCAGCTCCCAGGGGCCGGCCGCCGCCAGGGCCCAGCACTCACGAGACACAGAGCTGGCCTCGTAGAAGTCCCAGCGCCGTCCCCCAGCATGTGGCACGAAGCTCAGGTTGGGGTAGAACTGTATATAGCTTCCTTCCCTAGGTACCCTCGTACCTGGATCACCATCGATCACCTCGGCCCGGTGATTGGGGGTGAGCCGCTTACCGGGATCACCAGTTCCCAATTGATCTTGATGATCCTGCCGTCCCTAACGGCCATTGGCCCGGGGTTCCGGGGTCGCGCCCCACCCGGCCGCCATATATGGTTGGTTCATGACAGGTACTGACATCCGTGTCATTTTGGCGGACACTGACTGGTGTTCTATATATTAAGTGGGGTCCAACCTAACTTATAGCAGGGACATTGCTGCATGTATTACTAATGCCCCCCGATCGCCGTTCAAGAAACGCTGACGGAACCGCCATATGCCGGGTTGGCACTCTTGTCAGCTCACTTTGTTTTAAGTGTTCCTCACGCATTAGGCAGCTTTCTAACCAACTTCACGGGACATCTTCGCACCTTTGCCGTAGTGCAATACTTTGCTCCTAACAAAGGTGCTCTGATAAGATAGACTCCTCTGAAAGCGGCAATGGTCGGTGTGCCGACGAGCAAAGGATGCACTTTATGTCTGGCGCGAAGCGTCAAGGTAACACACCTCGCGCTACATACCTGTTCATCCATCCGGTCGCTAATCGTCGTGGCAAGTGTGATGAAGCACGCCCAAGCTGTTCGCAATGTCGGAGAGGGCGGCGCGCTTGCCCTGGCTACTCACGGGAGATGAAATTTGTAGACGAAGGGCCAAAATTACGGCGCCGAGTCCGAAAAACCGCTCCCCGTGCCCCGGGCGGGACTTCTGCTCGATATTCTGGTGATACATCAGCCGCTCCAATCCATATCACAGCCGTGGCCCAAACCGGCGGGCCCAGTCTTGAGCATCGCTCTGGCGCAGCAGTAGACACTCGAGCGCAGCGTGGTTTTCAGCTGGCGTGGCTCAACGTGTCCAGAGAATATTGTTATCAAACAATTTCGGCTTTTATCTCTGATATTTTTCCCCTTGGAACCCCTTCGGCTCAGAGCTCATTCCTGGGAACTTGGCTTTGGCATGTGCCACTATACCTTGGTCGCCACCCTTTTCTGGATGCTGCGACACTGTCGCTTGCTTTGGCGTATTTTGCTCGGCTGTCCCGAGATCAGATGGTCCTTCGCCGTGCAGAGCTGTCATACGGTGCTGCTTTGAAGAGCCTGGCAACGCTTGTCACAGACCCGAGAAAGGGGCTCGGCGCAGAGGTGCTCTGCGCTGTCCTACTTCTCGGTCATTTTGAGGTTCGTGGAGCGCCTCCTTTCCCACATCGAGGTCTGTCGGCTCGCTTCTAATAATACCCACCATCCTGCAGACGTTTGTTGACCGAGGACACGCTTGGATTCGTCATGCTGGCGGGGCTGCGCACCTTATGCGGCTACGGGGAGCTCGCAAATGTTACGATTCGGCCTTTGAGTACTCCATGTTTCTTTCGTGTCGCGGAGCCATAGTCCGTATACCACTTCCGGTTTGCCTACTAATGTGACTGTGCTAATGCACTTTTAGATTGCCGAAGCGCTCACTTCCAGGGAGCCATGCTTTCTGGACGCTGGTGAATGGCAATCCGTCCCCGACGGGTTGATCGAGTTCCCATTATTGCCTTCATATCCAGATCTTTACCACGAGATATTTGGCTACTTTGCTGCTATCCCTGGCTTGCTGAAGGAGGCGAAATCGATAGGTAGTGATACTGCCGACAGCACGCGCCATTCCGTGCTTTCCCGAGCTACAATGCTGCGCGACAAGATTAGACAATGGCACTATCGGTATATCTCCGACACCAGAGGGCCCACGGTCCAAGTTTTGGTCAATCCACCTCCTGTTTTGGACGCCTATCCATTTCATTCTGTCTACGTTTACAGAGATGTCGCATCCGCAACCATGATAACAGCTAGTCACGCCTACATGATCGCGCTTAACAAGGACTGCATCGACAGCATACAGTCGCATAGCGATTGCGCAGAAGCAAATATGGAGATGGCGCTGGCAATATGTATGTCTGTGGATTATTGTTCCCGCTCTGGCTACTGCGGAGCGTCGACGATGAAGTTTGCCTTGCCCATCATCCAACCGGTGTTACCTCTTAAGCACCATGGATGGATCGAGGCTTGGTTATCAAAATTTTCGGGCGTTGTGGAGGCCGCAAGGGTTAGGTAGTTTTAGCTAGTAGGTGGTAGGAAACAACGCAAACTTGGATGCATGCGATCTGCTTGCTTTAGAAATCTTGACTTTGGTGTAGTTATTGCAAAGAGAAATACAAACACTCCGTCCATTTCATCCCGGAAACTCAGCTGGGCTCTATGAAGCGACACACTGAGCCGTTTAGTATCCTCTCACGGCCTTTGGCTGATATGCTGATTCGAGCTGAGCAATTTCAGCTTCTGTCAGCACTAGGTTGGCTGCAGTCACAACCTCGTCGATGCGCTCCCGACTATTTAGCCCAACGATAGGATTGACCCCCTTGTGGAGACACCATGCTACTGCAATCACAGCCATGGGCAGCTGTCTCCCTTTTGCCACATTTTCCAATGCATCAACAACAGCCTTATCCGCCGCGCTTTCTCGGTCGTAGAGGCGGGTAATGGCCATGTCATGCCGAGATCGTATTGATGAATCGGCGTCGAGGCCGTTCCAGGGACGTGCCAGAACGCCACGCGCAAGGGGGGACCACTATAGCGCGCAGAAAAGACGGTGGTCAGCGTAATGGATCGTGCCCTCCATCCTGGTGGACCTACCGGGATGCAGCCAACGCCGGCATCTCGGCAGTACGGCATCATTTCACGCTCCTCCTCCCGGTAAAGAAGATTGTAGTAATTCTGCATCGACACGAATCGGTGCCAGCCGCGTTTCAAGGCAATGTTCTGCAGCGCCTGAAACTCCCACGCAGGCATCTGCATCGCCCAGAGTTAGCGCATTCTAGTCAACGGATTGGGTGAAGAGGAGAGGGATGTCATCGTGATGGACAGGCCGGTGGGCTTACGTACCGAGCTGGCACCAATGTAGCGCGCCAATCCCATGTCGACAACATCGTTCAAAGCCTTCATGATTTCTTCCCGGGGAACATCCGGATCCATGCGCTGGATCTGTATCACGTCAATATAGGTGCCCAGCCTCTTGACACTCGCCTGCACCGCGTCCAGGATGTGTTTGCGCGACAATCCAACCCGGTTGACCATTCGGCCATCATTGACGGTCGATGCGAAGACAGAAAGCTGTGGCTCTCCCGGCATGCTCGTGGCGAAGCGGCATTTGGTCATGATGACCACAGACTCGCGAGGGATCTTGTACGTCGACAAGGCCTTGCCGATGATCTCTTCCGAGACACCGTTTGAGTACAGATCCGCCTACACAGACGGAATAGTCTTAGTTTTTCGACCACGATAGCCAGGACTTGAAGGAGAAGAGAAAAAAGAAGGTACTGACCGTGTCCCATGTGTTGATTCCGACCTTGTAGGCATGCTCGAGGAGCGGAAGTGCTTCGTCTTCCTCCAAGACCCACTCTTGCCAATCTTTTTTCCCGTATGTCATGGCTCCAAGGATGACCTTGGAAACCTTGAGGCCCGATGTTCCGAGCCTGTTGTATCCTACGCTCGTCTGTTCTGGCTTGGTGAGCAAATCACTGACGTAGCGGTGTTGAGTAGGAGCCATGATGGCGGCAAAGAAGAACGAAACTGAACAACTGCAGCGCGGATGTTTGAATCGTGACGAGAGCAGAGTAGGAAATCTTGACATTTCCCGCAGCTTTTATACTGAATATCCCTGACGAGGGTCCTCACAAGCTAACTACAGGTTCCTAATCCTGGGGCGGTATTGTAGCCTGACCCATTGAACAGAATGCGTCAGCACCCAGCGGCTGCGGCCATGTTTCAATATCTTGTCCCGAAATGGCTCCATGATACGACGACACATGAAGGTTGGTTCAGCCCGGATTTGGCAACCGCATGTTCCGAACAGGGGTGGTGGGCATGGTCAGCTTAAGCCAGCCGAACTGGGCTGCATGATCCGAGCTAGGCCCAATCTGGTTCCAAGCCACGAACTCCATGTTCTTGCGCCCAAGGGCCGAAATAAGGCCTCTGCATCAGAGATGACCATGATCAGAAGTTCTTGCGTTGCTCCTCGGCTTGATGCTGTTCCCCAGTTTGACGCATGAATGCTGCTCTATAAATGCGACCGGTTGAGTTGACGTTGACGCTCCCGTTTTCTAGCACAACTACGTCCTCATCCAAAACCCTAGCTCTATCAGTGTCGCGCACATCTTTTCTTTTTCATTTCTCTTTTCTTTTCTTTTCTTTTTTTAAAAAGAAAAGAAGAGCAAACATGGTTTCACTCACTGACGGGCAGAAGGCTACCCTCAGCCCTGAAGCCGTTGCCTATCTCACAAACATCCACCACATACCGTTTGCTAGTTTCCTATCGCCTCTCCTCACATCCTCATGTCGCGTTCCCGGGCTCCGCCAAGGCTACCAGGAGAAGATGGGTCCTGCGGAGGCCGAGCTAATGAAGAAGCACCGTCTCCAAACAACAGCAATTGTCATGGCCGGCGTCCCGGTGACAGTGATTGAGCCGCAGTCCATCAAGCCCGACAAGCAGCAAAAGGCTCTCTTCAACGTGTTTGGGGGCGCCTTCGTCATGGGCAGCCCGAGGGACCGTGCGGCCCTCACCATGGCCGCAGAGCTAGGGGTCCGTGTCTACTCGGTAGGGTACACCAAGGCCCCCGAGGCGAAGTACCCTGTCGCCCGCGACCAGTGCCTTGCCGTCTACCGCGAGCTCCTGCATCGCGGTCCTCCTGGCCTTTCGCCTCTCGATCCGGCCCATCTCTACGCCATGGGGTGCTCCTCGGGCGCCCAGATACTCGTATCCATGCTGCTCGTCGCGCAGCGAGATGGCCTCCCGATGCCCGCGGCCGGCATGTACCTATGCGCGCCCGCCCTAGACCTCAGCGGCGCCGGCGACTCGATGGTGTTCAACGACCACAACCGCGACCTGATGCCCGTCAGCCTTCTCATCGGCATGGTGTCGCAAAACTATGCCCCCGATGGGGTGGAACCCAAGGACCCGCTCTACTCTCCCGTCTACGCCGACTACGGCCCGTCATTCCCACCGACCATCGTGACCGTCGGAACACGCGACTTTGCCCTCAGCCACGGGGTGCGCTTCTGCTGGAAGCTGAGACAGGCTGGCGCCAAGGTGGAGCTGCTGGTTTCTGAGGGCATGTGGCACGGCTTCAGCTGGGATCCAGTCATCCCAGAAGCCTTGCAGGTCCGTGCCGCAGTCATCAAGTTCTTGGAAGGCGAAAAGCTGTGACAAGAGTTTATTGGGATAGCCTTTGATGCCACTGTACTTTAGACCAATCATAGTTGTCCATTATGAATTATGGAAAATGGCGACGCCAAAACCGGTCCCCATTCTTGAAGATGAACAGTTTCCTTTTATTCTTTTCGTGTTGCTTACCAGACTATTGGAGACTTAAGTTAACGTTAGTCTCTACTCTCCAAGTCTCGCACCTGCACTTCCTGCAACACTCCTCCTTCCCACCACTATTCTTGATGATACACGAAGATATATTATAGAATTCGGATTAAAGACGTTCAATTTAGCAGATACCATGATTAAGCGGGCTGCAAAAGAGGCTATTAGAAATACGGCACACTGGATTTGATTTAATTGACAGGTTGCAACTGTTTGATTAAATTGCTTCTCTTCTGCTCTCTGGCTTTGCCAGAGAGCCTATTATTATAGTTACTGGTTGGCGGCAGAGATTTTGTGTTCAGTGGCTGCTGTTACTAATTTATTGTTCTGGTTGTTGTTCCTAGGGCCTTCATTATAGTTTATCTTCGGCATCGCGTACTTTGTTGGGGTCGTCGAATAAACGGGCTAGTTGATTGAGCAGGTTCTAGGGGTCGTATTGCTTCGTGTCTTCGGCAACGGCCAACTGCAGTGTAACGAGTGCCTGAGAACTTGTCGGGGTCGGGGAGGCCTGGCTTGGGCTTGCGGGCCGACTTAGTCCTCAAGTCAGTAAGCTCTTTTGTCAAGGCTTGAATCTGGGCTTTATGGTTCTGAATGACCTGCTGTATGTGCTGAAGGGGGTCCATCTTGTAGGTCGGTTGTTGTTCGTGTTCGTTGTTGAATGCAGGTGCGAGAAAAAGAGGGCTCTTGCAATTCGGGATTCAGCTGGTCGGTCCACACACTTCTAATTACCATACAACCCGTATGCAGGGGAAGAAGGTCGGAAACTGCCGCGCTTGCAATGAATACCGAAGACCCTTGAAGAAATAACGTATCTTATAAGCGAGATGAACATATAAGCGAATTGAACACTTGCCACCATACTATAACAGTCAACTACAATTACAACACAACAACATTATGAACCTACTATAATTATATCAGAAACGGCTGAATTAGATGCTTCTGCAACCTCCTGACAAGTGCGGGCATTATGACCAGGCTTGCCGCACACACTACAGCACCGAACCTTCGTACGAGCCCCCCCTGCACCACCACCATCCGGCTGTATTTCTTATGCCACCTCTCTAACCACAGCCTTTTGGTCTAGTAGATCCTTTGCATCTTCTACTGCAAGTGATCCTCCAAGCTATACACGCGTTCTTTTGGCTCTTCGGCGCTTGCTTAGCGCCTCGTTGGCCTTGCGGAGCGAAGACACCTCTGCCTGAAGGAGGGCCACCTGGTGCATTATAGCCATCGTACCCTTGGTAAGCTGGTCTACAGCAGCCAATATCGAAGTCGGGGAGCTATTTTAATGGTTGGCAATGCGAGTCTTGATGAGCGTTGACTGTGAGTTGGCTTCTCGGGGGTTATATGGTGTCTGGAAGACCTAAGATTGTATAGTGCCTGGCCGTGAGATTAGGGGTGTTGGTATACGAAGCTTGATATCTAGCTTCGAAAGTACCCTCTCTGGATCGTACGGTACAAGGCCAGCCCCTATAAAACCACTCTATATATTCCTCTTAGTGATAGAGGCAAAGAAGGTTGTACGAAAGGTATAAAGGAACTCGAGCTTGCTTACGTGGCTGATATATGCGCGCATTAAGTCCTCGATCTGGCGACCGTACACCTGCTTTAACGGCCCAAAGCAGCCAACATTAAGTGGCTGGAGGAGGTAGGAGGAATGTAGAGGTATGCAGAGCGTGATAATGTTATTCTACTGGCAGTAGAGCTCGAACTCGGTTGAATGGTGGCTTTCGTGGCCATCGAGGATCAACAACCAGTATTTGCCCTTTATCCGAGGCGCTATATAGTAGTCGAAGTGCTTGATCCAATCAAGGCCTACTGCATTGGTAGTCCAGCCATTGTTGGTGGTTGCAATACGCTAGTCGGCCGGGAGGTTGCACTCGGTATACCAGTTGGCGAGATGGTATTGCGCCGCTAAGATGATGAACAGAGGGATAGCCCAGCCAAGGGCATTGACGCCTTGGATTACGGTCGCCCATTCGCGGTTGCCAGGCTAGGCTAGCTTTGCCTTGCCACGGCCATCCGAGGTTGTAACCACCATGTCTAGGAAGATAATGCCCATTATAAACTCAGTCTTGTCGAAGTTATAGATATCGTCATCTACAATACCGTACTTGGCCTTAATATTACGTATAAGGGTAAACCATTCGCCAATGACCTTTGGATCCTCGCATTTAGCCCTCTGGTAGTCATATCTACACATATAACATATCCGGAGCTCTGGCTGGTATTTGACGAAGTTATACACCTAGAGCTTACCAACAGAGGGCGCGTTACGTACGCATAGCAGTTGGTTGGCCATATCTTCCACACCACATAGTCTTAGGGGAAAGGCTCGCTCAGATAGCTCAATTATATACTGAACAAGAGCCTTCTCTTCGGAATCGGTGAGCCGGCGCGAGTTGGGCATAGTGTTGCATCGTGCAGGCTTGCCGTTGCGTCGGTTTCAGATGGTATTGACTGTGACGTTATAGATCTTTACTGCGGCGCGAAGACTAAGTTTTGGGTTCTTTTGAATAGCTTCAAGGGCTAAGATTACCCTAGACTCTCTTGAAGCCGAAGACATCGTTGGGTGTAGAGGATTTTGGTTGTGGTATAGAGAGAAGACGCGTCGCGGTCAAAGTGTTCAATTCGCTTATATGTTCATCTCGCTTATAAGATACGTTAGGCACTTCCAATTACCACTGTAACCCTTTAGTACCAGGGAAGGAAGGCCCGAAGTGATAAATAAGGTGAAAAAAAATCCGGGTACCGACGGGGGGCTCTAGGTGCAGGCTCTATAGTTGTTCGAATGCGTGGTCAAGCCTCTGCTAAGACGATGTACTATGTGCTCGGTCGACTAGGCACGGGTCGGTTCGGAAGGTCGTAGCCGTTACGATGAATTGCCTGGCTAGGTATGCAATCTAAAGGAAGTTTAATATTATCACAGTGACTGTCATCACAGGCCAGGTTCAAGGCTCTGGTGGGCAACTGACTGCATTGTAAGAATATTGAACTTGTAGGAGGAAAGGAATCCTCGAAGACTGCAAGATGCGAAGAAGTCTAAATATAAGATATGTGGTATATGCCCAGATATGGAAGGTAGGGTACCAACCAGGTTGACCAATCATATATACATACACTAGAAGCCGGGCACATGACTAAGCAATGGCCTATGCCATATTACAGTGGGTTCTACCGTCACACTAACGCTTATAAATATAGCCTAGTATTATATTAGTACCTTTCAGGGAAAAGAAAGGAAAAAGTACGTAGTATACTTATAATATAGGATATTGGCTCTATTTGAAATAGACTTAGGCTTTCGAGATGAACAGTCCTAGAGAGAGGGCATTGTATTATGAATTAACCTATAGAGGCCAGTAGGGGCGACCTATATTATAGTCTATAGATGGCGCCTGCATCCAATCATTCTAGTCTAAGAACGGATCAATCAGAAGAGAATCACGCTTAGCATAGAGAAAGCTTAGTAATCTAGATATAAGGCTTACAAAGGATCACTAGTAATCTAGGGTAATCCAGTATAAGAGATCATCAGAGGCAGGCAGTGATCTATGGGAAACCCATAGCATATAGGTAGCTAGTCATTCGTTCTAGTGGACTTAGGAAGTTCACCAGTGAGCAATTCAAGCAGTAGCCTTCACCTACTATGCAGACATTGCGACTTGCATTGTTGTGAACCTTTTGGCTTCACCGAGACCTACAGCCCGACCAGCAGATACCTTCGACCGGCGAACCCTTTCAGAGGCAGGACTACCTGTGGTTTCGTCACATTAAGGCCACTAGCTTCGCGAATTCATTAGCGTCAACGACGCTATTCTTAATAGAAAGATTGTTTCTATCAACCTAAACTTACAAGTTAAGTTGAGAAAGCGCTGTTCTGGCCGCCGAATTTGGCTGGGCAGGGTCGCTATTTTCGGCGGTCGCAACAGTGCGCGGGGCGCCGCAGAGCGGGGTCCCACGCAAGACCCTCTACTTTTCTGGTGCTTGCATGCGTTGGCTCTGACATCATGGCCCCCTGCCCCCAGGGCCCCTGGCACGCCCCACATCAAAGCGACACGGAGGCCTTCAGATCCCAACTCTCTGTTTCCTGCATCCCGAATCCGGGCGCCTGGCCTCGGAGGAAGCCAAAAACAGCTCCCATGGCTAGCGAGTTAAAATGGCTCGCTCGTCGCCCGGGGGCTCCGCGAGTTGCTCGATTCTTCCCACCAATGCCACAGACTCTCTCTTCCCCCTCTTCTCTTCCTTCTCGGAGCCGCCGCTTCTCCTGCTCTTCCTCCGCGACGAGCCCAACCCGGCAGCATGGCACCTGTTCGCCCTAGCGGAGGAGCTCGCCACGGTGCTGATTTTATGAGACACTTTACCGAGCTAGAGGCCCAGCGGCGAAAGCCCAAGCAGCGGAAGATCCTGCCCACAGCAGCAGAGCGCGCCGCGCGCCGCGCGGCATGGCGAAAGGTTTGCTTGATCAAGCCGCGGGATGCCGACTGTACCAAAGCCAACACCGCTAGCGTGCTGCAGAAGTGGAATTGGTATGTCCTTTTTCTCCTACTATCGCCGAGGATGTCGCTAACCAAGAGCTAGGTGCTGCGACTTCAATGAGCTAGGGCCATGCATCGACGCGCTAAAACGCGTAGACCGGGCGATTTGCATCGACTTCCTTGACTAGGTGTGCGGGAAATACAACATTACATCGATAGGCACAAGCTGGCAGTATTTCTGTGGGTTCAAGCAACTGTATGTTCGACACGTTGGCCAGCACATAGATGTCAATGATAGTAATGCGGTGCTAAAGGCTGGAGCAAACTTATATATCCTTCTACGGCATCGACACCAGAAAAAGATAATACACACTCCGGGAGTCATGATCACCGCAGCACACTTTTTCCCGGCAGAGTAAAAGTGGCCCCTGACAGTCAAGTCATCTATCGTTTTGAACTCGATATCTTCGCGTTGGCCCATTTTCGCAGATTTGGCCGGTGAGTTTTGTACAATGCGTCTGTCCTCGAATGTTGGCGTTATTACTCCCCGCTCCACGGTTTGACAACCCTGAAACTTATACGTACGATGTGTGATACAGTCCCCCTCCGGTTCGTAGGAACCCTAGAAACCATGGAGGGTGCCTTTGATGGTATTCCGGGGTCGTAATATACCACAGAGGCTTTCACACAGTGCGGTACCTAGTAAACCTACCCATCGGTTGGTTACATTACCGCTGTGCGACCGCGGTTGAGGGCCAGGCTGGTATCTGCAAGTTAACAGCGGAGGGTCCAGACCAGGATATATCAAGCGTACTGTCGTATTGTTTGCGGCGTCTCCCACGGGCATATTTCCCACCTCGACGAGCTCGCTGCATGCGAGACATGCTGGGGGCTAAATGAATGTCATGTCCACAGTCGGATTACGCAGCCGCAGCAGATCCAGCAGATACTAAGACCATAATACCCTTTAAGATGGGCATCCAAGACGTTCGCCCCGGTCACAGTCCTTCTAGACAGGTCGGTGGTCGGATCCCAGCGGCGAAGTACACGCAGGGAATCGGGATTCAGGGAGTGGGCTCAGCATGACAAGCATTCTCCCCTCATCGATACAATCCCACGCATTATCCTAATAGCAGGAATAAGACACCGAGGCATCGAGCCATGCCGAGGCGCGCCCTGAACGAAACGAGGCGGTTCTGACTAGCACGATGCCGACACAAAATTGGGCACACGCAAAGAGTTTCTCCCCTATCGCACCGTGCCATCACACTGCGCGTCACGCAACCTTCCTGTTTATCGCCCAGTATGTCCTACGGCACAGAAGGAAGGGGCCGGAATGGACATGGGACCGGAAGGCGCGGAAGAGATGGATATAATACGGAGGAGAAAAAATGGAGGTACCGTAAGGTAGTACTGCATTATGCCACTCACATCATCTATCAGCAACCGCTTGTCGGAGGTAGTACTGCATCACCAACCGCATCTCAAAGGCAGTAATACATCCCAGTCACTTCGCCGCCGTAAATGATCGTATCAAGTATCACGCGCTTGGGAGCCTCCACCGGCCCTACCCTTGAATCGAATAATAACACATCCCGTCATGAAGAGGTGGGCGCTCTGAGGAACGAAGCACTTTGGTCCCTCCATTTTGAGTGTGTAGGCAATGGGAATTTTCTGTGTCGGATAAAAATGCGCAATTTTTCTGCAGGTTCCGTGGGACTGAAGGCAGTCACGGTTTCCGCCGTCCTCCTGATCGTCCTGGCACACAAGTCCTCAGCATCGCGGACCGGCGTCTTCCCACACCCGAGCAGCCGGACGTGCAGGGTGCTGCCAGGAGACACCGACTGGCCCAGCCACGCAGAGTGGGCACGCCTCAATGAGACGGTGGGTGGCCGTCTCATAGCGACCGTCCCCCTTGCTTCGGCCTGCCATGACCCGACCTATGATGAGGAAGTGTGCGACCAGCTCAAGCAAGACTGGCTCTTTCCCCTCAACGAGGCCAACTTCAAACAGCCCAACTAACAAGAGACGTTCTACGGGAGGAACTACCCGCGCCTAAGGGCTCTCAAGGCGAAGTATGACCCCAAAGGCTTGTTCTACGCGCGCACGGCTGTTGGGAGCGAGGCATGGGCTGAGGATTCGGAGCAGCGGCTGTGCAAGATATAGACGTCATGGCACGGAAGACTTGTAGCACAATGTACGGTAGCTTGAACCACTCGACTCGTCTTTACATGTAAACTGCATGCAACAATATCAAGGCTACATTCCAGGTTCCGGCCGGTCTTACCAGGGGATTTCCTGGCCTGTCACGACCTGGAAGAACTTGGACGATGTGGCCTCGCGAGCGGCCTTGTCCACCTGTGTGCGTGAGTTGTATCATGATGAGCCTCTCGTCCACTTAGTCTTCCGAGCTGGGGGAGGCGGGTTATCACTTACGAAGCTTATGATTGCGTCTGCAGCTTGCTGCAGCGTGATGGGCGCTTTCTCCATACCCAGCAATTGGGCGTTCCTATTGCCAGGCTCGCTCTGCGTCAAACTGTATTGTCATTCGCATAGTGAACTTCGATAGCGTGACAAGGGCTGCGCTCACCCTGGATTTACACAGAAGGCGACCAGCCACGGATTGCCACAATGGGCGGCCATAGTGATCCAGTTGAGGGCGGCCTTGGATATGCCGTAGGCCGGAGCGTAGTGAGAATGGTAGTTGGGCATGAAGCCGATCGACCCGATAGCGCTCGAGATGGAAATCCACTTGGGCGCCGCCGTCGACTTCTGCAGCAGCGGGCGGATGGCCTGGAACAGCAGCAGCGGCCCGAGCGCGTTGACCTGGAACGTCTCGATCAGGTCGTCAGCGGTGACGCTCTCAAGCGGGGCAATGACCACTCTCAGGCCGCCGGCGTTGGCGTCGACATCTTCGACACGCCTCAAATGGAACAGATCCTTGAGGGCTAGAGCTTCGACTTCCACGACGGAATGTTCCAGCCGCCCTTCTCCTCGGCCAGCGGCCACGGTACCCTCATGGCCAGCACGATCCTGCGTGTCTGTCCCATGGTAAAAATCTATCCCATACGACTCAGGACGTTTGGGACCAGCGACGGCAGGACAAAGATCGATGCAGACTATGCCGCGCAAGTATGTACACAACGACGGGCAATCACAGGTTGAAGGGACTTCTCCGATGTTCTGACTCGTGGAAACTACAGGCAATTCAAGCCGCTCTGGACAAGAAGGCTACCATCCTCTGCATGTTGTGGACGATCCCAATGACTGAAGGCGAGAACCAGGCGAAGAAACGGCGTAAGTTTTCCTTTACACCTGCTTCTCCAGCTGCTACAGGTAGTTCCAGCCTCTGACGCCTTACCCCGCTCAGTGCATGACGTGCTGAGGACAGCTGTTGAGCGCCGCATCCTCATGTTCTGCTCGGCGTCTGATGAAGGCAAGTTCAGCGAACTCGACTACCCGAGCGGTCCGTGGCGTGACCGTTTCATCCGCATCGGCGCCGCGGGCGCGGACGGCACCGCCTTCCAATGGAGTGCCGACGACGGCATCACTTATGTGCTCCTGGGCGTCGACGTGACCGTGGAACAGGTGACGACCGGCTCCCACGACGCGTCGTTCCCGATGAAAACGATGCCCCCGAACCGCATGAACGAGTATAGCGTGGCGGGCTCGAGCGTCGCCACGGCGCTGGCCGTAGGGCTCGCCGCCATGATTCTCTACTGCGTCAAGGCGAGCATCCTCGCCATCAGGACGGCGACCCAGGATAGCAACGGCTCCCTGCTGGGGTTGCCCCCGGACAATGCGGCACAGCTGATGGCCCACCCAGACGAGATGAGGCGCGCCTTTGCGAGCCTGGGCAACGTAACGCCCAACAACTTTGTCCAGGTTTGGGACGAGCTCGACAAGGTCAGCGAGCAGCTCGAGGTGTTCTGGACGCCAAGTTCGACTCCAGAGGTGAAGCAGAAGTGCGTCGAGGCGTTTGTGGACTTCGGGCTGAAGCTGTGGAATGCGGCCATGGAGGAACATTGAACGAGGTCAACGGGGGTGTGTGCTTTGGGCTGTAACAATAATATGTGGACAAAGAAGCGGTGGGTTCAACGCTGTTCCCCGAAGTATCTGGTCCCTTCAGAGTCCTGGTTGCGCAGCACACAACGCTCTGTCAGACAGCGGTGCAGCTTGCATTCGGCGCCGTCATTCGATGTCCAGTAACCAATGCTTTGCTCTGTATCAATTTGAGTCTTTGACTGTTGCTACACCATCAGTTCTCGACACTAATAATAAGGATCCTATGCTCGTGGGGTGGAATGGAGTGAACGGAGTACAACTCCTAGGAGCTATGCCACAGTAAGTAGTGTTTCCAATGGACTGTGATTTTTCATTTTATCAATCCTTTCGGTCTCACCAAAACTCACCCCATTGTCATATATACGTTCAGGAGCCCCTTCCAGAGGGTTGGTGGCTAGAGATTTGTTATAAGCTGCCTAGAAACCTACGCGGCTATTCCTACAACCACGGCGATACACCGCTGAAGATTGAGGTTATACGTTGAATCAAGGCCGTATCTTCATCTTACCTACTGTTCGTAATTTTTATAGCCGGATTCCCTTCGCGTAGTGGCTTTCCAATGCCTTCACCCGGGCGGCCCCCAGGCCGCCCTGTATTGCTAAAGTTGCCAGTCATCCGGCGGATCACCCAGCAAAACTGCCCTGAGATAACCGCACGTTATATATTTACTAGTCACTACAAGTAATCGCTAGGTACCTCCGTACCTGGATCGCGAGGCTCGATCGTTGATCTCCTCGATCCTTCGTGGTTCGACAGGATCGAGTTTTGAAATCCAAGCATCGATCCAGGAACTGGATTGATACTTCTTCCCCATAGTCCTCTGCTGATTGGTTGGTGACTCTTTTCTGAATGATTGGCTCGGACGCGCCCCGCGCGACGACTGGGGTCACTGCATGTGGATATACCCGTGACACACAATGACAAGTACAATATTGGAGAACGAATTGACATTGGGGCTGTGCAAGTGGTCCATTCTCGTAGGGAAAGGGTGTCATTGGTTGAAAGAATGAGTAATTCGAGACAGTTTAGCTTGCATTTGCCAATTCCCCTTTCTGGACATAACTCATCATGAATCATACTTTTTGGGCTTTTACCGTTGTCCACTGACAGCGAACTGTTAAAACTGACAGTCGTCAGAGGGAATCAGTTAGATCACCGTTTGACTTTAAAAAGGCCTCCATCAAGCCATAACGAGTGTTATACGCGGTCGAATAATTGTTCCTCAATCTCCAGAGCCCAACAAGTGCAGAAATCCCACCTTGATTCTATAACTTGACCTCAACCTTCTTTTTACTTGCTGTACATATGAGCGACACCGGTGACATGGATGCTACTGTTACTGCTCCAGTACCTTCACTGGAGTGTCGATTATGCGATGTATCATTCGAGACTGTCGAAGAAAAACGGCAACACGCGAAAAGCGAATGGCAGTAAGTCTGTAATTATTTCTTCACTTTATCTTGCTTTTCTCTTGCTTTTTCTTTCTCTTTCTCTTTCTTATTATCAATTTTGTTTTTGATTCTTATTTTACATTCATTTTCTTTCTCTTTGTATTATCTTTTCCTTGTTACTTTAGCTTTTTCTTGTTCTTTATTGTTTTCCGTTTTTTTCCTTTCCATTTTCTTCTACATCACATGTTTCTCAAAATTTTAACATGGATATCTATCTAGCGTGTACAAGATTCGGTGTCGAGTCGCCGAGCCTGGAAGCACTCTTACTCCCCCCGACAACCTGGATGGAATCAGCAACCCATCAACCAGGCAGCGAAACCAAGGCCGGAAATCTACATCGACATTGCCTCCAGCCAATAAGGAGAGTTCCGATGAGGAGTCAGAAACTGACACATCCGACTTGGACTCATCCGACAGGGACATCTTTGAATTCCTTCCTGAAGAGTGTCTCTTCTGCGCCCAATGCAGCAACGACTTCGTTGAGAACCTATCACACATGCATCAAGCTCACAGTTTCATGATCCCTTTCGAGGCCTCACTAGCAGTGGATCCCCAAACCCTGATCTGGTTTCTCCATATGGTCATCAACAGCTACCGGGAATGTATCTGCTGCGGAACACACCGGCGGTCCGTTGAGGCGGTCCGGCAGCATATGTTGTCCAAGGGTCACTGTCGCTTTAACGTGACCGACGAGATGCGCGGGTTCTACGATATGGACGCTTTAGGTCAGCACACTGCAGACGGATGCAGTCATCCGGACGACCATACCCTCAGGTTACCGACCGGGAAACTCCTCGCTCATCGCTCCCAAGTCGATCCCTCTCCAAGGAGCAGGCGGCGAGAAAAGACACCGGCTGGCCCATCTGCTTTGCTTGCCTCTGAGGAGCCAAATCCTACCACCGGCGAACCACAAGCTCTCACCAAGCGAGACCGAAAAGAGCAAGCACTCACTACCCAAGTCGCGCAGCTGCGCGCCGGAGATCGGATGAGTCTGATACATCTGCCGGAGTCTCAACAACGATCGCTGCTTGCGGTGCACAAGAAAGAGCTGGACAAGGCGAAGCGGGCAGATAGGCGGACGCGCAGCCGGTTGGATCATGTTGGGAATAAGACTGCGGTGCATACGAAGTATTACCAGCAGGAGAACCCAGTTTATCAATGCGGTTAGGCAGAGGGTTCATAATACGAGGGGGTTGTTGTCCGAGCCCTGTTCTTTGAATGCTGTTTTTCCCATCTTGAGATGCCCCCCTTTGCTCTACTATGGCTAAACCCTGAGAGGTTCTTGTCCACTTGTCAGAGCACAATGTCACTCCGTGATTGAGGATGTTATAGGTTCCAGGCTGTTATCAATCTTGTATCCTCCTCACTGACCCAGTACATCCCTCCCCTTGATTCCTATCCGGTAGGGTGTCCATCGAGTAGGTGCGGAAGAGCTGTCAATTCATGGGGAAGAACTTAGACCTTGGACAAAACTCATGCTTGAAGCAACAGAAAAGGATGCAAGCCTTCGTTGGCATATAGATCCGATTCCGCCGCCTTTGCCCCTCACTAATCCTCTGTTCCCCGCAATAAACCGGACCGGGCTGCCTTCTTGTCACTTGTCAGGCTGAACCCATCATACTCATTCTGCACTGCTTTGCGGGGAAGCGAAAGAGATGAAAGATCCTTGCAGATGTTGTGGCACATGAGACTCCTGGTACCTTAATTTGGCAAACCTGTGCTTACCGAAGAACTCCTCTGTGCTGCCTCTGCTTCTTCGTCAGGAACTTTCAGGCGCCGGCAAATATCTGTAACCAAAAGCCGGCAGCAAAGAGCTGCGATGGCCAAGCGGAGTACCTATGTACCACCTGAAATTGGCGGTTTATTGTGACGAAACCCAGGCAGTCCTACCTCTGAAAGGGTTCTTCTATCGAAGGTATTGCCGGTCGGGCTGTAGATCTCGGTGAAGCCAAAGGGTTCACAACAATGCATAAGCAATTGTCCGCACAGTAGGTAGAGGCTACTGTTTGTATTAGGTTGCTCACCGAGGAAGCTACTATCTAAATGAGTGCTAGAATACTAAGTCTATATACTGCTTCCTCCTTCGCTGTCCATAGGAGTGATGGGAGTGGGCGTCGCTCCCGTCGCTCTTAGTCCGCTAGGAGTAGTCGTTGTTCCCTTCCCTCTCTTCTTAGCGCGAAGCTAAGGCTTTACGCTCCCTTCGTGACTGGTTGCGTCTTTTTCCTAAACGATTAGCCTAGGGCGGTCTCTTCCGCCCTACTAGGCCACTATATATAGCTATATTCGTGATATTCATCTATATTTGGCCGTGATACAAATAGCTTTATAAGGACCTAAGTTGGACCCCCCTATTTAGACCACCTTATATTTGGACCACTTGGCAAATCTTAGCCTACAAACTCACCTATCTTATTCAACACTATATATTATAGTCTATTTAACTCACTACAATATAGGAAACCTCTAATTCTACACTTTCTAACCTGCTCTCTTTAGCTAGAGTCATCTATATATGTGACGAAACCATAGGCAGTCCTGCCTCTGAAAGGGTTCGCCGGTCGAAGGTAACTGCTGGTCGGACTGTAGGTCTCGGTGAAGCCAAAGGGTTCACAACAATGCTTTGTCGCAATGTTTGCACAATAGGTAGAGGCTATTGCTTGTATTGCTCACTGAAGAACTCCCAGAGTCCTCCAGAACGAATGACTATATACTAGCTAGTCTTGGTCCGCTCACCATGGCTCACCAGTGAGCCTAGATGATCCTGCTCATCCGCTCACCAGGTGAGCGGGCGCTCCTATATATGCTCATCAGAGCTGCGAGCGCTCTTGCATATCCCTGTGTGCAATGATTGGCTGCGGACGTACCCTTGTCCGCTCCACCGGGTCACTGCATGTGGTCAAATCGTGACAATATAGCTGGCCTCAATCTACACCTAGTGGATCTATTTAACTAAAGCAAACACTTTAGTTAGATTAAGAACTATCTTCTTCCTCCTTGACGGCTAGGCTGCTTCCGACTATGCCTTTAGAGCTTCGTTTTCCTATTGTAAACGAGCCAATTCGAAGTCCTTTTTAAAAGCCTTCTTAACTATTTTAAATAAAAACCTATATATAGAGAGGTCTTATTTCTAGATAGCTAGGCTATTTAGTTAACTATATAAGTTTAACTTCTTCTATAGTATATTAAGGAATATTTAACCTATTTCGCTTCTTTCTACAATAGGTAAGATAGTGGAAACGGTAATTACTAGAAGGATAATGGAAGCGGCCAAGGCCTACAGGCTACTGCCTGACGAATAAATAGGCAACTGGGAGCATAGGTCCACCAAACTAGCTATACGTCTTGTTGTAGCCTAGGTTCAGAAAGCTTAGAGGCAATGGGCCATAGCCTCTCTATTGCAGCTAGATTTGACGAGGCCTTTGACTAGGTCAACACATCTAGCTACTAGCTACGTTACCAAGTCTTAGGTTCTCATAATAGCAAGTAGGTTAGATCTAGTCGTAGCTAACTAGCTGAAAGGCCACTTTTCTCTTTGATAGCTAACAAGCTCCTAAAACTAACATAAGAGCTGGAGTGTCACGGGCATAACCCGTGCCATGTAGGGTTAGGGTTAGAGTAGAGCACGAGAGATGTGGAGCCCTAATCGGGTCCACAGATGCGGTCTGTGCGCAGTGGCCGCTCATAGGGACTTCCCTGCGCCACTGCGTCTCCCATCTTCCTTTCCTCGTGCAACCATAATTGCAGTATCATACCCCCAACATTGGTCCCGTGAAAATAAGCCCCCCCTGCACTACTACTATCTGGCTCCTTTTCTTGCGCCATCTCCCCAATCACGGCCTTCTAGTCTAGTAGATCCTTTGCATCTTATACCGCAAGCGATCCTCCAAGCTGCATACGTGTTTTTTTTTGGCTCTCCGGTGCTTGCTTAGCGCCTTGTTAGCCTTGTAGAGTGAAGAGACCTCGGCGCGAAGAAGAGCCATCTAGTGCATTATAGCTATCATACCTTTAGTAAGCTAGTCTATAGTAGCCAACATCGAAGTCAAAGAGCTATTTTGATGATTGGCAATGCGAGTCTTGATGAGCATTGACTGTAAGTTGGCTTTTTAGGGGTTGTATAGTATCTGGAAGACCTAAGATTATATAGTGCCTAGCTGTGAGGTTAGGGGTATTAGTATACGAAGCTTGATATCTAGCTTTGAAAGTACCCTCTCTAGGTTATATAGTACAAGGCCGGCCCCTATAAAACTGCCCTATATATTTCTCTTAGTGATAAAGGCTAAGAAGGCTATACAAAAGACATAAAGGAACTCAAGCTTGGCTTATATAGTGTTATGAACTAACCTACAGAGGCCGGTGGGGGCCGACCTGCATGGTCGACGGGCGGCGCCCGCGTCCAATCATTACGAGTCGGAAAGGACCAATGAGGATTAGGGAAATCAGGAACAACGCCAAGGAACATTGTTCCAGATGGAACAATGAGAACAACAATTGTTCCAAATGTTCCAGAGATCTAGGTACGGGATACCTAGGGGAGGAAGCTATATAGTTCTACTATTCTGCCACTCATTCAGATAGCTAGCTTCCTCAATGAGTAATTACAAGCAATAGCCTCTACCTATTGTACAGACATTACGGCTAGCATTGTTGTGAACCTTTTGGCTTCACCGAGACCTACAGTCTAACCAGCAGATACCTTCCACCAGCGAACCCTTTCAGAGGCAGGACTGCCTGTGGTTTCGTCATATATAGCTAATATACGCGCGTATTAAGTCCTTGATCTAGCGACTATACGCTTGCTTTAACAGCTTAAAGCAGCTAACATTAAATAGCTAGAGGAGGTAGGAGGAATGTAGAGGCATATAGAGTGTGATAATATTGTTCTACTAGTAGTAGAGCTCAAACTCGGTCGAGTAGTGGCTTTCGTGGCCATTGAGGATCAACAACCGGTATTTACCCTTTATCTAAGGCGCTATATAGTAGTCGAAGTGCTTGATCCAATCAAGGCTAACTACATTAATAGTCTAGCTATTCTCGGTAGTTGCAATACACTAGTCGGCTAGGAGGTTGCACTCGGTATACCAGTTGGCGAGGTAGTACTATGCAGCTAAGATGATAAACGGAGAGATAGCCTAGCCAAGGGCATTGACACCTTGGATCACTATTGCCTATTTGCAGTTGCTAGGCTAGGCTAGCCTTATCTTGCTATAGCCATCTGAGGTTATAACTACTATGCCCGAGAAGATAATGCCCATTATAAACCTAGTCTTATCAAAGTTATAGATATTGTCATCTATAATGCTATACTTAGCCTTAACGTTCCGTATAAGGCCAAACCATTTGGCAATAACCTTTAGATCCTTGTAGTTGGCCCTCTAGTAGTTATATCTACGTATATAACATGTCTGGAGCTCTGGCTGGCGTTTAATAAAGTTATATGCCCAGAGCTTACCAATAGGGGGCGTATTACATACATATAGCAGTTGGGTTAGCCATATCTTCCACATTACGTAGTCTCGGCGGAAAAGCTCGCTCAGATAGCTCAATTATATACTGAACAAGAGCCTTCTCTTCAGAATCGGTGAGCTGGCGCGAGTTGGGTGTAGTATCGCGTCGTACAGGCTAGCCCGCTAGTCGGTCTTACAAGGTTGTTCGTCAAACGTCGTAGTACTTCGCTGCAGCCCTTATCCTTAGTTTTTGGTCTTTTTATATCGCTTTGAGGACTAGGTTTATCCTAGCCTCGTACGAAGAAGAAGACATGTTAGGTTGTGAAGAAAATCTGGTTTTAAGCGCGAAAGTGACGCATCGCGGGTAAAGTGGCCGGCTCGCTTATATGGCCGGCTCGCTTATAAGATACGTTATGTGATAATAATGGCGCAATAACTTCTCGTCGAAATTTGAAACTTGTTTTAGGTATGACCATGTCCTGCCTCAAAGGCACCTGCTGGTGCGCGCATTTGCGCCAACTCGCCTAACACTTTCAACACCGGCGACCAACGAAGCGTTTCGCCTGTGGTGGCGTTGTGCCACAGCGCCCTCCTGCACAGCAGGCCCAGTTCAACTGCAGTGACACGGCGCACGGCTTTCTCGACTAATCCGACGGGAGCCCGAGTGTGCGATCTAGCATGAGGGAAACAGCTAATTTTTGGCTCCAATGTCGGCAACGGCGCGACCGACGATCCGACTTCGACGAGCAGGACAGCAGCCACAAAGCTCGGCTTTAGGGGTAAGTATCGATAGACCTTGCCCCAGGTGCCCTGGAAGGGGGCGACCGTTAGAAAGAAGGCGGATCCGTACCACCCAATGTCCGCGACCGTGTGGAACTCGTCGGTGATCCGGGGGATCGCGGTCGAGACGATGGTAGTATCGAGCGAGATGAGGAAGCGCACCAGTAACAAATAGAGCGAGTGAACTATCTTGCTTTCTCGCCCAGTGTACCTGCACTCCTTTTACAACTAGCACCATCAATGACATTCTCGGCTTCTAGTTATAGTAGATGTTTTATAAGGGATACTAACCCGGAGCATCTGTCGGCTTAAGCGCTATTCTAAAGAAAGACCTAGATTAGTGCGCGTCTTGATCTTAATATTAAACCAAACGGCCGGGGTATAGGCAGTAACTAACTATACCCCTACTCAAACTAAGATCTGATCCGTTCAGTATTATAGGGCAATTAACCTAGAACTTATAGTTCTATTTAGGCTAAATACGATACCTAAAGAGGTATAATAATCCTTAAACCCCCCTTATATTCGGAGCTAATATCCATTAGGAACTATAGAATGCGACTTTGGATAGAAATATCGTTTTAAAAATTTGGCTATAGTCTAAACGGCTTTAATATATACGAAAGGGCCCGTCAAGGTACTCTAACACTATATCAAGGGATATATTAGGTATAAGCTAAAGGTATAAGTAAGAGGTATTAAACCATAAAATGTCCTAAATAGCCTCTATAGTCCTCTATTGCCGTATAATCTAAATACTAAGCCCTAGTAGTCATTACTCGTCCTAGGCAATCGCAATAGTTTAACTCTTCCTTCTTATAGCCAGCCTTCTAGTGCCCTACGTGCTTGCCGCACCTACCCCTAAGCCTAGGCCAACCAATAACCTTGAAGCCTACTTCGATAGGACCGGCTTCAATAGCTGGTCAGAGGGCGGTAGCAACATCTGATGTATCAATAGCCCTAGAGGCTCGTTCACGGCGAACTAGAATAGCAAAGGCGGATTCGTCTGCAGGAAGGGATAGAATAGGCAAGGCGCAAGGTGAGTCCCTCTCTCTTACCGCATAATAATACTACCTTAATATATACAAACCTTCTAATACCTCTGCCTCTGCCCTAGAACCATCAAATATAGCGGCACCTATAACGCCACCAGCCCAGATTACCTCGCCATCTACGGCTAGATATAGAACCCGCTTATCAAGTACTATATTGTCGACTTGTACCTAGAGCTGGCGCCTAATAAGCTATAGACGTTATAAGGCGAGTTTATATCAGACGAGGGCATATATAAGGTCTTTACTAGTATATATATCAATAAGCCCTTAATCGAGGGCACCCGGACCTTCTAGCAGAACTAGTCCATCTATAAGGAGAAGTATATCAGGGGTACTATTATAATAATGAAGCATTTCGAGGAGTAGAAGAAGCAGGGAATAAACCTAGGCCGGTATAACTCGGTCATTGTAGCTGTAGAGGGGTATATAGCCAACGGAGGATAGGGAAGCACAGGATCGGCAAGCATAAACATCGAGTAAAATACGTCTATGGCAATAGTTGCTGCTCGATTGCCAAGGTATAGTAGTCTATACGACTCTACTATAGTTATATATATAGCTTTTCTACTGTTTGGTTTCTTAAGACACTGAGTATTTACAACTAGAACTTGAATATCAAGTATAGATTGGAACCTACCTGTCTATAAGCATTAGTTTTACCACTTGCCAATGTGTTTGCCTAAGCCTTCGATCTTCACTTTGTTAATATATATATATATATAGGTTCGACGGTAAAATGAAGTCGTAATAAGTGCCTTCTGGCCCACTATATATAATACTATATTATAATATGGCGCGCCTGACCATCCGAGCGACCCTGGAGTAATATTGTTATAGCTGCTAGACTGGACGATCAAATTAAGCACCCCTAGGAATCAAGGGCTAGAGATACCCTAGGATCAGAGGAATATACTAAATACAATCCTAAAATACACCAAATCTAAACAATATAAGCTTTATATCTTAGTCTATGTTTTTATTCCTCTTAGCCCGGCCATTGGCCACTTTCACTCCTCTAAAGTTATCTGAGACTACTATTACTAGCCCCTTCTATTTAAGTCTTCTAAATCCTATAAGCCCAAGAGAAATCCTAGAGAGGCTTACTGGCAGGAACAAGCTATTTCCTATAGTTATCTATCCTGTCTATAGAAGGCTGAAGCCGTATAGACGGTAGGTATAAGGCCCCTAGTATAATAGTATCTATATATATCTAGTTTATATATCTCCTGCAAGGTCTTAGAGATCCTCTACTACTATAGCCGGCATGCCCTTTATTCCTGGCCCCAAGAAGCATAGTAATATAAGAGGATAAGTAGCCGAGACTGCTTCGCTATAATATCTGTCCACCCTTGAAGATAGTGCTAGAGATGACCTATAGTATCGTGGTTTTGCTAACTTACTAGGGTAGAGTTGAAATTCTTATTAAAATAAAGCTTCTTTTTTGCCTCGCTATCGGCTGCCTACTAGAAGGTATTATTACGAGTTGGAAAGGTGTCACGAATTAACCAACGGCAGGCTGCAGGGCAGACGGCCGTATGTGGGGACGCGGGGGCGTCCCGAGCCAATCATTTGGACAACTAGGCGGACCAGTCAGAGACAGGCAAAGGTGCTAAGGTGCCAATACCGCTGAGCACTCTGCAGGATGTAAGCGATCAGAGTGATCAGGGGCATATCACGATGAGCACCTGGGTGCTCATCGAATCGAAGTACTGAGCACCCAAGAAGATAGCTAGTATATAGTCACTCGTTCTGGAGGACTCTGGGAGTTCTCCAGTGAGCAATATTACAAGCAATAGCCCATACCTATTGTGCAGACATTGCGGCAAGCATTGTTGTGAACCTTTTGGCTTCACCGAGACCTACAGTCCGACCAGCAGTTACCTTCGACCGGCGAACCCTTTCAGAGGCAGGACTGCCTGTGGTTTCGTCACACGTTGCTCACTCCCTTTGACTCTGTCACGGTTCAGATCGAAGGTACCACCGACCATCATGGCGCCCCAGACACCTAGCACCCCGGAATCCCAGAGCCAGGCCGCAACCATGCGACAGATGCAGCAGGCTCTCGAGACTCTCAACGCCAAAATCGCCCAGCTTGAGGCCGAAAACGGCCATATGCAACAGCTCGTCAACGAGGCCTACAACGGCAAGCCCAAGGACAAAGCCAAACTCGAAGCACCCCCCAAGTACGGAGGCGACAAAGAAGGACTCGCTGGATTCCTTACATCCATGAGGGCCTACCTCAAGTACTACCCGGACAAGTTTGCGGACGAATCCGCCAAAGTCATGTTCATCTCCTCGCGGCTCGAGGGGAAGGCACTTCGATGGTTTGAACCCACCCTTAAGGATTGGCTAACCAACAGTGCGGACGCTCAGGACGATTTCACCATTGAAATTTTCAAATCATACGACAAATTTGAACAGGAAATCCAGAAGGTGTTCGGAGACCATGATGAGAAGCTCCACGCGCAGGAGCGACTCGCACGCCTGAGGCAGACAAAGTCGGCGGCTGCCTACGCCATGCAGTTCCGCCAGGATTCACTTCGGTGCGAGATCAATGACGAAGGTCTTATGCAGTTGTTCTACGATGGCTTGAAGGAAGAAGTCAAGGATGAACTGTATCAAAAGGACCGACCCGACACGCTTGACGAATATATCGCCATGGCTATCCGCATTGACGACCGGATTTATGCCAGGCGCCAGCAGCGCAAGGGACGCGGAACGCAGCCTACATTCGTCAAGGCAAACGACAAAAAGAAGCGACAGTACCCCAGCACGTCGCATGGCACCCACGCTGGTCCAATGGACGTGGACGCCACCCAGCGTGAGGATAAAGGACGGAAGGACAAGTCCCAGGCCACCTGTTTCAATTGCGGCAAGAAAGGGCACTTCAAGCGGGAGTGCCGCAGCAAGAAGAACTGGAAGCAGGTGCCCGGCAAGGAAAATGCCACGATCGACAAGTCAACCCGCGTGGTTGAAGTGGCTGCGGCAAGCTACACCGAGGATGACTTCGACGACGCAGTTGACCGAGGCATGGCTGAAGGAAGCATCGATGACTCCTCTCGGTCAGGAAGCAATAGCCCCCACGTTACGTTCGAAGAACCCATCACAGGCTACGACATTGCCGCCGCCGCAGCATCACAACTCGCAGAAGGTTGGGGATTCCAGTTGACCCAGAATGAAGAAGGTCAATGGAGGACACGACAATCGGACAACGAACCCGTTGGCCCGAACCCCATCTTTCTCGCCCAGCGCCTTCAGGAGGCTGAAGAGGAACAAGCCGAGCTTCGAACAATTACCCGAAGACTCGCAGAAGAAAAGGCTCAGGCCATGAGCCAACTAGAATTCGTCAAGGCCAAGTTGGTCAGGGTCCAGGAAGAGCACCACTCGAACTTGTGGGATGGACCAGCACAGGACCTAAGCCAGGGCAGGGGGAATAATGGAATCAAGAACCCCGAGGCTGAATACCAGAAGGCCCAGAACCAGCGAAGACTCAAGGGGCAGGAACCACAAGATTGGGACACTTTTTGGAATAAGAAGCCGTACAACGGCGTCGGGGACAGCAACGCGGTACGCATCTGGATTGGATTCGGCCCGCGCTACGAACCCCACGAACAAGACGCACTTCGACTCCAACCCCAGCGATACGACCACGTCCCATGGTTCCAGTGCATCGCGCACGAATGCCGATACCATTTTCGATCAAAATTCGACAACGACTTTTGGCCCGACAGGCCTACCGACCAAAACGGAGAACCTCGACCAGTCCCGTGGGTTTGGGACGCAGGGACCGGCGCCGACCAGTCCCTATGGAAGGTCGAAAGGACCAACGCATACGACAGAATCAGGGTGACACCGCGAAGAACCCAGCCAGAAGACTGCCAGCGGTGGCCCAATAGCACTCGACAGTGCAAGAGCCAGGATTGCTTAATCCATATGCAAGCGAAGCTCCAAGAACATCACGAACGCAAGACACATACACGAAGATGGATGACGCCTCGCGAACGACGAGAGGAAGGAAGAAGAGCCAACGAAATTCGACAATTATTCGAAGAACTCCCGAGACTTGGACCGCAGGACGGCAACCAAGAGGCACAGGAGGAT